AGCCGCGAGCCCTCTGAACGGACCGCCCCGGTGGACTCGAGTAGCCACGCCGAAGCCCGTCCCTCCTCCCGCCGTCAAGCTCCTCCCCCGAGCATCGAAATCCCCCAGCCTTATTATCAAGATAATCAACCGACCGACTCTGATGCTATGGATATCACTTCCCCTCCCCGTGCACCCATGACATCACCTCCCGAACGAAGCACGTTCCGACAGGATGTCCACAACCACCGAGCCCACGATCCCCGTTACTCTCGGACGAGCCATCGCCTGCGAGCAATGCAACCGCTCGCCACTGCCGTTCCCCCAATCGATACTGCCGAAGCCTTTGGTCTACGTCCCGTCCGTGATGCAGAGCGCCTCCCGAGCATGCTGCCTGGGCTGCAAACCGGTATCATCTCTCAACCCGACTCTCCGACCACACCCAGTGGACCCATCCAGCCTCAATCTCGAAGCATTCCTCAAGCGGCCCCCTCACGGCAGCGGCCCTCAATCAGGCAGCAACCCTCGGCCTCGGGTGAATCAGACGATGCAAACGGTGAGGACTTGACTATGGGAGATGATACTGTTTTGGGACAGAACCCAGAGCCTATCGTTGGACTGCCTAACCGCATGGACATCGATGGTGTTGTTGAGCAACAGACAACCATGATTGACGATGTATCCCCCGCACATGGCCTGACCGTGACCGATCCTTCGGAAGAGGGCCAGGATGCTGAAACTTTTAACATCGCCCATCGGTCTGCCGTTGACGGCAGCATCATCAACAACAACGGCCCTACACAACCTAACGGCGGGTTGGGTCTTTCCCCCACCCAGGCCCCGAACAACCCCAACTCCCCGACTCTTGCCCCTAGCCCCTATGCCATGTACCTCCGTGACCGAAACACACCCGCCACTCAAAACGTCCTCACCACCATGCCTCGGGATGAGGACGTCTTGATGTCTCTGCAGCTCTTGGCTTATGTATCCAAGTACTGCAACCTGAGGTCATATTTCCAACGCTCCCACCTCGTGCCAAAACTCAAGATTGACCGGGAACTGCATCTTCTTGATGAGAATGCAGACCCGTCTTCTCCTGTTGAGGTCGAGGAGGAGGACGAGTACTTGCTGCCCGACGATGTTAATATCTTCCCGCTGGTTGAGAAGTTCACCGTTCGGCACCACTCGAAGGATATGCAATACTGGGCCTGTGTGGTCATGCGAAACCTCTGCCGCAAAGACGAGTCGCGAGGTGGGATTCGTCAATGCGCCTATTACAAGTGTGGCAAGTGGGAGGAGTTCCAACGCCAGTTCGCCAAATGCCGTCGCTGTCGCCGTACTAAGTACTGCAGCAAAGACTGTCAAAAGGCTGCGTGGGTTTACCACCGCCACTGGTGCCATACAACTCCTTGACCGTGGATAAAGATCTCACTGACCTCTACCATCACTCCCACATATCATAAACCACATTCATACTCTCCTCAACGACCTCGAACTTGCGAGTCCCATTTCTGATTCCCACAAATGCATATTGGCTCTCGCATAGCGTCATATCGCGTCTCCCCCTATGTTTTGTTTACGTTCCACTTGCGCATGGCATTGCAAAATCTGGTGGCGTTTCCAATTCGACAAACATCACCCCCCAAGATACCTATTTTTCCACATGTCGTTCTGAATTTTCATTTGGCTTTCTTGTCTCTTCGAATATCTCTTATTTCGAACATCGCGACTTTTTTCTTTCTTGTCCTACTCGCGCTAACATCAGGGACTATCCACACTGGGTGGCCCATTTCCTTCTCCATCCGACTCATATTTCCCATCAGCCTGTCATGAGTGTATATCCGTTTTGTTCACATTGTCTAATGATTGATCTCACTCTCTCGGGGGGGTTTCCTGTTCTCAGAACTACTCAGGTTTAACCGCCTGACTCTCCCTGCGCGTTTCTCATTGTTCTCTCATACTTAATTGTGCTGTCACGAGTTTCCTATGTCCGTAGATGGGCAGCCTACCGACACGTTTCACCGTTCCACCAACGGTCACTTGAAGCATTATCCATTATTCCCTTTTGCAGTCCCATCTATGATGCCAATTTACGTCTTTTGGAGGGTTCGTTTGTTCTGGTCTCTGTGCACTTTGCCTCCACGGCAGCGGCGTTTTTCTCATACACTCTTTGGCACCGTCGTTTTGAAATGAATGATCCAATTTGCATCTGTTTTTTTTTCTTCGTTTCCTCGTGAAACTGCTAAATACGTAACTCCTTCTCCATCTTCTCTACTCCTCCTTTGTAAACCCATACGTGGCTGCAAGTCTCGACTCCAAATGCTCCGCCGCCGTCAACGGCCTCTTCCCCGGCTCCAAACTCCCAGCACCACCCCCAAACCCAACCGCCCCATCCCCCTTCAAACCCCCCATCTTCTCCCGATGCGCAGCAACAATCTCACTCGGCACCGGCACCAACTCCGTTGTATCAACCGGATGACAAAAGTACACCAGCGTATACCGATCCTGCGGATTCGGACTCCGCTGCTCTTCCAGCGGAAACACAACCCGATGCACGGTGGACTTGAGCAGTCCGTCCGTCCAATAGCTCAGCAAATCGCCGATATTGACCAAAATGGGCGGGAAGGGGAATGCATCGGGTTGGTCGCCGGGGATGATCGGTACGGGCGCCCAGGATCCCTCTGGCGTGAGGATTTCGAGCCCTGGTTGGCCGGGTCGTTGGAAGAGGAGCGTTATGCTGCCGTAGTCGGAGTGGGCGCCGGCTCGGACGTCTTTGTCGTGTGCATAGGTTGCTGTTGCGGGGGAGAAGATGGATGGGTAGTAGAGGTAGCGGAGGATGCTGCCTGTGGGGCCGAGGCTGGGGTCGTGGCGGGTGGTGAAGAAGTCTTCTGGCATCTGTGGAAACATGATTGTTATCATTTGTACCTTTGGATGGGATACTTGGGTGATTTGGGGGTGAACGATAACTAACCTCCAGGCCAAGGGAGAGCAAGGTCAGGATTCTCTTGCAGGTCTTGTTGCAGAGTTGGGCGAAATCGTAGATCTCTGACTCATGGGGTGCCAGGGATGCTGGGAGAGGCTGTTGGGCTTTGCCATCTTTGAAGTCGCCAAAGTTCATGGCTCTGTGGTTGGATCAGTATGTGTCCTAGTTTGTGTCAATCATACATGTACATACTCCTTGAAATCACCAGTCTAAAATAATATGATTAGCCTCGTCAATGGATTTCAGATGCGATCTGTGACATACCCGCTGGTGCTCCGGATCCAGGGTCTCTGTGTGCATGCCAGACCAGCCGCGATTCTAGATGACATGAAGAGCTTAGTATATGTTGACTAGTGACTGTTACTCATCATCTGAGCACTTGGGAAGAGCACCAACATTGGGCGTAATCCGGCAAGGCTCTTTCTCTGACGCAGGGGAGGCAAAGAACTTTTTCGACTATAACGAGCTACTAGTTAGCTATCCCAGTTCTGCATAGTCATAAATGCTATACATACTAGACCAAACCCATGATCCACATCCTCCGTCTTGAAATCCGTGCCCTTGCTGTTCACATACAAAAAGCCATATTTGGCCGCCGCATCGAGCATCGCCTTCCCCACGGCGGGGTCATGGGGATCTGAGATGTCGATGACGGGTAACTCAATGGGGATCGCAGTATCTGCCATGTTGATTGTCTGTGAACCAAAAAAAAAAGTCCACGTAAATAGGGTACGGTATGCAAGCGTACTCGCAAATGTGGGGTGAAAAAGACAAGGTAACGAGCAAAATGTTGGAGAATTGGAGATTCGGAGATTATATAGATAGCCTGGAGCGGGTGGGCGGGCAGTTTACACTAGGGAGATATCGGTTACACTGAGAAAAAAATCAAGCCTATCGCGTCTCAGCTAAGACTAATGGGATTACTGGTTAGTTAGTTATCGATAGGACGCGATTAATCGATTCAGCGACTAAGAAAGACCTTTCCCAGGTCCATGGGTCAGTCTCGGGTGTAGGGTGGAACCTACTTACTGCTTAGTGTAGGCGATATCCGACGTGCAGATGAAGAAGAACCCCGCCATTGACTTGGACTAGGCACAGTTGGGTAGGTACATTCCACTTCCCTGATAGGGAGCTCGCTAATGGTTTTTAAGCCTACATATCGCTCGACTATCCATTCAGGACGGGTAAGCTTGGGATGGCTTTCTATATTTTGTTTCTTACCACTTTTTGGATCGTGTATCTTCGAGGCATACCCGTACCTAACAAGCACCACTAACTCCGCTCTCGCGTAGCTATAGTGGACATTTAGGAAGATCTTGCTGATACAGTAGGATGCAGCCAGTGTATGGAATAGTAAACATATTCAACTCTGCGCTGGGGCATATCTAAACACGCGATACTTTTAGAGTGTTCATTCTAGTAAAACAGGGTCATGTTGGCGGTGTAAGTGAGGCCTGGAGAGATATATATAGCTCATCGGGCACAATGTAGCTGAACTTCCATTTGGAGAATCATTGCTTAGCCCATGACATGGTATTTGACCCCAAACCTTTAAATCATAGACGTTCAGATAAGTTAGTTATGCCTGTTTATCAAAGAATAGGTTAGATAAGCTCTATAGCTATGTTGCTGCATGCGATCAATTGCCCAGAGAGTAGACTATGAGCTTGAATGGGGTCCACCGCGCGGTGGAACAATTATTTAGACTACATATGTAGAACAGATCACCAAAATGGGTAGAAACCGAAGATCAAGCTAGATCTACAGAATTCATTTTGTTAACTCGTGAAGCGCTCTTTGATGTGATGAAGAAAAAGGGTGGTGCAGTTTCCCATGTTTGCTGTCAGAAAAAAAAAACATTGGGCCAGCTGGTGTCTCCTCCGCTTTCCCCCTCGTCATTTCGCAACTCCATCGCGACCTCATCTCTCTCCGATCTGCCCGCTCTCCATTCGACCACCCCCCACTCCCCTCCCACGCTTTTTTAAGGGCCTCAATGCTCGGCATTTAGCCGCGCTTTCTGCCCATCAGCTTCACAACCATGCCGAGTGAGTCCAAGCCCGCTATCAACGCCCCCGATCCAACCTCCACCCAGGTCGCTAACTGGGACCTTCTTGCCCAGTCCGTCCTCTCGATGAATGGGCCGTGGGCCGCACCCAATCCCTTCCCCTCTCTGCGCTAAAGGGTGCGGTGATCGGTCTCGATGCGTCGTATTACATTCAACAACACCTGGTCAACCAGTCCACCCGAGAGGCCCTGCTAGGCGCCCTGGGCGGCTTTCCCTTCGCCTTGAAGGCCAACATCGAGAAGGAGCTACAGACCTTCAAGAATCTAGGTGTCGGTTGTATCTTTGTCTTCAATGGCCTGCATTTTGGCAAGAAAGATGAGAAGCCTCGCAACCAGTCCGCCATGGTACGCTCATTTGAGCAAGCCTGGGAGCTGTACGACCAACAGCAAGCGGACCAAGTTGTGGATGCCTTCAGCAATGCCGGTATGACCAATCTCCTTGCGCGGATGTCGGATATTTGGTCTCCTTCGCTGCCACCCAAAATCCTTGACATCTCCCCGCCGATAGCCCTAATCGACACTGACGATGAAACCTCAGGGACCCCACCCCCGGAAACCCTCTACAAGTTCCTGCAGCGGATCCTATCCCAAAATGGCGTCTCATTCATGGTGGCTCCATATAGCGCTTGCGCGCAGGTCAGTACATAGTGCCTTCCATAAAAATGCTTGTGACCACTCCTCGTCAAAGTCGTAGGAGGAAAGTCGTTGGAAACTGATTTAACGTATTCGAGCAGCTCGCCTATCTCGCCCGTGGCGCCAACCCTGTGATCGATGCCATCTACGGGCCTTCCGAAGCCCTTCTGTTTGACATTGATAAGCTGGTCACTCGCATCGAGCTCGAGCCCGCGCAATTTTCCTGGCTCACAAAGCAGACTCTCCTGGAAGAACTGGGTCGTCTCTCTAATGACCAATTCCTAGACTTCTGTTTGCTCCTAGGGTCACCCTTCCTGCGATCCTTCCCGCTGTTCGAGAACCCTGCCTTCCCCGGGAAGCTCCCTACCGTTCGCGATGCATTGCCCATGTTCAATGCCGCTGGCCGAAGTGCTCTGGCGTTGTGTGCTCAGTTCGAGGATGAGCGCCGTATGCAGGAGCCCGACTACACGAAGCGATACAAGCGGGCATATCTGGTTGTCAAGCACCATGTGATTATTGATATTGATGGTCGGGTTGGTCCCATGGACCAGGAGCACACGTCATCGGACATGCACGAGCTTATCGGCCTGCGCCTGCCCGAGGAGTTATACTTCTACTTGTCCAAGGGTGTTCTTGGCCGAGATGTACCCAACTTCCTTACATCTGGCGAAGTTCGCCTTTCGCTCCCTCTGGGCACCGAAGATACTGATGTTTACCGTCAACTCGTGGCCGATACTCTGACTCCAATTAGGGCGCAGTCAATTGGTCTCCTGGCCAATTGCCTCCACAGATTTTACCAGACGAAAATTATCACCATTCGACCCTGGTTCGACGAAAACTCAGAAGAGAGGCAGATTAACCTTAGGGAGCTCCCATCAGTCAAGGAGACCATTCAAGCCTGGAGAGTTTCCGGTGATAAGTTCACCGAGGATGTGAAACAATTGCAGGCACCTCGGGGGTCCTTCAAGTTTGCCATTCAGAGCTTGAACCACCCTGAATTCGTAGCCAAGACATTCGCGAACAGAGAAACACCCGTATGTTGAATTCTCCGGCGAAATATTTTCTTTCTGCCTCCAGCTAACAATCCCGTACAGATCTTGTCAAAGCAAGATGATATACTGTCGAACGTGATGTGGCGATTCTTGCAGCTGCGTGGATACGTTGACGACAAGCACAATCTGACCAGCTGGGGCAAGTGCCTGGAGCAAGCTCTGTCGGCTGTGGATCCTGCTGATAACCTGGAGGATGCTATATTCATTGCGATTGAGATGCTCCGCATGAACCTTCTTAACACGAAACACTGGTTCTCACATGTCTCAGGCGGCCCAATGAGAGGCTCTGGTAAGGCTCATTCTCATTCCTTTGGGTTATGTCACCGGATTAGGCTGACTTGACTGTGCAGAGGAGGACAAGACGTTCAACATGCTGGTATCCCGTGTGGCCTGTATCGCCAAGTTGCAGCACAAGCCTATCGGATACTCTGGCCCTCTTAGCCGACAACTCCTTTGCTACCGCTCTCTGATATCCGAAGTTCGCACCGCATTGAGGAATCTCATCGAGGTCGTGCTGACGAGTCTACTACTGAGTGGTGAGGTCGATCGAGACCGGAATGACTGGGTTGAGCTAGGCATCAAGTACGTTCCTTTTCCAAGCTTCTCATATTCGCGAGGATGAATATATTCTTACCGGTTTTCCTAGGCTACCTTTCATTGACGATAATGATTGCGGTCTTGGAATCGCTGTTCGGACCTACCTGGATGATCTGCCCCTGCAGGCGAATCCCACCTCGCCCGAGGCTCGACAAGAAGTGAAGTCGAAGGGCAAGGAATGGTTCCAGCACAGCGAGAGCTTCACCGGAAATCTGGATCTGGCTTTCAAGCTGTGGGATGCGGTAAGTTCCTGTAGTTTTCTTCATGGTCGTTATAGTCGAGCTAATATCTACATCCAGGTCCACAAGGGGACACAGAACGCCGGCAAGGAGTTCAAGGAGGCGAAGCTTTGGGATGATGCTAACAAGTGGTTGGCGGAACGACGATGAGAGAGAGAAGAGAACTTTACTAGGAGAGCCACGTCGGATATCATACGCATCACTATCATGGGGATTTTCGGGCCTATCTGTATGCGAGTTGCATTTGAGTTTCATGCCTCTTTGAGAGCTCAACCTGCAGGAAGTATTGCTACATGAGAGGATGTGACGTCGACGAATTTTCTCTACTGTATTACTACTTTAGTAATAAAGGAAACGAAGCAAAAATACCTTTATGGGGAATAAAAGATCAAGTAGTTCGTATGACACTGGTAGTAAATTGTGATGTAATTGGGTTTAGTCTGGATGATCTGCGGACTGCGGGACGAACCACTCGAGGTGGCCTCTTCGGTGTTTTGTCATCAGCGCCAAAGAAACCCCCGAACCTCGCCATTCAACTTTCCCTTTTATCTCCTCCAGGAAGTTGATCATATACTCAATCGCATAAAATCAAATCCACAAAATACACATCAACATGGCTCGTCTGAGCTTCCTACTGCTCGGCGCCCTGTCCGCGCTCAGCGGCTTCGCCACTGCCAGCTCCGCCGTTATTGACCTGATCCCCAGCAACTTCGACCAGGTCGTCCTGAAGTCGGGCAAGCCCGCCCTCGTCGAGTTCTTCGCCCCCTGGTGCGGTCACTGCAAGAACCTTGCTCCCGTATATGAGGAGCTTGCTGCTGCCTTTGCTTTCGCCGACGACAAGGTCACCGTTGGCAAGGTCGATGCCGATGAACACCGTGAATTGGGCAAGCGCTTCGGCATTCAGGGCTTCCCTACCCTGAAGTGGTTCGATGGCAAGAGCGATAAGCCTGAGGAGTACCAGGGTGGTCGTGATCTGGAGAGCTTGACTAAGTGGATTTCCGACAAGACTGGTATCAAGCCCCGTGGTGCGCAGAAGGAGCCCAGCAAGATTGAGTTCCTGAACGATGCCACCTTCAAGACTGCTGTTGGTGGTGAGAAGGATGTCCTGGTTGCTTTCACTGCGCCGTGGTGTGGCCGTGAGTAGTTATCTATTCCCGTTTTCTTGTGATCTTTGAATGTTCTGGTTTACTAACTACGCGCTTTCTCTTTGGCTAGACTGCAAGACTCTCGCTCCTATCTGGGAGACCCTCGCCAATGACTTCGCCCTTGAGTCGGATATTGTGATCGCCAAGGTTGACGCCGAAGCCGAGAATGCCCGCGCCCTGGCTAAGGAGCAGGGCGTCACCGGCTACCCTACTATCAAGTTCTTCCCCAAGGGTTCCACCGAGCCCGAGGCTTACTCTGGCGCCCGCTCCGAGGAGGCCTTCGTCGAATTCCTGAACACCAAGACTGGCTCTAACCGCGCCGTTGGCGGTGGTCTGAACAACAAGGCTGGCACCGTTGCTGTGCTCGACAAGCTGGTTGCCGAGTACGTGCCCGCTAAGAACTTCGAGAAGCTCGCTGCCGAGATCAAGAAGGCTGCCAAGGATCTCAAGGACGAGTATGCCCAGTACTACGTCAAGGTTGCCGATAAGTTGGCCCAGAACCAGGAGTATGCCACCAAGGAGCTTGCTCGTCTGGTCAAGGTCCTGAGCAAGGGCGGCTCTGCCCCCGAGAAGCTCGACGACATGGTTTCCCGCAGCAACATCCTCCGTGGCTTTGCCGGCGAGACCGAGCCCAAGGATGAGCTGTAAGCTTGTTTCGTATTGAGCTGTGGAGCATGTCGGGGATTGGGATTGGAAACCCAATTTACGTCCCATGCACCTCGTGATGAATCGTTGGAAAATTATTGCAGCATTTTCGTTGTATTGTATGAATTGAGGAACGTCGAATGCAGTCGGGTGAGATTCTTTTTGCTAGGAGACCTAGGCATTCTGTATACGAGAATAGATTCATTGCTTGAAGATATGCATTTGTTCTGAAAGTTTTGTCGTCTTGAGACGGAGGGTATCTTTGTAAAAACATCAAAAGAAAGCTGAAGCTGTAAGGGTCGTGGGCAGGTGAAAGATACGAGTAGCATGACCAGCAACACTGTATGCATGCGGAGTAACGCTCATTCGTCGCCTACAACTGTGTAATGCGAGTGTACAATAAACAAGCCGGCCATTATTGAGTGGGAGTTGCGGATGCCGATTCGGTTCCCGATGCTGTCAATGAGGCTTCTAGTTCGTCTAGGCGGCGGGTCATGTCGTCCACTGGGAGGCGGTTAGTCTGGTATAAGGTAGCGGGGGATGTAAGGTGATTGGTGCAGCGAGGAGTAGCAGGGATGAAACGAACATTTGCCAAACATTTCTTTCGACACATTGTCAAATTTGCTCTGGAGTTGGTCGAGGAGCTCGTCGACTGCCGCGGTGAGTTGGCCTTGGGCATCGGAGTTCTTGAATTGGTCAGTCGGGGCTCTGTTTTGAGAGTTGGTATGCGCGGGAAGTATACCGGTTGTGAGAGAAAAGACTCCTCCGCGGTGGTCTTCTCAGGAGAGGCTTCCTCGGCCATGGTGTATAGCCAACAACAACAGGAGTTGTGTATTGATCTCAATGTCGAACAGGATGCGGGACTAAGCAACCATGGAGCGGCACCTTCGATAAGACCGGATCAACAGATTATTCCGGTACCGACATCCGCTAACCCCGATTAGTGCCTTATCGCCACGCTAACCCGATTAGGACTGATCCGAGTTCAAAAAAATCCCGTAGCATCAACCCCAGCTGGTTTCCTCACCGTTGTTACCAACCCCCAATTTCCCCTCAGAACAGGCACCATGGTCAAGCGAAGCAAGCTCCTTCAGACGCTCGATGCCCACCGGGGCCGGGACTACAATGCCGAGAAGCAGAAGAAGATGGTGAAGGCCGCTGAGAAGCGCAAGGCCGCTAAGAAGACCGATACCAGCACAGAAGTCAGCAAGGAGCCCGAAGAGAAGGAAATTGCTGATTCTGAGGAGAATAAGGAAGACGAGAAGGTTCAACAAGAGGACGAGGTTGAAGATGTCGAGGAAGACGAAGAAGAAGATGAGGCCGAGAACGATGAGGACGACGACGATGAAGAGGAAGAAGAGGAAGATATCCCACTATCAGACCTGGAGGACGACGAGCGCGAGGATGTAATTGTCCACCAGCGTCTCACCATCAACAACTCCGCCGCCATCAAGACCTCCCTCAAGCGCATCTCCTTCATCACCAAGAACACCCCATTCTCCGAGCACAACTCGTTAGTGTCTCAAGAGCCGATTGAAGTGACCGACCCCAATGACGATCTCAACCGTGAATTGGCCTTCTACAAGGTCTGCCAGGCTGCTGCTATCGAGGCCCGCGGCCTGCTCAAGAAGGAGGGTATTCCCTTCACCCGCCCTGGTGACTACTTCGCCGAGATGGTCAAGAACGACGAGCACATGGACAAGATTAAGAAGAAGCTGTACGAGGAGGCAGCCGGCAAGAAGGCTGCTGCCGAGGCCCGTCGCCAGCGTGATCTCAAGAAGTTCGGCAAGCAGGTGCAGGTCGCCAAGTTGCAGCAGCGTGCGAAGGAGAAGCGTGATACCCTTGAGAAGATCACTGCCCTGAAGAAGAGTACGTTTTGCCCCAAATTACCTGAACTATGAAGCAATAACTAATGATTTCCTTTTTTTGCTGCACAGAGCGCAAGGCTGACTCCTCTGCTCCCACTGACGATGCCAACGACCTCTTCGACGTCGCCATCGAGGAATCCGGCAAGCCTGAGCGACGCAACCGCGAGGGTGGCCCCAACGCCAAGCGCCAGAAGCGCGACCAGAAGTTCGGCTTCGGTGGAAAGAAGCGCTTTTCCAAGAGCGGCGATGCCACCTCCACCGGTGACCTGCGTGGTTTCTCTCAAAAGAAGATGAAGGCTGGCGCGTCCAAGCGGCCCGGCAAGAGCAAGCGGGCTGCCGCCAAGGGTCGCTCTTAAGCTGCCCTTTTTTGAATAGGATGTGAGTGACTTGGGATTGGGATGGCTGTGCAAGTTATGTCATTTGGAAGAGGGAGGATGATGATGGCGCCAGGCGCAACAAAAATCGGTGGATATCCGCCTTGGCTTTCTGTAATATCTAGATTTTTACCCTGCATCTGCACATGGTCAATTGTATTACCCTTTTACGGTTTTATGTCTGACGGGCGAGTATTGAGATTAAAGAACTGGTATCGTTAGTAGAATAGGACGATCTCTCGTGCAAACCGAATGCTTAGGGGGGGTACTTAGGTTGGAATATGGGAGTTTGTTTTTCAATATACATGAATGCCTACCTGCACTATGCAGAACTTTGTTGTACATGATTTACTCGCTTGCCTTGCTTAACGACATCACACCTTTTTATTGCTGAACCTTTGCGTTCTCCGCCTCTGCCTCAGCAGCTCTCTTGTTCTCCCAGTTTTCAAGGAACTTCTGAACCTTGGGCCCCCAGACCTCCTCGCCTTGCTCCAAGTCCTTGTATTCTAGGACATTCTCCGGCTGCAAATCGAATTCAGCCTGGCGACTTCGAACAAGCTCACTCATGAGACCACAGCTACCGACGGCCTTGCCCAGGTCGTGTGCCAAAGAGCGAACATAGAAGCCCGAGGTAACGGTCATGTGGATTTTGACTGCCGCGGGCTGGGGACGAGGCTGATCCTGGTCCGTTTGCTCGGAGGGGGCCTCTGCAGTAGCGGGTTCCGGTGCAACAGCTTCAGGTGCGGCCGCTTGGGCGGTACCGTCCTCTGAGAGCTTTTGCTTTTTTGCGGCTTCCGCCTCTTCTTCCTTGGGCGAGTCTGCTGCAGGCGGCGTCTTTCGCTTCGCGGAAGATGCTTCTTGGTCTGCACCTTCACTTTCCACAGGCGCCTCAGCCTCCTTGTCGAGGAGCTTCTCCGCGATGATTTTCTCATCTCCAGTCATCTCTTCCTCGGGCCACTTGTACTCGTGTGTGCCAGGCTCATACCACTCCACAATCTTCAATTCCACAGTCTCAACAGGCCGAGACTTGATCTCGACGGGTGGCATCTTGCCCTCACGCGCATACTCGTATAGCCTCTTTCCCTCAATGCGCAGTGCCGAAAAGATAGGTGGACGCTGCATGATCTTTCCACGGAATTGATCCAGGGCCTTCTCAACTGCTTCCCGAGTGATATGCTCGTATGGCGCCCGGCGCACGATCTTGCCCAAGCGGTCATATGTGTCTGTCTCCGCGCCGAAGAGAACAACTGTCTCGTAGGACTTGGTACATGTCAGGAAGCTATTCAGCGACTTGGTGCCCTTTCCGACGCCGGCGATCAGCACACCCGTTGCGAGGGGGTCGAGTGTGCCACCATGTCCAATCTTCACCTCGACTTTCTTGTTCTTGTTGCGTCGGCGGTTTTTCTGGTAGCTGCTCTCTTTCTTGCGGAAATCTTTCTCGGCCTCGATCCATGGCTTGAAAAGCTTGGAAGGGTTGAAGTGGCGCTGTAGGTCGCGGAGGACGTCGGCGGAGGTAATGCCTTGCGGCTTGTGAACGGCTAACCAAGTCAGATGTCAATTGGAGAAGAACACAATTTCGGATGAAACTTGGGACCTACCGAAACAGCCCTCGAAGATCTTCTCTCCCGACATGGTGGTGCGAAACAAGCGAAAGTTTCGTGGGAATGGCATCTGTCGGTGTTGCCAGGAAAAAGGTTCGGAGCTGAGAGCTGCAAGTAATTAATCGCGCGGTATCGATGGTATCGAGGCTACGAGGCTAATCGATAACCGATAAGGTATCGCCGGGTATCGGTAAGTTACCGGCCATCAATGGACCTTCACTGTTGACGTCGCGAGATTCCAACCTGCTTTCACCTTTGTACTTGTTCTCCCTCCAGGAGACCTCGAAATCGCATTCGCCTACCTCTTCCAACTCACTTGAACTAATCATGATCCCCCCGAAGCCATCGCAATCATGAGCGCCCGCGAAGATACCGTCCTCCGTCCCATCGATCCCTCCATCACCGACGAGAATGAATGGCCGGATTTCGATCTGGTCGACGTGAAGGTCCTGCGGCCGGGGAAGATGCTCTATGCCAATCTCCTGGATGCCACAGAACGAAATCCGGTCCAGGTGATTGGCTGCTTGGAGCTCAGAGAGGACCAGAACCATCTACGTGCGTATTCGATTACACGCTTATGCTTATCGCAAGGCGCGTCCTATCAGCTCGAGGTGAACGTGTTGCTCACATTTGCGGTGTTTCTCGTCTAGTTATCGACCCCGAATCTGCTTCCAAACGTGTCATTATCGACGATGTGACTCATTACGCTTATGGCCAGACCGAGGATCGTAGTGTCGAACTCTGGGTGGCCGGCAAGGCTGGCTGGTACAATATCTCGCCTGCCAAGGGCTACGTGCCGACCTTTAGCCGCATGGTCCAGGCGGTCGATATGCTGTATTTCCTCACAGATCGACACCACCATGGCAACAAGCAGCTCAATCCGTCTTTCAAGAATCTATGTGAGCAGGTGAGTTCCTATACGACTCCCACCACTCGGCGCGATTTGTTCCGACGACTAACTCCTGCTAGTATGTCTTTCACACACACGGCAGCTGTGAGACTCGAGAGCAATCCGCAGATGTCTTTGCGCAACATGCGCCATTCTTACTTCGCTGCATGGTCGAGGCCGACGAGGAGGATGACAGTGTGGACTGGAAGAAGACTAATGTATTCGTTCACCTCCGTCGCCAATTTACCGTGAGTCATTTGCATTTCCGGATCGCGTTCCACTTGACTTGCTGACACCCCTTTCTATGTAGGATGTCTATAACGAGCTCACGGAAGAGCGATCGAACAAGTCCGAGGACGAAGGAGAGCAGAATGAGACGGGAGTATCAACACCTCGCCATGATCCTGCGGCAATCGCGAAATCACAAATCGATGCTATCTACCAAATGATCACGGACCTGAGGGAGGAGGGCCATCTAGCAAAGCGCAAACTACATCTCGATCTATTGACGGAAAGTCTAGCTGATCGATATTCTTTCAGCCGGGAGAATGCGGGAAAAATTATTGCAGCCAGAGCAGGCGCAGTTGTCGAGCGGTTAGATGAAGAGGATACTCCTGGCTTCCGGTGGTCGCGCTACGTGATTCATCGAGAGCTCGCACACGCTGCCACTCTAGACAGTACACTCTCTCCCGGACTCCTTACACCACTACAACCAATCGAAGACTCCAGCGATGATGAAAACCTGGGCCACACACAAAAATCGGTCCTTCGTCCCAAGATGAACTCTGTTGTCTCTGGGAAGGTGATGGGCAAACGACATCGTAATGCAGTCGTCAACAAGGACGTTGACAAGTCGGATGCCAGTGAACCTGAGGAAGAAGACGAAGCTATGGAAGACATGGAAGACGTCGATACCCCGAGCAAAAGTCGCGGTCATGAGCTGATAAGGACACCTCTTGCCACCGCAAAGTCTCGAGGTCGCTCTCTTCTCCCCAGTTCTGGGTCTGCTGCATCCTCACTGCTGAAGAGCGTACTCTCGTCCGAACCTCCCCAGACTCCATCTTTGCTTACCAATGCCCACGGAGATACCCTCACATCCCACCCTCTCGCCGAATTGAACAAAATCTCAAATATATGGTCATGCCGTATGCCCGGATGTTCCAAGACCATCTCGACCAAGGGCGACCAGCGCAAGGAAGAGATCGAGGCACATGCCACAGAACATGACTGGGAGGCACAGATGCGCATCGAGATCGTCGAAGCCGAGCGACGCATGCATACGACAATGCCTGTCAGCAATCTCATGCAATACCTCCTCAACCAGCACATTGCGCAGATGCGCTCTGCGTTTCCCGAAAAATATCCGGCAAATACGGAGAATGGGGGGTCAAACGGGGCCACGGAACATGCAGAAACAACCCAGAATGGAGATCCAGAGACATTACCCAATGGTCAGGACTCTTGAGAATCAGGACCATGGCGTACATGGTCACACTACCTGAGATGATGATCTTGACTTGCCTTCAAGATCATGATGCATCGACTTCGAAACGACGTCACACGAACATACTGCCAAAAGGCTAGCTTGATAAGCTGATTTTGATGTTGGAATCTGTATGTATCTCCTTCACTTCTTCGAAGAGCATTTTCAACTGACCCGATGCAATCCCAGATTTCCAGCCCTTGTACTTTATGCTGAAAAGATCCCTTGGCCTCTAGGCTTCATGATTGAGTTTGTTCCTACCTGCATTGTAGCGAGTAGAATTCCATGCATCGCCTCCCCTCATGTAATCATTGGGCATCTGCCGATCTTCCATTGTGGGTATAAATCATTCAAGAAGAGCGTCAGACAAATTAGACAATTAACATTTTACATACCAATAAGTACTGCATCTGTGAAATCAAACATTAGATATGTGCCCTCCTCCATACACGAAAATCAAAATGCATCTCCAGCCCTAAAAATCAATATCCAAAATCCCCATCCACTCACACCGTTCCGTCAATCCGGGCACCGGATTACCCGTACAAATCCAAGTGGGATTGGTCGCATAAGCGCTAATCACTTCGTATCCTCGCTGTGTCTCATTTACACGCTGAATGACTAGAACAAAGTTCTCGATATTGCCGATCCCATAGCGGAAGCCGAATTCGTAGTTATTGTTGAGGCATTTATTCGTTGCGAGGCTGGGTTGGATGTCGCTTGTTGTGCTCCTGAATTTGGGTTAGTCTTGATACCAACCAATGCCAGCTGAACTGATTATAGCATTGGAAGACTATAAGGTGGATATTCCATGTTTGGAAAGACAGTGACTCAAAAATGAGCTGTTATGGATGAAGAGAAATAAGATTGTGGTGAAAGATGGAATGGAATCGACAACATACCATGAAAGAAAACATTCATCAGAAAGACCGGTCACGGTACTATGAAGTGCAAATTGCAACGCACCCGTTCCATCATCTGCATGCTGGACATAAAAGTTTCGAAGGTGTAGAGACTCGGCACGTTTGACCGGACTAGCGAGGGCGATGCTGCTCAGAGTAAAAATTGATGAAAGAAGATTGGCGACTTTCATTATGGGAATATGATGGTAATGGTAAAACCAAGAATTTGGCAACCAGAGAGATTGATCAATGGCTGTTGGAAGAGTTTATAAGTCCGAAAGAGGACTCAATATCAGGTAGGCAGTTTTGGGTAGTTCCTAGCGGGAGAGTAGATGGGATGATGTAGCAATGAAGTCGGTGCCGTAGGACCGCTTTATACTTTCCCTTCCGAGACTTAGGCCAAAGAGTCCAGATATATCAGTGGCAAATGGATCACATACAGATATTCACCTCAGTCATTCCTCATGCAATCACTTGTCAGGAGCTCATCGAGTGATTTACTCACCCGGCACTCGGTGGCCTTATCGGTTCTAAGCCATGACTGCGGAGAAATCCTATATTGTAACAAGAACACTGTGATTGACAAAGTGATGTTGCAACGATATCGGGACGCTGCCTCCTCGACGCCGTGAATCAATAATAAATTCTCTACCGGTATGGCATGACCTGCACGGCACAATGCCGGTTTGCCGCGTTGTGCTGTGCCTGGTTACTGGCTACTGGTTACTGATACCTTGTTATATTTTTACTTTTAAGGTTCAGCGAAGCTTAACTTTGTAGGACAGGAGTGCGCCACTGGCAAAAGTACCCCTGAGATGGGTTTTCTGTGTACAGCACCTAGGAGGGAAGATATTTATCACTGTTGTAGAAGTCCGATGGACGGATCGTATTGGGCGTGGACGTTGCTGTAACAATTCGATACCTTGTCTGTGGATGTCTAGGAATTGGTGTACAGTTCTAAGTCGAAAGTCTCAGACAATGATATGGGATTCACGAATTCTTCTTGCGAAACCCTGTCAGGAGCTCTGTGCAGGGGAATCTCCGGAGCTTTGCGTGATTTTCTAGTCCACGGATAGCGTCGCACAAGTAGCGGCTTAGGGTATCAAGAAACCCTCTTGGTGTCCCAGACGTTGTAAGAGGCGCTGCGCCTAACCCATGCCATATCGAAGAAGATGTGACCTGACTTATAGAGATCGCGCAAAAGGTGATACCCATCACACGAATAGCTTTACATTTCAAGATTAGAAATAGAAGAGTACGATGCAATGCAGAGTTTGTATGCCATACCATGCAGCTATGGAGAACAGATCAGGAGAAAAAGGAGGTGGTAACACAAACTCCGCGCCAGTCACGGCGGATGCAAGACGTTGCAACGAACAGGAGGATTGCGTGGTCTTCACATGTACACGGGAGATAGAAAGCTGGTTTTGACCATCCATGAAGGACGGACCCTAGCTTTGAAACACGAGAGGGATTGAAGAGAGAGAAAAGGAAAAAGAAAAAAGTCGAAAGAGGCTTTTTGACTTGGAAAGGGGGGTATACCACGAAACATGCCACATATATCACTCGCACATACAGAGAGAGATGGGAGATCAGAGATACAAAAAGGGAATAACAGGAAATTAGAAGAAATGACGATGGTGAGAAGAAATAGGAAATGATATGTGGGATGCAGATAGACACAAGGGCCGGCCGGCCAGAGTGAAATGAAATCGAGATTCAGGGAAACGGAGGCATTGTGCGTAAGGACGACGACGATGGTGCGATGATAAATGTGGCTCAAATCTATGAGGCGAAAAAAGAAATGTGAAGAGATGCAGTAAGCTGAGGAAGCCGGTCCTGGGAAGCCGCCAGTGGGTGAAATCATTGCCGATGGGTGTTGTGAGCGTCGACAAGAGCTGTTGTGTATTTGTTAGCATTAATTCAACCGTCGTACAATAAACACGGTATTCAACCGGAAGAGATAACTTACTCTGCAGAGTCCAGGATTGTCCCTGTCGTGACTCACACGCGCACTGCAGTGTGCTACCATCTAGGAAGTCTAGCAGAATGCTGTTGGGCAACTCCTGCATATCCTCATCAGGGAGACAAGGCGTCCGGAACTCGCTCAGGTGATAGCGCTTGATCATGTTGCGAGCACTGGCATCATTGGTGCCGGGGGTGAGAACCACGTAGCCATCCCCATCGATTCGCATGAATCGGCGCTTCCAGAGGAGGGTCTCAGGGAACTGAACGTTGACTTCGCCAATCTCGACAGGCTCAGAGAGGGTCTGACGGGACGAGGAGTTCGAGATAGCCGAGTTACCCAGAGGAGAGACTGCAGACTCTTCCTTTACAGGTGGGCTCAAAGCTCCGATAATACTGCGGCGGGAAGTTGAGGTCATCGACGACATACGGCGCATCAACCGGGAGGCGCGGGAGCCCTTCTTCTCATCTGTGGGTGATGCGGATTGGAGATTTTCATCGGCCTTGGAACGCGAGGACAATGACAGACGGCTTGCAGGGCGAGAAACTGGCGTGACTTGGCGGCTGGACCCAGCAGATGACATGGACATGGTGCGGTCCTCTACGACGGGGGCGGGAGACTCGACAGTCTGGTTGGTAGACACCACCTCGTCGTTTGTCTCATGCTGTTCCACAGTGAGAGGGCTAGCCTGGAGGTTGAGGACATCCGACTCTGACGGTTCAACACCAGAGGAACCAGGGGACACACTAGTGTCACGGACGATGCGAGCCGTCACCGAGATCGAATTTGTACGACGGTTGGAAGAAACGGGGCGAGCGTCATGATGGTTCACGCTGGGAGCGCGAGAGAAGTCTGGAATAGTACCGCTAGGGAATGATACAGACGCACGCTTGCGCAGCTCCTCAAACGAGGAAGAGGCGGACGGCCCGTTGAGGGGAGTCGGACCGGAAGGAGTGCCTTCACGGCTGGAGAACTTCTCCAAGGCCTTGATGCGGCTCGAGATGCCAGAAGACACGTTGATCTTCTTGGCCATGAGTACTGGAGTCGAAGATCCATTGTCGACGTGTGAGCTGGAGACAGATCGCCCCACCGCCAAAGCTTGCATGGCGGATGGAGAAGTGAGGTAAGGGCTGGAGACAGCCCGGGAACCCTTCCAAGACTGATCGCCGCCGTTGGGAGACTTGACCGAAACCGGTCTGGCCTCCTGCACGGTGGCCGACCTTAATTCCTCCATGAAAGAATCATCCGAGAGGAGACAGTCGTCGTCGGAAAATTCCTGCGTCGGTACTTGAATCGGCTCCAAGTGTTTTCTTCGCCTTTGGTCCAAGGGAGGAAGAGGAGGTGCAACAGCCGCGATGTGTTGCTCCTCGGGGGTCGTCTCGTCTTGAGGGACAGGCTCAATAGAGACCAACACAGGCGCGACCGGAGGCTCGACTACGGGGCTTGGGGGAGACTCCACGGGCGGAAGGATGGGGATGGTGAGGGTTTCGGGGAAGTCTGCGGGGGCTGCCTCTTCAGTGGCGGTTTCCTTGATTTGTTCGTCAACGACTGGCGCGACCTCAGGTAGTTGCACAGGAGAAGCGTTTTCCAGTTCTAGCGTCGCGTCGGCTGCCTCCTCGGTGAGTGGGACTTCGACGTTGGCGCTAGGTGGGACTAGGTCGTCCTTAGTCTCAATTAGGTCAGAAATTGCGGAGTCTGTGGGCTCCTCGTGTGTTTCAACTTCAGAACCCTCGATTTCGATGAAAGTCTGCGGTGTTTCGGACTTGGCAGTTTCCAGAGGTGTCTCGGCGCGGTCAGTAGAAAATGTCGTGTCCGCGCTGGGGTCCGAATTATGAGAAGATGGGCATTCGGAATCGGAGACCGCTGCATCGGCGATCAATTCCGGGTCATCCTTTGACGTTTCAGGAGAGACCTGCTCGTCTTCAAGCACGATCGTTGCCTGATCCTGAAGCGAGTCAGGCACTGGTGCCTCAGGGCAGGCTGAAGACTGGTCTTCTTCGGGTCCAGATGGAGCCAGGTCTTGAGGCTGCTCAGGTACCTCGGATGGCTCGGGCACCGGCATCTGCGGTTCTGCAAGGTTCCCATGAACTTGAATTTCTTGCGGCTTCTCTGATTCGAGCTTGGTTTCAAGCTCAGATACTGTTTTAGCCTCAATTTTGGGGCTCGCAGCTAGCTGGGGCGCCAGATTAATATTCTCCTTATTTTCTTCCTCGTTCTGAACAGGCTCCTTTGTTTTTGTCTCCTTTGCTTCTTCTTCTTCTTCTACATCAGCCATTGCCTGCTTCTTCTTCGTTTGTTCCGCCCGCTTAGCCATTTGTTTTTTCCGCTGGTGCAACGCTTTCATCAAGCGCTCTTTCTCTGGAGTCAGGCCGGACGAGGTTGACAGGGCACCCAAGGATTTGGCACCGGGAGAGAGAGGCGGTCTCGAAATGGGAATCGACGGAGGAGGGACCAGCAAGGGTGGAATTGGAGGTGCTCGACTGTTCGGTTTGGTTGCAAAGGAGCTTCCTTGAGATCGAGGACGGGGGACTTCGTTGATGCTCGGGGGTTTGCGCACGGAGGATGGACGCATGCCGGCGGGCATGGAGGCAACGGGTCGTTGGTCAGGGTTTCGCGAGCTTCCTGAGGTGCGAGGCCGTCCACTTTGGTCGAGTGAGGGACGTGGACCTAGCTTGACTTTGGGTGTATACCCAGCCGCTCGCTCCAGATCGCGTAACGAGGGTCGCGCAGACTGAGTCGACATTCGAATTTCCTCTGACGGGCGAGGAAACTCGTCGAGAATATTCCGGTACCGGGAATGCTCCGATGTCACAGATTCGGGGGATCGAGGGGAAGTTGGAGACATGTTGCTTGAGTGCGATTCGCTCGGACTACCGCGCGAGAGAGGGGAACGGGAACTTGCTCGCGATGGAGGAGGTCGAAGTTCGGGCGAGGACATCTCGACTTCGGGGGAGGTTGTCGAGGGGGGTGGTACAATAGTAGCCTCCGACTTCTGGCTATCAGATCGTTGTCTTGTCTCTACCATGGGAGGAGATTGTGGTTGCGACTGCGATTGCAATTCGGGTTGATCCTTTGACTCTTCTTTTGCGCCATTTTCCTCCGCATCTTCGGTGATCTCCATCAATCGACGGCGCCGGAGTGAGCTCGAGGAAGACGTGATTGATCCCGAGGCCGTGTGGAGAAGGCAGGCAGATGACAGGGCGCTCTCGTTCAAGTCGGAAGCCTGAGCCAAAGGAAGTACCGTATCGTGCGGGTTGAATTTGTCGAGGACGGACTGAAACTGGACGTTACTTCGGGCTAGAAAGAAAGGGTCCCCGGGTTAGTGATTTGATTCCTCGATCCTAGCATCTTGTCGCACACCAGTCGGGGCCGTACCTAGTATGAGTCGTGACAGGCCCTCGGGCATGAACCGCAGGATGACTTTCCTCCTGCGATAATGCAAGAAGCCATAGAGCGGCGAGGTCTCGTTGTAGTTGTCGATGGCATTGCGCACCTCGGGCACCCCGCCGGTGCCTCGGTCGAGGAGGGCGACCTCATCCCGTGCGGTGTAGTGTAATAGAAACCTAGATAGAATCGAATAAGTACAATGGTCAGATTTACAATGGACTCATTGATAGTGGGCTAATTTGCGGAGGCGCGCAAAAGGGGGAGGGAAGACGGAGTCGCGAGCATTCCACGATTAAACTTACCAACCGCCCGCGTCGGCCAGGGCATTCTGGTAGGCTTCGACGACCGTGGGAGTATCTAGCCCATTGAGAGACATGGCTCGCACGGCATGAGGAGCGTGCCGGAGAGGCTTTGAGAGACCAGTCGCGGTCTGTGAATCTGGAGGAGTTGAATCCGAGGGAGGAGGGGAGAAAGGAAAGAAGGGGGGAGAGAAGAGGAGAGAGAGTCTGGACTTTGGACGGTCCAAACTGGGGCAACCTCCACCTTACGTGCACTGTCCGACTGTTGCACCGAACAATAGTCAACTGGAGTGTACGGAGTAGTGATTCACTAGTTAGTTAGTTATTCCCTGCTATGTTCTTCGTACTCCGTAGAATATTAGGAACGGGCAAGAAAGTTGGGGCCACGGATGAGATCTCAAAATCGTAAATGGGGGACCCTCCCCAATCAGGATGAGGATGGAACGATTGACAGACGTCAATACCACCAACCGATAGGCCGAGAAGGGGGTCAACCTTGAGCCCACGGAGACACGACGATGGGCATTGGGCACTGGCGAACCTCTCGTTCGTTACGAAGACTATTCTTCCCGTTGTTCGGGCTGGTTCAGGGGCATACCCGCTCCCAATTCGCTGATCGACTCCACTCGCGGCTATCCTCATTTCAGTGGAGGTTCTGAAACGCCCGCTCGGAGTCAATGCTCGTTATAGCTAGCCCCTCGTGCTTGTTCCGGGGGCAGAGGCCATTGGAACCAGTGGGTTATTGGATCATTGGGCTCTTGGATAGTTGGATCATCAAGATATTGGCCCATTGGGCACATACCATGCTGTCGCACATTGTTAGCACCAACGAGGAACAGATCGCATTGGCAGGGGTTCTCGGACACAAAGTACGAGGTCACATATACTCAATTGCCAAGCATTGCGAGAGAAAAGAAAAACGGCGAAGAATGCGAACATCTCGTTCTCATCCCCCTTTGTTTACACGTCAACTTGCCAATTGCCCGATGCATCGAATTGTTCCAGGTTGATCAGTCCAATCGGACCGGTCGGGCCCTGCGGAAGGACACCCGAAGTATACAAACGACTCTCTGCAAGGCAACCAGAAGAACTGGTACTTACATATGTACTGTACCTTGTAGTCCTCGAGGGAGAAGATGGCTCACATTCACAACCCTCCTCCAATAGGAAAACAAATCATAAGGTCCAAAACTCTGTTCCCTTCCAAGGTGTTCTCGAAGCATTTAAAGTACCCAGCCCAGTCCCTAATGGAATCGGGCTCAGACCACCTCGTAGGGAAGCGATCGGCTTTTCAACTCAACCGACTTTTGTAAGACATTGACCAAGGCATTATCTTCATGTTATTCTTTTGACTCATTTCTTCACACAATGAAGAGTTTATCTTGCTGTTCTCTCGGGAGTTGAAAGACTTACAAATTCGAATTGAGGTAGGTTCTAGGTAGCCATGATTAGTTGTGATGACTCTAAAGCAATATTACCAGCGACTGATGTGATCCTTAAGAAGAAATGTATGTGTCTATGTCTTATAAAAAGAGTAAAGCAGTCACGGCTTTCTTCTTGCTCAATGATTCCCCAAAGCTCGCACAGGATGATGGATCTTGAATAGATATGGTTTTGGTCATCAACATATGACATGCTCTTTAGGCGACGCTAACAGTGGCAGTATAGTCCGCTCCAGCGGAATAATTATTCCTTACATGATCTGCTAACATTTGAGTGAATTTCTCAGTAATGTCCTTGGTCACGAGGACAAGATCTAAAGACATGCAGATCTGGCCGAAGCTCATCGAAAGCCTAGCAACTTTAAATTGATGTAATTTCTCCCCGGGACCCGCTGTCTTTTAATTTCTCCTCTATAATCCTGAAGCCAAGGACTCCTTCAAAGTGATCGACTATCGCTGACACATTGTAGGCTTTATGCATGCATCGTAAAGCTGGGTATAAAGAAGTATAAAGGGATTTGCGGGGTGCATCTCAAGTTCTACGGGACTCCCGCTGGATCCCGCCCGAACAACGACTCACTCGGCGACCCCCGATGGTGGGACACCACCAAGACAATCTACTTAATACCAACCCGATCCCCATCAATTCAAACTCAGAATTGATAAAATCATCCTCGACCATCTGACCCGCGATTCTCGATCCTATCACCAAAAGGTCCCCACCACTCACAATCATGGCCGATCTCCCCGCACTTTCATCGCTGCCCTCCCAGTCGCCAGAGACTCAGCTGCGCGTACTAGACACTCTCTTCGAGCCCTCGCCCGAGATCCACCAATTGATGCTTCCTCTACTGGCAAACCAGACCTTCAACTCCTATACTTCTCTCATCGACGCCGTGGGAGCTCGTTTTTTTGCGCTGGCTGCGCAAACCTCCCCCGCCGACCGAAAGGTGCTGTTCGGCATCTTGGGCTCACACCCGCGACTCGGTCGGGCCCCCGCCAACCCCGAACATCTTAGTGAATTGAGCAAGAAGGAGCAGGCGCAATTGAACACGGGTGCTGAGGAGCAGGCGGAGAAGTTGTTGGCGCTGAATGTGGAGTATGAGGAGAAGTTCCCCGGACTGCGATTTGTGTAGGTTCTCTCCAGATGATACAACCTGTGCTAGCTTAGCTAGTTTATCTCCGATAGTCAATGCTGATCCTATCTGGGCTACAGGACTTTTGTCAATGGGCGCAGCCGGGATGTGATTATGGTGGAAATGCGCCAGCGCATTGACCGGGCGGACCAGGAGAAGGAGATTACAGAGGCTATCCAGGTATGTGCAGATGCAGATGCAGACTGTCAGATTGATGGTCACTAACTCGGAGATTAGGCCATGTGTGACATTGCCAAGGATCGTGCACGAAAGCTGCAGGCGCGCATTTAAAGAAAGATGCTGCTGAAACAACCATAAAACCCCAACAATTGTTGCCGGAGGACAGATGGATGGAAATCTATGATGATCCTCTATACAAACTATACACTATACGAGCATACATGAATCTGAATGTGATGATGAAACCTATGTATCTATAAATGATCAATTTTTTGGAACTTTTCAACTTTGATTTCTCGAAATTCTAGAACATTTCAACATGCCAACCCCACTAGGGTCTTAGCGACGCTTGTCGGCGATAAGCAGAGAGACACGAGAGCTCAGGGTCCAGTAAGATCAGTAGTCAAGCCAGTTGATCCAGTCGTCTCGAGAGTCTCCACTCTACAAGAGTCTCGGAGCATTTGATGTCATCCATCGTTCTCCGGCCGTTGCCGCTCTAGCCTATCAGTTCGTGACTTTTTAATTTCGCCTCTTTCGCTTCCAACAATTCTTCGCGCTTCTAGTCAGATGTCGCACCCCTTTCTTCTTTTAATTATGGCCCAATTCCTCTAACACCTGATACCAAACACATCACACACCCAACATATCGTCTCTCCATTCTCCACCCCCTCCGCCTCTTCCCCCACCACCAACAGCCACACCCCATGCGACGGGGGCGCGCGACTAAATGGAGGGGAGCGCAGCCCAGAATGGCGCATTACCGCGCAGCTCGACAATTCCCGCGATAACCGGCGAGCCCAAACCAGGACCACTCAGAGTCTCGCAAACTTTACCCATTGGTAAGTGCAAATGCGCGCATTGGAGTTTGGTCTGGTTGGCTTGGAAATTCTGGGAATTACGTTTCCTGGGGTTCCGCGAGCCTATAGCCAAGCTTACCTTGCGGCACGACGTCAAATGCAGGACGTGCAGACGCTGACGGGCGATCATCACCATCGATAGGTGCAGGGTCGGTCACGTCGGACGGCGCGTCGGGCTCGAATAACAGCCAAGATGCGCAGCGCAATACTCGTCGCCCACAGCACATTGGTGGGCCTGTGGCTAGAAACTCGACTTATACCCTGCATGAAACAAGAACTGAGAACAGCGCCATCGACCCTTTATCTCAGGTAAGCGGAAGCAGGAGGATGGAATATTCTATTGACGACCTCCGGGTCTCCCGAAAAAGGCGAACGGCCGAAGGGGCCGTCAAGGTATCAAAGAAAACACGGCTGACTCTCCTCTCTTTTTCTATTCCCTTGCTATAGCATATCATCCAGCGAACAAATACTCAAAAGTCAATTCCCCTGAAACTGCTTGGTCGGGCTTCGTACGAGGCCGAGGCCGGCAGCTCCGACTTCAACCTGTCAGAGACCAGCACTGCTCGGGGAGATGCAGCGTCAAACTCAAACCCTCCCAAAGAAAAGAAGTGAGTGTGACATCGTGAAAGCTTCAAGCCCCCAAATGCCAAAAAGCCGACCACACGCGTGATCTGCTTGACCCCCGATCCCGCATACTTCCGCCCCTCCTCGTGAACACTGCTTTCCCCCCCTTCGGGGTCCGGACAACGAGCTGCTGGGCTATGGATTCTTATATATTTGTAATGGTTGCATGATGGCTAACCTACACTTCTCTTTTTTACTTTCCCTCTAGAAAGGGTGTCTCATTTCTAAGCCGTCTTATTGGCACCAAAAAGAAAGACCAGCTCTCCGAGGCAGAAGATGAAATCTCGGAGCCAGATGCCAGCCGCATGTCCGTCGACACGTCCAATCCGATAGGATTCATTCCACGGCATCCGGCGCCTGCGAGATATCTTAGAACCCGTGTGCATTACAAGAAAGATAAGGCCTTTGACCGGGTGTTTCTAGCACAGGAATTACTAGATGGTGCACGCGCTCCGTCCCGAGTCGCCGATAGACGGAGGTCCAGCCTTGGCAATGATGATAGGACTGGAAGTGCGATTTGGGCCCTGGCCTTTTCCAAAGATGGCAAGTTTCTAGCTGCGGCTGGTCAGGATAAAAAGGTTCGAGTATGGGCGGTGATTTCGAACCCGGAGGAGCGCGGAGACGCCACGCGGGGAGGCGAGGGTACGCCGACAGATCAGCCACCGAGGTTGAATGCGCCTGTCTTTCACCCTAAGCCGGTTCGAGTTTTTGAAGGACATACGGGTAGTATTTTGGATCTGAGCTGGAGTAAAGTATGGCCGTCACAGGAGAGAGAGAAGGTTTCGTTTTTGAAACAGGCTGACCGTAATATAGAACAACTTTCTGCTTTCTTCGTCAATGGACAAGACTGTTCGATTATGGCATGCCAGTCGGACTGAATGTCTTTGCTGTTTTCAGCACACCGACTTTGTTACATCGATCCAATTCCATCCTCGCGATGATAGGTTCTTCCTCGCTGGCTCGCTCGACACAAAGCTACGGCTATGGAGTATCCCAGATAAGAACGTGGCATTCGTCACCACAGTGCCCGACATGATCACTGCGGTGTCTTTCACACCCGATGGACGGTACTCTATGGCTGGATGTCTGAATGGTTTGCTCAATATCTACGAAACCGAGGGTCTGAAAGTCTCTGGTCAGATCCACGTTCGATCTACTCGTGGTCGCAACTCAAAAAGGAATAAGATCACCGGGATCGACACCATGACAGTTCCAAATGATGATCCCAACGGCGATGTCAAATTGCTGGTCACTAGCAACGACTCCCGCATTCGCATGTACGACTTCCGTGAGCGAGCGCTGGAGGCCAAATTCCGCGGGAATGAGAATACGTGCAGCCAGATTCGTGCAACGTTCACCGATGACGGCAAGCATGTCATTTGTGGAAGTGAGGATCGCAGAGCATACGTTTGGCCCATTGGCACTGTGGAACGTGATACAGATAAACGAGCTGTGGAGGTATTCGAAACACAATCTGCCATTGTGACGGTGGCCCTCGTCGCTCCTACAAAGACCAAGCAGGCCCTGGGGCTATCTGAAGATCCGATCTACGACATCTGCAACCCACCCCCAGTAGCTCTCATGAGCACGGAAGAACCCTCAAAGCAAGAAAGCCCACCACGAGGACACGAGAGCAACCACAAGCGATCCTCCTCCGCACCCCGACTATCCATCATCAGCAAAATGGCCCACGAATCACCCTCCTACATCTCTCGCTCCAGACACGCAGACGGAAACATCATCGTCATCGCCGACTACTCCGGCAAAATCAAAGTCCTCCGACAAGACTGCGCCTACCACAAACGGCGGTATGAAAACTGGGACGCCAACTCAACAATCTCCCGACGAATCCTGCGCCGCTCCAACTCCGCCCGCAACAGTATCGCCTCTTCCACCGGCAAGGAATCCTCACACAAAACACCCTCTGAACGTATCATATCCTGGCGTAACTCCGTCGTCCGCCACGGCCGCACCAGCACAGACGGTTCTCGTTCTGGTCTCCGCACACGCTCTCCCTCCCCACAGCACCGCTCGGCTACATTCCGCCTCTCCTCATCTCGACCCTCCAGCCTAGCACCAAACGAATCCCTCTCAGTAGTAACAACATCCCCGCCACCATCCCCGCGCCCCTCCCACGACTACACACCCAAACAAAATGGCCACAAACCATCCCGCAGCGGTCCACCAGACCCACGCAAGCTCCCTTCTTCCTCAGCAGACCTCGTCGCGAGCGGCAAAACAAAAGACAACCCCCTCTGGTTACAAGGCGACCACAGCTACGCCTACTGGAACAAAATCACGCACGACGCACTAGCCATGAAATCGCGCAAATCGGAGAATCTGCTCAGTCCGAATCGGATTCCGTCCGTTGGTGGTGGCAGCGAGCGCAAGTTGAGTGTTGCGGCGAGTGTGTTGAGTAGTGATTATGGTTCTTCGGCGGGGGAGGAGGATATTATGAGGTGTGAGCATTGTCGGGGCATGAATTTTAGGGGCGTGAAGGGGAGGGATGGGAGTCAAAAGTTGATTTGTGTGCAGTGTAATCGTGCTATTGAGTGAGTTGTGAAGCGTGAGTGGTTTGTATGATTTCTGGATATCTTGGACATTTTTGAATATTTTTTTGGATATTTTTGGAGGTAGAGATTTGGATCTCTGCCAACGTTTAGTATGCACGGTTATGTTTTGATGACTTTTTGGCCTTTTTGGATATTTGCGATGGTGCTGGGGAATTGGTTCCCGCGGGTTTTGGATATTTGTCATTTTTAGTCTCGCATTTCTTTTCTTACTTGGAATCATTTTGGTCTTCATGGGTGTGGAAACGAATATGGATGGAGGGCGGGGGTGGATGGACACATAGTCTTCGAGTACCTGTTACCTGTATGATATGAGACTTTTCTTCATGATGGAATGAAGAGCGAATACATTCAAAAATATCGTTTCGTCTTGTCAATTGTCTATCATCGAATTACCTCAACAATTGCCATGTGGAAAGTGGTACTATCAGCCCATAACCTATTAAAGTCATCCTAACCCAAGCATAACAGCATGGACATGGTCGGCCACCGACGCCAAGACCTAGAAAAAGTCCGGCGCTGATAACCTAACGGACCACCTCCATTTCCACCCCCGGACTTCACCACAACCACCACTCACCCCCCAATTCCACACTTCCCTCCTGCAACACTTCCTCGGCCGGTTCACTTGAGCTTCTTCACCAGCTCGCCCAATTGAGTACACCTTCAGCCGATACTCAACTCTTAACCCCGCCCATACTCAATTCCGCACCATCGCAAAAGCGAGACCGGCTCTCGCCTACACGCAACCATGCCTTACCTTCCTACCTCTCAGGCTTTCCTGGAGCAGTCTGCTCAGCTTCTAGAGGCATACCCGGATACTGTACGTTGAAACATTCCTTACGTTCACGCCCAAAGCGACAAGTTGCAATAGCATCCGAGTCGCACTACCCTTCCAACCCCCCACTGCCCATGCCCATGCCAACATTTTCAATCTTCCACACCCCTCCTACAACCACAAACCAAGACAAAAATGAAACTAATACATTTTCCAGACCCGGATAACAACAAAATACCACTTTCCCACCGAAACCCCCGGCGCCCGCGCCAAACGCTCAAAATCACAGCTCAAAAAAGCAGCCTCCACCACATCAGAAACCACCACCACAACACAAAACACCCCCCGCCCCCGTCGCCTCTCTCACTCTCAAAACCTACAATCCCACCACAGGCATCGTCCTACAGTACCAGACGAACAAGATCGCCGAGGTAAGCCGGTTGATCACGGGGCTGGGCAAACTGGCTAGTGGTGCGGACGTGGCGAGTTTGGGGGTTTCGGGTGCTGCTGGAGGTGGTGATGTGGAGATGGTTGATGCGCCGGCGGTCGCAGAGGTTGTTCCTGTGGCTGCGCCTGCTGCGAATGCGAACGCGAATGCGGGGCAGGGTGGGAAGGGGAAGAAGAAGGGTGGGAAGGGGAAGCGATGATAGGTTTCTGTTTTTTGAAGAGGGTTGATGATTGGAGGATGGGTGGGATAGTGTGCTGTGGGTTGGATGGATTGGTTCATAGAGATTAATGACATGCATGTTACGGGATCATGGACTGGTTGCGCAATGGCGAGGGGTTTAGATGGTGGATCTAAGTCGAGTCATATTCATGGGAGATCGCTGTCAAGTCGGGTGCAGAGGCGGGTGTTTGGAAGACTGCCGAAATAGCGAGACTGGTTGGTATGGATACCCTGCGGTTGACTAAATCAGGTCTAAGCATACCCTTGACAAAGTCCGGACTACAAGGAAGAGATACACAATGAACAAGTGATTCAAACGTTAAATACACATATCCGCCATCCATCCCATATCAGACATGACCGTCAGAAGTCTAGGACAGACCAAGAAGTAAAAAACACAAGGAAAAAAAATAAACGCCTAATCCATGCGTAGCCTTCGGAGAAATCCCATCAAAAGCAAAAGAAAACAAACAGACAGAAAAGCAGCGTGATATCATGTGGAGAACAGAGTGAGGTAACCCCCACAACTTGAGGGTATAAAACAAGACAGGTGGAGTGGGTGAGGAAGGAGAGGGGAATATTAATGACAAGAGACAACGTCTAGAAGTCCTCATCGAAGCTGAGGCCGTTGTTCTTGGGGGTTTGCTCGCCCTCGGAGGAGGCAGTGGTTTCCTTCTTGGTGGAGGCCATAACACCGGCCTTCTGGTAGTCACCGACACGCTTCTCGAAGAAGTTGGTCTTGCCTGCCAGGGAGATGGACTCCATGAAGTCGAAGGGGTTGGTGGCATTATAGTACTTCTTGTTGCCGAGAGCGACCAGAAGACGGTCAGCGACGAACTCTATGTACTGGCACATCAGCTTGGAGTTCATGCCGAGAAGAGCGCAGGGCAGAGCATCAGTCAGGAACTCCTGCTCGATACCGACGGCTTCGATGATGACATCCTCAACAACCTGCTTGCTGGGGCGGTTGTTCAGGTGGGAGAAGAGCAGGCAGGCAAAGTCAGTGTGCAGACCCTCGTCACGGGAGATCAGCTCGTTGGAGAAGGTCAGACCGGGCATGAGACCACGCTTCTTGAGCCAGAAGATAGAGGCGAAGGAGCCGGAGAAGAAGATACCCTCGACGGCGGCAAAGGCAACCAGGCGCTGGGCGAAGGTGGACTCACGGTCCGAGATCCACCGCATAGCCCACTCAGCCTTGCGCTTAATGCAGGGGACTGGATATTGGTTAGCATGCAAATCTTGGGATGGAAAGTGTTCACGGGGTTATGCATACTGGTGTCAATGGCATCGAAGAGGTAGGTACGCTGCTTGGGCTCCTTGATGTAGGTATCAATGAGGAGAGAGTAGGTCTCGGAGTGGATGTTCTCCATCATGATCTGGAAACCGTAGAAGCAGCGGGCCTCGGGGACCTGAACCTCACCGCTGAAGCGCTCCAGCAGGTTCTCGTTGACAATACCGTCGGAAGCGGCGAAGAAGGCCAGAACGTGGGAGATGAAGTAACGCTCGTCATCGTTCAGGCGGTTGTGCCAGTCGTGCAGATCCTTGGACAGATCAATTTCCTCGGCGGTCCAGAAAGAGGCCTCGGCCTTCTTGTACATTTGCCAGATCTATGGGGATAAGAACAATTGTTAGCATATTGTTCACCAGACAAGTGTGTAGGTTGGCTGTGCAAAGTCGAGTCTTTACACGCCCAAATCACTTTACGCGTAGACGCGTCGGCGACGTGACTTACCTCGTGGTACTTGATGGGGAAGAGGACGAAGCGGTGGGGGTTCTCCTGGAGGAGGGGCTCATTGGCCTCAGCCTCCTTAATACTAGGAGCAACCTTGGTAACCTCGAGGGTCTTCTCGACGGGCTTGGTGGTGGTCGCGTCGACGGACTTGAAAGACGCGGGCGCGTTCTCCTTGCCGACGGACTGGAAGTCGAGCTTCTTGACGGGGGAATCGCTCATCTTGAGGTTCTCGAAGGAGGAAGCAGTCTATGAAAGCATGCAAGTTAGCTAAAACGATGCTCACGACGCGTCTACCGCGAGAGGCGACACGAGTGACATCACGTACCTGCTTCGAAGGGGTGACTTGGGTAGCCATTGGAAGATGTGTTGAAGGGAAAGTGATCACTAAACAACAACTGAATGCAACACAAGGACAGCAAGACAGGGAATGGCAAAGGCTTGAGGGGGAAGAAGAGAAAGCGCGAAAGCTGGAGTGGGAGAAGAATCGGTTAAGTACTTGGTGGACGTGAATCTTTTAGCGCGACGGGCTAAGTCACGCTGCACGTGACCACGCGCCCAGCCGCGCTTACCTCAGCCAGCCCCTCGCGTCGAAATAATTTAATAATCAAATAAATTCAAGTTGCTCTCATGCCACTGGCTTTCCACCAACATCCGACGCTAGGGCAGTCGATCCATGGCCGTGCCTGCGGTAGTCCCCTCGACCAGCATCTGTATTGTACAGTGTACATATCTGGGGTTAGATTGTTGCTGTTACTCACCTGTGATATTGCTTTGCTATGTCGGATCTTATATCCCGTTGCTCTGCACTTCCACGCTTGAAACACATCAACTATTCACCATCTTGAGCTACATCAACCACAACCAATTTCTTGTCCATTGGGGCCATTAAAAGCTAGGACCAACAACAACGCGCTCCAGAACGCGTCTGACGCCAAAAAAGAAGTTTTCAGCTCGACGTAATAAGGCTCCACTTAGTCCGACTTCAGGCAGGCTGAATCACGATCAGATAAGCCACTGGAGCTTCTCCCACGCGCTTGGCACGGCGCGACAAAAGAAGGGAAACCCGGATTTACGGATCTCATTGGCACCCTGGAGGGGCTAGGCTTGGAGTGAAACCACTCAACTAATCCAATGGGGTTATTCTGGCAAGGATAGTTTGTATCGAGGGCCAGAGCTGTCGGCCGAAGATCCCCAGCCTCCCTTCCTTTGAGTAGAAGACTGACTTTAGGGACAGCCAATGTAAAGATAAGATATAGAATGGTCTATGCCTTTTAACAGAGCAACTATGATCGTATATACGAATTGCGAGATCCCAGCTCTAGAAGGAATGAAGGAGCTTTCAACCCCATAAATTAGTATCTAGAGTGGGGCTGATTCCAAAGTGACTCGCGTCGGAGAATGTCCTGATCGCCCAGCTCGCGTGTTACGATCTGGCGCGTTGAGGCGGGGCTTTCTAGCGTCCATAATGATTAACTCCTAACACATAACTAGGAATGAGCAAGCCGGATCTTGCTTAAAAAGCAAGGTTCTAGGGTCTTAGGCTGGTCGGAGTCGCGGTTCTCCGTGTTCTATCCCTGCCCAGCGCCCAGCATCGCAATGGCGCGTCTCCACCTGCCAGGTTCGTGTCTCGGGCAACCCTGCATTGTCCATGCATTGATTGCATTCAATTGGCAAGGCTTGCTCTGAAGGAGCGTGATTGGCACATTTTCTGGTCCCTTTGACATGTCTAATTGATCCATTATCTTCAGTTTCGGGGTTAAACAATAATCGTAGGTGGATAAGTGTATCGGTTTCGGCATTCACAGTCAGATATTATCTCGCCACCAGAGCCTGTTACTTGAGGGTCTTTCGGCAGTTGAAGGGCTCTTCCAGTCTATTCAAGGTCAAATGCCTGGTTAGATACATGAAGTATATAGCATAAATGGCAAGCTTCGTGTTGGAAATTCTAACTCTAGCCTAAGAAGGCATGGATTTGAGCATTGAGCTGTATACACAGAACGACCAATTCAATCTGTCCTCTGAAATCTATCACCCAGTCTACCTGTCAAACTATGACTCTCGATGCGCCACTTATAGATGACTGTTATGCAACGCAGAATTCGGCACGAACAGGGGCATAGAGTCCTCCCAAATCGAGTTGGTAAGCACCTGCTTGTTAGACCCACCCGCATCCATAACGACAATCTGCCCATAGGGCTGAAAAGTCTGATCATACAAAGCACACTCATACTGGAAACCAAACATGCCGGAAGAATACATGATACGCCCATCATGGGTCCACACAGCATGTGCATCATTCGCCCCACTGCTGGTCAGCACCTTGATATCGGTACCATCGGGTTTCATCGTGCACACGTCGTAGTTCGTCGCGCTTGTCTTGCGAGTGAAAACGATACGACTGCCATCCGGCGAGAAGAATGGCAAGTTATCCCACTCTGTGGTCAAGACGGTGATCTTGCGGGTTTGTAGATCTAACAAGCGGAGACCAAGCTGAGATTTATCGCCTAGAGTGGAGTTGGTGCCCCATACTCGGTAGACAATCTTCTTTCCATCGTGGGAGAAGCTGGGGAAGCCAGAGTTGATGATGGAACTGTTGGCTGTGAGGGTTGATTTGCTTTCGGTCAATACCTCAGCGTACGAGCCGTTTGCTGTTGCGCGTACCAGCCAGCCACCACTCTCGGCGCGGCTTTGGAACCAAAAGCCCACTCCGAATGTGAGCCATTCTCCATCAGTAGACCAAGCGGGCTGGAACGCACCGGCTAGTCCTTGAGAAACCATTGCGGAGCTGAGGAAGCCGCTCTTTAAATCATTGTACACCACGTGCTCGTTGCTTGCGTTGGCGTTCATGGAGACGATAGATGAATTTCCAAGTTGCTTCTGGGTGATGGCGAGCATGTTCTGGTTGGAAGGCTGAGGGAAGACATCAGTGAAGCGATAATCCCAGTCAGAATCCCAGCTCCACAACTTCTTAGCCATAGGGCGAATAGTCCAGCTGGTCTTTTCATAGACGACTTGCTTGCCATCCGGCGACCAGGATGGAGATCGAATGGTTGCACTGGTTGTGTTCACATACGTACCACTCGTGGTATGGAATCCCTCTTGCGTGCCACCCTTATAGAAATAGGCAATGTTATTGTCGGACAGATACTGTGGAAAGATCTTCACGCCAGCCCCTTCCACCTCGACACGGCGGTCTTTGCCAGTCGCAAAGTCAACAGAGACCAAGGTCGAGTTTGCCGAATTGATGGACTCGGGACGATGTGAGTTCCAGGTATTCTCGCGGGTCATTTCGTAAAAGAGAATTCTCTTGCCATCGGGCGACCAGGTGGGAGAACCCAAGGACCAGTCAGCCTTTGTAGCAATTTGGCGAAAATCAAATCCATTAAGCCGGATGGCATAGATGGATAGTTCTTGGGTATGTTCCCATCCACTCAAACCCAAGAAAGTCGGATCACCATGTCCATACCAGCCCGAATTACGATCCGACGAGAATGCAAGCCATTCACCATCAGGCGACCAAGAAGGACGGAAATAACCATTCGGCAACGATGCATTGGCAGCAGTCGAAGCGGTATCTGTCAAATTCCATTTCTTGCCGCTCGCTAGCTCTTTCACCCAGATGTTTGCTTTATATCCGATGCTCGTAGACACATAGGCCACGTATTTTCCATTCGGGGACATGACCACTGAATCTTCCACGGCAGGGGTTGAGACCAATTCCTCCAGATCAGACCCATTCGTCCCAACACGGTAGATATCCGAGTTACCGTCACCGTTTCGCTCACTAGTGAAAGTAATCCATTTTCCATCGGGCGAAAAGGATGCGTGATACTCATAGACAGGGTTTGACAGAAGAGGACGCTCGTTGGATCCATCGACGTTGGCGATGTAGAGCTCAGACGTGCCGGGGGCAATGCGGTTCATATAAAAGACACCTTTCTTGCCATTCGTCGTATGTGCGTCTCGGAGTTCATGAGGATGTGGGGGATGTGGCATGGGTGTTTGTTTAGCGCCAGCGTCCATCTGCGCTGCATATGGACAAAGAGCCGTGGCTGGCTGCAGGCTCAAACCCAGCATGGCAATTGAGGCCCAGAAGGAACCCATTGTGTGATCGCTTTGAATATAGGATAACACCAGTTGAGAACGATTATGGCCGTTGGCCTGGGGTGCTCCTGGCATCTTTATAGTGAAGATTCCTACTTCTTTCAGAGAGAATTTTCCCTCTGTGAGCAACGATCATCTCCTGCTAGGGGCTAGCTGCCCCTCAGATGCAGCGCTAAATCCACTCTTGCGTCCGTCTTTGGGCCTGCAGAAGTGGAGAACCCTGTCCTGTAGAAAGTTAGCAACAGGCTGCCGTGTCAAATAATGCACGGCAATCTAATCAGATGAAGCGGATTGGAGGTTCTCACCAGCCGGCTGCATTTCAAAGTACATGCTGTTCGCATCAGGGCGCAGGTGCTGCGGCCGAAACACGTCAGGTACATATTGTCAGCCACAGTATCTCCCTTTGTGATATTTGATAGGCTGCTGGTCCATTCTGGCATTCATGAGGATCTTGAGAAGACCAGGTAACTCGAAGCCCTTGTCACTCGTGGGTCTACATCATCTCCAAACCGGACAAATCCTCATCCATAGGGCCTTGGCATTACTACTTAACCTGGTGGTATTGGCTGGATGTCCGATGCTTAGTAGAGTATTCTATCATAGGCTGTTCTTTCCGGGCTCACCCACGCTAGAAAAAGGGACTAGTCTCATAGAGACCAGCCTTTTGGATAAGCGAGGTGGACTCTACATCCGTGTCCTACCTGGACAGTAAGCGAAATCAGGTCTCATCCATGGATATTCTGTGTATCATCATAGATCATCATTATTCCCTCTATAAGCAGCAGATAAGTCCGAAACGGCGGGTCTAATGCCGAGCCCTGTAGATGATCAGATAAGACGGGCGTTTCGATGCCAAGTCGGCCCTACGAGGAATAGAGTAATGATCTGCTACTTCACCCACTCACAACAACGAATCTAGTTTATCCTTATTACCAAGGACCGAGACTCCTCGGGGACGGTACAAATCACCTTTTCAAGAGAAGACCCGGTTCATCATGGGTGTTATTGACTTTCTATACGTTACAACTTGCGTGTCTCTTCGTCATTTGGTTGAGTACGATGGCAACCTTAATGGCATGGAAAGTTTACTTTGCGGGGGTTCTCGTTCAACGCAGGGAGGTTTTCCTGCAGCCAACCAGCAGGCTGTTTTGACGATGACGCTGGGCCATTCTGAGCCTACGTACTGTGGTATTAGGAGAATACATGCAGTCTAAGCAGGGACTTAGGGTCGCTCCTTAGTGGTAGCTTTGATTTTGACGACGAAAAAGTGGAAGAAGATTAGAAACAGGCAGCAATAACAGCAGTCATATTCAGTTGCGCTAAAAATATCAGCATCAATCACGTAAAGCATCATCCAAGTAACGACGCGCAATCTTAGGATCTCAAGGGCTTATACATCAGGTAAAAAAACATTATTAGAAAGTATTCCAAATGCCAGTCCAGTCCACAGCAGCGATAAGTCCACCTTGATCTTCCTCAAGACGAACTCAGCTTCGACACCAAGAACTGTGCGGCATCGCCAGTGTTTGCAACATAAGTGAAATGCGCAGCAGTGACAATCAAAGTACCATCGCAAACCAAGTCTCCCACAGCACAGTAGATCTTGACCTTATCTTTAGGGAAATTGGCGATCTGGCCATGCTCCTGGGCGTTACGGGTGTAACCGAATAGGACAACTCCCTTGATCTTCTCCTTGACATTATCGGGCAGCCTTGAGATGGAGTCATCCATGACAGCAGTGCCTTGACTATAACCACCGGCAACAATTTGAGTATCTGGGCATTTGCGGACAGCTTCTTCGAAAAGACCAACTGCTTCGTTGATGGCAGCTGGGGAGGTGTTTCCGGGCAGAGCATTCGAAGCCAGGTCAGCTGTGTAGGCGGGTCCGACACCCTGGCAGGCAACTTGGCCGGCCTTGGCAGCCTTTAGGTCATTGCAGACAGCAGGGCCGGTAGAAATGCCCTTGTAGGATAGTTAGTATGTTGTTAAAGGGTGTTGAAGGATTGAGGAAACGCACCAGCAGACCTGGCTCGGTCGAAGCGCGCGCGAAGATGAAAGTGATAGGCTTGCAAGAGCCCGTACGGAGCTCATTTCCACTAGATACTGTATGTAATGGTTAGATATCTGGTGTGAAATCCTTGAGGTGTTTTACTGGGGATTTTGATTAGATGAGACATACACTGGCGTTCCTGAATGTCCACCGGGCTGGCAGCCACGAGGCCCGCAAGCACAAGGGTCAGAAGGCGAAGATTCATTTTGAAAATATGTATGATTAGAGATAAAGATTGAAGTCTCGAGTGTATCTTTTCCCGCTTTGTTGGCAAGTGAAACTGACTCGAATGCGTCCCAGCTCTAGCCTTATATATCTTTGGAGATATTTATAAAAGCCAATGGGGTAAATTTCGGTCGCACAAGATTTCTTATTACCAGTCGAACCTCTTTCGTCCATTCAGTAGAGAAGATCTGATTCTCTGGGTTCCAAGAAATCCTTCGGAGTTCGAACCAGCCAAAGACAAATATATGGTCGGTGATGTTTCAAATGGTTTCATAGATTAGTTTCGGGTACTTGAACTGGAACAATTCTATGGAGCCAAGAAACCCAAAAAGGGTCTTTTTGGATCTATACCGAGGCAGAAGTGATAGGTCGCCGTTGTTGTTGAAACGGATCGACTTAATTAACTTAGCCATCTTCGTGGGGACCAGTTTTGGGGGTTTGTCCGGACCCTTTACCCTAAATAGGTAGACCCTAAAATTGGTCCTTGTTGTAGGACCCTTGAAGACCCTGAACGGATCTGCTTCACGGTAAATGATTTTGAATGTTTATATGTAACTTTTCATGCTTTTGGGCTCCCGCGAGCAATTGGAAATTCCAGATTCATAAAAAACAAGAACAATACCATTGAGAATTTTGTAGTCTCCACAGCCGCTCCTTTGATTGATCCGCGATACCATTTAACGATCATCCAACTATAGTAATGGCTATATATGCAAAAAGTAAGATCAGACAGAACTTATTGAGCACTAGATAATTGATTGATTGGTAAACAAATTATGTCTAACCAATTTTGCCCATCTACCTCGCTAGACGTGGTGGGTGCACGACGAGTTCATGGTTGAAAAGCCAGAGATCCTTAGTTCTGCATTTGCTGACTGAAATTTAGAGCTCGACCCATTGATGGCACTAGGTGTAGACAAGTGGTGCTTTGTACTTCACAGCTTCAATGGCTGGAGTGGAGACCAACTTGTCACCTATGCTGTTGTACGCTTCAGCGAAAACCAAGCCGACCTTTTTCTTGGTATGAAAGCCAGTCTCAAACCCATCCCTGGTCGCGTTTCCCAGTGGAAATCTTCGGCCACTGGCAGTCTGTTCGAAGAATTTCCACACTTTTGTTTCAGTGTCCCCATTCCAACTCACGTAGAACGAAGTTCCATTTGAGTCTTTGAAAGCCACCAAAGCTGGTTCTTCGTATGGAATGGCGTGCCATTCAAATTTGAAAGCACGATAGTTCTCCGACCCCGGGCCGAATTTTCCAGAGTCGAGCTTGGAAAAGAAAATGGTTGTTCCATCGGCCTTGTGCTCGGACATCGCACCATTGTAGCCCCAGTTGATAAATGCATTCCCATTCGGGAGAAGTTGTAGGTTTCCCTGCGACCTGACTGAGAGATCCCCTGGGGCCCGGAAGCTGGCGATTAATGTAGCTTTGTGCGTTTTCGTATCTAGCTCGACCACCTTGCCGGCGCTGTAATTGCGAGTTTGGAGATCAGGCCCTCCGGTAAGATTCTCATGGGCGGAATTGTCGAAAAATGAGATGATCTCCTTGGATCCCTTGGTTTCATGATGCAGGTATTTCTTATGCATGCGGGTATCGTGTTGCCAACAGAAATCCACACCCTCGCCAAGCGAGAAATTCGAATTTGGCCCTCCGAGCTGCCAGATGATTTTTCCGGTATTTCCATCCATTTTGAAGATGGTGCACATGCTTCGAGCAGATAACAGGTACGTATTTGTTTCGGGGTCGACATCAAATGCGTTCATGTAGAAGTAGTGCCACACTTGACTCGAGTTTGTGCCTAGTCCAGCATTTCCACTTTGGAGCGTCAAGTTTGTATAAACTGGATCGACATGGACAAGAGAGCTCCACTCCCACAAGACGCGGTTTGTATCAGTATCCACCTTCTGGATCTTATTGTCAAGAATCCATTGCTGACTGTCGGACGTAGCACCGTAAGGACTTAGGTCTCTGATCACCGGGTCAAAAACCGTGAAGAGGGCAGAGTTATCGTCAAAGAATAGAAACTCGTGCTGATCTGCCAGCTTATGGCCCCCTCCCTTGATCTGGTTCAAGTACCGGTAACTATTATCGAGGATGGTGGTCCGTCCATGGCCATGACCCATCGGTGAGTTGTGTGAGCCTTCGAAGATACTTAACACTTTCTGTCCTCTGTATGTATGGACCTGGAAGTTTTCGCTCCTTGGACCAATAAATCCGAATCCCGACCACACTAATTCACCCTTATCGGTGAAGATGTACGGGCCACTTTGAGCAGGCCCATGGTTGGTATTATCCGCAAAGGTGCTCTCCGGGGTATAAAAGATGAGACCGTCTGCGACATCGCTGGTGGCAGGGATGGTAATGTTCAACACAGGAACAGCGAGATCTGGTCTAGACTTATAGGCCAAGTTTGCGCTTGCACATGCTGCGAATGAGAAGGCGCCGATACATAATAAGCCCAACATTGTAGTCGTTGATGTTGCTTGTGAAATTTAGTCTGAAGTTATCTTGGGAAGTCGGAAAGATTTATGTACTTGAACAATATTGCGAATAACATCATAACGGACTGGGAACCGCCGACTCCCGGCTTTCAACGTCTTTGGAAACCGTCAGCGAGATGCTTTGGTGTGAGATCTTTTTCTCTGTTCGGCAGGCCTATCCGACATGACGATCAGAGGTCGAAGCAGGTAGAGTAGGATCCTGTTAAAAGCATGATCAATATATGTCATCTCGAAGAGAGCAGGACAGGAAGGGCCTGCCGATACTCAGAAAATCCGAAATTCAAGATATACATTTCTTGTTTGATATGGCATGTCGTCTCGATGCCAGGATTCTCCGAGATCAATTCCGACCGTGGGTTTCAACGGCGGGGTGATCGTCCCATCCCATGCTCTATGAGTGAGGGTTATCCGAGATCCCGGGGGCGGGGGTACCATTCTAAAAGGTTTGATTGGAAACAGTGTTGGGGGTGAAGTAGTAGCATCAGATCGACCTATATGTTGATGTCATTTGACATTTGGAACGTGGGTGGTGCTCGTTAATCCTGCGGTATCCCAGGGGCAATGGACTTCGAATGAGATAGATGTGCGACAATGAAAACTGCGCTCCTCTTCAGTAGTTCACGCTGACCTGACAAATCCGACCCAGAAAAAGAAAGGGAGAATATTTGAGGCCAAAAAGTCCGTGGTCCATGGTGATGCTTACTTTTTCTTCGAACTCACAGTCACAGTGACGGGAAGGGACCACGTCCAAGGATACAAACGAGCACAAGTGACTAGGAAGTACTGCCATATTCGAAATCAGATTCCCCTTGGTATACTCAGAAAGTAATTCTCCCGCCCACCCAACATAGCGCTAGTCTATATTTAGTTTGGCTGCAGATCAAGGCCAAGCTAAAAATAGAGGCTTGTTTCTAAATAAACATAATCTACCGAATAATACGGGTAAGGCCTCGACCAGTTGATGGTTATTCATACCCCCCTGCCAGAGCAACCCCTCCCACGGGCCCTTTCCAACCCAATTTCCTACATGCAAGTCTTCGCTTTCACTGAGCCATCCTGGCAAAAATTTCCACCATAACTTGTGCAACATGGCCCCGAAACTAACTCCTTTGAAGCTTCGTTCCATTCACGATATGATTGAGAGCCATTTGTGTACTAATCACGTCCCAAATGGCTGAAGAAGTCGAATGGAGCGAGAGTATTTGCGTCAATTCGGAAATGTCCACGCAACCCCCCACCCCCCAAATCGAGTTGGTCGAAGACGGACCATCACCCAGCCTATTGTAGAGACACTACGTGATGCTTTCGTGTGAAACCGGCCCTTTTTTTAGATGAAATGGCCGTGTTCCTCTGGGATGAATTCCAGATGCAAGTCACCGTTTTCAGTTCCATCGCGATCAGTGGTACCAGATACTGCCTGTATAAGCATAAGATGGAATAGTCCTTTCGCATATCGTCCGTGGGACGACTAATGCGGCGGTGTTCGAAGACTTCATCGCAGAGCTTCTTAAGCACTGCGGAAGATGGCCACAGCCCAAGTCTGTTATTGTGATGGACAATGTGTCACTTCATCACTCTGAGAAGATCGCGCAGATTCGTGCCGATGCAGGGGTCATATCTACCATCAAACTCGCCGGATCTGAATCCGATTGAGGAATTCTTCGGGGAGACCAAAGGCATTTTTAACCGCAGAGGGGGCTACTTTGGAGATGATCACAGTCAAAGATTCCATGCCTTCCTTAATGGTGTATCAAAGTCGTCGGTGCGAAAGAGGAGAGCGTGAGAGGACACTTTCAGCATGCTGGGTTAAAGGTACAAGAGTTTTGTATTTTGTGTGATTTACCTCCAGTATTTCTTACTCATTAATTGGGGATCTAAAGTATTGAGGGGTTCGGCATTCTGATATGATAGTGATCTAGTCTATGGAGCGGTCGAGAAGTTGTCTAGTTAATCTTTCGCGAAAGGCCCCACCAATAGTAGATACCACGTCGTGGGTGATAGTGATCTGGTCTCCGCACCGGTCGAGAAGGAGTGCCATCACTGCTTCGCCATTCTCCTCGTTTCCAGCCGCAGCTTGAACAACCTCATCAGTGATAGTGATCTGGTCTCCGCACCGGTCGAGAAGGAGTGCCATCACTGCTTCGCCATTCTCCTCGTTTCCAGCCGCAGCTTGAACAACCTCATCAGTGATAGTGATCTGGTCTCCACACCGGTCGAGAAGGAGTGCCATCACTGCTTCGCCGTCCACTACGTTTCGAGCTGCAGCCTCCACTACCTCGTCGGTGATAGTGATCTGGTCTCCACACCGGTCGAGAAGGAGTGCCATCACTGCTTCGCCGTCTCCTACGTTTCGAGCTGCAGCCTCCACTACCTCGTCGGTGATAGTGATCTGGTCTCCACACCGGTCGAGAAGGAGTGCCATCACTGCTTCGCCGTCTCCTACGTTTCGAGCTGCAGCCTCCACTACCTCGTCGGTGATAGTGATCTGGTCTCCGCACCGATCGAGAAGGAGTGCCATCATTGCTTCGCCATTCCCCTCGTTTCCAGCCGCAGCTTTTACCACCTCATCGGTGATAGTGATCTGGTCTCCGCAGCGGACGAGAAGGAGTGCCATCACTGCTTCGCCGTCCCCTACGTTTCGAGCTGCAGCCTCCACTACCTCATCAGTGATGGTGATCTGGTCTCCGCAGCGGTCGAGAAGGAGTACCATCATTGCTTCGCCATTAAACCAGTTTCCAGCCGCAGCTTGAACAACCTCATCAGTGATAGTGATCTGGTCTCCGCAGCGGTCGAGAAGGAGTGCCATCACTGCTTCGCCGTTCCCTACGTTTCGAGCTGCAGCCTCCACTACCTCGTCGGTAATAGCGATCTGGTCTCCGCAGCGGTCGAGAAGGAGTGCCATCACTGCTTCGCCGTTCCCTACGTTTCGAGCTGCAGCCTCCACTACCTCGTCGGTAATAGCGATCTGGTCTCCGCAGCGGTCAAGAAGGAGTGCCATCACTGTTTTGCCATCAAATCTGTTTCCAGCCGCAGCTTTTACCACCTCATCGGTGATAGTGATCTGGTCTCTATAGCAGTCAAGGAGGAGTGCCATCACTGCTCCGCCATTCCCCCTCGTTTCCAGCCGCAGCTTTTACTACCTCATCGGTGATAGTGATCTGGTCTCCGCGCCGGTCAAGGAGTTGCGTCATTATCTTGTCGTTAAAGGCTCCAGCAATAGTAGATACTACCTCATCGGTGATAGTGATCTGGTCTCCGCGCCGGTCAAGGAGTTGCGTCATTATCTTGTCGTTAAAGGCTCCAGCAATAGTAGATACTACCTCATCGGAAATGGTGATCAGGTCTCTGCACCGATCGAGAAGGAGTGCCATCACTGCTTCGCCATAAAACCAGTTTCCAGCCGCAGCTTTTACCACCTCATCAGTGATAGTGATCTGGTCTCCGCAGCGGTCGAGAAGAAGTGCCACCACTGCTTCGCCATTCCCCCCGTTTCCAGCCGCAGCTTTTACCACCTCATCGGTGATAGTGATCTGGTCTCCGCACCGGTCGAGAAGGAGTGCCATCACTGTTTTGCCATTCTCCTCGTTTCCAGCCGCAGCTTTTACTACCTCATCGGTGATAGTGATCTGGTCTCCGCACCGATCGAGAAGGAGTGCCATCACTGCTTCGCCATAAAACCAGTTTCCAGCCGCAGCTTTGACCACCTCTGTAGTGACCATCCCTCCTCGCTTTAAGAGGGCATTAACAATATTCGGCCATCTTGAACCAGCGGCGTGTTCTAGAGGGGTTTTTCCTGAATGGTTCACGCAATTTACATCCACACGAAAGCACTCCCTGTCAGATTTTTGTGCTCCCAACTCGGCGGCATGATCCACTAAAGCGCAAATACCCCACTCTGCAGCGACATGAAATATAGAGAATCTCGTTGGCAATGTCTCAAAACCATATTCTGCCCTGACTCGCCGTAGCCACCATTCGCGGCAGGGGGAGTCGACTTCAAAGAACTCCGCCTGCGAGCATTGGACTGTGAAACTCGACTCGGCCATACGCGCATGATTAGCCCATCCATATGTTGCATAAACCGAGAAGCCGGACCTCGATTGATTTGCGTCGCGGGACTGCGCAATAAGGAGATCAACACAGCGATAGGCAAGGCGGGCATGGGCCTCGAGCTCCTGGATAAAATTACTCGAGCCCGTCCCAACTAGGAAGTCCTTTATCGATTTGTGTAACAGAAGTACCTTTTCGTCCTGAATGATGACCATTAACCGGCATGACTCAATATACTCGTGGGTGAATTGAAGTCTTGTCTCCAAGTCTTCTTCCTCCTGGTATAGTTGGCATGCTTCAGCGAGCTCCAACACAGTTAGCGGTCGCGAACTGACAACTACGCAGCTCAGAAGGTGTCGGAAATCGTTGCCAGTGGACTCACTATCCTTCAATGCCGCCTCGAGAAGCTTCGTATAGAGCGAAGTGAGTCCCTTAGGTATTCTTTGTAAAGTACGGACGACGCTGCTCGAAGGAATATCCTTAAGCTCACCACAAGCTAAGCCAATCCAGAGGAAAGTGCCGTCGGCCTTGTCTTGAAGAATTTCGCGGATTTGTCCTTTGACCTTATCGGTATACTTCTTTCTTTTGGCCAAGAAATTGACTTTCTCTTCGATGAAAATATTCACATCTTTCTGCCTCTGGGGAAAGGAAGCCAAATCCTTATTCGGGAAAATTTGCAAGCTTTCACGTATCTCGGGATATGGCCTACTAGTGACCAATATACGAACGTTTGGTGACACGTTCGGGCTCCTAAAGGTTTCCTCAAGCTGTTGCAGTAGTGTGTCTTGAGATTCTCGATCGCATTCATCCAGCGCGTCAATGATGCAATATTTCCGCCCCGTATTCTCATCTGCCATCATGGTTATGAAAATCTCCCAGAGAGCGTCGAACGATGCGAATAGTTCTGCCCCGCGCGCGTGGTATTTTGGTAAGAGGTAGTCAAGAAGCTTTGCATGCTGCTCCACGAGCTGGTAGAGAAGCCCCTTGATAACTGAGATTGCGGTGTTCCGCGTGTCAAAGCCTGAATCACAAAAAAAGTAGGCTAGCGTTCCCCCATCTGTGTTTGAGAAAGTTGCCGCCAACTCCTCTGCTAGGTATACGGCCATAATCGATTTTCCAGTTCCAGGGTTACCATGGAGCCATAGGACCTGGGTCGGTTGGCTCTCAGGACCCACCGTTGGTTCGGAACCAAGCCAGGCAGTAATCTCTTCCGTACGAAGTACCCACTCACAGGTTCCCGGAGCGGGGCCTCCTTTCTTGCGTTTCAATGCTTTCTTATCTTCAACTGGATTTGTTCTGGAGAGAAAACGTTGCCAGTCATAACCTAGTAGTCTGTCAGTAGGATCTCCGGTTACTGGAAGGTAGGAAGGGATAGCTAGCAAGTGGACTGTGACCTTGTCCAGGTCCAGACTCACCCGGAGAGACAGAATTGTTGATCGAACCGTGGTTAATCCCAACCTGTATTCTGTCGTTGTTGCCATGAAATGAGATCGATTCCATGATGGATTAAAGCTTCTCGTATGTACCTCATGACAAGAATCCTTCGTGGGGCCCCAAACGAGTTGGATGAGGGGTACATCCTCAGCCTCATCATCATGTGACTGTAGCATGCTACGCCGGGGAAATTATCCGCACCTTTCAGCCCACCTGCACGGCTTCCTGAATTCGTTGCCATTATCAATATAGGACGCGCAGGGACTAAAAATCGCTCGTGTGTCGTAAGGGCTGCCAAAGAATCCGGTGGTTGAGGCGTGCTGGGATTTTGTTCCTCTGACTCGAGGTCGTCGGGCTGTTTGATACGATCCATAGGATATGAGCTTCGGGTCCTCTCTAAATCCAGTCTCCCCTTGAGCAACCCATGTTAGCTAATTGAGAACACCAGCTACCGACCACGCTGGTGAAAGATAAAATCGCAGACGGTAAGATAGGGGTAAGATGGTCCAAGGTAGGAAAGAATAACAATCTCCTATCCGAGTAAGTATAATCCGTAGCACAGGCACAGCCTTCGAGTTGAAAAACGAGCGTGGTTTGTACAAGTGAGGGTGAACGAAGGCTGTGAATGCAGTGTAGGAAAGGAAGTAAAAGAACGATCTTACCAGAGCAAGGCCTGACTCTATTGTTTACAAAGAACATAACACCATGGGTATGTTCCTTTAGCGAACTCCCTGAAAGTTCCATGAAATTCCTTGGAGACTTACTGTATTATGACTCCGGTTTGTTTATTACTGTTTATGCAGGACGATGCGATTTGACGGGATTCCAAGATAGGTTAGCCTAATGTAAACTAGCGCCAGTTGTTGGTGGGGCATGAGAAAGACTTTCTGAATGTACACAGGGGAATCTGATTTCGAATATGGCAGTACTCCGATACTTGTATATGACAAGAAGAGCCGAGTGACCCGGGTAAAGAGTATTCCAAGGCTCCACAATGTTCAATGTGATTGTATGACAGCTCCTTGCTAGTCGCGGCACCGCGAACTGTCCGAGGCGTAGTATCTAGGATTACGTCGTTATGGTCAACCGGCGGCAGGCAACAGTCGCCAGAATAAGATTAGCGCGGGTGCAGGTATGAGAATTGATCAGTCGAACAAGTCGCAAAGGTACGAGGATCGCCCATGGCTGGGTTATCGAGAGATTGCGCTGCCCGGAGAATGGTGACGAGAGAGAATTACCCGAAGAGAACACCTAAGCGAGCATCCAATCCATCTGCGGGTCTGCAAGGCTTGTGCGTACTTTTTGACTCCACGATGAGGTACAGTACTTTTGAGGGGTGACCTTACATCAAAAGGTTCCAACGAGGGACCCATGCAGAAGCAATCGGGAAGCACACAGCCAGGAAGCGCGATCTACTACTCCGCCGAGCCAAAAGTACATAAATCGGGGGTGGTTTTAATAGTGCTCACGTTAAAAGAACGGAATAGCAAAGGCCCGCTGCTTGGACCCAGATATGTGCCAAGATATAAGACCTCAACCATCAAGTTCTTAGTGTATCGCTCCACGGCAGGAGAAGTTCTCATGATAAAAGTCGATCAATTTTGATTGAATTTCGTGTATGAAAGCTCTGCCGATATCTGCTGTATCCTCTTCGGGGTCAAATGCGCGCATTAGTTAGTAAAACTGTGTACCTCGTCTAGCTAAGGCTCTAGCCCGATCTAGTACCCGTAAAAAAGGGTACTAGATTAGGTATAGTGTTGTTTTCCTTAGTTATTTTGATTATAGAGGAGATTTACAGGGTTCCACATCGATGCCAGACAAATGTGGCTTCATTTTGGCAATGTTGGGATGGCTAGGCACGACTGGTCGGACTCCCCGAAGACGTCAACGACGACAACTTGCTTCGCGCTACCAACTGGACTCTGCTGAAGCCAGCCTCCCGTATATCTGTGCCCTGCATGGTACTTCGGCTTCGGCACAACCACAACGTGATAACTTGCGGTGGGACCAAAGCAGACATAACAAAATAAGAACGTGGGTCTCGGACTTTCGAGCAGATCTCCACGCCACACTCGGAGGCGAGAAGATGCAGGAGGCCAGCAGCAGGGTCATCATCGCCAGCATCGCCAGCATCACCGTTCTTCCGCATCACCGTGTTTGAGCCCAGGCTCGCCCGTTCCTTTACGACTACTTTTCTCTTTTCCCACATGCAGCCTGGCGACCAAAGCGCTCTGATAATCCTCCCTGGCTAAAGGAACCCTTGGTGGGGAAAGAGTCAATGCCGGTAACAACACCCTTGGTTTGACGGCTCACAAGCTACAGGATTAATTGGGCAGGCCGCAGGGATGTTCCAAAAAGTTTCTTTGGTTCGCTTTCTGAGTTTTTTGGGGTGTTAATGTGAGGCCAGCCAAGCTCTAGAACGGGCATTGGAACGATTATTGACTCCGGGCTGCGGACCGTCGGTGTGGCTTACAAGGATCTTACAAGGATGCGAATCGGAGGGGGAAAGGACGCTCAGAAACTGATTTTGACTACTTTGGACACAATGACTCCGACGATCACGTCGGGTGCATTTGGTTGATTTCTCCCTTTTCAAGTGCCTGGCCCTGTACTCCAAGGATACCACTACTCATCACGATCACAATTCAGATATACAACAGTATATAACAAGGCCATCTTCCCACGTCGAGGCAATCTTCGCTCATACAACTCGCTCCTTCTTCTTTATCTTCTCTCTTGATCTCTAAACTGTCCTTTACCTTTGCTTCACTTCTTATTCTATCTATTATCCATGCCCACCATGGCAGGTCCTGTTGACCATCTCCGTGAATGGGAATGTGACCATGTACTTCCAGGTACTTTGGGATGTAGTGCAAGCAACTCTTGTCAGCTCTGCCCTACTTCGCCGGCTCCATCTGTCAGGATGGAACAACAACCAGTCTTCTCTGTGATCAGCCAGGCATACCCGAACCCAAACTTCTATCACTTAGCCAGTGAGGGTGGCGCAATGGGTGTGACAACCCCCTGGAGACCCCGTATCCAGGGCAGGGATTCGAATGGTGCCATGCTACCAAATGCTCCCCACCAATCAATCGAAATTGTAAGTCTGAGAATCGTCCGTCGTCGACTTGCCAAATATCATTACCCAATCATCATCGTCTACTTACACCGACTTCCCACAGCGCCCCCAAGAGCCTCACAACCCGGGTTATCCAACCCATTCTCCTAGTCACGAGAAGAGACCTCCCCAGGCCAACACTGAGCCTGGTAGGCCACGTCAGAATCCCGAGTATGTTCCAACCCGACAAAATCCCCCTTGTAGACAATAGACCTATTATCCCATGATTTCGTATACGTTTCTTACTTTTTGACCTTGCAACCAAGGCTGACTGACGGCTTAAGTAGCCCACATGGCACCGCCACCATCAGTATCTTGTACTACTGCCGGTGGGAAGGCTGCCCTTATTCAGGTACTTTCAACCGTGAATCCTCCCTCATCCGCCACCTTCGAAAGATGCACATTACCCCTGGGGCTCATCCTTGCCCAATGCCGGGCTGCACCCGAATCTATAACCGTGCAGATACTCTTTCGCAACATTTACGCGGCGTCCATGGTATGATGGATTAAAAATTCTCGGAGGAGTATAGGCTGGAAGGAGTATTGGCTGTGGAGTTGATTGGGCCTGGGCTTTATTTGTCTCTTTTTGGTACTTTTGACCTAAAATCTCCCACTTGTTTTTCTCTTGTTCACATTTGCCCCTCGTTTGGTGCTTTATGCTCAGCCTGTCTTTACAGTTTACCTGGTCCACTTGACGTATCTTGGTCCAGGGCCTTGGACACTTAGACTTATATTTCTTTTGTCTCCATCTCACTCGCTTTCTTTCCTTTGTATCATTTCTCTTCTACATACCATTTCCTGTGTACATCAAGTCTTTACGCTTAATCTGATCCCTCGTTTAAAGAATAACTTCTTTTCAATCATCCTTGAAGAGCTTCATATTGTCTATTAAATGCACATGTCTTTATATACAACCCTGGTCAATCTTATCTTCCACTCCATCCCCGGCCATCCGCAGGCCATAAATGATACGTTACACAACGACGATCTTGAACTCCAGCCACAGGGTGTCCCACACGATGCAATGGTGCCTGAAATTGGCCTTGACTAGCTGCACGCAACAAATCCCCCACGTTTACAACCAGACAATCCCTGCGTGGCTCAATATATGCCCACCCTCCCGTCTCAGCATCCAAATACTCAATCATCGCTTCTTCGCAATAACGCAGTGAGATTGACCCGCCATCGGTACATCCAGGGGAATACAAATAGTCCTGCTTTTCTTTCTCCATATCTTGGAAATTCTCCAGTCTCAGCCCGGACCGCGATACATCGTTCTCGTCGTGCATAGATGTTATACGTTTCCGACCATCTTCATTGCCGATGAAGGGCGATAGACTGCGAATGAGTGTGGTCGCAATTGCATGTGTATGTGCCATCATAAAATATATTGGCAAAGCATCTAGCGAAGATGGTATATTTTCCTCGTGGAATGAACTGTACGGTACGTCGAAGGCCTCGCTGTCTGGAGAGTACCGGTAGCCTCTTTCGGCAGAAAACTCGAGGTAGTCTTTCATTTTGGCGTGGAATGGTAGAGAGAAGTATTCTTCTTGTTGGTGAGATAGCGATCTGATATTATCGAGATAGGCGTCACCGTTGAAGTAGGAATTGGCGCCAGAGACATCCAGGTAGAAGAATCCAGGGCTTTGGCAGGATCGAAGGAGTTTAGAGGTTTCGAGGGCGTCTTTCTCTAGGAGATCGGTATATTTCACCGTCTCGAGAGGGACGGGTTGTGGTTTCTCTGCTTCGAGGGTGTCTGCCTCGAGGATGATCGTCGTGGTCACGGTGCTTACAGTCGTCATCATGGGCTTGGACTTGGGCTTTAGGTACTGGGGGACTTAGGGATACGTTGGGAAGAATTAGAAACGGAAAGTTTAAAACAATTCGGGAGGGAAATGCGTCGCTGATATATATGATAGAAGTATCCCTGTCATGGTGTCAATTGGGTAATTGAGCACGCGCCGGGGTGATTCCGTTCGCAATCTTCAGCGAATGAAGCCGCGGCATACCTTATCGCAACGGGCGAGATAAAGCACGAAAACGGCTCGGATAGCTCGAGTTTAATTGCACTCGGTGACTATGTCCTGGCTAATAGACAATGGCATGGTTAGACTCGGCCTAATATTATTTGTCCAGAATCCAGATCGACATGGATCCCCAGTCCGCGGAAATAATGTTATCTTGTGAGCCTTGACTGTTTACTACATTTGTCGGGACGACCACGGCAACATCATCATGCACGACTTGAATTGACGATTTTAGCCTGAATCGAGTTATCCAAAAACCAAGCAAACTTCTAATATCAAGCAACTCGACAATTCCCAAATCCGACTTTGAATTGCCCATCTATCTTCATCAATTGATCTCCAACCAATCGTCACCCCTTCAATCCCCAACCAAAGGTACTAACAGTACGAGCACCCTCCGGCAAAGCAATATCCACACTCAAAATCCCACCCATGTGTCTCTACAACGATAAACACTGAAAAGCATCTGCGATCAGAGCCTCCATCCAGAAACATCCATCTTCTTATGATCATTTTCCGCAACGTAACAGTGGGCGCACGTAACCGGAACTTTGATACCCCCTTGCTTGCAAGGGCCATTTGAAGTTCCGGTCATGATTAATCGAGATGCATTGCAACCCGATGATAGTGCCTAGATTCACGAGCCTTAGTCACCAGTGTGCTGAAGTTATACCCATTTGCATCGCTGCTACGGTCTACATTATTGTCTATTATACAGGAATGGTCAAGGTAAATTCAGGAGGGGTTCGCTGTATGTTAGTGTCAGGCAAAAGAAGGAAAATAAGAACTGCCTTGTTCAGTAAGATTGATAGGCACGGCCAAGCTGGAGAAGTTACATAACAGACACCAGTTTTCTATCTAGTATGCAAGCGTGCAGGTATGCTGGTCCATAAGTACAAGCATCCAGCATCAAAATCCTTGGTCAAAAATCACGATACGAACATCCATCACTGTAGAAATAACGATTTCTCAATCTTGAATTTGATATCCATACAAAGCGGGAAACTTTGAGGCCCTCTTACTATTTAGTGGCATTATGATCTCTCTGGTCATGGCTACCATCGGCGCCTGTATGTCATTTGCCAATCCAGCACAAACATTAGTAATGACAAAGCCATTGGTCCAAAATGAGGGATATGGAGGGACACTACATTGCCACGATGGAGAGAGTGCTTTGAAGGGTATTTAGGCTGATATTGATTGGCAGGTACGGACCTCAGCGCATATCTAAGATATTTCCCCTCCAAGCTCCCTCTCTCCCTCTTTACCTTTCCCTCTCAGATCCATGGCACCTTCTTCTTCTGATACTGCAAAATTGTAATAGCAGAAGCAACTGTAGTATCCAAAGGGCACTAGGCAGGTCTTAATCTGGCCTCGCTCACCGAGTCTTGTACGGAGTACTTCCAGACATATAGGGCAGCCTTGTAAGATCTCCGGGTTGGTCCCTGGATACATCCATAAAGCTTGTCGTTATTTGACGCCGTCACATTTCAGCATAGTAAAGCATGCCTATTGTTGGACAGATAAAAGGATCAGTTCAATATAAGTGACAGTCCGGTATTCCCCTTCTTTAGTATCAAATCAATGCTAGCGAGATGTATGTAAAATACCGATGTTCTGCCACGAACTGTCTAACCATGTAACTTTGATGATGTCAAGTCGCAGGGATATTCGTCTCGGATAAATCTTTCATTTATAGTAATGAGTCAATAAGTGTATTTGTTGTCTACGAATCTTGTTACGTTGACGCGTACTTTTTCGTCATCAATTTAACACGACGGAGGTACCTCGGTAGGCGCAAGGGTCTGCCGTGGCTAGGACCGTGAGAAACAGCCAGGTACTAATGTTACAAGATAGGGGGCCGTATCAAACATTCATCTGCTGTGATTGGGTAGATTAGACGTGAAATATCGTCTTAATTGCTAGAGTGCCCCAAGGAGTAAGGAAATCAGTCACATGATCTTAATTCATCCCATTCGAATCCAGCCGCGCAAGCGAACAAATTTTACGGTTTAGCAGATAGAAAAGGAGAGTAATCGCATTATACTGATCTCATTCTTCGCGTAATTCACCGGGTGATTATTCCATACTCTATAGACAGCCATGCTCGAATCAGGTATTTGCGACGTTGGCAGGCAATGCGAAGGGGGAGGGTAGGGGGTACAGGCCCATGACTCTGTGCCATGAGCTCAGAAAGACGGTTTAGAGGGGGGTAGGAGAACAGCGTATGTACATCTCATGAATGCATGCTGGAGGGGGAAAGACCAAAAGGCGAGTACTAGGGGAGCTGGGGAAGAAAGATGAGTGGTAGTAGTGACAGATAAGGGGGAGAAAGAAAATTGAGAAACAGAAAAGAAAAGAAAACAACAGGATACGAAAACAAGAGACGGCGGGATGTTATGACACCGTTCGTCCCGAAACCCCCATTCCCCCAATACACCCTCATTAGGTGTTGGTCGCTATGGTCACTGAGATTGGGCTGTTGTGGTCCATTGCAGTCATGCGCTTGGCTCCGTGCCACTCAGGTGGAAAACCAGTATGATTTGGAGAAGACCGGAGAGGAGACCTGACGGGATTCCGGTGATTCCGGGATAGCAATTATATCCGTCGGCGAAAAGGAATCCAAAATCCTGCAGTGTCGACGGTCTCGGAGCGCACCTGACAAGAGCCTCCCTTTGTCGAAAAGACCAAAGAAAAAGAGAAGTGAGGAAAACAATAAGAACACACAGCCAATCCCAATGACGCGGACAGCACGCTAGATGAATATGTCAACATGGATGGTGGAAAACTGGTCATGCCATCTTCCAAATAAAAAACAAGCCGTCAGATCCATTAAACGCCGCCAAGAAAAGAACCTCAACAGAACATGCGAGTTCAGCAGAAAACTCCGCCTGGGCAAGACAAATCCCAGGTGATGCTCACGGCTGAAAGAAAACGGCATGGAGAAGCGGATAGAGAGAAATGATGCAGGGGAACGGCGGGCTCGTGTCATGGAGAGAGGCTCTATGGGGAGGCCCAGCCACCAGCCACCTCAACCCACTCATTAAGACAGCTGCCTTGCTTGCCCTCGACATCCACAATATCGGTATCGCAGCGGCAGCGGCAGCCAACACCGTTCTCCTTGACGGGGTCCGCAGTGGCCCAGTACTCATCTTCCTCAATGCGCTTCTTCTCATCTTCGGTGGTCTTTTCAAGGTAAGGCTCGCGAGGCAATTGCCGAGCGGGAGCGTTGGCTGGGCAATGTTGGATGGTGGTGTGTCGATATCCAAAGTCACGGAAGTAATGGATGTCACTGGGAGAGAGAAGAGCACCGGCGGCAAGAGAATGAATAGGAGCATCGCCCCACTGAGCAAAAACAGTCAGTATTGAGTATCCCAAAAGGCTGCTACGATTTCAGATTCAACTCACTCGTTCATTCCAGAATCCACCGCTGCGGTCCATCATGTTGAAGAAGTCCTCGTAAGGCTTGCTGCGGAACCAATCCAAGCGCGCGATTTCAAAGTTACTCCAGAAATGGCACATGTTGTAGCTCTCGCCCTCCATAGCCTCGGGGTCGATGTCATCAAGGTTCTTGTCACCGGGTTCGGTCAGGAGAATCTCGTCGGGAAGCTTCTCCTGCTTCTTCTCCGGCTCGGCCGGCTTCTCCTCCTCCGCGGGGCGCTCGAGGAACATCTCCCACAAGCCCTTTGACTTGAGGTTGTTCTTGCGCTTGTAAGCCGCGGCGTAGCGGAAAATGTTGGGAACGGTTTCGCGAAGCTCCTTGACTGCAATGGTAAAGCCGTAGGTTTTGTTCGCCTCGGCCATCTTGATGAAGGGATCACTAGACATTGAAATTAGCAACTGGGTCACCTGATGCTAGAGAGTGCTGCTTACTAGGTGATGTCACAGAAGTACTTGATCTCGGGCTCCAGACGCCAGTACCACTCGTATTTCATCAGGAGCGAGTGCTTATAGAAGTGTCTGTTGAGTCGAATCAGTATTGATGGGCCCTTGGCGGCATTTTTCGGGGGAGAGCATTCACATACCCAGAGTAGAAGCGGCACATGTGGTGATAACTCTCCATACCACCGTACATGATCGCAGCGTCACCTTGTTTCCGGATACCTTCCTTGGCGACCTCGTGGTCAACCCAGTCGGGGAAACCCCACATGGAGTTATCAATCTTGCCGAATTCCACGGGAGCGCTAGTGTAGTTCTTGACGGTGGCCCGGAACTCCTCGTCGAAGTCGCCATCGTTCAGGAAGACGTAAGGGTAGTGATACCAGCGGTTGAAGTGGCGCTCAATCGACTTGAGCGACTGGATCACACCCTCCAACTCCTTGTTCCGCGCCAGAACGACAAAGGCAGCATTGGCGCGAGGTTCCTTGTCGATACGATCCTGGTCAATGGGCAGACAGCCCGTCGCAAAAACTTTGTCATGCTTTTCGCTAATTTTTCTGTAGGCAAAGACAATCCATAGTCAGTAACTCATGCTTTTCTTCTTTCTCTCCACCATTGGCTGGAAAACAGAGGGGGCCACACGAACCGGATAGAGGGCGGCGTGCCCGCTGGAATTAGGATACCCCCGGGAGACGAAGGATGTCGGACGAATAAAAGTAGAATGAAGACAATTACAAGGCATGGAAATAGTAAAACAAATCCCAGGGGTATAGAAATCGACGAATTGCCCTTCAAGCGAATGCGCCGGCGGAAGAAGGCAAACCGGGAGGGATTGCGGCCCTTCTCGCGGGGACCATCGTCGATGGGAAGGCTCGGCGCACTAGGCAGCCGTTTCGTGATGCGTTGAATGAAACTCATGAGTGCGATTGAGGAGGTATGCGCGTCGAAGACCCCGCGGAGGTCAAATCAACGGTCCCGGAGCAATAGGGCTAGGAATCGTGGTCGGAGTCCCGGCGGCGAGATCAGGGGACGGTGGATGAAAACGGGAGGTTTTTGTTGGCACGGGATTGTCCAGTCGCAGTCAATAACGACGGGCGAACAGGTCTAGGCGAGAACACCGACCTCGGACAGTCAAGTCCAATCGAGATGGCGGTTTTGGCGCTTCGAGATCTCAGTCGACAAAAAAAACGAGTGGCCGGAGGAATGCCTCCTTTCCTCCCCCAACTTTCCTTCTCAGAGGCCGAGATGGCAGACGGGAAGGGCGTCGGGAGCAACGCAGACGACTGTGGTACACAACGAGGTCCACAGAAGTGAAATGGAGGACATAAATCGATGGAGATAGATGGGGGGAGAGAGGGGGGAGAAGAGAGGAGGAGGATAGAGTCGAGTAGGGGCAGAGAGGGTCGGGGATGGGGATGGGATGAAGTCGTGCCAAGACCAGGGAGGCGCAAGCGTGTTGGTTCTCGTCTTTTTGGTCGTTTTAGTCGTTTTACTCGGTTTTTTTTCTTTTCCGCCCATCAGTATGGAGTACGAAGGTCTGTGTACTACAATGTCACACCCGCACCGTTATTTCATTTCTTTTGAATGGGGCTTTGCTGTATTAATTACTCCTGACATTGCTGCTATTTGCCAATATTTCTCTACCATCTGCCTCTTTCCAATTGCCCCTTGGGGATCCGCCGCTCAGGCGTACCGCCAGGTACTGTATTGAGCCGTCACTTAGCGTAATTTATCTCCGTTGCCGCTTTTTTTTTAGTTTCGTGTATTTTTTGCTCTTCCTTGGTTATCGCCTCAAGGTCAATTTAGCCACGTTCCCTGATTAGAGAGGACAAGAAAGGATTGACCATTTGGATAGATTTCACCGGTTCAATCGGTTTGATCTTTTCGCAATGACATTACTTCCCCCATAACTTTAGATGCCTCCAATCTCTATCTCTACAGTGGACTTGGATATTCCATTTCGGCCCGGGTCTATTGGCCCGCTCCCCTGCGTAGTGCGGTGATACCGACAGCTACGGTCCAGGGTCCATGCACTACGGAGCGACTATTGTCCATATTTTACCTCCAGGATTCAGTTTACAACAGTAGCGAATTGAGTTAGTGTTACAGAGCCCCCTAGAAAGTCTTGGCTAGGTGGTACTCGATGCTTGTCTCGCTCACGTCTCCATACATAATCACCCGTCACCCGTGAAGATCACCAATGTAATCCGATCCACTGGTCGATCAAGGTCGAGACTGGCCTAGGTCAGCAGGAACAATAAGCTCTGAGTAGTTGGATTACTATGTTAGCAGGATATCAGAGAGATGTTCATGTTGCTGCAAGATGACTATGCTACTCCTAGATGAGCACGGATGACTCGTGGTTATCTTCCCGACCGTCGTTCTGGAACTAGTGCAGTGCAGGCCGATCGAAGGGTCCAAGGCAGGGCCTAGGGCCGTTACGCCAGAAGTTAGCTTGGATGGGTTAAAGGGGTCTGATTGGTGAGATGTTCCTTCAAATCAAGATTGGTAGCAGGTAGCACAAGCTAGCCTGTGACTCTGTTAAGACTGGATAGAAGTACTAAGAACTGTATCTGCTGTATATAATTTACCGAGTCTTTACCTGCACTGCATGAACTATTCACTATTCAGGACGGAGCAAAGAGGGTCCTGCCAATTTCACGGCTCCACTTTTCCATTCGGGCGATGTGGCCTGAAGAGACCCCGGTCTGGACCCTGTTCGTGTGTCTGGTTACTTGAAAGGGGATGAGGAATGAAGCCTGGCAGGCAGTCACATTTATTAGGTGAGATGGTCAAAGTATATAGTCAACGTGAGATCTCGTATTGGATCTTCAAGTAGACATGATATACTTGCATGATATCACAGTCTATAATAATCCATCTGACCTTTTCGTCATCACTGATCTAGGTGTTGCCTGGCACCTTCCGATGGCGCCCCCGCCCAAAGTATATATAAAGTACACTTTGACTGACGATTCCAAGAAACTTTGGGTTACTAAGTTCGGCAGAAAACATGACTTGGTCATGCTCCCTGGAAATCATTAGCGGCGCTACCTGGAATGACTGACTCGTGCCCGCGCTAGCATTGACATCAGACCTTTATTTTAGATCTGATCATCAGCACCATCTCACACGACTTCAGGTCAAAAATAATTCAAATCTCTTCTTTTACACTGACGATTCCATACAGAAGCCCCAGACTGCACCACAAACCTGGCGAAGGGGCCCGTGGTTTGACCTTGGGGTCCAGAAACGATCGTCCAACTTGCATGGCCGCACCACCGCGGGGTTTCTCCCCCTTTTCCTTCTCGCCGTGATCTCAAAACAACAAACTTTCTTCTGCTCCAATTTTCTCCCTCCTTCTCGAGATACATGAGGCTCTCACTGCCATCATGAATTCAGTCCTTGCTCGTCCCCTGGGTTCGGAGGGGCAGAGCTCCAAATCCTCCGCCATCCCCGTCCCTGATGCTCTCTCTCGCCTCCGCCCGCCGCCCTCCCGCAACGGCCAAATCAATGTGGACACCTTCTCCCCCGTCAATGAGAATGGCAGCTTCGAATTTGATCGCGTCCTAAAAACCGGCCGGGTCTCCCGGCGCGTCAAGCACAAGCACGTCTTCCGCGCCTCGTGGAAACCGGCCTACCTCGTCCTGCGTCCGAATCTCCTGTCCGTCTACAAAGATGAGGAAACCACCCGTCTCCGCGTCTCCATCTCCCTCTCCGAAGTCACTGCAGTTGCTCCCGTCAAGTCACCACGCTCCAATCGCAAGCATGTCTTTGGCATCTTTACCCCGTCCAAGAATTACCGCTTCGAAGCTCTGTCGGAACGCGATGCCGAGGACTGGATTAATCGCATCCGCGGTGAAACCCCCGCCGACGAAGACGAAGCCGCTTTTCTCGCGTTATCAAGGAAACGAGAACCGCCCGCTATTCAAAAACAATTGGTCGAGGATACCACCGAGCACTCCGATTTCGAGGGCGCCAGCGCTGGGGCCGGCCGCGCCAGCTCTCCCGAATTCAGCCATGGATTGTCAACAAGCGCCCGCGCCCGCAAACCCCCTTACACACAGGATTACTCGGGCAACGAGATTACCTCCTACTCAGAACTCTCGGATAATGGACCCTCTCATACGCGAAATAGTCGCCTCCGGTCTATGCCGTCAATCCACACTCTATCTCTCTCGGCACCAGAGGACAAACCCATGTCCCTGCCGCGAGATACAAGCCGCCAGTCTGATCTGGCTATCCTGCGTGATCCAGAGCGAGTGGTTTGCCAAGGTTATCTACAGGGCCTCCGCATCAAGGGCACGGTGCGGCAGTGGAAACGACTGTGGGTGGTCTTGCGGCCGAAGAGTCTGGCTTTCTACAAGGATGACCAAGAATATTCTGCCATCAAGATCATCTCCATGTCCCAGGTGATCGATGCGGCGGAAGTGGACCCGATGTCACGGTCCAAGACGTTCTGCATGCAGATCATTGCCGAGGAGAAAACGTACCGGCTTTGTGCACCGGACGAAGAGTCCCTTGCACGATGGCTGGGCTCGTTGAAGAGTATTCTGGTTGCCCGTAAGAAGCTTGAGGCTGGGCCGTCCACGGTGTAATCGGGGCTCTCATATACCGATGATCCTCATTTTGTCATATTTTGTACACTTTTCCCCAAACTACCTGACCAGTGTCATACCTCTCCCCTATGCCCATACTCCTACACGCCTCTCTCTCTCTCTGTGTCCACCCCTTCTCATCCTTAACCACCACCCCACATCTTTCGTTTTACATATTTCCTTTCCCACATCCCACTCAGTATATACCCAGGGTTTTCTCATTGTCAGCTTCTCATTCATGATCTGCGCGCCGGTAGGTGAAAAGCCGGAGTTTCTTAATGGAGCGTGCAGGCGTTTAATCCTAGCAATCTTGTCCATTCAAGGACAGGATCGTACATTCTTTCTTTGTCTCCTTTGTGTGAGCATTCTCGGATTTATTTGGACAGAGTGTTTGACTATGCAAGAATTCTAATCAATTTTCGACAGTGATGAGTCAACCAGAAACATATTTCCAGTTGTTAATACTTCTTCTTATCTCTTCCTGGATTGAAAGATCGTTATAATGAATCTATCTCCTACTATATGACAGAACAATCCCTATACAAGCGATATATCTCGAATCCTGCCATTCTACCTTGACCTCATTAATTCACATAACAAAAACCAAACCGCGAAGAACACTCTAACGTCCAAATCCCTAAATCAACCCACCCAAGCAACCCCCTCTCAATCTCAAATCTCAAACAACAATCCTCGTATCAACCCCATGCATCTCCTCCCCAAACTTACACCCACCCTCCGGCCCCGTACACCCCCTCGTCGTACACCGATGTCCACTAACACAATACTCATCCTCACACTTTAACCCCTTCGCACAAACACTCAATCTGGCAATACACATCAAATCAATCACATCTTGATCGACTAACCGCCGATTATGTTTATGCGTACATCCCTCGCCCCACGAGCATGAGCCCAGGATGTGAAATTGATTGCAGAATTTGTGTTGTTTCAGGGCTTCGAGTTTGCCGCGCGTTGAGTAGTGGAGGGGTCTGTCGATGCGTTGGCCGAGGGCGTTTTTGTGGATTGGGAGTTTGGTTTTTTGGTTGGGGGTTGGTGGTGATGGAGAGGGAGAGGGAGAGGTATTATGGGGAGAGTGGGGGGTTGATCGAACTATTGAGGCGTAGTTTGATATGGGCGTGCTTGTACCTGTACCTGTTGGTGTAGTCGGTGCATTACTGAATGAGATGCGCCTGCTCAACTTTTGTGAACGGAAGACCTCGGGGAAGGAGGTCGTTGCAAACGATGGTACGAGTTCTTTGATCTCTCGTGCGAATGGTGGACCTTCAACGAGAGTAATCTGACTCTTCGTGTTCGAGTTGCGATGAGGACCTAGGATACGGGCGTACCCGTTGTCGGCGGATGCACAGAACATAATGTGTCGACAGTGTACGTTGATGATATCTTGCTCGAAACGGGCTATACAATCAATGTCAGAATTTGGATTTATCCAGCCTGCTCCTGGGTGTATTCCATTTTACTTACCTCGAATCTTAACATCAGAACATTCCTTCCCATCACCAGCGTCCACGAAATCACATAGCACATCTTCCATATTGAACCCTTGAACGAAGGACAGCAATGTACCTTCCTCCGATATAGTTTTGTTCTCACGGTATGTCTTTGCTAGTCCGCGTACGTTCGCGTAGACACGAATTCTATACGGGACATTTGAACTTTCATTGCGATAGAGGTTTTGGATGTAGCGGTCAACGTTCTCGATCAGACGTCGGGCCGCTGAATGACCTCCTCTCTGCCCATCTTGGATAAACGAATCGTTGAACTGGATGTCGAGGTAAGTAAAGGGATCCAGCAAGACTAGATATATGATAAGAAAGTAAAGCCAGGCTTGAACTTACGTTCATACAATCACCGTCAATCAGCACAGATACAAAACTGAATTTCGCCTGCGAGATCATCAAGTCAGAGGCATTCAGTTTGTCAATCCCGGCTATAGGTCGACATAGAAAATACCTGGTTACGTTTCATCTCCTCGGTCTCGGACTGATGCATCTTGGATTCCGACTTGAAAGTTTGAACAAGCTTTCGTTGATTCTCCAAGTCATCTTTCTCATGGTAAAGAGCATCTTGTAGGCGTTTGACTTCTTCCATCAAGTCCTACACGCGATTCCACAAGTCAGTGGACTGTTATTCCTTGCCTCATGAGCGTGACTGAGTTCAAACCTCAATAATCTTATCCTTGTCCTGTTCAACAGCCTTGACGGCCTCGTATCTGGATTTAAACTTGTCTAACTCGACCATCGTGCCAGCTTCAAGATCACTCAGAAAATTGAATTTGAATCAAATGAACTACAAAGAGGACATAAACTACCCTTCCCTCCCCTCATTTAAACAATCGCAACTGGCGCTGTAGAGAGCCTCATGATCAGCCTAGGTAGCTCAGCCCCAGAAAAAGGCCGACACGTAAAACCAACAGGTGAGTGCATTAGTTATTGCATGCTGCCAGCGAGTGGAATGGAGGCTGCTCGCTTCACTATCGTTGGACAGGTAGGCGCTTCCGTCCCGCACTGCCGCATCGGAGAACGATTGGTCAGTGCAGGGTTTAGAATACATAGTCGCTGTGCTCTGAGAAAAAGCAACCAATAAGGATTAATGCGTACACAAGTTCCGGAATGTGGCTTGTTTGTTGGTTTTCCGACAGTCTAGATAAGGACAGTCATAGTGATCCATATGCACACTGCGAGAAATTCTAATCGCCAACGTCAGAATGTAAAAAGAGTCTAGGTACGAGGCATGCAAATCAAAATAGAACAGAAACGCAAATGCAGAGTATTGTATCAAAAAACGCCATGATCCTAAACCGAGAGTGTGCACAAATGAAGTTCTCATAATGATAGTCTCCGTCCAAATCTATCGCATTTCTTCTTCGCGGGTGATGGATTCATACTCCCCCGACGAGGGTCTCCCTGTTGCTCTGGGGACGCCGTCTTCTTCTTGGGCCTTGCTTTCATGGTTGACGACCAAGAATGAGAGGAATACGATCGCAGCACCGAGCCAGTATACCGGGGATGCATACTGGGATTGCAGGAACATCTGACCCACCAAGGACAGGGGAATAGTCAGACTGAGACCGACTGTTACTACGAGGGGTGTGGTTAGGAGCATTGCATAAGCCCACGCAATGTCGGAGATGAACGACGAGAGCGAGTTGACCTAGAATAAAGAGAGTCAGTCACACATCGTCTGGACGGGTATAGCGGTCATATGAGGCTAATCGCTAGTCAATTAAAGAGGAATTTTCATACCAGGATGATAGTCCACACTCGTTGCGTCTCTGGTAGTGAAAATGTCTCCACTCCAGTCCAGTGCAAGACGAAGAATCCAGGCCACAGGAGGACAAGATTGAAGAATCCCACCAATCCAAAGAACAGTGGCATGTTCACTCGCGACTCGTCGCCCACTTGCTTCTTCATTACAATCGTATACACACCGTACATGATTGAGCTGAATGCAGCCATGGCATCACCGATGGCAATCTCAGTGGGCGTTTTGTGGGGGAAAGAGCTTCCCCCGTTACCGGCGGCCGTGGCATCGCCTGTGTCTGGCTTCGAGAGATCAACTCGGGAGATGAGGATGATTCCTATCAGCGAAGCGACGACTCCTAGAAACTTGCGTAGAGTGAATCTCTCCACTCCAATCATGGCGCCGAAGACGAGTGTCCAAACACCTGAAGATTCATTAGTATTGCAAGGACGATAGTCGGGATCTTCAGGGTATTTGTAAAGCCTTACCACTGGTAGAAGTTAGGATAGTTGTACTTCCAACCGTCGTAAACTGGAGGCATGCCATAGCGAAATAGTTTGCCTATTCGGGCCAAGGTTAGTTCATCAAACCTTGAGATCAAAGGTTACCCATGGGTATCACAAATCATGACATACAACAAACTATATCATGTTAGCTTAATGTCCGTTTTCCAAGATCGTGAGAGATCATACCCATAGAAGGCAAAACTCTAAGCTAAGCTTAGCCGTCGCTCGAAGTCCCAACTTGGCATTTTCATCATCCAGCTTCGGCCGCGAATACCCCGGGCTGTCGATTTCATGATCGCGCCCGGTGTCATTATCAAACGACCCAGAGCGCAACATACTCTGCTCTTCATTCTTAGGATCATCAGAGTCCATGTGCTGCAACCAGCTCCGGAATGAGTGGACCTGAGACAATTTCTTGCTTCGCCATAGACCCCATGTCCGAGTGATAAGCGTACTGAAAAGAGGCAGGGTAAAGAGTGAAGTATTGATGTAGGTCACGAAGAAGGGTTTGGGATAGGTCTTATCGGCGAAGATAGTCTATCCAGTATTGAGCCGTTAGAATCTATACCTTTGTTGTAAAGGCCAACATGTGCCTTATCGGCACCGGGGAGAAATTGCGAACATACGCTTCCCAAGAAATTTGACGCTGTCCACAGAACCACCACAAGCAAAAGCAGGGCCATGCCAAATGTTCGCCTGGCCACGCCAAGCACCTTTGGTGCGGGCGCATCGGTTGCCGTCGCCATAGTCACAAGCTAGACGTTGTTTATTGTGAGGCACGAGGGTCGAGTAAGAGAGCGCGGTCTGAGTCGGTCAGATCGCGGCACAGTCGTCCTGGTATCGCCAGGTCGCATAAGCAATGATGACTGCGGACATTTGCAGCGCAATTATATCGTGAGGTGGGTCAGAAGCAGACTTTCTTCTGAGGGTCTTAAAGAACGACTTCCTGTCCAGCAGGAGGAGGGTGAGCAAGGAGGGTAGTGTTGCCAAGCACTGTGCGGATGACGATCGGCGATAAGAAGGCCGTTCTTCATGGGGGCGGGACCCTTACCGGAGTCCGTGACCGGAGTGGATTTGGATTCATCACGAGGGCTCTGATATTACCCTCAGTAGGTCACATTGCCTGTCAATTTAGTTTCATATTCATCTAAGACAGAACTTGGAGTGACCTTGAAAATTTAGATTCAATCTTACTGGTTGACTATGGTGAAATGTTCTACTCGGGCACTTAATGGTACCATTGTACATGAAACTACTAGATTAATGGCCTGAAACTGGAACCCGCAGTGTTCGGTAGAGCAGGTCGGAATCGAGAATTAATTGCTGCCCTAATCAACAAATCAAATCACACTGAGAACATCTACAGGAAACAAATCCAATGAGCCAAAATCAAGGGCCTTCTCTACAGGCAGGAAACACCCAACAAGAAAAGAAAACGGAGACAGGAGGAAAACCAGAGGAACAGTCGCTCAAAACATCATGGGAGTATAGGGCAAGGGTATCAACAGGCACAGCCATCGCGCTCATTGTCCAGATGGATGTTGATCGGGTCACTGAATTCACCACTGAACTCCTCGGCCTCTTCCTGGGCGAGTGCACTGCGGGCGATAACTAGATACAAATAGAGTTAGCTAAAATTGAGCGCAAGATGATGGGGTAAACGATTCTTCGAAGCTTACCCTCGAATGCCTGCTCCACGTTGAGAGCCTCCTTGGCGCTGGTCTCGAAGTACGGGATATTGCCCTTGGACTGGCAGAATGTCATGGCCCGTTTCGAAGAGATCATCCGCTTGTTCTCCTCCACATCGATCTTGTTGCCAATAACGACCTATCCAGAGCTGTTAGCATTGAACACTCTCTTGCGAATCCCACTAGGATGGTGAAACTGCCCATCCTAGACTAAGATGAAACAACGGCTTGGTATACTCACAAAGGGGAAGCTCTCCGGATCACGGGGGCTAGCCTGAATCAAAAACTCATCCCGCCAGCTATCCAGCGCCTCGAAACTCTTCGAGTTGTTTACATCGTAGACCAACACACAGCAGTCTGCGCCTCGGTAGAATGCGACGCCTAAGGACTGGAACCGTTCCTGACCGGCAGTATCCCAAATCTGCGCAAGAAGTCAGTCAATCATGGGCCCTGAAAGCCGCCTTCATTCGAGCCTCGGAAGTTCCATACCTGCATCGTCACCAAACGGTCATCGACAAGGACCTCCTTGGTCAGGAAATCGGCACCAATAGTCGCCTTGTAGCTTCCACTGAACTTCTTGTTGACCTGCACACAGTGGTAATCGTTATATTAGCGAAGCTGCTATGGATGAGGCTGGGGGAGGTTCGGCGCCAACAGCGGCATTGAGGAGTCGGGGAAGAACGCACATATTGGTTCATCAAGCTTGTTTTGCCGACACCGCTATCGCCAAGGATAATAACCTATCGAGAAGGTGTTATGTTAGCTTGGTGGCCGACAAGGAGAAGCATCTGCGTGCCACGCGGAGCTGCTGCGGAGATCGTACCTTGAGGAGAACCTTCTTCCGTGACGCCATGGTAGCGGTCTGTATTCAGGGACTCCGGAGTAAAATGGAGACAAGATCACCGGGAGATGATCTGTAGATAGATACTTCAGCTATAAGAAGAGCCTGTAGAGGGCGAGCGAAAATGGGAGAATCGAGGGAGGAAAGAGGTCGCGAGGTCCAAAATGAGAGTTGGAGTTGGAGTTGGGTTGCAGCAGGATCCAATGATGCATGATCCTCGGGCGGTGGAGAGGGGGGGGGAGCGGTGGGCGGTGGGCGGTGCTGATAACGAGATAGTAGGCATTACCAGTCTGGACTCTGTAGTTTACTGGACAAGCTCCCGCCCGACATCATCGCATCGGACAACATTCCTCAACTCCCCTGATCGTCTCCCCCCTCACCTCTCGGGAAGGTCGATGCCCCACTGGAGAGAGGAGTATCTGGCTGCGCTGGCAGTCCGGGATCAGAGGGAGAAGGCCAATGTCGCGCTCTACGATGCCTGTTCGTGCCTAGATGCGAAGGTTCCCGTGCGGCTGATTTACTAACATATCGTCTACAACGGTAGATACCCGCCTCGCAGATCGCACTGCCCTGCAGAAATCTCCCATAGACTCGGATGCCAGTCCTGCAGCTGGCAGGAGATCCTCGGTCGCCCCCAACGAATCTCAACGGTCCGGTTCTCCCGCATCTGGGACGGTGCGAAAGAGACAGCCTTCATCTGAGCCAGGGCCATCGTTGACAGACCTATTGAAAACCACTCGGGCAGATTTATCCGAGGCACAACGGTCTCGAACTGATTTACAAGACCAGTTGAACCGACTGAACATAGAAGCCGAGAAGCTGCGTAAGAAAAGCAACCGCGATGGCCGGCGCCTCGACACGTTGGAAAGTGAGAAAGCCATTTTGGGGAAACGCCTGAAAGACAGAGACGAGGAGCTACGAGAGAAAACGAAACTGTTGGAGGTAGGTGATTCTATTTCATGGCATCACAAGGCTATTTACCTCCGTGCATGCTTGAGCTTGAATCATCCTGACTCGACTGCCACAGGATTTCCAAGCCGAGTTGGCATCACTCAACCTCGAGTTCAATATGGCCGAGAAGAAGTCAAAGGAGCTTCAGCGAGAGAACAAAGAGCTTGTTGATCGATGGATGGCCAGAATGGGTAAAGAAGCAGATGCCATGAACGATGCATTCAAATTCTCCTAATCGTGGCCACACACTGGACAGGAACCAGAATAACCGCAGATAGCTTTTCAATACCCTAGATGACTACGAATTAGATGTACATTGAATCAGAATACCTGGAAAAGACTTGTCTTTATACTACCATAACAAAGATGGTAATAAACATGTTTATACAACTGGAATTGGTATCACACAATCAACGAAGGGATATATCCAAGAAAAGAAAAAAAAAATGTAATGTACAGGACAGAACCAAAGCACAATTTATAGACAAGTGTGCAGGCGTCCAAAGTCATGCATGTGCGGATCGGAACACGTTGAGTGCTGCCTAGTAATTCAAAAAGAGTCGTCCATGAAAGCCTTCAAGCGCGAACTATCTTTAGTGGCAATAAAGTATGTGCCACCCACGTCGGTCCAGCTGACACTGTTAGACCAGTAGTTTTTTTGCTGGACTTTCAGGAGGTTTATAGGAGAGTTGAGATTGCGAGATTGAATCTTGTGGCCGGCAGGGACAAAAGACTTTAATGAAACAATCTTGCATCCCTCCTTCATATCGAGGAAATGATTGATCAGCTCATTGTTGAGCTGCGGCGTGAATGCCTGATTGTTGATGAGGACCACGTCGGCCCGCTTCAAGACATTGATGATGCTATCCTGCTCGAGGAAATCACCACGGACAAGATGTGTCTTGCCTGGCGCGATTCCCCAAAGTCGGCAACGGGCTTTGAACTCGGCCTGTTGCAACTCTGCCAAATCACAAGCATTGGCCATCATCTCACAACCCCAACTCTCACAACCGATTTCGAGCGCGGCTTGCAGGACAACGTTGCCCACACCGGAGCCAAGGTCGACAAACACTTGGCCCGACTTCAACTTCGTCTCCTTGAAGATGTTGCTGATGAATCGAGGGAGAAGTTCGCCATAAACGTTGTCTGTGCCGTTCTCATACTGCCGCAGAGACTCGACTCGAGGGGATACCGTACGGGCATAGGTTTGGTTGAGAATACGCTCAACCCATGGTAGGTTGATGCGCTGAGTTTCATCCAGAGTCTTCGCCAAGCTGCCGCTAAGCCTCAACCGCTCAACCGCCTTATTATAATCATCCACAGCCTCACGGAATTGCGCGTCCGATGTCACTGCTAACGCCCTGCGCAGTCTCCGCCTGATGCCAGTTGTCTCGTCATTGAATTCTTCTGCCTCTTCGGTCGGGATGTAATTATCGGCGACGGTCTCGATCACCTGGACAATATCGTCGATAGGCCGGAATTCATCGTTGTCTTTGGGTACCATGGAGTCGAATCTGCTCAAGCAGTCGGATCGGTCAGTCTCTTCAATATCAAGCTGGCCACTTGGCACACGTACCTTTCTTTTTGGCAAGCACTGGGGTACTGTAGAAGAATTTCCTTGGGCTTGCTCGCGGCGCCAAAGGCCGGCTTAAATTTTCCTGCCTTCTGGCCTGATGTAATATCGGCAGCATGTACCATCTTGAACGGCCGACTTCCTTCCTCCGAGAAAGCCTTCACGGATCGAATGCGCCGCTCCGGGTCAGGCTCCGTACTGGCGCTTGTTCGCGCACGCTTGCGCACTTCAAAGGAAGTATCGCTGTCACCAACATCGTCGTCATCGTCACTCGAGAGGCGCGTCTCCGGGGTCGGTCGTTTGCGTGGGCGGCTGGGGGTCGTCAGTCGCTTGGAGGGGCGGGCGTCTGCGTCACTCGAAACCGATCGGGCTGTGAGCGCGTGCGCCTTGCGGCTCCGTTCTGACGAGGACGGGACTCGAGGGGACCGAGAATCGGGAGTTTGTGCGGTTGGCCTTGTAGGGGCAGCCGGTTTTGTTTGAACGACTTTGCGAACTTGTGTTTTCTTCGCCTGTAGCGAAAAAGCCCCTCCTTTCTGGAGGTGGTCGAAAAAGCCCATCGGGGTTTTTGGGGGGGGAGGGGGTAAAAATGCGGATAAAGACGGACGATATGGACAAGAAAGGAATGCTGAAACGGCTAACGTATGCACGCGACAAACATGAGGGGTGGGGAAGGCCCGTATATAAATGAAGAGAAGCCCCGAATAATAGCGAAGTGCCGAGTAGAGATAGAAGAGAAGAGAAGAGCGAGAAGAGTTGGATTCCACGAGGGTAATCGATAAGCAGCGCCACTCGGGGAAACCACCGCCGCGGTCGCGGGTTCGTCTTGGCGCGCAAATTAGTGCGGAAGAGTTACTCCGGCGTCGGTACTCGGGCTGCAACTACTGCACCCTTAAACAGTAGTAGCAGAAACTAGCGAGATAGTCTACAAACTACACTATAATCTTAACTGACATGGCTTGCATTTCCAAAACAAATTGCTATTCTTCGACCCCTATGCACTCGGGTATCATCCAACTTTTGGTCTAATCTATACACTATGCACAAATCAATCATGACTTCTTCTTCGCCAGTCGCTTTTGCGCCCGAATATCCTTCTTCATACGAGAATCCACAATCTTGTACCTGCCCTTCACACCACGAGGACGACCAGAGATACCACGGTTGGCACCTCTTGCCACAACCAACTTGACCTGCTGCTTGGGCTTCTTCTTGGTGGCCTTGCCCATCAGCTTCGAGATGGCCTGTGCCTTATCACGCTCGCTCAGTGCCTCGTCATCCGCCAGAAGAGCAGACTTCTTGCGCAGCTTCTCCAGCTTCTGAGCAGCCTTGAACTTCTTGCGGCCCTTGGCCTCCATCACCTTCTTGATGGGACGGGCGTTGATAGCACGCAGCTTCTCCTTGATGGCAGCCGCAGCAGCCTTGGTGATAGGCCGTTGGATTTTGCTGTGCTGGCCCTCATCGTCAAGGAACCACTCTGGCAGACCATCAACGTCACGGAACGAATAGCGATGCCAGCCATCGTCAACAATATCTTGTGACTTCTTCTCGCCGGAAGCCATCGCCTGTGCAAGAGCCATAGCCTCGGCAGTGATGATATCGATGTCTGCGAGGTGGATGTTAGTAACAGGGGACATGCATATCGATATGGTGTGGGAAGACATTTACCCAGTTGACCATTAGCCTTGCGCGGATCCTGGGGCTCCTCGATTTCTTCGTCGGAGTCGATCCATTCGGACTCTTGTTTCTTCTTAGGATCCTTCTTAGTCTCCTTCTTGTTCTTGGACTTGGATGTAGGGGCGGGGACATCTTCCTCTTCATCCGCCTCGCTATCCTCTTCCACAGCTTCTTCTTCTTCCTCTTCCTCCTCCTCCTCATCATCCTCGTCCTCTTCCTCTTCCTCTTCCTCTCCTATTCCTTGGAAAAGATCCTGGTCAAAGAACATAGAAGCATGATTGGAAAGGCTACCGGACTTGGGCACAGCATCCCCAGAGAGTTCCTCGTCGGAGTCGACTTCTTCCTCTTCCTCCTCTTCGTCGTCGCTCTTATTGTCCTCGGAGAATCCCTCCCATTCGTCGGCCTCGTAGTTCTTGCGAGCCTTCTTGGCGCGCAATTTCGAGTCGCGATCCTCCATGCGCTCTTGGTACATCTCGTACATTCCATCGAGTTCCCGTTCCAGACGGTCACCGTCATCGTCGCTATCCTCGTTCGAGTCAGACTCATCCTCACTCTCGCTGTCGACGGGCACATCGCGGGCATTGACCACGGCATCTCTGGCACCTAGTCGATCCACACGCTTGAGGGAGAATGTGGAGTCTTCTCCTCCGGGTCCGATTTGCTCCATGCCGATATCCATGGGAGTGGTCATGTGCATCTGTAACCGAACAATCTCTTTGCGCTTCTTCTCGTTCTCCTTGCGCCTTTCTTTTTTGGTGCGAGCGTTCTCCTTCTCGCGCATGCGCATGAGATCTTCTTGGATCGCCAACTCCTCGTCCATTGGGGCGACCTCAGCCACTTCCTCGCCTTCACCATCCTCCCCTTGCTTCTTCTTGACGGCGAGACCGAACTTCTCCCGTACCTTCAAACGCCATCGTAGCAGGTTGCGGAATTCTTTCTTACCGAGAATCTTGAGATCCTCGCAGCAAGTTCGAATCTCGTCTGTCGTCTCCTCGAGCCTATTCAAAGTAGACATGGCAAGATCTCCACCTATGGGCTGCTGGAAGCTCAGTTTGTTGTATCCACCCAAGATCGCAATGGGATCGGTAGTGTTGATGAACTCAGTAACCGGGATTTCCTTGTGCTGAGTGTAGTCTCCCTCCTCATAACCCTCACGCCTTCGCTTCTTCTTCTCTGGGTTGAAAACCTTGGCTTCAAAGTTGGGAGTCGCATCTTGCAACTCGGCGAAGACGTGCTTGGGGTCAAGGAACTTGGGGTCCATGTGCTTGGGCGCCTTGTAGCCACGGCAGACGACGAAAATTTCGGCGGAGACATTACGCGACGAGGGAGGCTTGGTGGCCTCGACCGACTGGAACAGCTGCTTGAAGACCCACAGCAGAGGGTTGTAATCCTTGGACCGGAAGACCTTGGTGACAAAGTTTCCGCCCTCACACAAGAATTCCGTAGCCAATCTCAAAGACTGCAACACAAGCTCGGCCTGCGTGAAAGCATCCTGAACCCAGGCTGTACCAACGTTGGGCGCACCGTCGTGAAGAACCGTGTCGGCCTTCCAGTGTTTCAGATGCGATCGAATCGTAGCACGACACTTGTCGGTGGTGATGTCGCTCTGGAAGGAAATGACTCGAGGGATAGGTTTGATAGGAGCAAGATCGACACCGACGATGAGACTTTGTGCAGGCATACATTCCGCAGCCACTTGACACCACGACTATGGTATTGTTAGAGATGAGATCGCCTTGGAGGATAGAATCGTGCAGGAGAACACTTACACCTGGGGCCGCACAAAGATCAAGCAAAACCTTGCTCTTCTCCAAGAATCCATACTTCTTATTCAACTGGATCAACTTGAACGCAGCACGAGCACGGTAGCCCTTCTCTTTGGCCAGGCGATACCATTTATCCAAACGACCTTTTCCGTGCTAGGAGCCAATTAGTACAGGTAGTCACCATGAAAGACACACTTAGAACTCACCTTCTTCTGGATCGCCATTTTGAATCACGGGCGGTCTTATCAAAGACCCGATTGCCCTAAATGCAAACGTAGACAAAAGAACGTCGGAGGTTGTATACTTTTACCCTGGCGGCTGATGGAGAGAAAAAAAAAGTCGAACTTATCGCTCACCGCCTTCCATTCCATCAGCGAATTGTTGGCGCCTGAGGCTATAAACCAGGCACCCGGCCCAGGCCAACAAGGCCAACATGTGACGTGCGTGATATCAGACCCCCGGTTCGTGGCGCTTGGTGGGAGCTCCCCAAGATCTGTCTTTGAGATTTGTATTCTTCTTCTAGAGCGATCCAGATCTCCTGATGATACTACCCCCGCCTCCATGACCACAAAGGGATCTCGCAAGAGAGTGAAAGCCAGCCCCTCTGGCGCGGACTCACTATCCCCCGCGTCTCCGAACAATGCAGCCCGAGACCGCTCAGACTCCCAGACACAGAGCCGTATGGTATGTCGGAGCTGATCAGAATGCTGATGCCTCACAAGTATATAGCTAATAACTTGTTTCCTTCCCTTATAGAGCTGGTACCCAGGATCATGGTCGGCTATCTCGCGTACGTCCAAGGCAGCTCCAGTTACCGAGGTTGCCCGTGAGAGCATATCGGTCGCGCAAAACGTAGCTTCCAGCGTTGTGAACTCCTCAGCCTCTCTTCTCGACACACCCAGACAAAACCGCCATCCTTCGATACAGTTGACCAAGAAAGCCGGCGCATCGACTAGATCTCTCCCTGCCGACGTTACCACGACTCGAGTTAATATTGCGTCGGACGGTTCAGCTTCTACAACAGCGTTGGATACCCTTGAGACACCTGTAGCTGCAGAAACAACGCCGAATCAAGAGACACCGGAACCAAATACTTTGAAACCTCTGGAAAAATCAGTGGAAGGAGAAGAGCCGATCGTTGAGAACGTTGGGACTGAGCCCACTACTCCACAAGCAACCCAAGCGCCAACTGAGCAGTCTGTCGGATGGTTCTCATGGATATATAGGTCAGGGCCAACAGAAAAGGACAAGCCGAGTGGTCCGGAATCTGCAGCAGAGGCAGAGACATCTGTTGAGAACCAAACTGCTAAGCAAGCCGAACCCCATCCAATCGTGGCGGACACCAGTGGAGCAGAAGTACAACAGAATCACGAGCCGGAGCAAACATCAGCGCAGGGTGGAGATACAATCGAAACGACCCCAACGGCTCAGAAACGGTCGTGGCTACAGATGTGGTACGGGGTGGGTCCAGCAAATAAGCAGGAGGAACAGCTTGCAACGGAGCCATCACAGGGAGACACTAGTGCATGCAAGGATCAAGACTTGGATATGGCGCCGAAAGACCCTTCAGAACGGCCAGAAGATGCGCCTCATATTCCGCAGACCACTGCTGGAACAACGAAGTCCTCGGGTTGGTCTTTCTGGTCTAAAGATACTGCCAAGGATGCTACGCCAGGTAAACTTCAAGAAGTCGAAGCTGTGGAAGCGACAGTGACATCGGATACAACAACAGCCCAACCGACATCACTTGAGCCAACCCCCGAGACTAATGTCAATGTCACCAAGAAGGGAAGCTTGAAAATCAAACCATCCAAGGATGGCCGTACGAAAGACGGAACTGTGTCCGCCGTTGAAGCTACCACTATTCCAACACCACCCGTCGAGCCGAGACCAGCCGATGTTACTGCATCAAAGACATTACAAAGAATCCTGCCTAATCAAGTACTTCCAAAATTCGAAGATACATTTGCAATGGAGGAGTCACCATCGTTGCTGCAGAGTCTCGGCCGGTTACTACATTACACCAAGGGCCCGGAGCATAATCATGTTTCCCGAATTAAAGAACCTCCTCGAATTAAACGCGCCCTGGCCATCGGCGTTCATGGGTATTTTCCTGCTCCGTTGATTCGGAGCGTGCTTGGACAGCCTACGGGAACATCTATCCGATTCTCGAACATGGCCACGGAGGCTATTCGAAAATACACGGCAGATCATGGCTATACCTGTGAGATAGGCAAGATCGCGCTGGAAGGCGAAGGCCGTATCGCAGAGCGGGTCGACTTATTGTGGAAGCTCCTTCTCAACTGGATGGAAGAAATTCGCAAGGCCGATTTCATCCTAGTGGCGTGCCACAGTCAAGGAGTCCCAGTGTCAATCATGCTTGTTGCGAAGCTGATTTCCTTTGGCTGTGTCAATGCTTCCCGCGTGGGAGTTTGTGCTATGGCTGGTGTGAACATGGGTCCATTCTCTTCTTACCGTTCCCGGTGGATCAGTGGATCTGCTGGAGAGCTGTTTGACTTTGAACTACCCTTCAGCAAGGTCTCCAAAGAATACGAGACTGCTTTGAAGCGCGCTCTTGATTTCGGAGTTCGTATATCTTATATTGGAAGCATTGACGATCAGCTTGTTTCCTTAGAGGTAGGTTTGTCATATATGCTATTGCTGGGACTCTCAACTAACCATACCTGGCAGTCTTCCTTATTCTCCACGGTGGCTCACCCATACATCTACCGCTCTGTGTTTGTAGATGGCAGGGTCCATGCTCCAAGCTTGTAAGTATTAAACACAACCTCACTATTGCCCTTATACTAATAGCTCTGGCTAGCCTCTCCCACCTTGTTGGCTTTGCTCTTAAACTACGCAACCTCGGTATTCCAGATCACGGCTTGATCCGTGAACTAAGCAGTCCATTGGCCGGCAGTCTATACACAGGCGAGGGACACTCCCGTCTGTACGACGACGAAGCCGTTTACTAGTATGTCTCCACCAATATACGTGTTCCCGTACCAAATACTAACATCCATTACCAGCATGGCTATCCAATTTGCTCTCGAAACATCCTCCGTCCCAGACGCCAAATTGAGCATCAAACGATCCAGCCCCGCCGTTTCCCCGAATCCATATATCCTGCCCTTCGCGATGCGCGGTCTCCTCGAAGAGGAATACGTCAGGCGCGTGCTACACGAAGAAACTATGGAACTACTTCGCCAATTCGATGACTGGAAGCCGTCGAGTAAGGTCTTGAAGGATGTCAAGTTTCGACTCGAGGGTATCCGGTCGAAGCTGTAACATGCCAAGCATAGAACAGCTTTGCTTTTTTGCTAGAGGTTTATCATGGACAGGATCATATGAGGATTTGGGTGTGTTTTTCTTTGCCAGGTTTAGCGATTTTCTTTTCTCCACTTTAGCGGCATCATAGAGGAAATATACAGTTCCCTCTGCTTTATTCCCCCAGTCAATCATTTTTTGCTTTGTTTTTCGTTTGTTCTACGTGTATCTAGCTAGATCTGCGATTTTTGACAATTTGTGTACGCGGTGTTTATTGTGGTTTGTTCCGAGATAGATATATGTATCATAAGAGAGATTTGAACCAGGAAGATAGCGCCGTGTACAGAAAAAGCCTTTCTTGAAGTCGTAAGTAGTGGAGAGATAGGGGAAGGTGAGGAGGAAATAAGGACCTTCGCATTAAATGCAACAAATGAAAAGAAAAAGATAGCGTAGATAATCCGCTAAACAGATGCAGTAGGGAACGCCGTTTGATATGCACCCTGAATTTCGTCTGCGAGATTGTCAGTAAATCATGGTGAATCACAAAGGAGGGAGAGGGTAAGGAAAACACCAACCTCGCATCCCATCCAACGCCTCAAAAGCAAACGAATAATTCGACACAGCCGCAATAATCCGCTCCAGACCCCGCCTCAGCTCTTCCACAAGCTGTTCAGTGGAATTACTCACAAGTTCACTCTCCACATCCGGCGAGAGTTGCTTCGCCACACGCGCCTTGTAAAATATCATAAACATCGCATAACTACTTTGCATAAGACAGCATGCGAACGAAGGCATTGTCCTAGGCAGAGGCTGACCACCCGCTTGATGTTGCGCCTGTGACCCGCCTTCAGATAACGGCTGTGGATAAGGCAAAGCCTCGAACATGCGGGAAATAGTGAGTGCAGAGCGTAGACAGATTTTTGCAGAGTGTTGTGGGCTGTAGGGGAATCCGGAGGCGAAGGGGTATTGTGGGTATTGGGGGATGTAGGGGTGGGTGTCGGACGAGGTTGAGGAGTCGGAGGGGGTCATGTATTCGGTTGAGGAGGCGCGTTGGAAGTGGTCGAGGTTGCTGCATGAGCAGGAGACGTTGTTTATACCGGGTGCTTGGATGGTGGATTTGGTTGGTGCGTTGCTTGGGTTGGCGGCTGTTAGGTCGCAGTGTCTTTTTATGAAGATGGGGATGTCTGAGAAGGCTCGGAAGCGATGGGTTTTGATTTGTGCGCTGAATCAAGTTAGAAGGTGGATTGATAAGTATGCAGCGGCTTCGAAAAAGGTGCGTACCTTGACAATTTGATCCGGGATATTGCCCGGATACTCTGGGCAGTGATTGTTTCACGGCGATCACCAAAGTCCGGCTCGGGAGAAACCAAGGGAAGCATATCTGTCTGCACAATCACCGAGTTGGTCCAGGAATCGAGCTGTTGCATTCGTTCAAAAATATAATGTAGACCCGTTTGTGACGTGAGACTTTTATTTAGATCGGAGATGAACTGAGTCGCTGATACCAGGACTTGTTGTGCTTGGATAAGAATGGACCAGCCCTAGTACAGGGATTAGCGGGCTGATAGCTAACAAGGCGTATTCGGCAGATAGAGAACAGACCTCAGCGTCAGACTCGAAACGTGGGTATGGCGTCGTAAACTGTGGGTCATTGATGACTATCGTCGGGGGCTGTCACTCAATTAGATATCACTCTGTATATATAGCTGAACTTGGGAGTTTAGACTCACAGTAGTGCTCACAATGGAGCCTTGAATGACGCAATAATACTATACGAAAATGAGCCACAATGAAACAAAAGGCAGATGTAAGGTGATTTACCGTCATCCACCAAGCTCTCCGCCGAGCTTCAGAAAATTCATCATTATCCGTGCAGCAATGAAGCGATTTATCCAAAGCAAGAGCCAATGCTTGACCGGCACGATATCTCATCTTAAGAAGATTTCCCCGTTGTGAGTACTCGTATACCGAAAGAATCAACAGGGCTAGAAGGGTCTCGAGATCCTCTGGAGTCATAGGATGAAGCCTTTCTCGATTCACCGAAGGCCGTGCACTTGATAATGCTTGACCAGGATCAGTGGAAGACAGCTCCAGATCACACTCTGTCTCAATGATAGAATTCGCTAATTGCGCAAATGTATGCGCGTACGTCCTTCGTTGAAGAACAGATGCAGCTGAAGATGATTCTGGGTCGTCTGGGTGTGGGATGAGAGCCAGAATTGCCGATATCGCCAGACTCAGCGGCGAGCGAGGCCTATAAATCATGAGCGGCTCTGATGATGGACCCGGCGAGACGGGACAATGCAATGGTCGGTCCTGAAACTGTGTTGATGCCCGGGGCGGTAAGATGGGGAAATAAGAATGGATGAAATCATAATAGGCGTTTAAACTTGTCGTTGCATGTTAGAAATTCCACACGGGATCTGCGAGGGGGATGAAGCAGTTCAGGACTTACATTTCCGGTTCACTCCCGTAGGTCCTCACCAGACATGACGTTGTACTCATGGGGGACGGCATAGCCCCCATATGAACATGAGATGGACTTTCATCTCCGGCAAAGAAGCCCTGAAATAGAGAGCCCACCTGTGGGAAGTCCAGATGGCGCAGACCTGCGCCCGGTAGAGACAGCACGTCGATTTGAGTAAACATCCCCGGCGCTGTGACATTGTTAGTGATACGGATGTACAGCTTATCGCTCGGCATGTAATTCATACGCTCATCGAAATCCGCCGAGGGATCCACAGCATACTGTGCATCTTCATGCGGCGCCTCTTCTTCTGGAGAGGGCGAGGCCTTTTGCTTCTTCTTGCGTGGCCCACCCCGTTTACTGGGCAGGTATGAGCATTTTCGGCCTTTGGCGACACACTAAAAGATGATTTAGTTAGTACTCCAATCTACCGCGTGAGCTGTGCGAGCCGCCAGCTACACCTCGAGGAACAAAGTACCCCGGAAAATGAGGGAAAATGACGGGATTGAAAAAAAGGATGACAAATACATTGGAACAGGGTTCCTGCCCGCCACAGCGCGTTCTGGAAGCGCGACTAGGGACGACAAGTTAGCAACGAATCCTCATCCGCTGGGCCAACGGCGATTGGCGATTGGGGCGTCGGCATTAAAGACGCACCAAGGCAAACAAGCTACTTTGACGGGCGGTTTGGCGAATTTCTTGCGAATTGGCCGAGGCGCCGTCTCGACAAGCCCGCAATCGTTCTGAAAAGCGTTGACCATGGCGAATCACACAGCCGGGATGACATGGGGCGATACTCCGCTAACTCCCCCGCCAGGCCCTCTTAGTCGGGATCTTTTTGTCTGACTGACTGCCTTTTTTGCCCTTTTTGTTGTTTGGGCAATAATGGTGGAAGGGGGGGCTGGTGCCTTGTGTTTTCTTTGGTAGTTGGGTTTCAGCCCGGATGGCACAGAAAGAATCCCGAGAGAAAGAATGAAGAAGAGCCCTGATATAGAAGCGGTGCGCTGATTGCTTGATCGTTGGTGATCCAAATCCCGAGCCGTGGAGATTCGGGATTTGCTTCGCGGTGCGGCGGACACTTCCAATTTGTCAACTACGAGTTAAGTTCCAGGGGAGCTTTTTCCTTTTTAAGTCGTGCTTCTCTCGTGTCGCCAGGGATGGAAAGTGGACATGATAGATATGATGGATATAATGAGGAATCCATGAAGTTCAATTTTTTTCTCTCTCTTCGTTTTTATCGAATGAATCTCTTTGGTCGGGAAGAACTTCCTGTCACGCGCCAGTCACGTGGCCAGTCCGGATTTCTTGAAAGTCTCGTCTCAAATCATACAAAGTATGCAGATGGTACTTTATACACACAAAAACTCGGGCACTGGAGGGTTTAGGCCTGAATATTGACTTTGGGTCCTCAATGGATCAATCAGCATGGTCAACTTGCGACGTATCTTTGTCCATTGTTGGGCAGCTTTCAGCTTTGACAGTGGAGCCTTCAAGAAGGCGACCAAGGGATGGATATACAGTAGCTAATAGTTCATTGCCTGATCCAACTTGGCATACGTAGATGGATCAATCTGCAGAAGTTTGAACCCCGAATCATTTACGAATCGGGATGTGCATCAATCCACACAGGCAGCTACTACTATGGTATACTACCCTGCAGGATAAGACAAGAAATAATACTGTCAAAGATAACCAACCTGCGTTCAACAGGTTCGTTAGATCAGCTTATTTCGAGAGCCCCACTGCGGACCTGCGCATCAGGGTTCTCTACTATCTATAGGAGGTTCAGGCTTTCGGCAGCTAATCCCACATCGACACCCTAACTATGCCAAATGTACTGTGCATAATTCAGTACAAGATACTCCACACACAGCACATCAGACCTGAGTCAGACAATATGTACTCATCCAAATCCCATCTTATCCACACTGTTCAAGACTCGGTCGATCTTCAGCCCTTGGGCCCAACGGATGAAAGCTTAATGCCCGTCACATACCGCACACTGTCCCACACGGTTTCAGGCACCTTGACGGGTAGTTTGTGACCTTTCAGCTGCTGGTCGATCAACCACATTCCAACCACGAATTCTTCTTTCGTCAGAAGGCCGATCTGCTGGCTATCCACCAGATCCCACACCTGCGCCAACACGGCGGGTGGCAGTCGGCTGCGGGACCAGATCTCTCGCGCCACCAGGTTCAACACCATTTCTGACGCAGGCGGGCCTTTCTCGGCCCCATTCGGCCCACCTCCGGTTTTCCTTCGGTCAGGAGGAATCAACAGCCCCTTATTAGATGCCCAAACGCCCTCGTAGCGTTTGCGCTCTTTCTCTGTGACTTCACGCCTCCATCGTTTGCGATCCCCTTCATGATGCTTGTGGGGGTGTTTGTGGAGCAGGTTCATCTTGTGGCGGCGGCGGGCGTCGGCTTCTTCGGCCTTCGGCATGCCGCGTAGCGTCATCGGCATGCCCTTGGGTGGACTCGGCGTCCGTGATAGATCACTCTTGGGAGAGTGTGCAAATTGTAGTATTGACCGGGACCGCGCTCGTCGTCGTGAAGGAGGAGGCGGCGGGGCAAGCTTCGTCGCAGGGGATGCTCGCGCGGATGCAAGAGAAGATGCGACAATCGCGTTTGAGAGAGCTTCCTCATCCATGCCTGGTTCATTCGCGCTCGAGCTGCTATGGTATGAAAGCCCTGATACTGAAGCCATACTGGGTGTGGAAGGGCGTAGGAGCGGGGTGCCGGTGAAGACCGGATTTCGCGTGGATGCCCGCGAGGGGGCGGTTCGCGGTGGAAGATTCGGTTTGGTATCATCGAGAGAAACTGTGGTCATTCGAGAGCTAACGGAGGGATGGGGGCTGGTCGCCGGGACGCGGACGCTTGCTGCGCGAGGTGGGAGAGACGGGGGTTTCTTGTATAATTCGGGTTCTGATTCGGGCTCGGAAAGAGCCAGGCCATCTCGAAGCATGGCATTGACGGGGTTCTCTTTAGCGGTATCTCTGGGTCGAATAGGAGTGGGCGAGCGTAGCTCTCGTCGTTCTTCGGGTGCTTGCGACTGCATTCTGCTTGCGCTGCGCGCAGCACTGATCTTGGCGGCAGCCACGGCGGCCGTTGCTTGCTGTACCCTCGAAGGAGACCTCTCGATGGCAAGACGCGCTGCAATCTGTCCGACGGATGGCGGCGGAGTTCGTCCTCTCGACACGGCTCTCGGCGGCGGCAGGGTGTTGTTGGCTGCGAACAAGCCAATCTTGTCCCTCACGGAGCCCACCACGGGCGCATTCTCAGACTCCATTTCGAGGCAACGGTCGGCATGCCGATTCAGAGTGCTAGCTACAGCGGCTCTGGCGGCGGCAGAGGGTGGTGAGGCCACATTGGATGATGCTTTGGAGTTGGAAAAGGCGATAGTGGCGCCCTGCAACGCGGAGTTGTTTCGGGAGGCCGGGGGAGCCAACCGCGGTTTGGCGGCGGCGATCTCGCCGTTCATTTCCCCGGTTTTCCGATCCAGCGAGAGCAAAGACAGGGAAAAGACTATAAAAGAGGGGGTGAATGGGGAAAGACTCGAAACTTTCCAGGTTGCACTGCAGCTGGTGAGAACGGCAAAAGATGACGCCGCTGGCAGAAGGCAGAAAAAGGCCGACCGTGCACGGCACCGTTTTTTCAGCTTCAATACTATACAGTATACGACTAAATACATATGCAAGAGTTCAGTTGAAACTCAGAGAATGAATAGCCTAATTGATAATATCATCCTAGTGAAAGGTAACTATGAGCACTTATTCTCGTGCTAGCTATTCGACGATCTCGACTAATCTAGCTTCTAGTTATCCGAACTTTTGAAAAGCATATAGCAGTAGGATAATGTATACCATCCAGTCAGTCAAAGTATCAGCTGGTAGTCGATTAGGCTAATCGAATAGGTCTCTGCAACAAACATAGCCATAGGTATAGCTCTACTATCCAATATAGAATAGTACCACCAACTCTCTAACCATTTCAATAAGTCTCTTTCCCCAGATTCAAATCTCCCCAAATTTAACCGAGCTGGCCCGTTTCAATGCCCCCAATGAGCCAATCGCAATTCTCGTTTCTCCGCAAGCGTACAAATGGATGGAACCCAATTTATCCCCCAAACTTTCCCCCTCTCCAATTGGCAGTGGATATTCTACGATTCTCTCAATTTATAGCCTGTGAGCCCCCCAGATCCCCCCAACCCCCCCGGGCTTTTCCCCTCCTTTTCGTGCATCGCATGAATCATTCCTCGTCGCCTTGGAAATGCCGCATCTGGTCTGGATGCACCCCCTGGAGCCGCCATGCTCTCGGAGACTGAGACTGACCATGCCGACGCCGGCGATCTCACAGCCGACGTAACTTCCCCCGCAAGGGACTCGGTGGATCGCGAGCAAGACCCGAATCATCACGCCAGTGGAGACCGAGCCGAACAGGGTGCCGGCGCTGGCCAGGTTCAATGTACTGTCTGTAGCAGCACTTTTCGACGTCCGGAACATTTGAAGCGGCATTTGCGCAGTCATACCAAAGAAAAACCATTCGAGTGCGCACAGTGTGGACGCCATTTCTCCAGAACGTAGGTGGCGGTTGAATTTCTTCCGTCGAGTGGCATCAATGAGGCCGGTATATACTGACTTGGCCAATTATGGATATAGCGACACCTTGCATCGACATGAATTGAGTCACCATACTCCCGGGGGTGAGGGAGGCAAAGATCGCCCGCATCGTATCACCGTCAAAACGTTCAGGGCTTGCTTTAGCTGCGCGACAGCCCGGGTTCGATGTAGTGGGGGCATGCCATGCGGCCGATGTGATACTCGCTCGCTCGAATGTCAATATCCGACGGAGAGACGGTCCAAAGCTAGACTCCGCAATGGAAGTTTGAAAGGACCCTCGACTCTCCACCTGGAGACACTGGAAGTAGAACCTCAGTCGCCTCGAAACCAGTCTCCTCGGCCCAGTGGAAATAATGCGGCTGCCACCCACATGAACAATGATATTCCCTCCCACCAACTGGGACAATTTTCGATTAATGGAATGAACAATACTCCGACATCACCCAAGGCATCAATACACCCCTTTCCGAGCCCATCGAACCCTCGTTCAGAGAAGAATTCATCAGATGGGCGGGGCTCTGTTGCAGGCCCTTCGAATCCTCAACTTTATACTCCATCTGCTAATCCAGCTGCCGATGCTCCCACCTTACCACCGAGTGTGTATCCGAATGGAGAGTACAATCCAGGTTATGGCGAACTTCCAGATTCCGGTATGCTCCCCGTGGGCACCACGGCTAATCTCGTACATGAAATGAGAGACGTGGAGACAGGAATGGCTGGCCCAGGTGTGGGTATGGATATAGACATGACGGGAAACCCAGAGATGGCATTAGGTTTCGACCCTTCAATCTTTGATCCATCGATGCTATCTACGATCAATTGGCTGCCCAACGAGTTCTTCGCCGGTCCATCAAGCGACCAATCCCAATCTTCGAGGGCCCCGCAGCATTTCCCTCAAGGTGCTCTCCCGGATAATTATGCAGCGCGATTCACTTGGCAGCCTTCGGTGATCAACGCTGACAACATAAGCCCCTCGGTCCCTGAAAACAACACCCATACTCCCTCCGGCCCTCTTTCTCTGGGTACTGATATGGGAAGTCCCAGGCGATACTCCCATGTCGGTAGCGAAGCATCACCGCACGCGGAATCAGTCGACTCTGCCAAGCGTTCAGCCGACTTCTACGTCGATGGCGGTGGTGCAAGGCTTCCAAGATACAGGAAGAAACAAACGCCCTGGTCTACCTCCTCAATCGACCTACCAGCTACCACGGGGCAAGCGTTTTCCGAAAACAACACACGTCGATTCGGCTTCCCGGGTGTGCAGGAGGTCTACATGGAGAACATCCCCGAGGAAGTGCTCCATTCGATTCGACCCCTCGAAGCTGCAACCTACGACGAACTTTATCGCAATTTCCTCTTACTCTGCCGCAATGATAATCCGTTCTTTGAGATGTTCGAGACCGAAAACTTCCCCAGGCCGGAAGAATGCACCCGGTACCTTGCCTGCTACTTGGATTCATTCCAAGCGGTATATCCTATTTTCCATGTCTCCACGTTCGACGTGAATCAATGCCACTGGGTCTTGGCGTTGGCTATTCTCGCCATTGGGTGCCACAGCTCTAGTATTCATGATGCCGATCAGTGCACAGCCGCCTTCCACGAGATGCTCCGCCGGGCCATACATGTCGAGGTAAGCCTATTTTTCCTCCCTTGAGAAATTTTCATGTGGCATCACAACTAACAATCTACAGAAAGCAAAGCGCCACGCTGGACCTACTCCCTTGGGCCTACTCCAGGCCATGCTGCTCAACTGTATCGGACTATTCCATAGTGGCATTGAAAAAGACAAGCTATCTGCCTTGAGCGCTTTCAAAGAACTTGTGAGACTGGTAGAAGATAAGAAACTACTGGCTGCATCAAAGCCATTGAAGGAGTCAGGCAGGATTTCCGGAGAAGTCCTATGGCAAAAATGGATTGATGATGAGACTCGGAAACGGACCGGCTACTGTGTTTGGGTAAGTTTCGCCTGAAGAACCAGATTCGGAAATTTGCTAATCATTATTTGAAAGCTTTTGGACTGCACGCTTGCTTATTATCTTGACGAGCGGCCGCTTCTGTCCTTAGATGACGGGCAAGCTGCGTTGCCCGCTCATGAAAAACTTTGGCAGTCGAACTCGATGGAAGATTGGAAGCAGTTGTGGGACCAATCTAGTAGTATGTTCTGTCCAATCTCAACCATTACACTGGGTCAATTGCTAAATTTGATAGTGAATGAATCGCTTTATGATTCAGTCCATATCCTATACATCGAGAAGAGACTTGTCTCTGGTATTGGCGAATTCAGCCATATCCTTCTCATTCACGCTTTGTATCATCGAATGTGGGAAGTAGGTGACTACTTCCGCCGACCACTATCATTCTGGAACCCAACTGCAAAGAAGCAGTCTCGGGAGACTGCAATTCCCACGGGGTCCGTTTGGCTCCCTGGAATCCCATCGTACTCCAAATGGCGCAACAGTGCTTGCGATTGCTTAGACATCCTCCACTGGACCGCTAACAGCACCGTCGCCAAAGCCGCCGGACTGGAACATCCCACTGTTCTGCATCTCCATGTGGCTCGGCTCGTCTTGCTAGCACCCTTCCGGGAAATTCGCGCGCTTGCGACATCTCTTGTTACGGACAAGCTACGATGGAGCAAGAGACATCAAGCTATCGAATGGCAGTATATATGGCGCTGGATCAAACATGATCAATACAAAGCTCGACTATCGATTATTCATGCTGGAGTAACCCTCTGGCACGTCAGACGGTACTCCACGAATGCATTTCATGAGCCGGTTGCTGCATTCCTCGCAGTTCTAACCCTCTGGGCCTACGGGTCATGTCATGGTACATCCCAGGACTCAAGTCCACAAAATCAAGCCTCTCGCAATGAGCCCCTGCAAGAGCCGAGTTTTATTCATCTAGACCGGCCATGTGACGATGAGCTTGTGCAACTCTTCGTTCGTGAAGGCCACTCTATGAGGGGGAATGTCACAGGCGTAGGAGATATTTGCGCGCCAGAGGGTCCAGAGAGAATTTTACGCGTTGGCTGTGAGACTCTTTCTGGTTTGAGCGCTTGGGGTCAGTCGAAGAGGTTTGTGTCTATCTTGACTCGTCTGGCTGATCTTGTGTCAAGGGGCTCGGAAGGGGAGCAGAGCCGCAATGCGAATACGGAGGGGTGCTGAGAAATCCCTTTGCTTGTTGAAGATCATCCTCAAATACCCCACATTTAAATTTAGATGTACAATAGTTTCCAATTCATATCTGCACCATTTTGGAACACTGCTTGTAACACAGAAGCGATGTAATTCAGACCTACAGTATAGTAAGAATACAGTGAGGGTGATGTCACACACGTGCGCACCGAGCTTGTTATCTTATCGCGGAGCTGCCTAAAATCATCCGGGGAACTTAGACTTCCCCATCTTCAACTGTTTACACATCATGGATTCCGACGAGATTGTCCCTGAAAATACCCAGGTGGAGGTGGAGGTGGAGGATCTGGATGAGAAGTACTTCGTCATTTGTCAGTTTCATCTGTTCCCTTTCTAACCACCCAAAAACACAGATACCCTAATCGGCCTCATAATCGCGCCGCAACACTCCCATTCCATGATCTGTATCTGAGCCTTTTCGACCCCCTCAGTGATATCAAAAAGAAACCCCAGGCTCCCAGCTTAGCTAGACGGAAAGCTGGACCTCACGGGAAAGGTGCAACAAGCTTGAACCCATATGAGCTCCGACGCGATATTATCGCCCGTTTCATTTCGCGATGGCGCAAGGAAGTTGGAGACGACATCTACCCTGCCTTCCGGTTGATTTTACCGGACAAGGATAAAGATCGACCTATGTACGGCATAAAGGAGAAGGTTATTGGAAAAATGCTCGTCAAGATCATGAAGATCAACAAGGAATCAGAGGATGCTTCCAACCTTCTGAACTGGAAGCTCCCAGGAGTATCTGCCGCGCGAATGGCAGGCGACTTTGCCGGGCGTTGCTACGATGTCATATCGAAGCGACCGATGCGGACTGAACCGGGTGATATGACGATCGAAGAAGTCAACAAGAAATTGGACGATCTCTCAGCTGCGTCGAAGGAGGACCAGCAAATACACATTCTGGCAGAGTTCTACCGGCGCATGAATCCGGACGAACTGACGTGGCTCATTCGAATTATTCTTCGCCAGATGAAGGTCGGCGCTACGGAGCGTACACTCTTTAACGTCTGGCATCCAGATGCCGAGAACCTATACAGTATCTCCAGTAGCTTGCGCCGGGTTTGTTGGGAGCTGCACGATCCAAATATCCGACTTGAGGCGGAGGATCGCGGTATCGGGCTGATGCAGTGTTTTCAGCCTCAGTTGGCACAGTTTCAGATGCACTCGTTTGAGAAGATGATTTCGCGAATGCGGCCAACGGAGGAGGATCCGGTCTTCTGGATTGAAGAGAAGATGGATGGAGAGCGTATGCAGCTTCATATGGCTCCGGATGAATCAGTGCCAGGCGGTCGCAGGTTCCGCTTCTGGTCGCGGAAAGCCAAGGAATACACTTATCTCTATGGAAGTGGGATATACGACGAAAAGGGAGCTTTGACCAGACATCTGGAAAACGCCTTTGTTGATGGTGTGCAGAGCCTCATTCTGGATGGCGAGATGGTGACGTGGGATCCAAAGCAGGATGCCCCGGTTCCTTTCGGCACATTGAAGACTGCCGCCCTGGCGGAACAGCGCAATCCATTTTCCGATGGACCAAGGCCACTCTTTCGTGTTTTCGATATTCTCTATCTCAACGGGACCGATCTCACCCGATACACACTTCGCGACCGTCGCAATGCTCTGGAGAAGACAGTCATCCCTGTTCATCGCCGCTTTGAGATCCTCGAGTACCACGAAGCTACTACTGTAGCAGATATTGACAAATGCCTGCGAACAGTCGTGGCCGAAGCTTCAGAAGGTCTAGTATTGAAGAACCCTCGTTCACCATACCGGCTAAACGAGCGCCATGATGACTGGATGAAAGTCAAGCCAGAATACATGACCGAATTTGGAGAATCCCTCGACCTAGTGGTCATTGGTGGATACTACGGCTCCGGTCACAGAGGAGGTAACCTATCAAGCTTCTTGTGCGGTCTACGAGTTGATGATCAAAACTCCTCGCGGTGTACAGACCCCATGAAGTGCTGGTCATTCTGCAAAGTCGGCGGAGGTTTCACTGCCGCCGATTACCAGGAAGTGCGTCATCATACAGATGGCAAGTGGAATGAATGGGACCCCAAAAAACCCCCAACTACCCTTATTGAGCTGGCGGGTGGAGACGCCCAGCATGAACGGCCCGATATGTGGATCAAGCCGTCAGACTCGGTCGTGCTCTGTGTCAAGGCAGCCTCGGTGTCTGTGAGTGATCAGTTCCGTATGGGATTGACCCTCCGCTTTCCACGCTTCAAGAAGTTGCGCAAAGACAAGAATTGGAAGAGTGCTCTGTCAATCCAGGAGTTCTTGGACCTCAAGTCAAACGCAGAACAGGAACATCGGGAAAAGGAGTTTTCGGTGGACAATTCCCGGAAGCAGAAGCGTGTGAAAAGGGCTGTGAAGAAAACGTTGACTATCGCTGGATATGATGAGAAGGAAAACGTGCAATACTTTGGACCTTCTGGTCATATCTTTGATCATCTTAACTTTTGTTCGTCTATCAGGCCCTCTTTTCTACAGATTCATTTGCTAACAACATCGATGTAGTCGTCATGACAGAGTCAACTGTGCCGGAAAAGAAGACAAAGGCTGAACTTGAGCAACTCGTCAAGGCCAACGGGGGCAAGATCTATCAGACAAATACTGCAGCCCAAGACACCATTTGCATCGCTGATCGCAGTAAGTAGTACTAACTATTAAAAAAAATATTCAACTGAGGCCATACTGATCATATACAGGAACCGTCAAGGTGGCATCTGTCCAGAAGAGCGGGCAGACCAACATTGTCCGGCCATCCTGGTTGATCGACTGCGTCAAACAAAATGAGAAGGATGCCGGTCTGCCGGACCTCCTCTTACCTTTCGAGCCAAGGTATGCCTTGATGATCGTCAAGGACTCCATAGAGACCAGACTAATATTGATGAACTACAGACACATGTTCTTCACCTTGGAGGACCAAGATGAAGACGTCAAGTTGAACGTCGACCAATTCATGGACAGCTACGCCCGTGACACCACGGTTGATGAACTGAAAGAAGTATGTTCTTTCAAGATCCTCTCTAGGCTCTGTAACCCGCTAACACTCCCGGCAGATTCTCGAGCAGATGCACAAAACAGAAGAGACACCCAGACCCCTAGATCCCCACTCGATCCAAAAGATCGAAACCCACATCCAAGACAAAATCAACTCAGGCTATACCGCACCACGTGGATGGCTCTTCCGCGGTCTAACATTCTTCTTTCCCTCAAGCCACCAGGCCAACGGCGATGCAAACAGTGACTCGGATTCGGATTCTTCAAACTTCGCCACGAAAGATATCCGTCTCACTCTTGCGCGCAACACGGCACAGTTTGGAGGGGCTAGTATTGTCACTTCCCTGAAGACTCATGGTGTTACTCACGTCATTGTTAATACGGAGATGATTTCTTCAGCGGAGATCAGCTCTTTGAGGAAATCTCTGGCTGATGGTTCAAGGAAGAAGATACCTCACCTTGTGAGCTTGGATTGGGTGGAGGAGAGCTGGGAGCATGGGACGTTGTTGGATGAAGAGAGTAAGTTTATCCTCGTGATTTGTTACACTTGCTCTTTTTTATGGCGATTTGATTTGGGACTGTTGCTAAATTGTACATTGATAGGATTCCAGGTGCTGCGATGATATGCTTGGAGGTGTCAGATATTACTAGCCTTTGTTTTATACCATAGCATACCTCATTCTTGTGTGTTTTGATGAAAGGATATATGTAGAGGTATTCCTGACCGCCTACGAGGTGAATACCACGGATGTCCTTCCAAGCCATAAGCCAGGGACCCACCAACACCCAGCCATACGATTATAACTGTAGTTAATTGTAAGGATGCAAGCTAGATCACGAGCGCAATCCCCCATAGAAAAACGGTCATCTCCGGACAGGAGCGAGCAGGAAGCACCTTAGTCAGTAACCAGGTATGCCCTTCTCAACAAAAGCGGTCTTGTCTTGTGTCTTGTTACATAGACACTTTGCCGGGTCTTTACACGAATTATGATATCAGAAATCCCGGACTCCTCCATGCAAATGGGGGGTTATCACGGAGAGTTTTCGAGTGTCTTGTTAAACTAGTCAAAAACGATGCCTAGCTAAACAGTCCATAGGGACTAGAATACTAGATTATTATACAGACTACGTATTGAATGAACATAGCATACATAGAAAAGGAAGAGGAGATAAGAGGGGGAAAACAAGGGACCTAGATCGGTCCATAACAGGGTTCCAAAGTGACACCGTCATCGGGAACGACTTCCAGTACCAGTAACCTTCAAATTAACTAAGTAGATCTCGATCTCTATTTTCGATTGGGACTGACCTTTTTTTCTATTAGTCTTTGCTCATCCACGGCATTTATTGAGCACGGATTAATCTTTGAATGCTTACGAAGAAGAATAATAATGATAGCGAATGGAGTAAGGAAGAGAGATACTGTAGACCCGATGACGGGGCAGCGAATCACTCATGCGGAGATTAAGGCTGACCGATCAACGCGGGAAGTGATCTCATGTGGCTGCGGGGGGGATGATATCACGTTGCAGCGGGGGAAAGTCACCACCACCCGGACTTGAGCGGCTCGAGAGCATACGAAAGTAATACAGATACCAGACCAATAAAGCATAAAAATACGTTTTTGAATGTTTTGAGATTTGATTGTTTTTGTAGAGATAGATATATGGATATCATAGGGAATGGAAGCAAGGCTTTGAAGCCGCCAAGATTTCAAAGGGGGTATGTCACAGAAAGAGAAAAGAAATGGTGTCATGCTAGGACGCTTGTATCCGGATCCAACGCCTCGCTGGTTTAATGAGGAAAAGAGAAAGGAAAATGGGATAAATATGTACTGAGAGCCTGACCACGGCTGCGCCCGGCGCTGCCGTGTGGGTTTCTCCAAGAGTTGGGGTTTAAAGAGGTGGGATTTCAAGCCGAGATGCCCACCCATCGAGCAGGAACGGCGTCGTTATCATCACCATCTTCGTAGTCCCCGGTCAAGCGGTAGGGATTGCTCTTGCGAGGAGGGAGCATGATGCGCGCTCGTGTTGGGATATCCTCACGGAGCTTGCCGCTGCGACGCATGTTCATTTCAAGAACAACCATACGAAGGAAATCACAGTTCTCGCGGGGTTCACGCTGGCGTGACATCGGTGGTACCTCCGGATCGTACGTGTGGTACTGATTACGGTTCTTCGGGGCAACAACGTGGAAGTGATTGCGCCGGTTTCCTCGGCCACGAGAACGGCGGTAGGTTTGCATCTGAATAGAGACAGCGCAAGCACTGTTCGGCTCGGACTTATCGTGAGGATGATCGTGGTAGACGCACATCTCGGCAGGAGAGATGGGGGTGGGGTTCAGGTATCGTCGCAGTGCTGGAGATGGCGGTTCTTGCATGGGAGGAGGGCGGCGGTCATCGGTCATTTCGGGGGTGATGGTGAACAAAGACCGAGTGAGGAAGTCTTCTGGTTGTACAGAAGGCGTGGTAAACGTTGAAACCGACTGGGCGGCAGATTTGATAGCTCGTAGGGACGCGGTGAGGTTCGACTTGAAGGACGATCTCAAACTAGGAAATGTTCGAGAGGACGCAGTGCGCTCTGAGGGGACGGTATCATGGATGGTAGCCTCGGGAAGACTCTCAAACACATGGATCTCACAGTCATCCAAGTCTGTTTCGAGCAGAGGGTGATCCAGAGCACAGTCTTCGGCAGGTGAATATCGCAAGGGCCGTCGCTCAGACGAGCTTTTATGACTGCCGGGTGTCTGCGGTTGAGGCGAGCTAACGGGAGAGCCCAAATCAGGCTCTAAAGATGGCATCGAATCGCTTGAAACTGAGCGCACAGAGAACGGAGATTCCATCTCAGACTCGGTGGAATACTTTTCGTTCTCTTCCTCCGGTGGGCTCAACAAGATATCCAGAGGCGAGTTACCTGCACCACCCATCAAATAGTCTTCCTTGGACCTCAGCCCTTCCTGCATCATCCGGCTGAACTCTTCCACATGGTTGCCTCGGGGGAGTTTCCGAGGTCTCCGGGTGGACCACGACCGGCGTGGCACAGGAATCGCTGTGGCGTCCAACATGGAGGCCACTGACAAAGGTAAAGGTCGTTCATTTGAAGAGGAGGATGAGGATGATCTGCGAGACGAGACGGACGGTTTGGATGGGGTACGAGTCCGGGCTTCTCGGTGCAGCGGCGTGCGTGAGCCACGCTTTGGTGGGATTACTACCGGGGTGGTCATGGTTGAAGCGGAGATGCCGGCATATTTTGAGGGATAATGGCCGAGGCGATCCACGCCCAATGACGAGGGGTGTTCTTTCAGGCCATAAGGCTGCATGGCTTTCTGGGGCGGTGCTGAGGTAAAGAGAAAGGCTCTCGGGACCATCATCTTAACGGGTCATGCCAGTCTGGTATTTTCCTGCGAAGCCTTGGCCGGAGGAGGCACTCTGGTCGAGCGTCTGGGCGAGATACATGGGTAGGAGGAATGATGGGATGGTAGGAAGTCTCCCGGCGCTGATGTCGGGAGATGTACCAGTAGCCGATATGGGTAGACTGGTGTTCAGTGGAGGGACCGGATTGTGTGTGGGCTAGGATGGCGAGGAGTGATGTAGTAGTGGGATTGCTACTGGAGATAATGAGGAAGAGTCGAGAAGGGAAGTCGAGAAGGGAAGTCGAGAAGGGAAGTCGAGAAGGGGAGTCGAAAAGAGCAGGTAGTATGTCTTGAGAGAAGAGAGAAGAGGTGAAGAAGGGAGGAGGGAAGGGAGGAAAGATAAGAAAGTGGTGATCTCAGCGGATGACGGATGATAAGAGGCGTTGTGCATGGGAAGGCGGTCCTCCGTATCTTCCGTAAATATGGTACGGATAGTACGGATGGCGGTAAAGTTTGTAAAAAATGGGGCAGGGATGTATTGGGCAGGTACGCGTGTGACGGGTAATTATGGGATTGTCTTGGTCTTTTATTATTGGGCACAGAGAAACAAATAACATGCCGGCCACCCTTCCGGTAATACTGGAGTATTGTTCACATTATTAATTCATCCTTCAGAACTTGGCCCCCGGCTTGGGCCGTAACCACTTTGTAAGTAATCATGTAATTAATTTACGGAGTAGGGGGATCGGCCTGCCTTGCTTGGGTTTAGCGCCTAGTTTAAGGTGGTATTTGTGCCGTTTTCTCCGGTGTCTGGTTTTATTCCGTCGGGGTAGAATGTTCGGCCGGTGGAGCCATCGAAGAAAAAAGCCCTGCGATCGGGCTAATCCGCTTCTCCTTTTTTTCCTCCAGAGTACGGAGTGCATAATCTATCAGTTATCGTAATTAATCTGTAGTAGTTCATACATTACGGTCGGGGCTCTGGGTTGGGTTGATTCTATACGTGACTTTTTACAGGTCACGTTTGACTCGCGGTGATCTATCATTCATCATTCCGACCTATCGTTTCTCTGCTAGGTAGTCCCAAGCCCTCTCCAGCCATCCGAAAATTTGTGATTGTCAAATATGGGCCCTTCAATCTTCTCGGCAATCCATAAATCCACCGTACAGATAATATTACTACAAATTATCATGACAAGACCCCCTAGTCGCGTGCTGGGGATCCGCTCCGACTCCGCCAGGTGGGCCGTTTAAGGTTGGGTTTAGTGTGGTGCCTGCAGATACACACAGTATGGTAGACTGACCGCCAAGGCTCATTACAATCTCTGTACGGAGTAGAAAGATCACTAAATACCATAGATCCATATGTCAAAATAATACCTCAAACAGTGTACATGATTACTCGTCTTCTATTTCTGACTCTTACAATCATCATCATTCAGGGTGGCCTGACTGTCTGACCACAACACTGCCCCCCAGGATTGTTTCGGGAGTCGCCGGCCTTGATGGGCGATCGGATGAACCAGTCGGGTTGCGGGTGGCTGCAGACGTCTGTAAAAGTAAAGACGAAGAGACCGACGTGGCCAGTGGAGCTGCCTAAGCGAGCAGCACACTTGCGGTGTATGGATGTGTATACAATAATCATAACAAAACTACTCCGTATAGTTGGGCTTGTTATGATTATTATTTGACATGGTATCATTATTTGTTGAGACCCCCCTTTCTTTGCTTTGCTTTTGCTTTTTGCCTTGGTTTGATGGTAATGTGATTACCGAGTCCTGCGTTGGGCCCCCGAAAAAAAAAAAAAAAACAATACAGATGTCTTCGTGGCCCTGGTCCTTTTCTATCCACCATACAAAAAAATAACAACATGCGCGCCTGGCGGTGAAACAACTCGATGTGTTGGGGGGTGGTCGCTTAGTGCGGGTGTATCCAGTCCGGAGTCCGTCCGTACTGGATTCCTTCCTATGCACTGGAACATGAGTCATTTAGAGCGCCAGACAAGATTTTAATTACACAGAAATGATCTACCTTTGCTGTGCCTCCAAACTATATTCCCTAGATGTCTACCCAATCTATACTTTAAACTACAATCCATAGATCTTTTTAGTCCTGAGGCAATTCAGCCTTCCCTTTCAGGCTTCCAAAGTACACTAACTCATCATATGGTGGGCACGTGAACGCCAGCTTATCAAATTATGGCTGAGTCAGCTATCACTACCGTCGAATCCGTTGATGAGTTCACGTTGAGTTGCAGCCAGCCAGAAGCCAGCGATAAACCCCCAGCTGCAGTCTGCCTGCTGGATCCAATCATCGCCATTGTATTCTCATCACCATTGCGCTGTTATCTCGAGGCATTCTCTGCCATCTCATCCATATCCCCCCAAAAGCCCTCCCCCGCCTCCCGTGTGGGGTGTCCCGCGGGGTCTCAGAATTCCAACCCATTTGCGCTGCTTGCGGCGTGTATAGAAACCTGCTTCGTAAAAAGCTGGTGGTCGGAAACATTGCATGCACTGGTCCTCGAGGCTCAAGCATGACCCATTAGTTCGGAGCTCTTCTCGCCGGGGAACTAACTAACGCCTTTCCATATCTCGTAATCAGCTATCGCGTATGGCCACTTATCACTGCCGACTCCCACCTCCATCATTTTCTTTCTGGCCTGTGGAAACCCTGCCTGTTTTGACCAACTTTCGGGATTTGAACGATGGACAGACCATGTCTCACGCCTACTGAAATCTGGACCATTGACCGGTGGACACGAGGCTAAAGAACGTGGGAGTGATCGTCCGCGGAGAAAGCACCACCAACGAACTTCGAATCCAACCTATCGCAGGAGTCGATCCCCATGGCTGCAGAGCGAGGTGCGCCCAAACGGCGCTGTGTGAGTACTGCTTGCATAGCTTGTCGGAGGAGGAAGTCAAAGGTAAGCCCTCCTAGCCGTGTTGACAAGCTTGGGATGTGGGTGGTGTGGCTGATCATCTCTTCTTAGTGTGATGGCAATCTGCCCAGCTGCGCAGCATGTTCCTCTGTTTATCATACACCATGTATGTATGCTCCCCTGCTGAACTTCTACTTCAATTATAATTAACCGTTTCGCAGGTGTCTATGATCCAAACTCCGATCATCGACGTAAAGGAGTTTATAAGAAAGATGCCGATACACTTCGAACTCGGCACACGACATTGCAAACATTAATTCAAGCATTATTGAACTATGAAGAAGACGATGCTTTCGATTTGGTTCGCCAGATTCGTTCCTGCGACGATCTGGAAGATGTTGCCAAATCTGTCATTGCTCGAGAGAAAGGGCTTCTTGCCGCGGCCAATGCTGATGCCGCTAGAGATTCAAACGATGATGAATCAGCCGGGGTTGACCAGTTCGAGTCTGAGCTATCAGGCAAAATGAGCGAACTGGTACTCGATGGCACTCGCAAATTTATTGGTGGGACGTCCAATCTCATTTTCCTTCCGCCGGGCTCGGAAATACACGAGTCTCTATCCACAACCGATTCTCCTGCCCTCAATGACTCGCAACCGATTCGGCGATGGACTCGGGTCACGGAAGATGACTCGCTGATCAGCCATCTCCTAACCATGTACTTCACGTGGCACTATCCCTTCTTCACTCTTCTCGCCAAGGACTTATTCTACCGGGATTACATCCGTGGCGTCTCGAGCGCATACTGCTCACCATTACTAGTCAACGCCATGCTAGCACTTGGTTGTCATTTCAGTTCATTGAGAGGGGCATTCGCCGACCCACTGAACCCAAACACGGCGGGAAATCATTTCTTCAAAGAAGCGAAACGCTTGGTTTTGGAGAATGACGAGCACGAGAATGCCAAGCTCTGCACTGTCCAAGCATTTGCCCTCATGTCTGTCCGCGAGGCTGGTTGTGGCCGAGAGGGCAAAGGCTGGGTGTACAGTGGTCTGAGCTTCCGCATGGCCCTTGATCTGGGATTGAATGTTGATGCAAAGAACATGGGTTCCCACAATCTCAGTGATGAAGAAATGGATGCACGACGAATTACTTTCTGGGGTTGTCATCTCGTCGACAAGTATGTACTCTTCAAACCCCATTTGTTACCCCTCTGTTTCTAACAGATGACAGGTGTTGGTCTAATTACCTGGGTCGTCAACCTCAACTCTCCTCATCCAACACGAATGTTTCCAAATTTGAGGTGCTGCCCAGAGAAGAGACCGAACTGTGGTCTCCCTATACGGATGCTGGCGTAGGTCATGATCACACACAGCCGTCTAGGACAAGGGCAGTAGCGTTCCAGATATCAAAACTGTGTGAAATAAGCAGTGACCTGCTGGTGTTCTTCTACCATCCTGCCGAATTGGAGAAGACTCACCAGAAGCAGTTGGAGCTGAAGAGATTGAGTGATGTCCATACTCGTCTCGAGGCCTGGAAAAAGGAGCTTCCAAGGGAATTTGACCCGAAAGAAGGGCAGTTGCCTCAGGTACTTGTCATGCAGTAAGTAAGCCCCGGAGAGCATCCTTTATTGCATTGGCTAACTTTATGACAGCATGTTCAACCAACTTCTTCTCATCCATCTCTACCGACCCTTCTTGAAATATACCCGCAGCAACACCCCTCTCCCATCCCACGTTTCACCACGCAAGATTTGTACCCAGGCCGCTTCGGCCATCTCGAAATTGATGAGAATGTACAAACGAACATATGGACTGAAACAAATCTGCAATATTGTCGTGTATATCGCACACACGGCCTGCACCATTCACCTTCTCAATCTTCCGGAGAAAAACGCCCAACGAGATGTCATCCACGGCCTCCGAAATCTCGAAGAAATGGCCGACGGCTGGCTTTGCGCTCGTCGTACATTACGCATCCTCGACATCTCAGCCAGCAAGTGGCAGGTCGAGCTACCCCCCGAGGCAACCACTATCTTCGAGCGAACCCATGTGAAATGGGGCTCATGGGGATCGTGGGACCAAGTCGCTTCCCCTTCTACATCGGACGATTCCCACATGACCCACGGCAACTTCCAATCCTCAGTGACCAGTCCAAGCCGATACTCAACATCCCCATCCAACACTCAGCCTCCGCTCGCAACTTCAGCCGAGACCATTACACCCACCGCTCCCATCAACATGGTAGCCCCATCAATGAACCCACCCGCCACTCTCCCTACCACCATGCAAGCAATGCCCGCCGCACGCGGTATCCCAAGCGCCCTAGCCCAGCGTTCAGAGTTCCCACCCCCAGAACCAACATACCTCCGACCTATATACCAGATGTCTAACCTCGCCTCCGCCGGTCCATCCACCGGCCCCCAAAACCAACCCGGCTGGTACGACGCATCAGGACCACCGATAGCGCCGCAGAATGCCACGCCTCGGTCAAACTCTACCGTCTCCGGATTCGAGACTACAGAGCACCTCGTCGAGGAGAGCCAGGATTGGTGGTCGCGCAATACGCTTGGTGTGGATCATTGGCCTGGACCGTGGAGTCCGGAAATTTCGAATCCCCCGCCTCCACTACAATATGAGGGTAATCATGCTTATGCCATGGCTATGGCTCAGCAGCAACAGCAGTCGGGTTCTTCGCCCATGTCGGGGCTTCAGCCACAGGCTACAGTGGGGGTACCTAATATCCGACCCGTAGCGGAGAATAGCCCGTCTGGCTATGACGAGCCATGGAAATGATTCATGATCTGCTTATCTTACTTTTGGAAATATTTTTCGGGTTTCTTGATATATACTGGTTAAAGTTCTCGTGTGCCATGTTGAAATGTTTTCATTCTGACTTACTTTGTGTTTTGTGTATTATTGTTGATGATTTTGTTTCTTCATGATACCAGAAATTGGGAGGCTTTTTTTTTTCTGTGAATTGGATACAGCTCGGGGGTTGGTATCATTTTTGTCGCGTTGGCGAGGCTTATATGAGTTACGTTCCGATATAATTACGTTTATAAAATTGAGAGACGAAGTAGAAGAAGAATAGGTACTCCAAATTTCTACGAGTTAAGTATCCGTCATGATTGATCATTAAGGTTGCAAACAAAGACATAAACACCAAGGCACAAGATGCTAAGGGAATCGAAAAGCTTCTGGGATCCATATAGACGATCGAAAGGGGTGAGAGAATGCAGTAGAGGTATTGGTATCACTGTTGAAAGAATTAGTTTGAACTTTCTTGTACGTGGCGTTGGTCAATCTTACCAGGAAATAATCAGCGACGGGCTTCTTCGCAGGCATACCCCTAGTATCCTGCGCTGCGGCCTCGAAAACGCGGTATCTCCTCCCAGGACTGACAACAGTGTTGGCGACACCATTTGCGCCCACAACGCCATTGCTTCGTCCATATTCTCCGTTGCTGCGTGCAACGGTGCCGCCATTGCTGGCATCTTCGCCCAGCTCCAAGATGGCAGCTACATTGCCACATCGGTAGCAGTAGTTCGGTGCAGACCACACCGTGACGATACCTCCATCGAACATCTCTTTGTATCCCTCCATGACAAGCTGATGGGCACGCGCTACTAGAGATAAGCCATTGAGGTGATTGAACTGTTTGACGATGTCTCCACCAAACAGGAACCCGGCACCACGCGGGCTCAGCCCCCATCCCTCGATCTCATCGGGGTCTGACCAGAGCAGATCGCACATGGCACCTTCATGCGGCACTTCTTGCTTCCTATCGATCAACCGGATCTTATCCACGGAGTCGATAAGGGGTGACAAGCCGCCGTGAACACAAAGTACGGCACCTGTACGGCTGGTCGTCGCACTGCCGTTGCCGTCTCCACTAGCACCTGTTCCGGGGGCACCTGTACGAGTAGGAACAGCTGTTTGGCCTGGTGCGGCGGATATATCGCGTGGTGGTGAAATGCGGGAGTCTGTGGACACGTCTGAGGAGGAGCGCTGTCGCGGGCGATATGTACTCATTGTGACCTCCCCGCGTGAGTTCAACACCTCGGTCTCCAGCACGCCATCTTCAACAAGCATCGTAGACTGTGTCATATCATTCACGCCCGAACCAGTCGGCTCCAGTTCCGAGCTCGCACCGAGGACAATAGCGCCAAGCGCCAGGTAGTCGAACACTTCGCAACAGTATCGCCAAACGTTGGCGCTGCCGTACTTGCGAATACACTCATCATAGAATCCGTACACGGTGGTAATCTGACGCGACTCGTGATTTCCACGGATAAGAGTGATACGGTCGGGATAGCGCACTTTGAGACAGAGGAGGAGGAGGAAGGACTCGAGCGAATAGAACCCGCGATCGACAAAGTCGCCCATAAATAGGTAATTAGTATCGGGAACGTCACCACCCACGCGGAACAGTTCCATCAGATCGTGAAATTGGCCATGGATGTCGCCGCAGATGGTGACCGGCGCATCGACGGAGACGACGTTGCCCTCTTCGATTAAGAGCTCGCGCGCTTTGTAGCACAGTTCGCGGACCTGGGATTCGGGAATCAGGCGGCAGGCCCGCAGCTGCTCGATCGCCCTGTGCGAGACAGAGTATTTAGAATATATGGACTAGCTATGGGGAGGGTAAGCGCGTCATACCGGTCTAGGTCGCTCATCTTGTCGAGTTGGAGGAGGGAGGGAGGTGAGGAAGAAGAGGCGGTAGTGGAGGAGGAGGGGTGCAGTTAGTTTGAGGGGATATCCCCTCGTGGGAATCAGGAATCAGATAATAATCCAGATCAAATCAATCTCCTTCCCGTGAAAAATGCAGACTGATTGTTGCGACGCCATCAAGAAACAAGCAGCGGAGGTCGATCGATCGAGGGAAGGAAGGTCCGTTTCTGACTCTGCGCGACGGGTTGGCGGCCAATCACGCGGGTGGCAGATAAGATTAGATGTCCACCAGAGCCTTCGCAACTCTCCTGCTGCTTCCACGGTCTCCATCATCCCACCCCGCATCTGCTCTTTCGACACTGTCAGGTCATTGAGCTGGAGGAATTCAATTGCATCCGACCCAATTGACCTTCTTGACGAGTCCTGCGCCCTCCTTCCCACCCCCAGGCCAGTCGGTCGAACAGACAATCCACTGCCCCCGAGGCCCTCCGATGTCCTGAGCCGAAAAAAAGTCGAAGCACTCGGCCACGTCCACTCCCTTACAACCTTGTCTCCTTCATACGCGTCACACATCGTGCACAATGCCGCCCCATCTACATCCCAAGTCTCGGTCAACGAGCACCCTCTTCGCCGGCACGCTCCTCGCCTCGCTCGTGGTGGTCGGCATGCCACACCTCTTCCCCTGCCCAGCCCCACGACGCACATTCGCCGATTCAGAGATGACAATCACAGCCGACGGGCAACAAGTACCACGCATTCGGCGGCGTCGGCGGAAAGATGTCGAGCTGGACTCCGAAAACGCTCGCCCGGGGTATCCAACACCACCCGGTACGGTAGACGAGGAGGTGTCTACGTTCTTCCAGATGGAGGAGGAAGCAGAGAAACTGGCTCGCGTTGGGCACGAGTGTCCCGTACCGAAGCCCAAGGGTGTTCTTGGGGAATTGCTTGGATTCCGCAATGCGCGTGGGAGTGAGCCATCTCAAACACAGGCTAGCGGAGCGGTCGATGGAGGCCGGTAGTGTCTCGGGAGTTGGCTCTTTGCATTGTGTTATATTGTTCTACGTCTTGTCATCTTTTGCGTCATTTTCTTCTTTTGTTTAATGATACCATGGAATTGGCTGTGAAGCCGGGGGTTGGATTCGGCCGTTGTCGTTGTTACGACCGGCCTCGGATAGAAAGGCTTGAAGGTGTTGAGTTTAAAGCTCAACAAGCCTACATGTATATGTATAAAATGTATAAACAAAGATTATTCTGAGACTCAATGTCAAAATATTCTACATTTCTGCAACTCCACAGTCTAGTCTGTTCATACTCGAAAACGATGACTGCGTAAGCCGGGCTATGGGGTTTGTCGGGCCAGAATCCCGTCAAGCTTAAGCTTAAAGCCGCTCCCCCTCTGGCCACCTTGAACATTCCCCGTCCACCCCCCAATTTGCGACGCAATGTCCAATCCTTGGATCAAATTTGTACACACCGCGCTAACTCATCCAAAGCATACGCCATGGATTGTAGCCTTGCTCATCTTGGGTGATGCAGCTCTCTGCGCACTAGTGATATGGAAGATCTCCTGTAAGTGCGCACGGCGCGTTACGGGCCAAGACCAAGATCAGACAGAACCAGGTCACTGATATCCCACCACAGACACCGAAATTGACTGGTCAACCTATATGCAGCAAGTCTCACTCTACATATCTGGTGAACGTGATTACACTGCAATCAAGGGCTCGACTGGACCTCTGGTCTACCCCGCCGCTCACGTCTACATCTACACGCTGCTCCACAACCTGACCGATGGAGGACGCGATATCCTCCTCGGGCAAATCTTCTTTGCGGGTTTTTACCTGGCCACTTTGATTGTTGTCATTGCCTGTTACAGACAGGTTGAGGTCCCTCCTTACCTTTATCCACTACTGGTTCTATCCAAGCGGCTTCATAGCATCTATATGCTGCGCATGTTCAATGATGGCATTGCCGCGCTCGCTATGTGGGTGGCTATTTACTTGTGTATGAAGCAGAAATGGACCGCTGGTATCGCGGTCTGGTCTCTGGGTGTGGGTGTCAAAATGACATTGGCCCTGCTGGTACCAGGGATTGCTATTATCACGCTGCTGAGCCTGGGTCTGGTACAAAGCATTGTTCTTGGGGCCATGGCAGTCCTGATTCAGGTGAGTTACGTCGACTTATTCACTTCGAGAAAATATCCCAGACTGGCTACTGACATTACTACAGGTGTTACTTGCAATTCCATTCCTCCAGGAAAACCCAGTGGGCTACCTATCCAAAGCCTTCGAACTATCCCGGCAATTCATGTTTAAATGGACCGTTAATTGGCGATTCGTGGGCGAGGAGACATTCCTCTCAAGAGAATTCTCATTGGGTTTGCTAGTATTGCACCTTTCATTGCTGGCTATCTTCTCAACTGTGTGGGTGAAGCCATCCGGAATCAACGTGGTCCGCTTCCTCCAGGACAGCATCCGAGGCTGCCAGCCACCAGTGGCACTCTCGAGGTCATTCATAATGACTGTGTTGTTGAGCTCGCTAGCCATTGGCTTGCTGTGCGCTAGGTCATTGCATTACCAGTTCTTCGCATATCTGGCATGGGCCACCCCGTTCCTCCTGTGGCGGGCAGGCCTCCATCCGATTCTGATCTATACCGCGTGGGCGCTGCAGGAGTGGGCTTGGAACGTCTACCCCAGCACCGATGCTAGTTCCACGGTCGTGGTCTTGTCCCTCGCCCTGCAGGTATTTGGTGTGCTCATCAACGGGCTGGGCGAGGTAGGAAGCAAGCGCGGTGGAGCTGAGAGCCGAAGGAAGGCGGGTACTCGATAAAGGCCGAGATTTCGGTTCGTGTGTATGTATATAGGCGAATTGTTCATGCATCAGATTCATCAGATGACGGCATCTTTCCAACTCGAGATTCCTCTTCGTCAGATTCGGAGTCGACGACAGCTACGGGCTGCTTAACAAATTCCTTTGGCCTGTAGAGAATGGTATGCTGGTTAGCGACTAATATATGAGGGCCGTGGTATCAACGTGGTCATACCAGAAAGCAGCTTTCCTCCAGGCCTTCTCATCGCGCACAATGTTGATGATCTCTCCACCAATCTTATTATCCCGCTCCTCTTGTGCCTGGGTATCAACGACAAGGAAGGATCCACGCTTAATCCAGAAAGTTGATCGGAAGCGGGCAGGTAATTCAACGAGCATTTGAGTCTTGTCGGCTTGTTCGATCAGGTAGATGTTATTGCCTGTGGCCTTGATTGCTCGGACGATTTGTTGGGTGTCGGACAGCTCGTCTGGTGGGAACATGGTTCCTTCGGCCGTAGCCAGGACCTTTCGGCGAGGGGGAGCCATTTTCGATCTTAAGTGGTGATTGAGAATGTGATCGGTGTGCGATTGATGTGCAATTGAGCTTTAGGTGACTCTGTGTCCTTGCGAGGATCGATTGTGGGAGAATGATATTTTCCTTATCAGTGGGGCAGCCTCCGCTACCTTAAAGTGCCCTGGCGGTGAGTTGCCATATATACAATCATAGTCATATCGATATGGTAGAATAAGTCCACGCGTTCGAGGGAAAAGGCTGTCAGAAATGCTGAACTCCAACATATGTGCGACTGTGTATTAGATACAAAGCAGGATGCATGGTGGGAGCAAGAGCGTCTCTAGCAGAGCACTCCGCTGCCGTGATCTCTACTCTTTCTACTCACAATATATGTTGCTTCATGGCTGCTATACCAGGGATATTGTAATTGGTGCAAGTGATTGCATAAAGCCGCATGGTATACCTCACTGTCTATGCCAATAGCGACGGTATGAAAGTAAATAAAAATGTACGCCTGTGATGGTAGCTAGGCGAATATGTTTAGAGCCAGGAATATAATTGCAAGCCTCACGGTGTACGTCAACCTTGATCGACCAGTGCTTTATATAATCAACTTGCCTGATTTCTTCCATCAAATCAGGTTGTGTAGTGTAATGGTCATCACTCCAGATTCTGATTCTGGCAATCCCGGTTCGATCCCGGGCACGACCTCTTATTTTTCCTTTTTTGCGGATTGGTCTTCGGTACCTAATTCAGCCGGGATTCTCCCGAAACTATATATTCCTTCCAGGGCACGGCCAGGACTGTCTCTTTCTTTTAGCCTTCTCTTCCCGAGCAGCCATAATTAGTACCTTCCAAGTCCCAGACTTCAGCGATCGGCGAATTCTCCGGTCTTGGAAATGAGACTGAGAGACTTAACTAGCTAGTACTTCTGGGAAGCTTACCAACCATGAACTACCTGGACGGAAGACCAGCGCACTTCTCTCCACATTGCCCTTCTTGGACACTTGTTATTACTAAGTCTCAAGTGACCTAGTTGTTAATTCACTTACTCCGGAAATATCTTCGAGTATTTCGAATCCATACTTCGGAAGGGCTTCTCAGCATCCATCTGTGCAAACATGGCCCCTTCCGGACTTGAGGCCTTTATCGAGATCGACAGCTCTCGTCAGATCCCAAGCCCGCCCGCTGCATTGCGCAAGGACAAGCAACGTGTCTCACAGCATTCATCCAATTACGAATTACACGAGATCCAACCACTCGAGCAAAGCTCGACGGTAGTTCCCAAGCCCGTGAAACCCTCCACGGGTGATCCCTCTACGCCCACGCCTACTCCCAGAGTATTAGAAAATCGCCTACCATCTCCACCTGCGAATGATGTCACGGAATGGGCTCCAGATCGCACGGCAACGTCGTGGAAGACCAAATGGCGACTCCTGAGCTGCTGCTTGATCAATTTCGGCAACGGGATGAACGACAGTGCCCCCGGTGCGCTGATCCCGTATATTGAAAAACATTACAGCATTGGGTACGCTGTGGTCTCGTTGATATTCGTGACCAACGCACTGGGCTTCATCTCTGCGGCTCCTGTTACACATGCTATTGAGCACAAGCTCGGCCGGTCCAAAAGCTATGCGCTCGCTATGTCGCTCCTGGTCGTCAGCTACGTGGTTATCATCTGTCAGCCGCCGTTTCCTGTTGTCGTGGCGTGTTTCTTTTTGCTTGGATTTGGTATGGCACTCAGCTTGGCTCTGAGCAATGTGTACTGTGCCAACTTGCCGAATTCCACGACAGCACTGAGTTGTGTTCATGGCTCGTATGGTATTGGAGGCACGGTGGCACCGCTGTTCGCGACTGCGATGGTGTCGAATGGGATCCGTTGGTCGCTTTTCTATACGGTTTCTTTGGCCTTTTCTCTAATTAATCTTTCCTATTCCTCGTGGGCGTTCTTGGGCTTTGAGCATGATACCCCCGTCGAGCTTCTACGGCCGACAGCCTCACGTCCGACAGGCGAGGGTGAGCCCTTGACGAGGAAACAGCTACTCAAATCAGCCATTCGCAACCGCACAACCTTACTCGGTGCCCTCTTCATCTTCGCCTACCAAGGCGCCGAAGTATCTACCTCGGGCTGGGTGGTATCTTTCCTCATCAGCTACCGACACGGCGACCCCTCCAGCGTTGGATATGTTAGTGCAGGCTTCTGGGCCGGCATTACCACCGGTCGATTTATATTGTCCCATCCTGCCGCCAAGCTGGGCCACAAGACTGCGGTTTTGATCATGGTGGCAGGTGCCGTGGCCTTCCAGCTGCTGACCTGGCTGATCCCGAATGTGGTTGGGGATGCCGTGACGGTCGCGATCCTGGGTCTGCTGTTAGGTCCTGTGTACACGAGTGCCACGGCTGTTTTCACACAGCTGCTCCCGCGGAACATCCACATCCCCAGTCTCAGCTTTATTAGTGCTCTTGGCAGTAGTGGGGGTGCTGTCTCGCCCTTCTTTACCGGTCTTCTTGCCCAGAATGTGGGGACGATGGTACTGCATCCGATCTGTATTGGTTTGTATGGAGTGATGGCGACTAGTTGGTTGCTGTTACCGAAAATTTCCAAGCGATCCGAGTAAAAGTGTGCTGTGCGATGTGTTGTGCGTGTGATACATGTTCCCTCCCGATTTGGTCTGGGCCTTAGATCGGGTCCGACTGACTGCCTGAGACATGAGATCTTATCAGCGCTAGGGCTGGGGAATGTACGTGCTGCCTGCATGAGCATCTCGGCTGGTTTGGAGGGGTTGAGTCCTTATACTTGTCGGGCTCATGTGGGCATGTTAGGTGCTCTTGCATACTGCATTTTTCGGGTTACATACATTGGAGGGTATAGGTACGTTACAACAAGGTTCAGTTTGATTAAAGCTTGTCTCTGCATAGCGACCGGGAATTTAGTAGTCAACCTCTGTAGGATTGCTTGTAATTCCGTGTAGTTCTTGGCTTTAGGGCAGTGTTATATCATATTATGATTATTATCAGTATTTAGTGCCATCACGATGGCGCCACTTTGGACCCTGTTCTGGCTAACTTTAATCTAGTGTATCTTCCGTGACCCAATAGCCAATAGCCGTTATGCGCATACCAGGAACTCCAGATGATATCCAGGTGGCAAAGCAATTGCAGTTCGAAGAATGTGTGCAACGTAGCCGAGCAGCGACATGAACAGCCACGCTACTCAGCCCTTCATGAATGTCCATGGATTTCCATGTACGCGGTAAGGAGACTAGAGCTGACACGGTCGCAGGCCTAACAATTCCAGGAGCGGTAACGGTGACCAGGATTCGAATAAAATAGAATCTCCAATCACACTTTGACCGTTCCGTTCGATCGTCGTCATCCTATCAGTTGTTGCCTGTTGAATGGAAGAACACCCGAGACAAGCCGACACCTCAGGTTCGAGTCATATGTCATCGATGAGCAATGGATCTACCATGTCGGAGACGTGATAAAGTGGATTGTGTCTTGGAGATCTGCTTGGGGTTTCATTGGGTCTGCTCGGTCTGCCAGGTTTGGTAGGCTTTGGTTTGAGGCGGTGCAGTGGCAGACACCGGAAAGTAAATCAACTTTGGTTTGATGTCTCGGAGTAGATGGGGGGGGGAGAATAGGAAGACGGATGATGAGAAAGAGGAACAGCCACAAGACAGAAAGCCGATTTGGGTAAAAGGGCAGCATAGCCTCACGTGTATTCCCTTAACTGGAAGTGTTTCCAAGGCTCGTCACAAATCCATTGTTTGGAGGAGTTTGGATCGCGACGGGGCCTGGTTACATTGGCTCGATTATTCATGATTCAGGGTCATAAATTTCAACCTCGAAATCTCAGCTTTTATGCACTTCAGATTTACTTGATTTATCTCTTCTATTTTTCCATTTCTTCTCTTATCGTTGGGGTGATCGGGCGCTGGTCTTACTCTACATTTTCCGAAGTGGCATTATCCTTACCGTTTTACCCCCCTCTGTGTCAACAACGAGAGCCCCGCGAAACCCTTCCCACCCAACACCCTCTCCATCAATATCTCCCTCCTCCACCTTCCAACTATCTCCCCCCTCTCCCCCCCCCCACACCCACACTCAACCTCACCGGTCCACGGCTTCCTCCTCAAGTTTATCCTCCTCCTCTTCGCTTCGGACCTGTTGCTCGTCCCTCATCTCCGCCCATCATGGACGGCGACGAGCTCATTGCCTCGGTCTACCGCAAGATCGAGCGGGAGAAGGCCCTCATCGCCGCCGCCAGTAACATGCGACAGTCGACCGACAACGTCCTAGTGCAACAGCGAGTCGACGCCAATATCCGCGATGGCCGCAAAAACATCGCCTACCTCGAGGAGAAGATGCGAGAGTTGCAGCTTCGCCAAATGGAACGGGAAGGTGGCGGTTCACCCCACGATTCTCGTAACCAACAAGCCGGAGGGCCGCCGCCTCCTCCGAAGGACCATCAGGGATATTATGGTGGTGAAGGCGATGCGCAATATCCTCAGGGCGGCGCGGGGTCGATGCCCTCGGGCGCTCCGTTCTCTGACCCCCGCCCCTACGCCCCGATCCCTAAGGCGCGGCCAAATTACACAAAGCTCGGTGCGCTGATTACCCCTCTCCCGTTGTGTCCACCGCTGGAATTTCCAGCAGGTGGGAAATTTTCCGATGACATTGGAATGCTGACCGGAAATGTGGTGTCTCAGATCTAATCAAATATGACACTCCGTATCTCGGCCCGAAGATCCAGCTCATGCTGTCTCAACTCGAGTTCAAGCTGAGTGTGGAAAAACAGTACAAGGCGGGTATCGAGAAGATGGTCCGGTTGTACCAGGATGAGGGCGACCGAAAGAGCCGCGCCGATGCCGAAGGCCGTCGCGTGGAAAGTAACCAGAAGATCCAGTTGCTGAAGCAGGCCTTGAAGCGATATGAGGATCTTCACGTTGACATCGATTCTTCTGATGCGGCGGATGGTGCGTCAGAACAATGAATCATTGCCGTGGTATGGTTCAAGTCTAACTAATTTTTCTATGGTATAGATGAGTCGCTCAGCAGCCCCAACATGCGCAAGCCCTTGACCGGTCTTCTTACGATGCGAATTCATGCTGTTAAAGATGTCGACCATGCCACCAGCTCCCGATTCTCCCGGGGCCCCGAAACATTCGTCATTGTCAAGGTGGAAGATGCAATCAAAGCCAGGACAAAGGCTACTCGAAACGATAAATGGCTTGATGAATCGTTCTCTATTGACATTGATAAGGCGAACGAGATTGAGCTGACTGTCTACGACAAGTCCGGGGACCGCCCCACACCCATTGGTATGCTGTGGGTGCGCATTTCCGATATTGCCGAGGAAATGCGTCGCAAGAAGATTGAAACTGAGCTGAACGCCTCTGGATGGGTTTCTGCTGACAAGATGGATGGGTCGGGCACTCCCCGATCCGACCACCACCCAGGATCTCCGGGCTCCTCGCATGGGGGACCCGGCGGTGCCGGCTTCGGTGCCATGGCGGCTCCTGGTGGACATCCACATGGCGACAACCCGAATGCGCCTCCCACAGTAATGATTGATTCATGGTTTGCTTTGGAGCCATTCGGCCGTATCCAACTCCAGATGAGCTTCGGTAAGATATGGTAGCCCAAATTAGGAGTCCTTGAATGACCCGCTAACTATTGGTACAGCCAAGCAACTGAAGGATCGCCGTCCCTTCGATATTGGTCTCAACCGACAGGGTGCCGTGCGCCAGAAGAAGGAAGAGGTCCACGAAAAGCAGGGTCACAAGTTCGTCACCCAGCAGTTCTACAACATCATGCGCTGTGCGCTGTGTGGAGATTTCCTCAAGTACGCCGCGGGTATGCAATGTGCGGACTGCAAATACACTTGCCACCGTAAATGCTACCCTAAGGTCGTCACCAAGTGTATCAGCAAGGCCAACTATGAGACCGATCCCGACGAGGAGAAGATCAACCACCGGATTCCTCACCGTTTCGAGGGCTTCTCCAACCTTTCTGCCAACTGGTGTTGCCACTGCGGTTACTTGCTGCCGTTTGGACGGAAAAATGCTAAACGGTGTACCGGTACGTTGATGATCCTGACTCGTTCTTTAAGCGTTATACTAATGTCGTGTTCTTGCTTTGTAGAATGTGCGCTTACTTGCCACGCTCAATGCACACATCTTGTGCCTGACTTCTGCGGCATGTCAATGGAAGCCGCAAATCAGATCATCGACGCCCAGATTCGCGCAAAGCATCACAACAAATCTACATCTGTCAGTTCTGGTCTCAGCGGTCGTACCCTTCGACCAGGCGGTCCGCCGCAACCCCCTCATGACAATTCCGTCCTCTCCTACCCCCACAAACCCACCAACGGCCCCTACGGGGCGCTTCCTAGACTACCGTCAGCCGAAGCGGTAAGCGCTGCGACTAACTCTTATATGGCTTCACAGTCACCACTAGCTGCTACCCAGGCTGCCCGTCAACCATTACCACCGAAATCGCCCTCCTCCGCTGTTTTCACTGCAAAGACTGCGGCAACGGCTGCGTCAGCGGTGCGGCCCACTCCGCAACCCCCAAGTATGCCCCCTCGTCGTCTTTTGCTTGCTATCTATTCTTTTCATACTAACATCGATGATTTAGCGGAAGCGCCCCGCCCACCAGTGGAGCCTCAGCAAGCGCCTCCTCCTTCACACGCCCATTATGATCCGAAGGCCTATGTTAATTACCAGCCATCATACCAGGCTCCGCAGGTGCAGAAGCCCAGTGGACCCTCGTACCCGGTGGCCCCGCCCCCGCAAACCGTGCAGGCCATGCCACCCCAGATGCCCCCGCCACAAAAGGAGCCGGAGCCCCCCGTTCCTCAGCCCAAGGCTCGTATTGGATTGGATCACTTCAACTTCCTTGCTGTGCTTGGTAAGGGTAACTTCGGAAAGGTTATGCTGGCGGAAACCAAGAGCACCCGGAAGCTGTATGCCATCAAGGTGCTGAAGAAGGAGTTCATCATTGAGAACGATGAGGTGGAGAGCACGAAGTCTGAGAAGCGTGTCTTCCTGATTGCCAACAAGGAGCGACACCCCTTCCTGCTTAACTTGCACGCTTGTTTCCAAACCGAGACTCGAGTGTACTTTGTGATGGAGTATATCAGTGGTGGTGATCTGATGCTGCACATTCAGCGTGGGCAATTCGGATTGAAGAGGGCACAGTATGTTTCCTGATACTCTGGTCGATTTTCCGTTGTTATGTCAGGTGTTAACTCTTGCTACTAGGTTCTATGCTGCGGAAGTTTGCTTGGCTCTCAAGTACTTCCACGAGAATGGCGTCATCTACCGTGATTTGAAGCTCGACAACATTCTGTTGACTCTTGATGGCCACATCAAGATTGCTGATTATGGTCTTTGCAAGGAGAACATGTGGTACGGCTGCACCACTAGCACCTTCTGTGGTACTCCCGAGTTCATGGCACCCGAGGTTCGTAATTCCCGTTTAATCACTCACCCTGCCACTAAAATACTAACGTCTATGCTTTAGATTCTGCTGGACAAGAAGTATGGTCGCGCTGTGGATTGGTGGGCATTCGGTGTCCTCATCTACCAGATGCTCTTGCAACAGTCTCCCTTCCGTGGTGAAGACGAGGATGAAATCTACGATGCCATTCTTGCAGATGAGCCCCTCTACCCTATCCACATGCCTCGTGACTCTGTCTCAATTCTGCAGAAGCTTTTGACCCGTGAGCCCGAGCTGCGTCTGGGCTCTGGCCCTACCGATGCTCAAGAGGTCATGTCGCACGCGTTCTTCCGCAACGTTAACTGGGATGACATCTACCACAAGCGGGTTCCTCCTCCCTTCATCCCCACTATCAGCAGCCCCACAGATACCAGCAACTTCGACCAAGAGTTCACTAGCGTGACTCCTGTTCTGACGCCTGTGCAGTCTGTGCTGTCGCAGGCCATGCAAGAAGAGTTCCGTGGCTTCTCATACACCGCCGACTTTGCTTGATTGTATGTGGTATCGAAAAGCTACCATGTTAACTCTTGCTTGAGTACCTGTTCACCTATCCCTCTCGGCGATGACTCGGTTTAACGGGGCCTGACAGCGTCGCTTCCGAATTCATACTGCTGTTTGCGAGGTTCTCCGCTTCCAATTCCGCTCTCAATACTTCTATTTCTCTTCAAATTGCTCTACATACCCATTGCAGTTGTGTTTGGTTGAGTGATCGGCGTAGACGCCGACTCCAACCGTCCCTCTTAAGCATGCTTCGTTTGCTGAATGACATGAGTAATGGGGCAATGCTGTTCCTTGTGGATTTCGTGTTCGTCTTATTATCTGATTATTTAAATTGTTTGTTCTTTCTTGCTTTATCTTTCCACCTCTCCGGCGAGTCCTTTCCCACTTTTTCTGTTTCCGACGCCGGATCCACGACTGTTCTACGCAATGCTGGGCTCGTCGCTGCTTAGAACCTTGAGGTGGTGACTAGGATAGATCTCGAGCAGCTGTCAGCCATGAGAATGGATTCATTGATTGGTTGTTTTTGAAGGGTCATGAATGAATGGGGACGCGGTGCGTTTTCAACCAAAAAGTTGAGATGATGATTATGATGATGTGGATTCATGAGTGGATTTGAGGATTGGCTTATTTCCGTTTTTACGATTTCTCTTCGTTTCTTCTTCTTGTTCCTCTCCTGTTTTCTTTTCGTCGAAGGGGTGTCAGCGCATGTGTCGCAGGGTCTGGCGCTGCACATCTTTTCTATGCTTCTGCTGTCATGTTGTTAGATGAGTATCTGATTCCCATGGCTCTATGGACAAGAGATGCAAATACGAACTAATACATCCTGCTTGACTTCCTTCAAGTGGTAGGTGTTATTGTTGTAGATTCAAAATCTAGTCCTATAGAGAGGGCGTTGGTATGATGGTGAGAATAGCTGAGGGACTAATTTCTGGCTGACGACCTGGAAACCTTCAGGGAGTAAGTGATCCGTGGAAGATGACTGCCTTCTTTCATAGTGTCTACCACTTTTTGTCCATCGTGACTTTCCGTTGTGTTTTCCAGAAACTATTTTAAGCTCCGCCTGTTTCTTTGTTCTCACCAGCACAGCCATCCTTTCACCCCCTCGCCCAATCACCAGTTTCCATTGTCCCTCAGACCTGTACTCCCATCCGCTCGGGTCCCAATTCATCTGGACTCGAGGTTGACTCGAGAACTCTGGACTCCAAGATCCAGGTTCATTCTTCTCATTATCTCCACGGTGGAAGGTGGTGGACTGGGCCCTTTGTTCATTCACCTTCTCTGTTCACATAGTAATCTCTTGTGTCCCTGAGCACACCCCGCCTCGACCATCTTCGCCTTCAATGCTTTTTCCTTTTGACTTCTTAGACACCACACTCATTTGCGCACAGTCCCAATCGAAACTGTCGCCAGCATTCTCGAGGCCGAGTCCAACCTCCGAATCCTTCCCGGCAGAGTGCGCACCGTCGACCGGATACTACCTGCGACTTTCTCTCGCGATATCGCATAAAGCCCGCGCTTTTCTCCATGTCCCGTCCTGTCCGATCTAGTAGTTGCCCGATGGACTACAAGCCCAAGGCGAGCGACGAACTGTCCACACCGAACGGGCTATCCCGAGGTCCATGGGTGAAGTCAACAGAGAGCCTTGTTACGCCCCCGAGCACTCGATTTGATGATCAATATTCTCCCCGAAACATTACTGGGTGTCCGTCTTGGTTTGGCCGCACAGTAAAGCAGCGCGAAAGAGAATCGCCCAAAGTGAAGCGAAGAAAGTTCGCGAAATACGACAGCCGTGCTGGAACTGTGACCTCCACTTACAGCGACAGCGTTCAATCTACTTCATCTCTAGCCTTTTCTCCCCCTCCGAGCGAATACTCCGAACCCGTATCACACCCCAAGCGGCAAGCGCTATTTCCACCCATGATTCTCTCACCCGACGAATTTCCCAGTTCCGAGTACGCTACAAAGAGACGAATGAAGAGGAAAAAGGGTCGGGATTCCGACGATGAAGATCAGAATTATGTCGATGTTCAGAATAGCGATGATGACGAACTCGAGTCACCGGTTGCAATCAATAGGTCGGAGCGCGACGATATCATTTTCATCCTGAGCAGGGAGAAAGCAAAGCGCATGGCGCAGGCTATCAAAGTACCACAGGACACCAAAATGGGCGACGAGGAGAAGAATCTTTATCTTGATTTAGCCACCCGCGGCTGTTATCCAGTGCTACCGTCAAGTTGGAAGATGGACTTTGCGACACTTCCAGAATCTCTTTTTCCAACCGGGGACGAGGAAGTCGACGAAACCAACTTCCCCTTCGCGATACAAAAGGCATCCGAGTTCTATGCCATTTCAGCGTTGCACGAGATTCTTAGAGTGCCCGGTCTGGTCCGAGATTGCAGGTTTTTGACAATACATCCACAGGAGGTGATTAGAAAGGCTATTCGGAGATACTTGCGCTGGGCCATCACCGATTCCGGCGTGAAGAAAACACCCAAGACGAAAGCCGTTCACACAATTGCCACCCAGGGGCTGCTGGAGGACGGGAAAAAGGAAGAGACTATTAACGTTGTCAAGAGAGTGCTTAAAAGGCTCAAGAAGCTTGCTGAGGAGCAAAAAGAGATATATCAAGATACTCCTGATCCATACTGGCCTACCCTGGTCGGTTTCTGTCTCTGTGGTCCCATCGTCACCATACTCTCCATGGACACCGACCCAGATTCTGCGACGTGGAAAGAGGTCAACATTGGCTGTCATGCCAAGTACATGGGTCAATTTGATATGTCGGAGGATGACCAAGATGTCTGGAACTCGCTCGCACTGGCAATTGCGGTCATTCATATCCGGCGGACTATGACACGGCTTGCTGATCATTATCCTTACATGGACGGTGTTGCTCAGCGGCGGAGACCGGGAGATGAGACGGAAGATGAGGATTTGTGACTCCTGGCTTGAGTATCCGATACATCTTTAATCTGTTCTTTCATCTTTTCACTCTCATTCTTTGGGGATGGAGCTATTGTTTCTTTTTTGCCTTCTAGCGTGCGATTTTTCCGATTTCTTGTTATTTGTTTTCAAACTCGGCATATCTTGATGGGACTGGTTTTCCCTAACTGCCTGTACTCTTTGCTGATGAGTGTGTTGCTGATGAGTGTGGCAAAGATATTGTATGAATATTGTTTATTTGCTATCTTTCATTCCCATGGTGTTTAAGTGTTTGTTCATTGACCAGCCTCGGGGAACCAAGGGAAGGACTGGAATTTTTGTGATTGAATTGTATCCTAGTGAATTTGAGGAAATCTATTCCCGTTCTTAGAAATATTAGAAAATTCTGTAAGGGCTTAGAAACAACAAGTCCTAAGGATTTGAATACGCTTGTTGCAGCTTGTATGGATGCATTTTAGCCTCAGTACCAGACCTATTGGGTATAGGCCTGGAATATATGTGCGTAGCTGGAAATCAATTTATTCTTCAGCCATCAATAGATTCATTACGCAATTAGCCCCTGTATACATCAAATATTCTTAATGGAACAGCCAAGTAATGATTGCGTTTTAAATGCATAACCAAAAGCCCACTTTTGATTGATATCTTGATGGATGTCACATGACCAGTCCCGCTGTTGACGCTTTTCCCGACTCACGATTCAGGAGAGAGATACATCCACGTCCTGGATTCTCGCAATGGATGCAGCTGAAGATCGGGACTTGAAGCTCCAGCGAGCTTCGAGTGACCTGGTCACGGAGTTCTCGACCAAGCTGCCAACGCTGCTCTGGAGGTCTCAACCCGGAACCCCTCTCCGTACCCCACGCAAATGGGCACAGGTGGCTAAGACAGAGAAGCTCGTCGCACTTGTAAGATCGCACATCACCTGGGGCTTAAAGTTTAATCTGGAGGCTTGTAACTGACATGATATTGACAGCTTGAACCTTTCCAAGAATGGCCTCAGCTTCTGGACCCGCATTTGCAAAAGCTGCTGCCAACATTAGTGGATGCGTTCCTGGCGTATCTAGTGAAGCATCGCGGGCAATATGGCTCTCAACCCACAAAGGGATCACAGAATGCTGCAGTCTATCCTATTCCAAGGGCTATTTGCAGACTGCTTTACACCTTCTGCAAAGTCCGCGGTGTCAAGGTCATCAGTCGGTTTTTGAATAATGAGCCCAAATACCTAGATTCTATGTTGCGGGCCTTTGTCGAATGGGACGTTCTAAGCCAGACAGACTCTGTCGAAGAATTTGCAGGTCTCGAGACACAGAGAATGCAATGGGAAGAGCGCTACGTGATGCTGGTCTGGCTCTCGCATCTTCTTCTGGCGCCGTTTGACCTAACCTCGTTGTCGTCTGATGACATTCCCGTCCCCTACGATAACCTGCAACAGTTGGGTGAGGTACCTTCTCAAACACCCATGGTCGCAAAGTCTGTGCTCTCGCTGGCACTTCATTATATCAATGCTTCTGGCAAGGAGCGTGAGGCGGCTACTGCTCTTCTGGCACGACTCGTCCTGCGCGGAGATATGCAAGCTCTCGGTCTTCTGACCGGCTTGACAAGCTGGGCTTTTACTAAGATCAACCCTGTTGGGAGTGGGGAAGTACCTTCGGTCTACTCGTGCATTGGAATACTCTCTTTCATCGCTCGTCTGGCGGGATCTGGCCATGCCGAAGATTTTGCTCCCTTGCTCAAGAATGTGTTTGATCAAACTCTGAATATTGTGGAGGGGAAATCGGAGGTATCTGCAACCATTGAATCCTCTGCGTTGGCTCGGAAGACTGTCGTCAAGATTCTTCGCAATATCACAGTCATGGCCTTGTCTCTGAGTGAGAGGGAAGACAGCTGCATTACGGATGACCAGTTGTCCAGCATTCTAGAAGAAGCGATTGACCATTTCCTAGTCGCTCTGGCTGATAAGGATACCCCGGTGCGGTTTGCTGCAAGTAAAGCGCTCAGTGTTATCACCTTGAAGCTTGACCCGGAGATGGGCACAGAGATCATCGAGGCAGTCATTGGCTCATTGGGAGAGAATATACTTTTCGAAAAGGACGATGGTGCTTTGATTACGCCATTTGAAGCCCGGAACGCTGGTATTCAGCTGCTCAAGCGTAACCTCAGCGCTGTTGATTCCCAGAGGTGGCAGGGTCTGATGCTCACACTCTCTCATTTGCTGTTCCGTCGCGCACCCCCAACTCAGCAATTGCCTGACATCCTTCAATCACTTGTCTCGGGTCTCGATTTCGAGCAGAGATCATCGACTGGTAGCTCTGTGGGAACGGGCGTTCGAGACGCTGCTTGCTTCGGCATTTGGGCTCTATCTCGGAAATACGCGACTACAGAACTGCAGGCCTTGCAACGTCAGACTATCCCGGCGCTTTCCGGAGTTGCCGAGGTCGATGTTTTGCAGAAGCTTGCAGTCGAGCTTGTCTGCTCAGCCTGTGTCGATCCGTCGGGAAATATTCGCCGTGGCGCCTCTGCTGCTCTGCAAGAGTTGATCGGTCGTCATCCCAATATTATTAAGGAAGGAATTCCTCTCGTTCAGGCCGTGGACTATCATGCGGTTGCACGCCGGTCTCGTGCAATGATTGATGTGGCCAAGGCTACTGCCTCCTTGGACCCAATGTATTGGAGCCCGTTGGTAGAAGCTCTGATGCAATGGCGGGGCATTGGCTCTCCAGATGCCGAGTCAAGGAGACAGGCCGCGCGGGCTATCGGTGTTCTGAGCATGCAGCAGAAATTCAATACTATTAAAGCGGTTTTGGAAAGACTGCTCCGCAAGCTTCCTCGGATACCGAAAAGTGATGTTGAATCACGACATGGGTGCTTCTTGTCAATTGCTGCTACCGTTGATGCTTATACTCACGAATGGGAAACCTCACCAGATATGAGTGACGTATCGGAGGCAAAGGAAGTTTTATCTCAGGTCACCAAGCTGTGGGATATCTTTGAGTCGCCATCAAGTCCCACCGATAGAGACTTGACTCGTCAAAACTCTCGTCCTGAGTTGACCTCAGAGGCATCTGCTTGTTTGATCTCGTCGCTCTCGCGTTCGACCAGATCAGTCGGGCTGTCTCCTCCTTCGGAATCATTGCTTGACCGAGTCCTTCATATTCTTTCACTCTGTGTCTCTCGAAGTGATGACATATCCATTGAAATCTCATCAACCGCTTTGTCCACGCTCTTCCCACTACTATCACTAGCGAAACAAGAAGAAACCGTACAGGTCTGGTTTTCTCACTTGCATACCTCATCAAAGCTACCTAGTGGCCGTGGTCAGATTCTCGCTCTTGGAGCAGTCTACAAGCAGCTTGAAGGGCGCGAGAACCTGCGGGAAGACATCGTCACAGCGTTGCTTCGCTGTGCAGGAAAAGAAGAACTCATCGAGAAACGAGTGGCTGCTGTAAAGTGCTTGTCAACAAACATTTTGCCGTACACTGGTACATTGTCCTTGAAGTCCTATATGGTATAATCAATCTTGCTGACCAATAATATAGTCACCGTCGATACGATTGCAAATGGCGTTCTGGATTTCCTTAACGATTATACCACAGATAGACGAGGTGATATCGGATCACTCATCCGTGTGGAAGCAGTACAGGCAGCGAGTATCCTGTTGAAGCCAGATTCGCACTTACCACCAAGCTCACCAGTCGTTCAAAGTCTGCTTGGCTGCATTTGCCGCTTAGCATGTGAGAAACTCGACAAGGTCAGATTGCAAGCCTGGCTTTGCTTGCAAGATTACTGGGAGTCTGTGTCGGTCGATTTTCCTCCGATGCAAAGGTAAGGATGCCTGTTTGTTTACCTTCTGCTGTAATGACTAACGGAAGTAGTAAATACGAGCACTTCAGCAATGTATCTTCACAAGAATACTTTGACCAATTGCTGACCCTGTACTCCATCGAGTGGCTACGCCAACCATTGCTCCAGGGTCTGGCTACCTCGGCAACAGCAGGTGCTGAAGGTCTTGTTCGCTCATCGCGTTCAGCTCTTATTCAATTCCTCAACGCGCGTGAAGCCGTTCAGCGCCAGGATGTCCTGATCAACATGTTGCAGGACCTATCAGCCGTCCTTCATGCCAATATTTCGGATGATCGCTATGCGATTCCTATCATCGACTTCCTGGCGTTCTTGATAGACAGCTTTGTACTTTCTAGCCCGGGAGAATCAGAGCTAGTCTTCCGGAAGGTCTTCCACTTGGTACAGAAAGCTCATTTCCGTTCATCTAACATTCAGCGGCTGGAGTCTGCTGTGAAGGTCTATGCAGCTTTATCGAGGCTGGATTTCTTACGGATTGATGTTTTGAAGAAGATGACCGGTTTACTCTTACATCCTTTCCCGAGGGTATGTTTGCTCTGAAAAATATTCATGTCAGCATCACTAATGAATTTATAGGTTCGGGCAAGTGCAGCAGAGTATCTGTACGTGGTAGCTGAGTCGGAGACGGTCAAGTATGAGGACTGGTCTGCGCAGCCGAAGCAGTTGAAGGAGAAAGTGGAGGAACTGCGGAGTGTTCTGGTGCCGACCAGCTGAGGATATAGATAGGAGTCAGTGAGATACCATCAAAGATTACTTTTGGATCTACAAATTGAACCTAAACTTGAAAAAAGAAAACAATTTTAAACTCACCTATTCATTAATGAACTTGATGTGGTCGAGGTCATGAAAAAAATACAAAAACAAAAAGAAGAAGTGTGCATCATCCGTGAATCGAACACGGGCCTCGTCGATGGCAACGACGAATTCTACCACTAGACCAATGATGCTTCTTGATGTAAGATGCGGATTAGGTCTTATTATAATATTATAAACCGCGCTTTCATAGACCTGCTTGCGACCTGCATCCGCGCACCGAACGGAAGTGAGAGCTTCAACCTCACTCGACCCGTCAGAGCTCCAACAATCGCGACCATGGCAGCCACAGGTCAATCTACGGGGAGTGTCCCCCCAAACTCCACGTAAGTTACTCCATTCCCTGTATCCTCTTCATTTGACCGCTAATTTGACTTCACAGTGTCTACGTATGTCCTACATAGGGCCTCGATCCTGCCACAATCCAATCCACGCGCAGCCCCCAGACTGACATATTCATTGCACTGAGAATAGGTTCGGAATCTAGAGGAGCGCATTAAGATTGAGCAACTCAAAGTGGCCTTGGAGGAAATCTTCTCTGAGTTCGGCAATGTGGTTGAGATTGTCGCCAAAAAGAATCTGAAGGCCAAGGGGCAGGCTTTCATTGTGTTCGATAGCGTGGATGCCGCAACCCGTGCTATTGAAGACGCGAATGGCTTCGAGCTTTTCGATAAGCCTATGGTCTTGGATTACGCAAAGACAAAGAGTGATGCGACGGTTCTCCGTGAGGGTGGAAATGATGAACTGGAGGCTCACAAGCGGAGGCGTCTAGCTGAGAAAGGTGCGTGGCAGATCTCTTTCCTCTTCACACATCCTGACCTGTGGCCTTCGTTTTGGAACCTGGCTTTGCTGACTATATGTTCTTTGTATGTATAGAGCGGAAACAAGCCCACGAAGCCCTCGAGGCCCAGAAGAAACTCAAGCGCCCCGCCGCTCCTGCAGAGGGTGCCCGCCCAGCCAAGACAACAAAGGGTGCCGGTCTCAAACCCACCACTGGTGCTGCAGCTGCAGTCGTTCCGGACGAGTATCTCCCGCCCAACAAGATTCTGTTCTTGCGCGACCTACCCGACGAGGCCAGCCAAGAGGGTCTTTCCGATGTCTTTGGTCGGTTCGAAGGCTTCCTGGAAGTTCGTCTGGTGCCTGGTCGCAAGGGTATTGCGTTCGTCGAGTACGAGACCGAGGCTGGTGCTATCAGCGCCAAGGAGGCCACTTCGGGTATGGCCATGGGCGACCAGAACCAGCCCATTCGTGTTACATACCAGAGACAGTAGTTGTTGCTACGATAGGCACAGAGACGAGGATATCCGCGTGTTTCCATTTCTTTTCCTTCCTTCCGGCGTCTTGGGGGGCCCAATGGAGGCTACGAACAATGTTTCCTATATTACAATACCAAGAGACTTTTTCTGACTATGATGAGCTCAGATGTATATCCAGTGTAGTCAAACTTTATTTCCGGAAGATAAGTCGACTTAGTAAACAAAGCTTGCAAGGCACGTATGGATGGTTGAGAGCAACATGATACAGATAACAAGATGCAAAGAAGGACAAATAGTTCAATGCCCAGAACAAAGACAAGAGAAAAGGCACCTAGAAAATGACATCGTTATCCTCCTGCTCGCCAAGGATATCGGCAGCTTCGGGCTCTGCAGCTTTGGGCTCTTCAGCAACAATGCCGCTCGCTGCTTGCGCTGCTTCCTCGGCCTCTGCCTTTTTCCGTGCAGCCAGAATTTCGGCATCAGCAGCGGCGGTATCTCGCTGCTTCTTGCCAGAGACCTTTTTGAGGCGGTAAAACTCCTCTCGGTCAAGTTCGTCAAGCTCGGAGTTGATGTCTATATGCATGTGAGTTTCTAGTAGTCAATCCCATAGTAGAAAGAGAGTACGAACACTTGATGGTGTTTTCGGTTCGGGGAATGATGACGTGCTCGCTGTAATTTATCAGTGTCGGGATCCGGGTAAATAACGATCGAATGACTTACATCGCGTTTACTATATCGGACGTATCTAGTTAGCTACTGTTTGTAAAGAAACGAGACGGACTCGAGAATTTTGGCTTACCTCTTCGGTTGACGACCTTGATAACCTCGTCTAGAATCAAGAATGCAGTCTGAAATCGTCAGAAAGAGCTTATCACTCAAGGTTCTAGCTCCCATACCTGTAGACTGGCCAGCTCCACCAATGTCTCCACGGCCCGCGCATACGTCTCTCGGCATCGCTGGATCTGCTGTCCTCCCTTGCCGAGACCAGTCAAGGCAAAGTCATTGACACCATCCTGGGTGTAGCTCTCGAATTGTGGCAGAAATACTCCGGAGACGTTCTCTTGCTTGGCTCGGACACGGAACCGGGCCTGCTTGGCCGACTCCTGCACCTGGTATCCAATATCTCCGCCGACAGCATAGCTAACTTCGGCAAGTGAGAAGGCGGCAATCTGCATCACCCGGCCCATCTTTCGTTTGGCTTCATCGATACGCCGTGTGATTTCTGCCCACTGGAGTTAGCTTCCGCGGGGGTGTGGGGGAATGCGGAGAATGGGTTCTAGTATATCGTACCTCGGAAACGCCTGGTCAAAAAGATCAAAGATTAGCTGGAGTTCAAAGGTCAATTAGGACACAATATACTCACTTTGTCAAAGCTTCACTCTTGCGCTTAAGCAAGCTGTGACCTGTCTCTGCCCCCTTCAGCTTGCTCTTCATCAACCCCAACGACTGGCGAGTCGGGAAGACTGGCTCTCGGCCCTGGTAGTTGCAACACATTAGTCGCAGAGCCTGAAATAGACCAAAAGCATACTCACTACTGCACCCGACATGACGACAGCTTGGAATTCTGGTGTTGGCGATCAGCGTGGATGCAGCCACATCGATATGACGCCGCTCCGATAACTAAAGCTCCACCGCCCACTCGATGCGGCTGGAATCACGTGACTAGCATACCACGATTGCCGCAGTTTCATCTTTCAAACACACGCGCCGACTCGTCACTTTCGCCTTGGCCATTCTTCCATGCTGACCCTTTGCTTTGTGTGATCGGATCCCGTTCGAACGGAGTGGCGCAATGCCAGGGACGCTTTTGCCCCCGAGATCACACCGGCAGCACGCACAGATGGATCGAACATCTGCGTCCCGGCCGGACTTCTATCTGATTGTATGTGCCCGTGGGAATTTCGATGGATGAAGGTGCTAACTGAGCTCTTGGACAGACCGACCAGGACACAGTGTATGAACAAGATCTGCTGCGCGATGCCGGTAGTGTCAAGCCATGGCTTGCCTATATCGAGTTCAAGCAGCAACATGGCACGCTTTATGAACAAGCCTTTGTACGCCCTCCCGATCCCCTTTATACTATAGGCTAAAAAATGTCTCTAACATCCTTTCTTTTGTTTTAGGTTATGGAGCGTGCCTGTCGAAAATTGCCGCGATCGTACAAGCTATGGAAAATGGTGAGAAATCTTCCCTTACAATGTGAACGACGAGGATGGTGGAGTAATTAACTTGCATTCACTATAGTACCTGGAATTTCGGATGAAGCATTTAAAGGGCCGGAATCCCACCGTCTACCGTGCCGAGTACATCAAGGTCAATGCTCTTTTCGAACGAGCTTTGATCCTTCTGAACAAGATGCCTCGTATCTGGGAAATGTACCTCTCGTTCTTGCTCCTTCAGCCTTTGGTGACACAGACCCGTCGAACATTTGATCGCGCTCTACGCGCCCTACCGGTCACCCAACACAACCGAATCTGGAGGCTATTCAAGGGCTTTGCGCGATCTGCTTCGGGGCCAACCGCCGTAAAGATCTGGGCTCGGTATATGCAGATTCACCCGGAGAATGCGGAAGAGTACATTGAAATCCTGATTGAGATGGGCCAGTACACTGAGGCCGTAAAGGTCTTTATGGACATCTTGGACAACCAGCGGTTCCAATCCAAGAATGGAAAGAGTAATTTCCAGCTCTGGACTGAAATGGTTGACCTCTTGGTCTCAAAGGCCAAAAAGATCGAAACAGGTCCTCAAGTTGGAATTGATGTCGATGCCATTCTCCGTAGTGGAATTGAGCGATTCGCGGACCAGCGAGGAAAGTTGTGGGCTGGTCTGGCAACCTACTGGATTACCAAGGGCAGCTTCGAGAAAGCGAGAGATGTGTTTGAAGAAGGAATTACTACCGTTATGACGGTACGAGATTTCACGCTCATCTTTGACTCATATGTCGAGTTTGAAGAGTCCATCATTGGCAATCTGATGGAAGCTGCGGCTGTTCGTTCAGAAAAGGGCAAACTTGACGAAGAGGCTGATTTTGACCTGGACCTTCGTATGCTACGATTTGAACAATTGATGGACCGACGGCCCTTCCTGGTCAATGATGTTCTATTGCGACAGAACCCGCATAATGTCATTGAATGGGAGAAGAGGGTGGCTTTGTGGGGTGATAACAAGCAGGAAGCTGTAAACACCTACACAGCCGCCATTGCGGCAATCAATCCCAAGAAGGCACACGGAAAGTTCTCCGAGCTGTGGGTCAACTATGCCAAACTTTATGAGGATGGCGGTGATCTGGAGACCGCTAGAGTCATTTTCGACAAGGCCGTCAAGGTCCCCTTCAAATCTGTTGCTGAGCTCGCCGAGACCTGGTGTGAATGGGCGGAGATGGAACTCCGTTCGGAGAACTTTGACCGGGCCGTTGATATCATGGCCAAGGCGACACAAGCGCCTAAGAAGTCTACCGTGGACTACTTCGATGAAACTTTGTCCCCGCAACAAAGAGTGCACAAGAGCTGGAAGTTGTGGAGTTTCTATGTTGATCTCGTGGAGAGTGTGTCCTCGCTGGAAGAGACCAGGAAAGTCTACGAGCGGATCTTCGAACTACGTATCGCGACTCCTCAGACAGTGGTCAACTTCGCAAACCTCTTGGAAGAAAACAGTTACTTTGAAGATTCTTTCAAGGTGTACGAGCGTGGCTTGGATCTCTTCAGCTACCCAGTGGCCTTTGAGCTTTGGAACATGTACTTGACCAAGGCCGTGGATCGCAAGATTGGCATTGAACGACTTCGAGATCTATTCGAACAAGCTTTGGACGGATGCCCGCCCAAGTTTGCCAAGCCTCTGTACTTGATGTATGGCAACTTGGAAGAGGAGCGGGGTCTCGCCCGACATGCGATGCGCATCTACGAACGTGCGACTCGTGAGGTTTCGGATGAGGACCGATTCGAGATGTTCGAATTCTACATCACCAAATCAGCCTCGAACTTCGGACTCACATCAACGAGACCAATCTACGAGCGGGCTATTGCAGCTCTGCCAGATCAAGAGGCCAAGGAGATGTGTCTCAAGTTTGCTGAGATGGAACGCCGACTCGGTGAGATTGATCGGGCGCGTGCAATCTACGGTCATGCGTCCCAATTTTGCGATCCGCGAACCAACGCCCCCTTCTGGCAGAAGTGGGAGGCCTTCGAAGTGCAACACGGAAACGAAGACACGTTCAAGGAGATGCTTCGCATCAAGAGAAGTGTTCAAGCTCAATACAAGTATGATCCGCCCCATGATCCCTTTTTCAGAAATCAATATACTGACCTTTTTTTAGCACGGACGTCAACTTCATCGCCTCGCAGGCTATTGCTCGCAGCCAGCAGCGTCCTCTGGACGGCGCGCAGGGCGAAGGCGAGGCTGCCGAGCGTGCCGATGCCATGGCTGCATTGGAGCGCGAGGCTCGTGCCCCAGTGGGCTTTGTTGCTGCCAGCACTGGACCCGAGGGAGGCAATCGCCCTCCCCCTGCAGGCCAAGAAGCACCTGCAGCCCCGGCCAACCCGGATGCCATCGACCTCGACGACGATATGGACGAGTAGGAGATTCAAAAGGATCTTCGCAAACGGACCATGGGAAACCGCAACTACCAGACTGGACGCTGAATTCTTTCAATCACCCTCATCACCCCCTGTCACTAGTATTTCCTTTCTTTCTTCCCTCGTATCAGTACCATTGCAACGGATATCACTCCGATTTTTCCTTTTTCTCCACCGGTGTTGTGCGCCACAATTTCTTGTTTACTTCCGAAAGGGCGTTTCTCTTTTGCTGACTCGAGCATCATGCTTGAGAATGAATGTCCACTAGCTCGTTCATAACTTTTCTCCCTGCTGTTTCATTGCTTGCGATACCTGCCCTGGCCAAGGCATGTTTTTTGTATAGGCTACCAATAAGGATTGAATTTTTCCATCCTCATACTTGCATTATGTAGCGTTCCTAGTAGATACAGTGTCTACAGTAGGGCCGTCTAGGGCCAATTTTTTTTAACAAAATCCTAGATACAATCTGTCACCTCTGGAGCAACCAATTATCGAGGGTGTCTTTCACAATTGAAAAGGTCGGTGGGCTTGAGATCCATGGTATATTCCAAATTCATGGGATTCAGCGGAGGCTTGGGACTGAAACAAAGGAAGAGGGGTATTTCCATGCCTACCGGGGCTTTTACCTCCCATCTGCGTGCTCACCCGAGCACAGGGAAAGCCAAAATACCGCGTGATCAATGAAAGGAGAGAGAAATTGGTTCTTTGTGCACATGGTAGCCATAGTCTTTTTAGTTTCTTGAGCTCTCGGATACCATGGCCCCCCATCCCCATATCAGAGTCAAGGACCAGTGTTCGCCTGTATATGCCCCACTTCAAGATTTTAAAGGAAGCATGGGATTGAGAGCTTAAGGAACGAAGAGAATTGAGCTAATAATTTTCAAGCTCAAAGAAAAAGGGGAAAAAAACCAAAATGGAAGGAGGCAGGAATTGCATGGAGACTAGCAGCTGTTGAATTCTGGAGGCCTTGGTCTTTTCGCCCGTCCCAAACAAAGGAATTTCTTCTGTTTCGGTTCTATGCTGGCTGAATTTCCCTTTTATTTTGTCTGATTGAGCACTTAGCATTCTGATCAAATTATACAACATGATTTCTTCAAAAACGATTTTTGAAAAAAAAAAAAAAAAAAAAAAAAAAGGTTCTTGAATTTCGAAGTAGATATCGGCAACTGGCGCATACCTGATCAGAGAAAAATTTCTAAATCTACAAGGAAGCGTAGGCTAAGCAAGTATGCAAACCATTATATAATTATTTTTTCCCTGAACGTCGAGTTCTGTTTGATCGACCTGGGAGTAAGCATAACAACTAAACCGGAGCTGTATTGAGCTTCGGACGCCCGATTTCTTTGAAGCCGCGATAAGCCCAGCAGTGGAATTCTGATTTGGAATTGAATCGAAGAAAATGTATGTGGGGTCATGCTATTTCTTTGAAAGGAATTGCACACTAGTTCAACGCGTACAAGCCGGCGTCGAAAAGCTTCTGAACAGACAAGTCTTTCTGTACCGGAAAAAGTTGAGAGACTGATAGAGCAATAAAGTAAATAACGTCAACTTTGCCTCTATGTCGGGAGCAAGGCCTTTCTAAGCATTCGATGAGCTGTAAGAGCGCAGAATAGGACAGATTGTTGTTCCCTTGTCAGGATCGTATTTGAATCCGTCATTCCAACCAAGTTTCCTTTCGCAAGCCACGCCTCCTTTTTGAGGCTATGCTGGCCCTGTTTCCCCATCGCTTCGATCCACTTTGATACCCCGAACTCGAAAACTGACTACCTGGGAATTAATGGGACATCCAACCTTCAGATTGCGAAAATTTTCTTTCTTTGAGAGAATCCCTGTCAAGATGGTTCTGAACCAACCTTCGAAGATTCCCCGTGGGTCGAAGCTCGAATTTGCCAGCATGATATCAAGCATAAATAGAAGTACCTGCTCTTTCATAGACTTTCAATGTTCTTCTCGTTCTATTCAAATCATTTTGAAGAACACTTGTCATTCCATACTTGGCTGAACTACTCCGTGAGTGCCATGGCGACACGTACGAAGATCCGGCGCAATCCTAACGCCGGAATAACAATTGGCTTCTATAGCGAGCGAAATCAGGCAGCGCGGGCAAGAAGAAGGGCACTGCCCCCGGGTTCGGAGGTCCCCCAAAAGCAGACGGCAACGCCAGCGCTGAGGATGGAGGGGAATTAGACCAAGATGACGTGAAAATGGGGAAGCAACCAGAACGGCCCAATTTACCGTTCTCTAAATCCTACGTTGGCCTACTACCGCCACCTACAGGGCCTCATAAACGTCCTCCACGGAAGACGTGGCCGACCCCGGCGGTGCCTATTACATGGCCCAACGATCCTAATATCCCAGAAGACTGGACCTGCGAGGAGCTTGATCTTGACCCTGAGTATGTTTCCCTTGCAAGATAAGCAGAGTTGGATATAGTTGCAGCTAATGGCTAATCTTATCACACCCAGTGATCTTGACGCCCAACTTGTCCGTGTTGACGAGCGAATTGCCAATCAGATCCTACCGGACATGTTCGCGCAGAGAAAGCAAGAGCTTCTCGAGCTCAAGGCAGAAAGAGAGTAAGAAATGATTCGCCCATCACGACTAAGTTCAAGAGTTATGTCAGAATGTTAATGACAAGTTTTTAATAGTAAGATGATCGCGCGAGAGAGTGGGTCATACGGACTCAGTATGGATGTTATCAGACGTCTGGATTATCTCATTGAAATGGGAGAGCAACTTGTAAACACCCCAGATCCGAGTGGGTTTATCCCAAATATTAAGGCCATAATCAATGCCTATCGAACACGCCGGCTGGAATGGAACGAGGGCCTCGTGACGTACTGGTCTAAAGGCAAACAGCTCTGTGAACCCCGACCTTTTCACTATGGAGAGTTTCTCGACGTCAATAAACAGCACGACGGACACAACGATTTCTGGGTAGAAGGGGTAAGTAGTCAATCCTTACAATCTAACCAGATAAGTTTGATGGCGAGAGACTCATTCTTCTAGCTTTTCCCATCAAGACCTGCGTCGCAATTGGTCGTGCAGTCACAGGAATTTTCGGCCCCTCCTGGAAGGTGGGTTAATGATGTAAGTCATCGAACACAAACGTCTCGACACACTTCTAATAAGATGCCCGCCAATGGAGAGACATTGGACTGACCATGTTCCCCATTGTGGGACGAGATGATTAGATGTACATAACGATGCGACTTCCGAACAATCGAACAACGCAGATGCAGTATTTGTTCCTGGATGACTCCGGGGCGGAAGCAACACTGATATACGATCAAGATATTGTGCCCCTGCGAAAAACACCAGCTGGAACCGTCTCTCAGTTGCCGCCCCTTATGGGCTCTACACTCGCCAGGGGAGCCCTAGGTGGCCAGGGAACGCTACATCAGATCCGAGCCATGGAGGTGAACATGGTTGCTGATACCATTGGCAATTTCATGACCTTATGGGATTGGATCCCAGTAACTATACACACCGTTCTCCCCAAAAAAAGACCTCCACCCAGGCTTTCCGGCCCATGGCACCGCTACAAGTTCTATACGGGCTCGGCTCCAGATGGCACAGGAAGGACGTGGGCATTCAACCTCAAGAAAGGTTGGGATACTCTGGTGCCCACAGTAACAAATGTGCTGATCGCCCCAAGACCTGATTACTCTGCCTGGGGGGCGTTCCGGCGGCGGCGAATGCAAGTGCCGGTGCGCCAGTCAGTGCACGTCCAGCAAAGGCGCCACCTCCAAGGGTGCTAGTCGCTCCAAACCCAGCAGGTCTACGTCGGGCACCACTCAATCAAGCGGCTTTGATTAATGTGCCACCGGCAGCAGGGTTAGCGCCGGCAGTCATAGCAGCAAAGGCATCAAAAGCTGCGCCAAAAGCAGCGCCGAAAGCAACGCCAAAAGAAGCGCCATAAGCAGCGCCAAATGCAGCGCCAAAAGTGGGACCAGGACTGTCACTGTTGCCTGGATTCAAACTCCCACCTCCAGCAGGTTTTCCACCTTTTCCATTTGTGCCAGCAAAAGGACCACCGCCACCTTTAGTACCACCTTTTGCAGGTCTAGGCCCAGGGGGAGCAGGGCGGAAGAGGACGAGGACGAGGACGAGGAGGAGCAGGAGGATGAAGAGGATCTTAGGGTGGAGGCGGAACCGGTGGCTTTATTATTCTCTGCTTGCTCTTCGTTATCATCTGTGCTTCTCACTTTTGTCAGTTTTGTCAGCCGTTGCTCGTTGCTTTGTTTGTGTTCAAGGTCTCTTCGGTTCTTTTAGTATCAGAAATAAACTCCTTTTCATTATTATGAACTTGGTCCCAGGAAAATGAAATCCACCACACGCGCTTTATCTACACAGGAGGATGAGAAAAAAAATGATATCACAAGCAAGGGGCGTTTTGCAGAAGCGTATCACCCCCCACCGCTTTCTATATATGAATGCACAAGGTGGGAAATGGATGGTATCGGAACCATAGAACCACAATCACCGATAAGGAAAACCAGAAACTTGGCCTAGGATGAGACAACTTGCTCAGAAGCTGGGTTGGCAACAGCAGCAGGGGCGACTTCTGTGGCATCATTGCCGGCTTCTTGGGGCGACAGCGTAAATTCCTCGTTCTTCTTATCACCAGTATCGTTGGCCGGTTGGGTCGGTGATAGAGCAGCGGACCCTGGCTGCTCCTTGGCTGAATCCGGGAAAATCTCGACGAAAAGGCCCGGTAGGAATCGTTCCAGGCGCTTGCGAGTCTCCATCCACATCTCCTCTTTACTGGGGTCTTGCGACGGAGGAACTAGATATCCTCCGTCTGCCATGACGAGCAGAATGTTCTTTAGGCTTTCGGGAATGGCTTCTTCCAGGTTGTCACTCTGACCGCTGTTCATCATTCGGTCAAGAATATCCAGGATCTGGAGCCAGAGAGGAAGCATGCCTTCTCGGTTGGGAAGCTGATCGAGGAAGCGAAGGAAAATCTTGCAGACCAGTGTCGCCGCCTGCACTCGAGTCTCACCCATCCCGAAGGGGTCGGAGTGGTAGACCTCTGGCTTGAGCAGGCGCAAGATGAGGGGGAAGAGAACTTCGTCAAAAATGGTGGCCCACTCCTTGTCATCACCAGAGATCAACTCAGCAGACAGGAGAGCTCGTTGAAGAGTAGAAATGGCATGATGGCGGATGTCACGGCATGGGTTGGTGCATTGACCGCGAAGGGATTCGAAAATGGGAGACCAGTATGCAGACCAGGCTGGATGAAACAAAAACGTCAGAATCAACACGGGGAGAGAATACCGGAGAAAACGAACCTTCACGCTCTTCAAGATGGGACTGCTTGATAAGCGTGGGAACTCGCCCAGTCAGGTGATAGATCAAGCCAATAGCTTTGATGCCGCGGGAAACGATTTGGTTTTCACTATCGCGTGTTAGACTTCTTTGCACCACAGTGAGAGAGAGACGAGCCATCCTACCTTGGCTTGGGTTGTTTGACACCCTTGCTCCGTCGAGCCTGGCCATCCCTTTGGCGCTCATCGATAGACCCTACATGGCCCGCACGGACAAAGTCATTTGCCAGAGCAACGGCCGATTCGTAGTTGTCGGCCGTGATAATGTCGGGCATAGAGTGGACAATGCTCTCGAGCAACTCGAACACCAGCGGAGCGGCCTCTCCATGTTGGTGCAACCGTTGCAAGATGGACCAAAAATCGGGAGATATAGTAATCTCATTTCTCAAGCGGCCGGTGTGGGAGATGCATCGCGACAGGCCCTTCACCGTCGGCACTGCAACGGTCTCCAAGACATCTTGGTCCCACCCGGAAATCGCGTGAAGCACAACAGGTACCCGCAGGAAATGCTGGTCCTGATAATATGTTAGTTCAGAAATGGCAATCCCATCAAACTTTCGGTAGGTACATACGTGGCTTAGTCGGAGCAGGTTAAGCAGGTAGGACACGATGCGAGATACGGTCAACGGGTGAAGGTTCTTGGCATCGCGAACGAGGGTCTGGAGCGTAGTTGCCAATGATTCACCAAGGCTCTCGAGAGTCTTGTCGTCACGAAGAGTGAGAACAGTCGCCAGCTCTAAGAGGAAAATCATAGTCGGATCATACTTCGGCCGGTTGGGGTCAACCCTAGTGCTCGTAGGTCTCGACACAGGACTTGGGCGTTCAGGTTTCACAACAATTACAGCGGGTGCATTTTCTTCCGGTAGCTGGGACACAAGGGCCCCCACAAGTGACTCCAGTGAAGAAAGAGGTAGAGATCTGGCAGTCGTCAGCATCGTAGCTCACTATGAAGCCAGGGAGGTACTTACTTGATGTTGGTCAGAATCTCAGGAATAGAGCATGCGGTGACACAATCCACGGTACAAAGAGTGTTGTCGAGCTCTTCATCGGATGGCTCAGGAGGATCATCGGCTGCATAACTTGATAGATAGGATGTAAAAGCAGATAGCAGACCGGTTTCGTTACCCCGTCCATCTCGGTCGACAATTTGTGATGGGGGCTGCAGGGGAATGGGGGAGATATCGAGCTGAGCAGTGAGCTGAGAGTCGAATGGCGGAATAAGAGAGTTGATAAAGAGGTTGCTGAGAATGCGCACGATGTGCTCCCAGCCTTGCTTGGGCGTGGACTCGTTGCCCGCCAAGACTCGGAACAGGACCACAGTAGCCAATTGTGCTCTAAAGTCCCGTCCGAACTTCACAGCCAATTCACTGACCATCACACTCTTCTTCCCTGCCTGCACTTCCGTGTTGAGCGCAGTGCTTGGAGGTTTACTCGTCGCCAAGGTGCTGATGGAAGCAAGGGAGGAGACGATCCGATCAAAGGACTCTGTTAAACCGTACCGCGCAGCAATTTGAGCACACTGGTCAAATCCATTGACCACGCGAGAGTAAACGGCATCGTCAGAGGCAGACATGAAAACGTAAGAGAGAGTAGCAACAACCGGTCTCCAGGTTGCTTCAAACATCTCCGCATCATAGACGTTGGTTTCGCCTACCACCATTTCACCAGCAGTCGACGATTTAAGGAGAAGCTCCTTCCAAGCATAGTCAAAGGCATGTTTGTTTTCGTGCTCATCAGGCAAAATGATCTCGTTCTCCTTGATGGAGTCATAGATCTCCTGGAGGAATTCCTCTGCAAAGTCACTGCCCCCGTTGACGCCGCGTAGGTTCTTTGCGAAGGCGGGGAAAGTCATGCGGTTTTGTGACTTCACGTTGGGGTTGTATAGTTCAGTGTTCAACATGATGATCGCGTAGGTCAGAATATAGAGTGCATCTTTGTCCGCGATGTCCTTAGGCTTCGCCTTCTCCGTGTAGTGTTCCGAGAAAGTTGTCACAATGCGTTCAATCAAGGGTGACTCGCCAGGCAAGCGGAACGAGCTGAGCAGCTCCCGCAGTGCTTCAACCACGTTTCTCCCGGAGAAATCTAGGAGGTCTACGAACGCTCCCAATAAGTCTTCATTGTTTCGTTTGGAAATGAATTCACCAAGCACCTTCTTTGACAAGCGCCCCGTTCCCTTGAGAAAACGGGCGACCTGCACGGGGTTTTTGGAGTCTTCGATAATCCCATGGTTTGCAAGATAAGCAATTCCTGCCTTGGGTTCCTCATTGAACATTTGCGCGCCCTTGATGATGTGCTTTTTTGTTTTCCGTTGGCTTCGAAGGCGCTCCAGTGGAGGATAATCCCCTTGTACGGGCTCATCATTCATGCGATCATAAAGGAACTGCACATATCCGAGGAGGGCATCGAGACACAACGGGGGCACATTTGTAGTACTCCACGTTGCCGAGTCTGGAAAGGCATTGCGAGAAAGCAACCCAATCATATCTTCACACAGGTCAGCCCGATCCACTTCGCAGTCATAATTGACGAAAAGCTCCACCATAAAGCTAGGAATCCGCGACAAAACTCCTATGCTTTCAACCATGGCTTCCCGAGCTTCTGGTTTTCGAGAACCGCCTTCAAGACCGAGCTTTTGGCGATCCTTCACGGGGACTGGAGTGGACCGGCCACTATTGGTTTGGGAAGATGGTTGTTTGACTAGTTTTGGTGCCTGGGGTACTCCCTCGTAAAGAGAGGGGTCAATGCCTGCCTCACGGGGGATCTCCACGCGGGGATGAAGGCAAGCCACCAGATAAGAGAGATAGAGCTCTTGCTGCAGCTTCAACACAGATCGACATGTTGACAATAACGTCCCCGCGACTCTCAAAGAACCATTGAGAATAGCTAACTGCTCTGAACGGACCAATTGGAATAGATAGCGGCAGAGGTCATCCTTAGCCAGAGCAGCTAAGCTGGGGTGTCGAGCAATAGATGGACCGGCCACTTCCAAAGCAACGTCAATGATGCGCAAAGCCATCACTCTCATGGTGTCGGTATGTTGACGGTTATGGGGGTCGAGAAGGTCGATCAAGACGCGGAACAACTCTCGAATCGAGGGTAGAGAGTAGGGTCGGATCTCGCTGTCGCTGTCGCCCTGCAAAGTGGGTGGTGCAGTGGCAGCAGGCGTAGCCCCGCTACCTGCTTGTTCGGGCGAACCCTCTCGACTGGTGCTATCTCGCTCTGGGGCTGCCGTGTCCGAGCTCATTGCCGATTGATGTTGAGATGTCACAGTATCACCATCTACAGAAGGGTCCATCTTCAAGTTTGACACATCCTTCTTCACACGTTCATCTGCAAATGGATCGGGGCCTGGGGGTATCTCTTGATCAAGATGTGACAGCCGCATAAATATGACTTGGCACATGTTGACCATGGCCATCTCTGCAGACCTCCGCAGCACTTCTGATAACCGACCTTGACAGCACATGCTCAGTCCCGTCTCCATCATCTCGCAGACACTCTCGTCGCCCAGAAGCTCTCCTTCCGGCCGTGACAACATGCCCTCCATCAATTTCAAGATCCGTAGGAGCACGATCTCATCTGCCGAAGAATCGCTCGCTTCAAATCGACAGTGTGTGATTGCAGCGGAGAGGAGCTGCATGGCCATTGGTAGGCGGGGCGAGTCTCGATTGATGATGTTGTAGGAGAAGAACTTGGTGATGGCAACCAATGCGAGGGAGGTGATTGCGGCGGAGGTCGAGGAGGAGCGGACGACTTGTAGGAACGGATGGAGGAGCGCTGGAGTATCGAATGTTCGGATATCTTTGCAGCCCTTGAGATCACTCCGCAGGCGGGTAAAGGCTGATATCAACGGGTTGTCCTGCATGCTCTTGCCTTTCTTCCCTCGTAGGCCCCATCGATTAGCCAATGCATGGTCCTCCTCGCCAATTCTCGTCGACTGGCTGCTCTTGCGTGGACTCGGCGGCGCCGAGGTATCCCGTTCATAGACCCGGGACCCTCCATTGCCGCCCAGGATGGCGGAGACGGAGGAGTGCGCCCAGCGGGCATGCTTCCGCATGGACGAGGTGACGGTGATACATTCGGTAGTCACCAAGGCCACCGGGTCGATGGCAATAGTTAGAGGTTCGGACATGGTGGAATCGAGCATCTCGAGCGGGAGATGCGCTCTGTTGGTGTCACCGTTGACTCGGCGAACAAACAGCTGGTCTCTCCATACTGCTGCTTGCCTTTTTAGGGTTAGCGTCTTCCCCGCCTGCTCACCGCCTTCATCAGGGGTTGATACACGGTAATATCGAGTGCCTGGTATTTATGGCAATAAAATACTGCTAATGGGCTGGCAACTGTTCGGCTGTCTTGTTTCTTCCGGTATTTTGGCCGTATGTCTGTAACTGGTTCATCACCACACCAAATGAAGCAGCGACTCTACATAACTTTAACTTCACCCTTATTACAAGTCACGCAGAACTCCATCCATTGCGGCCTAGTGACGATTTGATGATTCCAGTCCACGAGGACCTGGATTCTGTTCTGCTCACCGAGTAAGAATATACTGCTAAATTATTCTACTTTTTCAACCTATTTGACTCCATTGTCCGTCGCACGGCATGCTCTCTCTCAAATCAGAGACAGCTGATGCGCATACAAACACCTCTTTTCAGATCCCTGGTTTTAGTCTTTTGAAAAGAAGACACTGTTTAGTATCCAAAATTTGAAGATAGACTCCATGCCCTACATGTCTATTGTGGTGGTTTAGACTGCACACACAGTTGGCCTTGATAACCTGTCTTACTTTCGCCATCCTGAATAAGAATCGGCCTCATGCCACACTCTGTCACAGATGCTCAACCTGAACGCTGGCGGCTGTAGTGACCGTGCTGGTCATGACACCAAATGTGTGCGAGCTGCTTTGAAACGGTCTATATCTCAAAAAAACAGCCCTTGCGAGACTAACATCATGTTCTCAATCCAGTCCCTCCGATCGACCATCGATACGTCCGAGTGATGTGCTGGCACAGTGTCACGTCGGCCGGGCTAGGCACCTTTCCCCACTTGACCCGGGCTAGCGCAATATGCAGCAGTCGACGCATTTTACGCTAAAGCAATGGATTAGTCTTGAAGTTGCATTGTGTCAAGGGCCCAGCTTTTTGCAGATAGACACACCTGATGCTCCGCAGGGGCGGCGGATATGACAGACTCTAATGCGCGGACAAACGTCTCTCCAGCGGCGCCGAGGCTGGAGTCAAGGTCTTGGCTCGAGAGTGACAAGGTCATGTATGCAATCGCGGAGCCCAGGAATAGAAACACGTCACAATATAGAGGGTTGAAGCTGAACTCGGATTCTAGTGAAAAGACGTCGCGAAGTGCCTCTGATGCTCGCACGACAGAAATTGACATAGTTTGGTGAGTGGCCGTGTTCAAAAGAGCATCCCTGTCGACTCCTTCGACTGCGTCAGTCATATCCCATGGCGCTGAATCCAGCAAGAACAAGATGCGGATCAAGAGCCGCGCGTATGCTGGAAAGATCTCGGTCTTAAGGGAGCAAGCAGCGTATGAGAATCTCTCATCGGCATTGTTCTGAGCGTTCCCACTTGTTGGAATATCAAAATCCTGCGCGAGACGTTCAAGTTGCACACGAAAGTCGTCACCTGCAGTAATTTCCGAGTCCAATGGCTGGTAACCCATTCTACCTGCAAGCCTCCGTCGCATGAGAGACTGACGGTGATCAAGTAACGTCTCGAGTGCCATACTGAACGGCACGAAGAAGCCGAAGATATCAGAAGGGGGTTTGAATGCAGCGACGACGGTGGGTGACCACCAAATTGCGGGACGTTACTATGGCCGGTCGTCGAAACGCCTTGCCAGGCCAACTCGGACATTGGCATCGACACCTCCTGGCATTCGAGGTTGGTGATGGATGCCGGGACGTTGTGAGACAACGCTAGCTGCTTGTCCCATATGTAAAGGCTCCACCAAACCCGGCGACTTTCCTCCAGCCCTTCTCTGGTTGCAGAGACAAAGCGATAATCGGACCCGTCAATGACTTTGTTATCTCTCACCGCAATAGAAGTCTCTTCCGTACCATTGACGTCGGGAGATTTGAACGGGGAGTCGGCATAAACGACACTTCCTGTTGATGGGACTGAGGGTGACTCCCCGTTGGGCGACGGCCGCTCCTGCACCTGCTGCGATGGCCCATGGCTCATGACATCTGCGTTTAGTCTGTATTCCTTGGCCAACTGAAAGGCAGTGTGCCACCACCTCGTCGCAAAAGAACCGACCTCGGTCGTCATGGAGACCAGTGCAAGATGCATATAGGTGACAACCTCGTCTACAAAGCGGTGTCTGCCGCTTGACATGGTGACAGATGAACGAGATTCATAGCGATCACCCGAGTCGCTTTTTTTCGTTGCAATGTGATCGGAATGAGCCTCTGTTGTTCGGGAAACCAGGTGTTGAGGGTCGTGCAGGAAGCTGAGTGTCAGTGTAAAAAGGCTACGCAAGAGTCGTGCACGAGCAGTAGGAGAAGCGCCAAAGAAGGGCGACTCTGTCGTGGCAGCCGCGACCAGAAGCAAACTTGATAACAACGCGAGCGAGCTTGGTCTCCCTTGGGTAGAAGATGCGAAAGAGGAACGTCGAAAGATATGGCACAACAGTAGAGGGGAGGCTGGAATGCATGATCCTTCAGATTTATCGGCAAAATACGAGTCCAAGAGATCACAAGCTAACTCGGGCGAGACCTCTTGATCGAGGTAAGGGTACAGTGGTTCCAATACGGCGTATCTCCGCTTAATGGGCAAGCTCGATGGTGGTCGTTCCGCACATGGCCTCTGTTCACTGGGCTGCCCAACCGGTGGGAGAATGGAAGACTGTGGAGGCGGCCGGTGGGCGAAGGCGAGGTCATCATGGTCTGGAGGTTCCTCAGGGACGGTACGGGGCAGACGAGGGTTACCATGCTGGTCGAGCTGGCTGTCGACGATAATCGGACTTCCACTCCAAACATCCACAAGCTCGTCTGGAAAAAAGAGAGAACTGACTGGCTGTTGTATCGCTGTTAAGCTGGGCTCCCAGGAGATGGGGATGCCGTGTCCTTGGTCTTCGCTGTTGGTGGCTGCTTCGGTTTGAGCTTGATCGGAGTCAACACCATGCACATGACCAATCTGGACAGCATCCGGGGGGAGCAAGTCTAGGTCCTCCTGCAACACCTCCACACCGCTCGCAGCCCGGTCTAGAAAGCTGTTATTGTGAGTCAATATGTTCAGCCTTTGGGATGGCATATCAGTCGCGAACAAACTCTTCCTTGGGAGCCGACCGCGACGGCGGCTAGCCCGGTTATAGGTGCAGATTGTAGACGCATTCGAGCATCTGCCGCAGGGCTGACCAGTGTCACACTTTACGCGGGAAAAATGGCAGCGATCACAGGCCTTGCTTGCGCGTGCCCGCCACCGCTGTGTTCCTCCGCCAGGATCCTGGATTACGTTGGCTTGGTGAGCCAATTCGTCGCCCCCGTTGTAACCCAGTGTTGATTGTGAGAGAGGGTGAGTAGTTTGCATGTTGTGGAGAGTCACAGTTTATATCTGCTTAAAAAGGCACCCGAAGACGCAAGAAACGAGGTAATTGCAAGATGGAAGGACACTTGACAGAATCAGAGACGGCAAGAGACAACTATGATATGGCCTTCTTGGTTTAGGGTAAGTCTTTCCAGCCCCGACCATACTGGTAAGTATATAGCAGGGTTAGGAGAACGGCAAAAGTTGTAGGTATGCTGTTGGAGAGGAAGTTGTCACAGAGTCAATGGCGGAGGTCTATGATCTGTTGTTTCGTGCTTTTATCCGGTGAACAATGAAATGCGGGGAATGTGGGGAAGCTAAATTTGATCGAGAATAATCCTTTGGCCACCTGCAGTTGCAGGGCATTGATAGGTGGCCTCTGACAATATGACACTGTAAATCCTTGGCTCAGATCAGTTTACAAAATTTTAGCTAACACGTCTCAGTGTTAGAGCGCCAAAAAGTTAAGCATATGCTTAGCCTGATATAAACATTGTAGTTACAGAGCAAATTTGAGCAAAGATACTTAGCACTTGCCAAATATGTTTTAACTTTCTATAGCTGATGGCGGATCGGATAAATTAGAAGCTTTGGCCGGGAAATTACCTACTAGACATGGAATGCTTCAGAAATACACACCATTTATTGCTTTCAAAGTGAACACCGTTATAGAGCGATATCTCTTTAGCATTTGCGCACGCAAACCGACTAACCAATTCAGTCACTGCCATAATTCAAGGATTTACTGTGGCTATGCCGCTACCTGCCCAGAGATCTCTTTGTGCTGATACACAGCCTGGTCGAGCTTCTCCTCGGCAACATATTCGTCGATATGCACTGTGACAAAGGAGTCTCCAAACACCTCGTTGATCTCCTCAAGCGACTTTCCTTTTGTCTCGGGAACAAAGAACCAGACGCAGGCTGCAGTGACGATGTTCATGACAATGAAAAAGATGTAGTATCTCCATCCAACATTGGTCAGAGCTGTTGGGGACGCCTGTGCCAAGATGACCTGGATGATAAAGGACCAGAAAGTTGCGATAGCTCCACCAGTTGTTCGGATCTGTGTGGGGAAGATCTCAGTGCAGTAGACAGGGCAACCCGAGTTCCAGCTGATGGAGAAGATGATGTCGAAGAGGAGGAGGAAGAGGATGCCAAATCCATTGGCCACTTTGTTGGGCCCGCCACTGAAGACGGCCACAATGATCATGACGATGGCAATATCTATTCCCATTCCAATAGAACCCCAGAAAAGAATGGTGCGGCGCTTCACTCGGTCGATAATGAATGCAAGGCACAGCAGATTGGAAAGTGGTCCGAGAATGCCCCAGACGCCCGCAAGTGCTAGCACCGTGGGACCTTTGATCCCGAGTGACTTATACATGATCGTCTGATAGTAGTTGATAGCCGATATGCCGCAGATCTGCTGACCTATCTGAATTCCGCAACCCAATATCAGCCGCCTTCGGTATGAAGGCTTGCGCAGGATGCCAATGAGGGACGATTCTTCGTTTTCCTGTTCCCACACAATCTGGTCACGTATTTGGACAAATTCCTTTTTAGTCATTTCCAAGTGTTCTGGCTTGCGAAGCTTCTGCAGCAGTTTATATGCCTCCTCATACTTCCCTTTCTCGATGAGGTAGCGAGGTGATTCCGGCAAAAAAAATGTGCCGATGAGGAGGACGAGCGCCCAGAAGACCTGTAGGCCAACAGGAAAACGGTACTAGAACTGGTGTTAGCCAACCTTATGTCATTAGCGCGAGAAACATACGGTAAATTGGCCTTTTGCGTAGTAGACGCCAAAACCGATCCAATTCGACAAGGCGTAGCCAAAGCCAATGAATTGCGCATGGAGACCGACAATGCTCCCACTGCAGATGAACCTGGTCAGTACGCAGTAGCATAACAGTGTCGAAGAGATGTCACAACTTTACTCACCGGTGTTCAGGAGGTGCAAGTTCAGATTGATACTGCGGAATGGCGAAGTAGATGATTCCAATAGCGAGACCTGCGATCAGGCGTCCAGCGATGAGCATCCCCACATCTTGCGCAGCAGTCTGCAATACTGTCCCGATGATTGCAACCAAGGAGCCGATCCTAAGTGTGCCGCAGCGACCGCTCCATCTGCCAATTGGCCATGATAGGAGACAGCCTATGGCACCGCCGGCAGTATACTATAGTCCCCAGATTTCGAGGTCAGCTCCCTGATGAAGTGGACAGAAAAAGTTCTAAATCGGCAACTTACAGTCGAGATGATGGCACCCAGGATGGGCGTCGAGGGATGAAAGAAGGTCGAAAAGTATTCTTGCGCCTGTGCCGTGCCGAAAATGCCTTGAAATGGACTGTTCAGCATCATGCCCCTAGGCTGGAGCAGGGTGTGAGAAGAGAGATTGACTAACCAGAGTCGTATCCCCAAAGGAGCGAACCTATGCTCACGAAAATTGCTGAACCAGGAGTTAATAGGTGCTGTAATTTGGATCACGATCCATGTGCACCAATGCTTACTACAGAAGTAACTGTATCCAGTCGCGTAGTCTGAGATGATGCGATGAGACGACATTATGCTAGAAGATAATGTGAAAGCTCAACCAGCTCAAAACCTATGGACAGCTTCATATCCGTGACAGGTTAGAGGAGGCACATTGATATGTACTTCGTTCCATCAAGAATCAGGAGCGTATAGAGCTTAGCATCTCTTACCCCGCTGTAAGGATGCGTGGTATCAGCTTAACCTTAATGTTCAACCTTGGACTGTGGAGTAGATGATCACTTGGTATGATTGATCCAATTATCCAATAGAAAGGAAGTTTTGATAGGCGACCGGATAGATCCGGCAAATATCACGAGGATAATATGGGGAAATAGCCGACACCAAACATGCTTCCGCCCACTGAGATCGATCGTGATAATCGATGCTCACACATATTCTGACCGAGCTATGGAAAAGGGCCGATTCCATAGCAGACGTCATTGTTATTTCCCAAACTACCGAACATAAAGCAGAGACTGGATAGAGAAAAAGTCACAATGCAATTCAAACCCCTTCATCGAGAGGCATTCCGGACGGCCTGGTGCTTCGATCCAATCACTGACAATCCTTGACGTTGCTCATATCTAAAACTCTATAACTATGGGTTCCAATTCTTACAATCCCGGCGACATAGTAATACAGTGGCTGCCCCCCGGTCTCAGTCTCCAGATCTCGCTCGATGATCAGTTGGCACCATGTGTCGATCATGTACTGCCGGCTGGACACAAGCCGCCAACCAATGTATCACCCCACTTTGCATCGCCGAAGCTCCCGTTGAACGGTGTTCGTGTGGCCGGGCAGGGCCACACCACAAATAAAACTGCCAAATCCATGGTTGGAGGCATTCTCTCCAGTCGTCTTCGCTACCAGCATCATGAGGAGCGAAAGGACGGCGCCACCTTCGGGCTCGACGTTGTCTCCTGTGATGACATGCTCGGCATTGAGGTCACACATACCTTCGAGGTCTTTGCCGATGTCCCTGTCCTTCGAAGCTGGACTACACTGCGGAACCAATCCTCTGGCTTCATGACCATCATGCAAGCTTCGTCCCTTTCCATCGGTGGATTGACCAACGGCACAAGGAGTTGGTCGGAGAGCTATTCAGTCTGGACAGCAAACAACACCTGGTTTCGAGAGGCACAGTGGCAGGAGAGAAGCCTTCCTGATGTGGGAATTGACGATATTGGTTTGTTCGAGCTGAATGATGGCCATCGAGCGACCATGGCACGTTTCTCTGTTTCAAACCAGGGATCTCTGTCTACAGAGACTCATCTTCCCATGGGAGCTGTGACACGGAAGGATGGGCAAGACACGTGGCTCTGGCAGATCGAGCACAATGGCTCCTGGCGTTGGGAGATTGGTGACTGGCAAGATGGGCTGTACGTGGCTGCTGGTGGACCGACCAAAACGGATCATGCCTGGGAGGTGGTACTTTGTCCAGGTGAAACCTTCACGTCCGTACCGATTGCCCTTTGTCATGTGGTGGACTCCTTGGAGGAAGCCTTCGCCACATTGACCGAGTATCGCCGATGTCTCCTCCGTCCCCACGTTGATTATGAGCGCTTGCCGATCATATTCAACGACTACATGAACTGCCTAATGGGTGATCCGACAGAGGAGAAGATCCATGCTCTTCTAGAGCCTGTAAGGGGATGTGGAGCGGAATACTTCGTCATCGACGCTGGCTGGTATGCGGATGACAGCAACTGGTGGAACGATGTTGGAGCATGGGAGCCATCCCAGAAGCGCTTCCCATCAGGATTCAAGGCCTTGTTGGACGGCATCAGAGCCAAGGGCTTGATACCTGGTCTGTGGCTTGAGCCAGAGGTGGTTGGAACACGGAGCGTCGTTTCGAAGCAGCTACCGAGCTCTGCATTCTTCCAGCAATGCGGACAACGTGTCGAGGAACGAGGAAGATATCAGCTCGATTTCAGCCAATTTGTTGTGCGCAAGCATTTAGACAGTGTCATCGACCGCCTAGTCTACGATTTCCGTGTTGGCTATTTCAAGTTTGACTACAACATCGACCTCATGACCGGCACTGATGCTGACGTGACTCGGGGTGTTAGCACCGGCGCAGCACATCTCGCGCATCACCGTGCGTACCTGCAATGGGTCAAGGACCTGCTGAGTCGCCATGACGGCCTGGTGATCGAGAACTGTTCCAGCGGCGCACAACGTATGGATTACGCCATGCTATCGGTTCACACCCTACAATCCACCAGTGATCAGCAGGATCCGTTACTCTACGCTGCAATTGCTGCTGCGTGTCCGACTGCCGTAGTACCAGAGCAAGGTGCCTCGTGGGCATACCCGCAGCGCCGGTGGAGCGACGAGACCAACGTTGTGACCATGATTAACTCCCTCTTAGGCCGAGTTCATCTGAGTGGAAGACTTGACAATTTGGAGCCCGCGCAATATGAGCTAGTAAGGCAAGCCATGCAAGTATATCGCGACGTGATTCGGGAGAAACTGCGCACCGCTCGGCCATTCTGGCCGCTAGGACTCCCGCGCTGGCATGACGAGTGGGTCGCACTTGGTTTGGCCGCTACAGACGGAACTCTGCTGCTCGCCGTTTGGCGAAGGTCCGGGTCCAACAAGTGTTATTTGCCTCTGCCAAAGCGGCATAGAAATTTGCTTACCGTCACCTTACTTTATCCTGCCAAATTCGAGGCCCAGATTGAATTAGAAGAGGGCGGATTAAGCATCGAGTTACCACCAGTTCCATGCGCTCGCCTCCTGCAGATTTCGCCATAGCTCAATCCACTAGTTGTTTACGAGGAGGAGGTTGAGAAACTGACATTTTATCCTGGTATGTTCTTCAAGCATTTGAAAGACCTAGGGACCTCAATTTAGACTGGTAGCGGCCCATCTGGGGCATTTCCCTCCCTTTAACTTGAGAGACCATGTAGGAATTCATGAATATTCATGAAATGTTATCATGTGATTGAGGACTGTATAAGTCCTCGATGAACTTCTCTAGAAACAGTACCTTCGAGCTGTTTTTGTTCAAGCTTGTGAAAGGAATATCTTTTAGCTTCAATGATCTATTGGTGGCTATTTTATTTTTTATTTTTTATTTTTTATACGAATTTCTTTTACATTTCTCAACCTATTGAACAGGATGGTAACCTTGAAAGTATGTGCGACCCACCAAGCCGCGTTATGCTAATCATGTCATTGGTTGCATAATTTCCATGATCATTTCTATTGTTTAGAAAGGTCCCTGATCAATCGAGTACGGCCTCCGACTGCGTTGATCTGGTGGAATACCCGCTAAATACACGATACTCTTCTGCGTGGGCGACATGCTCCGGTACGATATCCATTGCGCAGAATTGACAATGGTGTCGTTGTACTGATTATGAGAATCACTTGGAGCAAAACTTGAGGCGCAATTGGCTATGGTATTGTTGCCTGTCGTGTAAGTTGGTTGCTCATTTCGAGCGAGCCAGGTCGAAGATACATCCAAAACCGAGTTGTTAATATAGTAGAAGCTGGAGCCTTCGTCAAGGTAGTACCCTATGTAGAGTTAGATCCATGCATCCATTCCTCTGGGGTTTTGTGTGTATATGCGTACCAAATCCCTGGCGGGACTTGACCCAGTTGTCGGTGAGGGTCGTATTGGGACTAGCCGACAGTGTGTATATACCGCCATCGTCTGAATGGAGCGTCCCAACGTTGTAAATGAGGTTTCCACTAATTCTCCCACCTTGCAACGTGGTCGGTGTACTGTAGACGGGTTGGTAGTTGTAAAGGCCGCGTTGCTGGTACTGCGGACTACCCCCGCATCGTTAGAACCCCATCCATAACCGTAGCAGATGCCGCTATATGGGACGTTGACAACATCATTGTGCACAATGTATGTATTTTTGGCATAGCTGGCAAAGATGGGAACAGCCGAGTCAATGGTGTATGCCAGGTCCGTAAAGATATTCTCAAGGATTCTTGTGTTCTGGTTGAGCAAACGCGGGTCCGATGGGTGGTGTGCTTTTGCTTGAATGCCTCCGACGGTAATCGCATTGGCTCCCGTCTGATGGAGAAGCATGCCACTAATCTCGACATCCGATGCTCCGAGGCCAACGCCGGTTGTATGTGCATTGGGATCATTTCCTATTCCGAATCCACCCATCAGGGCGACGATGCTGCCGTTTTGAAACAAAATGTTTTGAGCCGCGCTGACTTGAATTGAACCAGGGACTTGCCACCAAAACGGTCGAGCGGCTTCAAAATCAGTGTAAGCTTTATTCAAACCAATATAGCCACCTGTCTGCTGGTCGACATAGCCTGTTGACATGTGATCTACCTCTGTCAGCTTGGCGCTTATATGAATGGGGAATTGGGGACTTACTCCAGGTAGTGTGCATGTAATTGAAGCCTCTGAAGGTGAGATCATGGACCGGCTGGTCATATGTGCCACCTACCAAGAGCAAAGTCTCCAACTTGGCCAGAACGAGATACATGTTATTTGGGTCCTGGCCAGAAGGTGGCATGTAGTAGATGATATGACTCTCTGGATCCAAGTACCATTCGTTTGGATCCGTAAGGAGAGACAATGCGTTTTCAACGTACAGACCATGGTCGACATCTGGTTTATTGAAGGTATCGTACCCAATGAGATTATTATTCCAAGCCGGTTGCGCCATGACGATGGTGTCCGCCGATGCCCCCGTAATAGGGTTATAGCGAGACGTGAAGGAGTTGTGAGCATGGAACTCGGCATGTTCCAATCCAGGCATGGTCAATATGTATTTGGCCGCGTCATTCACGACTTGTAAGCCAGTGGCAGTCTGGTTGACCCATGAGCGTTGTACTTGTGACCGAGCTCGCTGTGCGTGGGCCTGATTCGCGTAGAAGTGACGAGTGGTGAAGGCTGGGGCTTGAGCTTCATAGATGCCTTTGCCGGCGCTGGAGGCCTTCCACTTGGTGATGGGAACCCTGCAGCTAGCTATTAGCCGTGCTCAATTATTATAAAATTGTGTGAGAATTTTTCCTTACCCACCAGAGATGCTGGCTCCTTTGGTCATATCTTGGGCCTGCCAGACGACGCGATGGCCGTTCTGACCGGAGTCCTCGCTAGTGAACTTCAACGGCTCATTGAGATAGTAGGTACCAGGACCCACGTAAATGTAAAGATCGGACTTCATCCCATTCGTTGAGCTTCGGACAGCCTTCTGAGCCCTTTCCAAGGTACGAAAAGGGGCCGTAGCCGAGCCAGGTCCAGAGTCGTTGCCATTTATGGCCACGTAGTAATGACCCCAAACAGGCACAAGCAACAAGGCCTGAAGGAGTAAAGTAGCTAAGACCATGACTTTTCCAAGTATTTTGTCTAGAATTTTGTGTACTCCAATCTACCGCACGAGCTCGATTGGAGTGGAGCGAGATATTTATTTCCAGTCTTTCCCAAGTATATTATCCCCTGCGTACTTAGGAGGACAACGTCAGTTCCCTAGACGTATTAGCCTAAAAGGCACATATTCGGTGATCGGGCATCTCTAGCTGTTTATGTTAGTTTTGCATAAACTTTGCTGCCGGTCAGGTTTAGGAATTACCATGGATGATCGCTGCATCAAGTGCTAGGATGGCGATGATCAATAATAGGCAAAATGTATGTTTTGGCACACCCTCTCGGGTAACAGGGCTCACTTATCGTGCGTAAGTTGCACAGAACTGTTTTTTACTATGTATCTTAATAGTTCCAAGGAATTTAATGCCTCAATAAACGGATGACGTAGTACGTCAATCAGTTACGGGTATACTGGCCGCAATGAAGCTATACCAGGTACACATGACGAAGTCAGCACATAGGATGATAAATATTGTACCCAGAGAGAATTGAAAACAGAGCAATCCTAGAAGAAAGGAACTAGTACCTTCCACTTCTGTGACTTACTACAGTACGATGACTCGGATCGGATCTTCGCAACACAAGAGAATTCTACTACACAACATAATAGGCAATCAAAAATTTCGTATCATTCGCCAGCTAGTATTACATCTATCAATGACCACAATATCATATGATTAAAACGAACATCACAACCGTAAGCATCCGGAGGCAGAGAATGTGCAAAGTTCGGGTAAATCCTGCTCGCGGGGAAGCGGGGAGAGATGTCAGATGTAACATGAAGCATTCTTAGTCAAGCGGGGTAAAAGGCTATTACCAGTACGGAGTATACTAAGTGTTGAACAGCTCGCCCCATGAATACCGATCTTCATATTAGTATTGAATGGATCTGGTACGGCAGTCACGGTCTTATTGATGTTCAGTCTGAACCTTGGGTGTGCCATGGAGGCCAAGAGTGGCCATTTCGGGAGTAAATGATTTCGACGACAGAAATCTTCACTGAGTCGGATGTTGAGCCTTGCTGCCTTCAACACAAGAGTACGAGAAGCTTCATACTAATATTTTTAGCTGGTTCTGAGGGTTGGTTCTCGCTTCTACACGAGGGCTTTTTGAATTGTTGCCTCAGGCAATAATTTGCCTGATATGTGAGGTGTTTACAGGTGGCCACTCTTGGCCTCCGGGGCCAGGACAGTGTATATCCGGCAGGGACATGGATAAGTTAATGACCTGCAGCTGAATAGCCCCATATATTAGCATATATTGATGTTCTACGGCAACATAATGTACGAAGCTCCTACCGTCTGAAACTATTGTGTCCTAAATGCGTTATGGTTGCCTATGAGATGAGTATTGAGTGACCAAAGTCCGTCTCACCATGGAAGCTTCGGTTTGTTTACATCCATCTACTTTGGGACCAGCCCCAAGACAGTCCAACTGTTTCCCCATGTGGAGTTCAATAATTGCTTTGTTTCCCATGTCTAGCCACCTGAAACCACACCGACTTAATTTATGCTTAAATATCGATCGGAGATTGCACGAACTTTGTTGTTGGTGGTCTCTAGATCGTAGACACCTTAGTGTCGATCTAGACTCTCACAAATCTAAGAGTACTACTCGGTAGGTACTGACCGCGTATTGGTGACTAGATTGTAGACTTGCCTCTCCCTTCCACTTTCTACTTGAGACATTGTAAATGTCGCATGCCCCTCGAAAAGTCAAGATTGGAACTACTATTGGCGGTGAATATGACTTGTCAGATCGAACCTTGCAGCTGGTTGAGGGCAGCAACGGTTGGCCCCGCGTTGGCCGGCCAAACGTAAACAAGGCGATCGGCCCCAGCTGAAAGTGAGCCCCCGAAAGGGCGCTAAGCAAGGCCCCAGTCGCATTATTATTCTAGTCGATCCAATGATTCTTGTCCAGTCATTTGATTATTCACTCCGCCAGGTTATCGCGCTATCGCCCACCCGTATCTCCGTTCAACTACTACTACCACCCACCCCCGCCCCAAAACAAATCGCTCTTCCTTCCCCTCCCTCGTGGCTCATCCAACCCTCCATACACCTGTAGCTCGTTGCATGGTCCTCCACCTGCGCCGGATCTTGAAAGGTTCTATGGAGGGGAGTCTCGAGTGTTGTGACCGCCGTTCGTTTTGACGATGACCACGTCTTCCCCTCAGGCCTCACCCCGACCTTCCCTTGCTGACTCTTGACTGCGCGCGCCATTGCGCATCCACCTCAGACTGCGTCGCTCTTTCTAAACTTCGGTCTTCGGTACGTTCCCATTGAACGCGACCACCTTTCTTTCAACTTTAACCTACACACGCGCACGAAGCAAGTGCGACAGACCCCCCGCCATGGTGGTCAACGCAACTGCGCCGGCGGGCACCACGGTGTCAGACCTGCCGTTAGAATATCTCAGTCTTTACCATACCGTCGATCCCTACCTCTCCTCCATTCTCGTCTTCTATGGCCCTGTTGCGACAGCCAATGCGACCGTGAGCAGCTCGCGCATTCAGGCGCATATCTTCACACCGGCCGGTTTTCAGAGCTATTCACGAATCACAATCTCACCAGCTGCACCGCTCTATGCGGCAGTCAACCACCTACCCCGAGAGAAACAAGGCGATCCGGTGGCTCGGGGGCTTGCGGTCAGCATGTTGAAGTATTTTGCTGAACTGTCAGATCCGCTGCGGAAGCGGCTGGCAGATCCCACTCGGACGGGTCAGCGTCATGGCGACAAGATCCCAAGGCTGTTTGATGAAATGCATGCTGCCGAGTTGGCCAATCGTATGGTCAAGGTGGAGGACTCATCGGAAATTGTGCGCGACATTCGCAGTGCGTATCAGGAACGCAAAGTCCCTTGGGTTGATATGGATGTTGTGTTACCTGCGGGGACCATTCAATGCCCACAACGACGGGAGAGCACTGGTTCCGACATCGAAGCGACACACACACTCCAATATGGCCCATATACATCCCTCATTCAGGCCTTGGGGGATCCAATGTTTTTACCTACATCCAGACTCAAGCGGGCACCATCACAGCCGACCAATGTCAGCAAGTCGCGGATCTTTACCCGCAACCAGAAAGAGGCCCTTCGATTGACAATGTGTGAGTTTGTTGATACCGAGGAGCGATATGTTGCGAAAGTGTACTCTTTGGTTCATGAGGTGGCGGATGAGTTTCGGCAAAAGGCTCAGCGGAGAGGACCCAGCAGTACCAGCCCGGACGAGAACGCGTTGGAGGCTCTCTTTCCACCCTGTTTGAACGAGATCTTGGAAGTCAACCTCGGATTTCTCGACGTGATCCGACAGGTACTAGATGAGACGGAGAAAGATGCGCTCGAGGATATCAGCCAAGACACGGAACTCCCCGCATCCGGTTCACATCGCGGATCATCGAGGGACGCTAGGGATGCTATTGGTGCAACTGTATTTGCTAGATCATTGCTGGACTGGTTACCCCGGTTCTCGCAACCCTATGCAGATTACATGCGAGCACATACTGGGTTTACCCAGACGCTGAATTCGTTCATGAAAGACAAAACTTCCAGCTTTTCCCAACGAGTCTATGAGACAGGGGAGCAGAGACTCCGATCATTGTTGATGGAACCCGTCCAACGCCTTCCTCGGTACAGTCTTCTGATCGACACTATGACAAGCAGTCTGCCGCTAGTCCACCCAGCTGTCCGTCCGTTATTGAGGGCTCGGGACATTGTGAAAGATATTTGTGCTTTGGACAACACTTCTCCATCTGGCCATGCGCAAAGTCTCCGACGTTTACGGGAACTTGTTGATGGATGGCCCGCGAAGACCTTCCCCGACGGTCGTCTGATCACAGCAGTGGATGTCAACGAGATTTCACCTCCGTATCGACTGGATACCCAGGCTTCAGGATCCGCAGCGGGAATTATCCTTCTCTACAAAAATTGCTTGGTACTACTCGCAAAGCCTGCCGAAAGTCGAGTCAGCGCGCGTGGATTGCTAGCCGACATTGATAATGCGGCGTCATCAACCAACGATCCTTCAAATTCCATACCCCCGACAGAGCTCAAGCTCGTTCAAGTACTCGAACTTCATGCCGTCCGCTGCATGCAGTCTGCATGTGGTCGTATTCTCTTCATTGTACCCCCAAACCTTCCTGTGGGCACCAGCACCGTGGATGGTAGCGACGACCTTCTAGCTTTGGAGCTGACCGCTCTGTATGAAGCAAAGGCCAGCCGATTGATCGAAGAGATCACAAAGGCTCGGATTGAAGCGCGTTTCTCAGAACAAGAGCGGGAAGGTGGCAAATGGACCTTGCGCAGTCCTCCTGCAATTCCGAACAGCACGGGTATTCTGGCATGCGTCTGCGAGGATGATCAAAGTGTCGCTCTGAACCAGGCTCAGTCATCACCAATCCGTTTGGTCTTTGACACACCAAAATCTAAGTGTACTGAGATTCTAAACGGATCCAACCTGGACGTCGTGCTGTCGATAGCCCCATCGAATGGTGACCAATTCAAGCTGGATATTGATTCTGTCATCGGGTCTCCTTCTACAGATCTTGTGTCCGCAGAAACATTTGTTCCAACTCTTTCTAGACGCTGTAAGTGCGATAGATAATAATTTCCAGATCAATCTATTAACGCTTTTCTTGCAGTGCAATCTCTCCTTTCGCCCTTGAACAGTCCTCGAAACCCAAAGCTGGTGAAGCCGCTGGTTCATTCAAACTTCGAAATACTTCGATACATTGCGGGTGGCTTAATCACACAGGTCAAGTCCTCACGCAGTTTCCGGCCACCTTCTCCCACGAAACTCATATCGAACCTCCTGGGAGGCAGCCGTGAAAATGTGCCGACCATCAAGCAACCAAATTCAGCGACTTTGCTAGGTGAATTCCCAAAGATGCCTCCACCAAGGGCCAATCTTTCCAGATCCAACACTCTTCCTTCTACTTTCCCCGGCAAAGACAAGGAGAAGGAGAAGGAAAGAGAGAAGGAAAAGGAGGAAATTCCGAGCAAGATCTCGGTTGTTGGCGCATCAGGTGCTCGAGGACCAGATGGCCAACTTGGGTCACTAGAGCAAACCTTTGCGGCATATGTTCTCTCTCTACAATCTCGCAGTGGCAATATTCTTGGGCGGATGCTTCGTGCCCGAGAGCACGCGGACCGTGCACCAGTCAACGAGCTTTACAATATCCTGCTTGAGGATCCAAGCAAGTTACAAGCAGCCGCTGAGGTGCCGGTCGACACACTCTTCGTTGCTTTCGAAACATTTATGAAAAATGCCTGGAGAGCGAGCATGGGTCCAGTGCTAAACCCTTCTGCACTCAAGCTGCTTCAGAATCAGTTCGATACGATGTTTCCTCGACATTTCGTGGAGCATTTCCGGAAGTTCCTGGTAGATGTCAGCCCACAGAACCGTCGGGCGCTGGCTGCAATTATTCGTCTTCTTGCCGAGTTGCTTGACGCATCAGGCAATGACGGGGACCGTGGGGCCCTAACGGTAGCATTTGCCGAGGTTATCACAGAAGAAGGAGATCCTGTGCAGCATGTATCCCTTTTGGATCGCCTAGTCGATGACTTTGATAATCTCTTTGAAGAGTTCATTCCCGGCGGCACCTCTGTTGAAGGGACACTCGGCTGCGACCAGACCAAAACTTCGCATGCAAACACGGGATCTGTGAGCTCAAATAGTTCCTCATTCCGGAAGCGCTTCGGATTTAGTCTGCATAAGGAGAGCTCGAAGGCCGAAGGGGAGAGTAAAGTTGCATCGATTCTGCGAACATTAAGCAAGCGACAGAGTCCAGGCGATTCGGAGCCTAACACTCCCAAGGGTTCCTTGCTCCGCTCCAAATCTACAGACGTGGACGCTCGCCTGGGATTCCTTCGTCCAACCTCCCGTGATCGTCCTTATGGCTTCGCATCCGAGGAGCAAATTTCCAGGCCGGGTACTGGGCATGGGCAGCCGCCATCCTTATCCTCTATCCGAGGAATATCCCATGATGGCGTAGTTAAAATTCGCAGAAAGCGAAGAAGTTCCTTGTCTGATCTTCGCCCTGACACGGCTTCCTCTGATACGTCCCAAGTTTCTTCCAACCCCTACTTGCGTCCAGTGACCCCATCAAACCGACCGCGAGCTGAGATGACCACACCGACTAGTCAATCTAGACCACAGAGTAGCTATCTAGCATCACCAGCTAGAGCTCCGTCCCCCACCAAGGCAACATCGCCCGCTCGTCTGGGGTCGCCGATTCGGCAGGCATCACCGGCTCGCCCTTCTACTCCGAGTAGGAAGGAGAATATTGATCCTAAAGTGCCCCAGACAGAGCAGTCTGCCAAGTCCAAGAGCCACATGCTGGACTCTCCAACCCAGGAAACAAAACGGCGATCCCGCGCGACCAGCATTCCTTCGCGGAACCCAGGCCTTCGGGAACGCGCTCCTGTGAATGGCTCCGAAAGTAAGCGCCCTCAGTCTTCGTCTTCATCCCAGAAGCCGCAGAAGCTGCGGATGCAAAGTCCCCAAAAGGTTTGTAACAGATTCTCATAACTTGTATGTTCCTTATTGACTAACATTTCGGGATAGCTTCGCGACCGTGTTCAGACCGAAAAGAAGGCCCAAGCCACCAGTCAACTTGGGTTCCGGGACGAGCTCAGAGCTATTGGTGATGAGTTGAGTAATCTGAGACTCAACCCAACAAGAAATCCCGGCATGGAGCCAGGCATGAGTTCCTCTGACGCACGCCAATCCTCGGGTGCTGCCTTGTCCCTCGAAGGCCGTCTCTCGAGTCTTGAAGAGCGATTCGACAACATGTCTGGCGAGTACAATGGCCGAACATCTGCCCTCGAAAAAGACCTGGAGTCGTCTTTGATTGTCAGTGAAAAGCGTGTGAAGAAACTTGACGAGCTCTACCGAGAGGCTAGTGCGGAGAACGAAGCACTATACGATCGGTTCAACACGGAGCTCAGCAAGATCGCCAGGGATGTCCGAAGCGGCAGTGCAGAGGACTCTTTGAAGTCTCAATTGGCGAATGCACTTGAGGAGATTAGCCGCCTCAAGAAAGAGAATTTCCGGCTCAAACGCGAAGTTGGTGGTCTCCGAGCTCAATCGGCTGCTGTTGCATTGCTGAGAGCAAGTGAACAATGATCTCTGCTCTATCTACAGCAGTCTTGCTCTTGACACCGAGCACACCACTACACTCTTTTATTTGAATTTCTCCTACTCGCATATGTAGACCACTTGTCGATCTTTTCTTTTCTGTGATACCACATCTATTCTCTCCTTTGTTTTCTCCTGGCATTTCAAGGTCGGGTTTCTACTGTGTATTGATCGGCATATTGCTGTTATTCTTATTTGTTGTCACCCCCAGCTCACATTCAGAGATGGGTTCGGATCATGCATAGCACCGGAGAGTATTCTTGCAGGACTTTCTTTCGTTTTAATTTCTGGTTCATACCTTATTGTTGTGTACACTAGCCGATTCAGCTTCAACTTTGACAGGCCCGCCCATAAGGCGAATTGCCTCTGTGTCAACCATTTTGTACATCCATTCCCACGTCACTTTCCACTTTTCTCCCCCGTAAGTGAATTCTACTACGTTAGGCCCCCTTTGCGATGACAGTGCATCCAATTGGAAATCAAAAGTTGGCAGAGCTACCAGCTGGTCGTGCTCATAATCCGGTGACCATGGCATGTCGCTAGGCTTTTCTATAGCCAACACTGGAAGCGTGAATCGTGCCGACCCTGGACACTCTTCGGCCAGGAGGTTCCTAAGCCTGGTATGAATGACCAATGAGAACCATTTCTTGTTGCGTTTTATTTGCGGTATCAGTTTGGGATCAACGCGAATTCTTTGAAGATCCGTCTTAACAAGTGGACGGACGAGAAGTGTCATGTTGCGTGTCTCGCTTGACCGCTTCTCTTGGTTCTTGCTGGTGGGAGTGACTTTGAAACGGAACCAGTATCTATCATCCCATAATGTCCACGGAGTGAACCCTGGAGATAGTGTTGTGCCGGGATTAGACTTGTGTGATTTTGTAGGCGCGAAGGTAACATCAAGTCGAGTGACGGGGCCTTTGTTCTTGAAGAATGGCTGGCGAGTCAGGAGCCATAGATTTTTGCCACCGGGGACTGGACCTAGCTGATGTTTCACGGCAAGGGGATGGTACATCACGCCGCCCAGTGTGAAATTCTGTCCAGGAATGAATGATGATTCCTTCGATCCATCTTGGCCGTCTTGATGACCGAATATGCGTGGGACAAAAGGCTCGTAACTGCGTAGTGGGAAATGATTTCCATGGAAGGGGGAGATGATTTCGGTGATGCGTCGGAGGGTGAGAGATTGGATCTGGAATAGACGAGAAGCGGGTAATTGAGACTGCAGGGGATCTAAGAATGCAGGGAGATCCTTGATCTGAAGAACCATTATGCCCGCTTTCAAGTTCAAGTTGAGAATACGACATCTTGATGCGAGCAGTTGGTTTGAGAATTCGGTTGATGTGTGGAGGAAAGATTGACTTGAGCGGATCAGGGAGAGAATAGACGGTGCCTGTAATGCCCGCGGTAGAGAGTTTGAGGCGAGCATGCTGCGGATGGCATTGCGCGGGGTCAGGGTTGGGTCGAAATTGGTTGGATCAGAGACGTAGGGAATGTTATTTTGGCGGCAGGTTTCCAGTATGCTAGCTTTAGGAAATGAAAGGAGAGGGCGACAGATGTGAATACCGCCGGTTGCAACGGGGACGTCTGACAAGGTGAGTGGGCTTGAGGTTTTGGGTGATGAGGTGCTTGTTGACTTTTGTTTTTGTTTGCCGGTGTTCTGTTGGATTGTCTGTGGGTTGAAAATGATACTCCCTTTATTCTTGTCGTCGACTTGGAGTTGGACTGGTGCGCGACCATGGCTGCCATGATCAGACAAGTTGACAGACGAACCGCTCTCGGAGACCCCGAACAGACCGTGGCACTCGGGGATTCGAGCAACTTCAGGAATTCCGGAGAGGCCAGCACCTCTTCCTCCAGAGCTTAGTCGCCAGATAGTAGTCTCCACTGAGTCATCCTGGTGATGACCCATAAGTAAGGCGTTAATGTCCCTCTCTCGACAGGCCATACCAAGGGCCCGAAATCGTAGATGACGGGCGTGGGTTTCAAAGGCTGATGGTAAAGTCGAATTTCCTTTCGCATGGCCTGAACTGTCTTGCTTTGCAAATTGAGCCCAGTCCAGCTCCAGGATCTCCGTCTTGATACCTATGATTAAGTTAGTACAAGCTCTTTATATCTCGCGATAGAAAGAGTAAAGCCTCTCAGAAAAGAATTTTATATTGAAGATAAATCACTTACCCATTGCATGAAGCCAGCCGGCAACAGTCCGTGCTTCTTGGCTGCTTTCTGCCCGGGCACGATGGTCAACCACGAACGCAGTGACTGAAATCTTCCCAGCCAGGGCCGAACGTTCTAGTTGGCGACATAGATATGCAAGTGCCATAGAGTCGGCACCGCCGCTAACGGCGAGGCCTGCATATGATGGTTAGTACCGGCTTTCTCTAAAGGAGGCTGTTTCGGGGCATGGTCTTGGTATCTTACCGAGCTTGCGAGGCAGCTGATTGAAGTCATTTCGATCGAGGCTCCGACCGGAATAAAACTTCTCTTGTGTACCCAGCCAGGCACGACGGAAGTGCTCGGCAAATTGCGAGACTGAAATCGCTTTCTTCCCTGCCATGAAGTCCGCTCTCTTCTAACGACCAGTTGACGCATGATAGAGATACCCGGCACCGGCAAATCTATTTTTCCGAACTCGGGCCACCACAAGCCAATAGAATCTCGAGTTGATAGAGTACTATAGTAGGCAACTTGGACGAATTTAGCATTGTTTAATTGTGAGATTGCTTAAAATTGTGAAGCGTGTCTGTTACTAAAATTAATTATTTAGTTTGTTTAGTTAAATTCTTCAATCATGGATATGCTTATCTTGTTGTGGCAGACAGCCTAATGTGTACAACGTAATAGCCCGTTGAGTATGTGAAGCTGGAGACTGCTTTCGGGTATCTCCATGTGAAGTAACGAACAAAAGCAATACCTAGAAAACAAAGAAGAATAGAAAGAACTGGCAATTACTTAGACAGGACACTCCACGTGAGGCATTTTTGGCACTTATATTGTAAAAACAAACTACAACAATAGGCACAAAAATGCATACCTCTCCCATATGCTATACCACGCGGTAGAAGCTGAAGCCCGATGTGGAGGGAAGAGAGGCCAAAAAGTGAGAGTCATCGAACAATTGTATAGTACCCAATAACCTGGGACAATGAATTATGAAAATGTTCGATGTCCTTTCCCAATAACCCCACAGCTGCCCCAGATTTTGTCTGAGTCCCGACTCGGTGTGCTGCTTCGATCCACCGACAAGCCGACGCTCGGCTGCTTTCCGCTTTGAGAAAGACCGATTCCCGATCGCTAGTCATATTGACCAGCACCAGAATGCTTTAATACGACATAAGAACCAGGCCAATTCAGTCCAAAACCTTCAAAATATCATCAATTATTCCCTCATCGAGATGGGATCCATTCAGCACTCCTACCCGCCAGGTATTCACGTTCCATGCTTGACATGGTTCAGGTCCGACGCCACTCAGTCCATCGACTGGGATCTACAAGAAAGGCACCTTGAATTCCTCGTCAGCAGTGGTCTTCACGGTATCGTGATTGCAGGCACCAACGGTGAAGCAGCTACTTTGACGCCCGAGGAGAAGTCACGTCTAGTGAGCCTTACGAGGTCAACGGCACAAAAGCTGGGTCGGCCCAACCTCCCAATCACCTGTGGTACATTTGGAGGATGCACTCAAGCCATTATCAAAGATACTAAACTAGCTGCTGAAGCTGGCGCAGACTATGTGCTAGTTCTGGTACCCTCATACTTCCATTTTGCCCTTGACTCGGCTGCGATTATCGAGTTCTTCCAGGAAGTTGCGAGGGCATCTCCAATTCCAATTGTCATCTACAATTTCCCTGGTGTCGCTGCTGGTCTGAATGTTAACTCAGAGATGCTGGAGACATTGGGTGAACATCCCAATATTGCTGCCGTGAAGTTGACTTGCGGCACTATTGCGTCGGTCGCTCGTTCAGCGGCCAAATTTGGCCGAGCAATGGATGGAAATGCTGCTTTTGTTGCGCTTGCTGGTCAAAGTGACTGGCTTGTTCCCTGTCAAAGCGTAGGCGGTGCTGGATCAGTAACAGGTCTTGCGAATCTGTATCCAAAGGTCAGTTGTGAAGGTGGTCCAATGAGAATGAAGAGGGTGAAATAGGGCTAACTGAAATATAGACCCTTGTGGAGCTCTTCAATCTGTACAATGCAGGAGAGACATCACAGGCTGAAAAGCTGCAGCTTCAGATTGCCGTTGCCGAGTGGGGATTTGGTAAAGCAGGTATCAATGGAACCAAATGGGTCGTTGCCAAATACCTGGGCTATCCCGAAGAAAGCTCCTGGTGCCGTCGACCCTATCCGAAATTCCTGGATGAGGAGAAGCGGGTCTGGGTAACGAAGCAGGTGAAGTTGACATATCACTTGGAAAAGAGACTTTGAAATGAAATCATGATATCTCATAGACTGCATAGAATCATTACATAGATGAGAATCTTGTTACACGATAGCAAATGCACGATCAAAAGTTTCGTGCATCACTTTCCTAATATCCACCCGCTGCTTGGTCTCGTCTTGTCGTCGAATGACTTCCTGGAGAACGTTTGCTGTGATCCCGGCATTCGAGGCAACATTCTCCGTACCTTTAATGCAGGATATGACCCAAGTGCGCTCTTCTGGTTCCTCGACTTCGACGCCAAGCATTAACAAGGGCCATAGCATGTTCACGGGCAGCGAAGGCAGTATCGTCGTGGAGGCATTTGGGGTACCGATGACTGGATTCTCCTGAGGAGATGAGGTCCATGGACTCTCTAAGATCATTTTTGTAACTTGGCGAATCTCATTCATTGCATCCACAACGTCCGTGGTGCGCGGGAGATCTAGATACCACGTCAGCGATCAGAGCGTGTAAAATTCCGACAAGAAGAGACTTACTCTTATATGCTACACGATGTAGATGAATAAAGCTGGCATAGTAATTGGCGTGGTACACCCGCATGGTGCGAGTGATTGTCTCCGCCAAACTGGGCGATAATAAGGTGGCCAATTTGCCCGCCACGGCATAATCCATTAAAGGCGGCCGCTGCTGCCATAGAGACTTGATATCTTGAGTGATTGCGGCTGAAATAGCCATAACCTCAGTTTCATCCTCGACCGTGCCTCGGCGTCGATGCCAAGGGTCGATTTTCGAGATTCGGCCCATGAAGAGCTGGACTTTCTGAAAGAACTGGAAAGCTGGCCGCATGATGAAATCTTCTAATGCTGCTTCGGCATCATCTAGCCCAGAGTCGACTTCGGCAATAGAGCTATCGGGAGAGTGCAGGTCTGTATTGACAGCACTACCCCCTTCTGTCAGGAACAAGCCCTCGCCACCTGCACTAACGGCCCTTGCATCAAGAAGCCGTAACCACGAGAGCAGTCGTCTTTCTGAAGAGATTTTAATATGTCAGTGATGCCACAAATCTGGAATGCTGTGTTCGTACCTGTCACGCTGAGTGATTCAATATCCACCATTTCCAAAGCATGGAAACCTTCTCGCAAATTCGCATGCGCTTTGGACACGTCCTTTGTCAGAAGGTCTATGTATGACAAAAGAAAGAGAACGGCTAGGATATGTCTGAGCTGGGATGAGAGAATTTTGTGGTCACGTCTGATGTCCTTTAAACAGTCTTCTAATCTTTCTTTCGCCGTGCGGTAGTATTGAGTGTACGTTGCTGGCTCCAAGGTGCCCGCTGACTCGAGTTCCAAGGCCACAAACGCAATGACTCCAAATTTGACCATCCGCGAAGTCGAAGTCATCGAGGTCAATTGTTTTCGCATCCAAAACCAGCGTGCGCTGGTCTCAACAGTAGCCAGGATGGGCGGTGCTGCTGAACGTGCAAAGTAATCGGCCAATTGTGTCTCGCTCCATCCAATCGCGACAGTTGGGGATGTTATAGCGGTGAGCCTTTGCTGTCTGTCCAAGACGGCTTCGGTGTTTGCCATGGGATTTGAATAGGTGATAGGCATGGATGGAATAGACAAAGATGTATCAGACCAGGGCATTAAGTCCTGGGACGAGGTAAGGTCCAAAGTGTCCCAACCCGGGGACAAGCCAGTAGGCGAAGAGTCATCCCACATGAAACTTGCATAGCTGAACATGCGATTGAAGCTGGGATCATCATCAGAGAGACCTTCTGGCGCCGGAATCGTGCCATCGGAAGTTGATGGGACAGAGGCCTCTGCATTCTCTGTAGCACAGTCGGGTCGTGCTGGTAGCTCATTCTCTAATTGTTGCTGCTGTGGCTTTTGCTGCAGTCGCAGTCGCACTTTCTTCGTTCTCACCCCCAATCTTAGTCCTGAATCATCCCACGAGCAGTCTAGCCGGAGACGACTACAATGCCCACAATCGGGCCGTTTCTCGTCGCAGCGCACTTTGCGCCTCCTAGTGATGCTTAGCGCCCCGAGACTACCCCAAAGAGAAGGACTCCACTTACCGGCAGGTCAAGCATCCGTTGCGCGTGCGCGGGCGATGTCGCCTATCCAGGTTGGGATGCTGTTCCCACTGATAGAACATGATAAAAAATTGCTAGGAGATAGCCAGAATCAGCGCGATGCATCAGTGTCGGATCCTCTATGGCCTGTCTTGTCTATCTCCTCCCCTCCGCTCCGTTTCGGCCTCCGGGGAAATCTCCACATCCCCGGGTCCTGGTCTCGGCTAAATGCCCACTTGGGTAATTAAGCGAACACTGGTTCAATTCCCAAGTCGAAAGAGGATATACACCGATGTCAGTGACTACCACTAGTCTAACTGCAGATCAAGACTCCATGTATGCATCGCATCTTCGACGTTGCGGGGATCTGGGGACAAAAATTCAAATATTGATTTGGGCCAAGTGCGTGTGCATGAGGGGTCTTTTATTCAACAACTGTCTAGTTTTGAAGATGTTAAAACCATGATGTTCGAAAAGCTATGCGCTATTCTCGCGACAACTTTCGTAATACCAGACATCATCGCCTGGAATGACATCAAAGGGGCTTTCAAAACTCGGAGCATTCTGGAAAAGCCGCTAGATAAGCATGTTCAATCTCACGCCCCATCCCCCCAACCCCTTCAAAAATAATATCCGACTTCAAAGACATCCCCAAAAACTCCACCCCATGCCGCAACTCTTCAATCAATCGTTCCGCATCCGAAATCTCCGTCTTTGGCTCAGGTTTATTCAATAAATGATAACAAGTCGCCAGACGATCCGTCGCCAAACACGCGCGAATTTTATGAAGAATCATCAGTAAAGAATAACAGCTTTGCATGGCACAGCATACAAAGTAAGGAATGGTATGCGGGGATTTTCCAATAAGCCCCACTGATGAAATCATGGACCTGGAAGTCATTAGAGATCGTTCACGAGATTGAGTGCCGTAGGGGTTTGGGTATGGTAGGTTTCGGAAGGCTGTTGCAACCACGAGGGCGGTCTTGAGGCAGATATTTGAGGATTCTTGTTCGGTGAATGGGAAGAAGGAATTGCGGTCTGTGACCCAGGTTGGAGAGGGGACGGGTGTTGGGTTAGGATATTGGGTGTTGATGGAGGCGAGGTGACAGTATCTGTCTAAGAATAAAGGGAAGTCCATAAAGGCTCGAAATCGGTGTAAGCGGGCGCGAGCACTTGTTGGTGGTTAGTTGTTGATTGTTTTGTTTATGGAAGACGAACTTACGTGTAGATTACGATTCTGCTGATCCTCCACATGTTTTCAGCTATTAGACCTTCCCCATCCTCGTCAAAAGTATATCGAAGGTATTGATCAGATTTGGTCATCAGAGTGGAGATCACGGTATCCAAATTTTTGATTTGCGTGCCGAGGTCGGGAGGAGGGGTTTCGTTCGTAATGCGCTCAATTCGTTGGACCATTTGGTTGGATGCATAGAGCGTTTGTTGAGCTTTAATCAAAAGAGCCCAGGGCTGTTTGGAGTGAGTACTGGAGATCGCATGATAACGGTTACCCTTTACTTACCTCTAAATGTACCCCAAAACTGGGATAAGACGTCGTTACGCGAGGATCGTCTGCCGTAACAACTGGCGGCTAGAGATACGGGATCAGCTAATGATGATAGAAGGTCGGGTAGAATAGGTTGCTGCCATACTGCCAGATGAAGATTTGAAGAAAGATATGCCACAAACATCTAGAATTTTGTTAGAATTTGGATCGAACTCCAAAGCATGAAACTTACTGTTATCCACCACGCACGCCTCTGTGCCTCAGAAGCTTCTGTAGTCATCGAGCCAAGTTCATGAAGAGAGATATCCATAGCTGTGGTTACAGCCTGATTGATACGCCCTCGCATTCTGGAAACATTACCACGCTGGCAGTATTCATAAATTGCAAGCACGACAAGCGTCAGAATAGGGTCAAGCTGAAGAGGCACCTGAGAATGCAACGGGCTGTGTCCTTGAGACAGACATGCACCAGGCGCGTTGAAATGTATTGTTGGCCCCATTTCATCGATCTCTTTTTCCACACTTGCCAATGCAGCCTGCGCGAAGAGCTGAGCGTATGTGCGTCTGAGGACAATACTTGCCTCGGTCATTGAGAATGGACCCTGAGAAGGTGGTATCAGGACAAGGAGTGCGGATAATGCAAGGCTTAGAGATGATTGTGGCCAATATGGCAAGTCGGTCTTTCTGGCTTCATTGGTTTCTTTTGATGGTCGACTGAGCGTAGGTTGGTCTTCACGTTGCGCCATCACCGGGGGTGGTAGCAAGGGAAGGTATGGGTGTATGTAGATATAGTAGGCGTTGGCGCTATCTCAAGCTCATCAGTATTCTGACCTGTAAATCAAGTGCTTTTTAAAAGATTGTCGCCATACATGTCATCTTCAGATCTGTATGATCTGACGGCTGACGGTTCTGCCTCTGGAATCGACACCGACGAGAATGGGTCATCGGCACTCGGAGTGAGCTGACCCCACAGTTGTCGCGTGCCACTGGTATCAGAAAGGGCATCCGGCGATATATCAAGGTTGTGAACGCCGGCGAGTGGTGTTACAAGACCGAGCATATTGTCTAGCAGTGGCTCTACTTATTGTAAGAAACATATTTTCTTGAATCGTGTACTATCTTGTAAGAAAAATACTTACCGAAGCTGTTATCAATCTCAGAAGGCGATGATGGAACCGGTAGGCCTTGATCATCCGATGAAAGACGATGCTGCTGCTGGAGCTCTGCATAGCGGATTCCTCTTCGGGGTCCACCGCGGCGACTAGGCTGATAGGAACATTCTCGGCTTCTGGTCAGACACTGATTTACACCATGTTAGTTTGGGCATTGCTTGTGGAATAGTATGACATACTTACACTTCGACAAGGCTTTTCTCCATCGCAACGAGTCTTTGACGAGCGGCTATACTCTTTCGTCAAAATCGGAAATTTTTTGTTGGTCCAAGCGACATCATCTTACCATGCAAGACATGCAGCTTTCACTGGTGGCTTTGCGGCGCGGGGCATGGTTTTTTTGGACGAGCTTGAGGCGCTACTGCAATACTCAAAACCTGATTTTTATCTGGTATTCCGTGGGATCCGATAATTCTGTTTAAATTGATGTGCAATTGGAGCTTTGGGACCTCTAAATCTCACGCTGTGGAATGAGGAATCGAAGGGCGGGGTGGATTGTGGTTACCTGCGAGGGTAGAATGCAGCCTGGGGCTTGCCTTGTGCTGTACAGAAGTTGAATAAAGCCTGACCCTTGACTGGGCTGATTGACCTTGTAGTCTATGGCACTCGTGGCGAGCGATGGTTAAGAAGTTGCCTCCCCGAGTCTTTTCGGTGTTCCAGGGCTGGGGCTTGCCGAAATCCGATGACAGCCGGCCTTTGGGTAGCATCGGCATTTGAAAATCCGGGGACCAGACGCCGAACATCTCTTTCTTATTGAATCGTCGACAGTTACACCCTTTCATGAATATCAATCGTTTTATAGGCCATTACATATTGGAGGTTTTGTATTTGGAATAATGAAGGTGGGAAATCTTGATTTTCCATTCTATAGTACCAAGTTGATAGTACCAGATCCCGCCTGTTATATCTCCAGTCATGTCATCAAACATATTGTCAAATAGTATAATTCATAATCATTCTGTTTAAAGTAAATCCCTCTTTTCAAGGTTATCCAAACCAGCATAATCCCCTCTACAGGTTACATCCCCCCTTCGAACAAGAACCACTCACCTTCGGCGCGTTCTCGGTATCAGTCCGACAGAAACAAGACGACGTAACAGGCACATCAGCCAAAGCAACCGCAACCTTCAATTGCGGCCAAATACTCCTCGCCTCATCCTCCCTTCCCAATCTGACAAGACACTCATGATACCCCTGCAAAGCCCAAACATTATTCAAATGCTGGCGCGCCCGAATAACAGAATTATCCAGACCAAGATCAGCACGGTACACAGCCGCCGCTTCCTCCACCTGGTTCTGCTCCAGCAATAGCGCAGCTAGTGCATGACGCGCCGGCTGCATCCAATTCCACGGCTCGCTGTATTCGAGTCCATCGTCTAACTCGACGGATCGGCGCAGATGAGCAAAGGCTTCTGTGTAGTTTCCGCGGCGGTATTCGATTTCGCCGTCTAGCATGGCGGATGCGACTGGTACGATGTCGATGCATTTATTCGGGAAGTCGAGACGGGTATCTGGGATACGTTTTGCGGCCTCGATGAAGAGGGCTCTGTGGGTTTCGGCCTCGGGGACACGGCCGGTTGCTGCGTATGCGACGCCCTTGGCGTAGAGGGCCATTGCGGTGGTAACGCTGTATACGACTGGGTCATCGGGGAGAGCCCGTTCGATGATTTCCTGCCACATGCCAAAACGGACCATGACGTGCCAACGGACGGAGATAAAGACTTCGGCATAGTCGGCCATTCCGAGTGTTGTCAAAACCTCTTTTGGTAGGGAATTTTCCATGCGATCGGTTCCATCGAGTGCGACGGCTTTTTGGCCCGCGAACATGGCTGCGTAAATCAGAGTGTGATAGTTATGCATGCGGTATACTGTATAGAAGTTCATGACACCATGCTGCTGCATGAACTTTTCGTCTGCGCGTGTTGCGAGCTGGCTACTTTGGATGGCAGCCCGATAGTCTCCGACGAGAACATCTAGATGAGATGGCATGTGGCACAGGTGTCCCGAGTCTGGAACAAGATAACGCAAATGATCGGAGGGGGATAAGCCGAGCTCTGGAGTGGACGACATCTCAATCAGGTGGATGTATGTGTGTAGCAAGCCAGGATGTCCCTTGGCACCTTTATGCTTCAGCGCCTTCTCCAACACCTTCTTAGCATCAATAGACCGTGTTCCCGGGATAGGCTCTCCGGTAACCAGATCCCACAATTTCCAAGGCGTCAGAGTAACAAGGGAATCGGCGTAGAGAGTAGCCACGTCCAGATCATCATCTCCAAAATCCCGATAAACAACTTCCATCGCATCGGAAAAGGCCTGATTCTGAATTTTATACTGCTCCATCGGTGCGGGTTTATCACTTTGATAGCGAGCCTGGATGGCAGTGATGAGCGCTCGTTCCACCGGGGTTGTGCCATCGACAAGAGCCATTGCCTTGCGGGACGCCCGATAGGTGCGCTGAACTACATTCTCCAGATTAGGACCGAAAGCTTCCCATGGCTGGTTATAGTTTGGGCCGGATGTCCATGCTAGACCCCAGTATGCCATTGCGAAGGATTCATCGTGGGCGATGGCCCGCTCAAAGCAGGTGGACGCTTCGTTGTGATTGAAGGCATAGCCCCAGATCAGGCCGCGATTGAACCAAACTTGAGCTTCGGGGCTATTGGTAGTCACACGACGTTCGAATAGACCGAGATTGTAGGCATAGTCTGTTCCTTTGAGAGTGGTGGTGTCGTCTGCCATGCTGGTCGAGGGTTATGACGGATGTTGGTAGTGGTGAGGGGGTGGAAGAATGGTGAGGGGAGAATGAGGGGAATGGGTTAAGGCGCACGACATATGTACACCGCAACGCGCGAACGCTCACGTAAGATTCCATTCGCAACCAGGCGACCAATACTGTAAAGCTGAAAAAAAGATGAGGAGCTATAGAGACTCAGAACTCTACTCCTTCCTCAAGAAGACGACGCAACGTATATCCTGGGGAAACGGCACTTACGAGTTACAGTACACATAGTACCCATTATTTGTTAGATTTACCGAGGTTCCATAGAACAGCCCGATTCGCTGACAGAGTCTCTCAGGATCATCCAATAAAATGGCATTTCTTCATTCAGTTGCATCCTGAGTTATACGGCCTTATTTCAGTGGTCGTCACAAGTTCGATACCGACCATTCCTTAGCCGTGGCGAATCTCTCCATGGACGCTCCGCAAGCGCCGGCACAGCCTGACCATACAGGTCGCTTCTATCGAAAGGAATTGGATTCCACCTTGAGACTTCTTTGCTTTCACCGATACCGGCTCAAGCCATGGCCCTCTCTACATACTGTCTGTTATCGTCAAATCTTTCAAATTCAACATTAAACCTGCCAGTTATAGCCACGAATTTCATAACACTGTAAGACGTATCCGCTCTGTATCCGGTCTGTAGATTACGGATATATGCAAGAGGTATCTCGAGTCTACGTACAAAGCGTACGCGCTGCACCCACAGGTGTTGATATCAAATAATCAAGAAACTTGGCAGTGTACAAGCGTTGACACCAAGAGAAAATATAATTTCAACTCAAAAGCACATGGGAATAGAGCATGTCAAGCAAATACAAGGGGCAAAATCAGAGAGCATCTCCATATGTACCAGGACCCATGCTTCGCATACTCAATTGAAGGGAAAGCCCACACAAGTCGTTGCTTACGAGGTAGGCTAGACGACGCGAGCCGCAGATTAAATCACGAAAGGAAATGAGGAAAAATCACTTATGGAAACATACATTTTCAGGGATATGGCTTGGAGTTGTTTTCACTAGGTTGCGATGGAGCCAGCAACAGACCCCGAGTTGGTCATGGAGTGGATACTCCCAGGTGGTGCATTGGCGTCACCGTTAGTGCCATTGGTTTCGGCGGAGAGATGATTCTCGTCGATATTCATCAAGGACTTCGGAGGACGGATCTGCTTTTTACCGTTGGTCTTGTAGTGCAGGATCATATCTCCGGATGTACGCCAGAGGTGAGTCCGGATGGTAGCCAGAGTCATATTAGGCGGACAGAGCTAAAACGGGAAGGTCAGCACGTGAGCTTGGAAAACAGTTCAAGCGAAACATACTATCTTCTGGCAATATAGCTCAAGGTACTCCTCGGGTGGCATCTGGTTGGCCTCGGGCTCATCGGGGTTCGGAGGATCAATGCGCTCGGCCACGTATGCAAGGACTTTCTTCGTGCGGAGCATACGATTGGCGTTAAGCCGAGAGCTATTGTTGGCACCATTTGCAGTGCCAGGGCCAGTCGTTGCACTTGGTCTATAACACGGAGAGATCATTAGTTTTCGAACTTCCAGAGGCGGCTCGTCCAGAAAACTTACGGCTCGGGCTTGACCACTGGTGGCAAAGAATCATCAAACGGCCTCAGAACAAAGGCTATCTTCACCTGCTCCTTGAAGGGAATTTGGTTCTAGAAGAGTAAGAAATGAGCATGAAACAATCAAGGTATATCGATAGACATACCTTCAAGAGCAATTCCCCAAGCCAGTGAGGAATCGCCTTCTCCAACCGCTCGATATCTTGTCCAATGAGATCCACACTACCCCGGTAGAGATCCGAGGCCACGGCAGTATCACCAGTCTCCTCCTGGATAAACACCGCAGTTCGCGGGGGAATATCCAGTCGAGGAGTCTCATTGTCTGCACTGGGAGTAATCGCCGACACCAAGTCCCGGCCGGGATTATTAGACAAGAACTCCTCGTAGTCATCGTGGATCCGATCAATGACTCCACTGATGTTAGCCTCATAAACCTTCTCTTCCTTGACAGACGAGATTTCGGACTCCTCGGGCTTTTCCTCCAGGATCTGGGGCTTGATGTCGGTGGAAGTGCGCCCAAGCTTCTTCGGGAAATTCAGTTTCTTCCCGAAGAATGACCCCTTTTACGTTCTTCCTTGTCCGGTTCAGCTGGAGATTGCGGAAGTCCTGAGTTGGAAGCGACGTCAGATGGCGACATTGGAGGCTTCTCGGTCTCGATTTGCGGTGGCCGGGAGGAGAAGTAATCCGATCTATCCGAAAAGGACGATGGACCTCCGTCATGCGGTGGGTGAGCTGGAGGCAGAGCATCTGGAGTCTCGGCATCGAAGGCCGGGAAGAAAGAATTGCTCTGTACCGAAGTGCTCTGCATGGACGTGCTCAGGTATGTCGCGGACGACGGAGTACCAATGTTAATGCCAAACCCTGGAGTCGCTGGGCTACCTGGGAAATCCATCCCAGGGCGCAAAGTGGTCGCAGAAGCGTCGCTGTGAATGGGAATACCTATACTACGGAGAATGTCATCGCCGGGGGCAGATGTGCTCAGAGGATTGAGTTTGGCGAGCTCCTCTGCTTTGGCGATGGCTGTCTCGCGGTACTCGTTATCACGTCGGATCTCCTCGTCCACCAGAGGGGCGAAGAGCCAGCGCAGGATCCACTTTCCGAGGTTGACTAGATAGATTGTGAGTAAACAAAAAATTATCAGCGAAAAATTTCAGGATAAAACATACTTCGTTGATCCTCCCGGAACTGTGATAGGTCAGATGCAGGGAGATCAGCCTCATCCGCATAAACCTCGGCATCGAAGCAGCGATTAGGCTCAAGGATCACAGACAACCTGCCCGTCCGGATATCAATGGTGCACCAGTGGGAAATGCTCTCTGTGGTGTTAATTTCGGTAGCCACGTCATCAATATGGCGCTTGCCGAAGGCTTGGACGGGAACACACTAAAGTCATGGTCAGTCTAACAGGATCAGTTGTATACAGCACTTTGATTATTACCTTGAGCAGATCCCACAGCACCACTTCTCCGGCCGAGTCTTGTGTAAGAGTCCGTTTGCGATCATTCAGCATCAAACACTTGATCAGACCATGCTGGCCCTCGATAGTCTCTTCTGGCAACGAATGCACCGGAATAGTCAAACCAAGGTCATTCTCCAGCCCCGTTTCCCCAGAGTGTCCACTGGAAGGCGAAGCAGGACGCAGCAGCTCTGACGTAGCTGACAACTGTAGAACCGCATTGAACGGGATTTTCTTGAGCGTTTTGTCCGTCGGTGTCGATTTTTCCGGTTCAGCCGCGGTCGAGTCAATAGTTCGTGCCGGGTCCGGAGGTGCTTCAATCTCGAGCTTGGTATCAATATTTCTCCAGCGGTTGATGCTGGACTTGGGTGTAGCTGTCCAGATGAAATCGCCAGCTGCCACAACTTTGACCACACCCTCGTGTTCCTGCAATGCCGCAACGCAGGTACCCTGCTCGACATCCGCAGAACCACGAGTATCGGTCTTGGCGACCAAACCGGAGCGATCACTAGAGTAGAACACAGATAGGTCTGGTTCGTCCGAGTACAGCGACCAGACACTATCGTTATGCATGGTAAGCGTGTTCATGCAGCGACCCGCAGTGAGCGACCAGACCTTGATGGTCTGGTCTGACGACGCGGTAATGATCGTATCACCAGCCTCATTGACCAGGATATCCCGAACGTTATCCGTGTGACCAACGAACTTAGTAACGAGTTTCCCAGACTTGGGATCCCACACTCGGACCACGTTCTCGGGTCCGCCGCTCGCCAGCACAGAGTTCACCGCGCCCAAGGCATAGACGGACCCTTTCTCGGTCGTATCGTCTCCACCGGCATTGATGCTCAAGATCTCGCCGCCACCATTCAAATCCCACAAGTAAAGCTTATGATCAAGACCGCCCGACGCGACCCAGCTGGCCTGGCCGCCAGGAGTCGCGAGCGCCTTGACATAATCGCTATGCTTTCCGATCCGCTCTGGGACGTCCGTCGACTCCGAGTGTGGACGCCATAGTCGGACGGTGGTATCCGACGAGGCCGAGACGAGAGCAGAGTTACCCTGGGTCAGAACGATATCATTGATCCAGTGACTATGGGCCTGGACCTGAGTCTTGAAACGAGTTGGGCTTGGCTTGTGATTGGATGAGGCATAGGGATTCGAGGCATGTAGGGTACTGAGTGAGCAGTCGAGGTCCCACGAGCAAATGACACCGTCGCGACCAGCAGAGTACCTAGCGGGAAGAAACAGATCGTCACATTAGAAGCTGTGCAACCCACGTGGAGAGCGGCTGCCTGGAAGGAACCCGAGTTTTACGGGATAGAAGGCATCAATGGAATACCGGGCATTTCGTAGAGTCTCTAGAACACGGAGGAACCGGGTGCGCTGCTTACAGGATGGAGTTCTGACGGTCGACGGTCAGGCCGTTGACCCCCAGCCGGTGGCCACCGGGGGCATCAGGCAGAGGGAGCACTGGGCAAGATAGTGTCAGCGGTCAGTGGGCGATCACCAGTTGGGATTTCAATATTTTGAGAAGACCCTCAGCTTACCGTACGTGACCCTCTGGTGGCTTAGTTTCCGTGCCATACATGCAGTTGAGGCGTGGGAAAGGGAATTGCGGAGGAGATGCGGAGCTTATCTGCCTTGTTGAGGGCCGATCACACGTTTTGGTGGGGAGAGCGACGTCACAAGCCTTCACCCACAGTCTGCGGGGAAATTGGCTTAAAGATCGGGAGGGAGTAAAGGAGAAAGTAAGAGATTTAGAGAAGGTATTGGGTGTTCAAGGATAGGAGAAGGGGAAAGAAGGATGTCCCGTCAATGAGGGGAAGTTGAGGAGAGGAGGAGAGAGAGAGAGAGAACCAGCCGCCAGGGGCATTCGGATCGCGACGCCAAAGCGCATTTTCTGGGGTCGGGCTTCGTCCGTATCACCGAATATTTCCCTTTTAGTGGTTATTTATGGTTGGTTTTCGCTTTGGGAACGGAGTCAGTATTCGAGTCCTTATTATGTTGTACAAATGATCGCTGATGTCATCTCCAATTCTGGTTCACATCGAGGTCGATTCGACGTAATCTTGGGGTTGTTGTATATACCCGAGTTGACAACAACTAACAATTAATCTATACAGCATATCGCCTTCATACCATTCACATTATCATCCTAGCCATGGACATCCCAATCTCCCAAATCAAACCCATATACCACCCTCACCATCCATCCACATCCACCCCCCAACACCCTCATCCAAACCCTCACCCTCCACCCCCATCCCGAAGGCGGCTACTTGACCGAAACCGATCGCAATCCACATAATATCCACCCTCCGCCCCCATCAATCCAGACAGAAACAACATCAACCACCACAACAATAGCAGACGAACCCTCCCTCCACGCCGCAAGTTCAACAATCTTCTACCTCCTAACACCCACCGCCCCTCTAGGCGTTTTCCACCGTCACCAGGGCCGAATAATCCGTACCCTCCACCGAGGACGGGGGCGGTACGTGATCATCCACGCAGATGAGGCTACATGCAGGTCGGAAGAATTCGAACAGGATAAGGGTAAAAGTCAGACTAAGGCACGGCTGGAGAGCTTTGTGGTCGGACCTGATGTGGCGCGTGGGCAGCGCTTGCAGTGGGTGGTGGGCGCGGGGAAGTATAAGGCGAGTTATTTGTTGCCGAATGGTGAGATGTCCAACAGGGATCTAGCGGGGGGTGGGGGTGAGGAGGAGGGGTTGTTGATTAGTGAGGTATGTCTTGTCTTATATTCTATTGATTCATCTCATCTATGGGTTTAGGTCTATTGATGTCGATATTGATATACTTCTTGGTGAAGGTGGTCGTTCCGGGTTTCGATTTTGCGGACCTCGAGTTTCTACGCAAAGACGAGATGGACGAACTGCTTACTACAGAACAAGTGCGAGAACTTAGTTGGATGGTGAAGAACCCCGAAGGAGAAGAATAATCCTCTTATCCATTCTATACACATTCATGGATACCAGTCAAAATAGATCGAGAAACAGAAGACATCTTTATGTATGGCATTACCAACTCTATATGCCCAGAGCCCGTCTATATAACACGAAGCAAAAGACAAGATAATATACAAGCACCAGGTCTCTACCAACCCAGCACACATTCATATCACAGCCTTACCACCCTACCTCTGTCTCTACCTACTCATTCATCATCCTCCTTCTTCACCCCCTCGAGCGTATTCCACGCCCACTGATAACTCCCCAAAAACACCGCCCCACCAATTCCAATCCACGCAACCCGCGGCCCAATCCCCCTCCAAAACGCCCCAAGACCCTCCTGCGCAATCCCCCTTACAATCTCCTTAACTCTTACCGGAGCATCCACACCGCCATCTCCACGGCGCGCCAGCATCACCCTTGTCTTGATCACATCCAACGGAGTCGTCAGACCAGCCGCAATAGCACCGGCCACACTACCAAACATGGCACTCGTAGAAGCCGGAATCTGCGACTCTTTGATACTTGTGCCCTCCTCGCGCCTCAGGTATCGTTGCGCGTAGGTAGCTTTCATAGACTCCCACATGGTGAATTGGAGGACGGTGAAGGGGATTTCGCGGGCGATGGTGATACCGGCGCCGCGGTAGAGTTCGCGGATGACCTGGCCATAGCCGCGCTTGACTGGTGCACCACCAGTCGTAGTCTGTGATTCCGGCACGGCATGACGGAGGGAGAGGATATCCTTCAGCGCGAGCAGACTCGAGCCTCCGAAGAGACCGGCCTGAGCTCGCTGCTTGATTACCTCTGTTGGGACACGTACGGCGCAGGCGGAGATCTCGCCGAGGGAGGAGGCGAGGGAGTGTGTGAAGAAGACATGCGCGCGGGATGGGGGTTCGGAGGGGGATGAGGATGGCGGGAGCAGGGAGCGCTTGACACCGTCGTAGACGATGAAGAAGGATGCAGCGGAGGGTGCGGAGCCAAAGAGGACGGAGGGGAGACCTGCGTAAATGCCGCGGATTGTTTGGCGTAAGGATAGTCGGGGGGTTTGGGTGCGGATGGGTCGCGTGCCTTTTGGAGACGGGTTTTGATAGTGTCGAGGGGATAGAGGGAGCAGTCAACTGTGAGGCCTGCAACAGCGCCGGACTGTAAGATGAGATGCAATCAGCTTAGGTTCTAAGCGAAGAGCTATCTGGAATGTAAGTGCTGTACCAAGAGAGACCTCGTCCACAGGGAGGAAACCAATGGCTGCTCGTCGTCTTGCTGTGTCATGACGTGCAGGAATGAGGAGCGGGAAAAAGTACAATTGTCAAGGAGATTCAGCGCAGGGACATGCTGTGTTGTCCAATGATTCCGGCTTGATCAACGGCAGCAGCTAGCAAAGATAGGTCCTGTGAAGCGCAATGCAAATTGGACGGCGGAGTGTGGACAGAGCTCCGCTATCCGATGGAGACCGAAGGTTTTGCTCCGCGGCCAAGCCAGCCGATATCGCCGATATGGTCTTACGTCAGGTCGATCCCCGGACAAGCTTATCCTTAATTGTGCGGATCACATAGGAATATCAAGAGATTAAAGCAGCATTCTGATGAATCCATTCTTATTGTTATTCTGTTGAAAGAAGACTATATTCTTTATATTGAGAAAATATCTACTGCCCCGAGGGTTTCGCATAACACCGAAGACACCCGCGAAAAGAAAGCACCACCCGCAGGGACACTAAACGAGGAATGTGCAGGGCAAGAAAGAGAAAAGAAACCCCTGTTTCGCATTTCAATGACGATCTAGCAGGAGACGTATAGCGCTGGATACCTAGGCCCCAAAGAGACTGGGGCCTTTCGTTTGCCAGCGGATTTGGGGCTTTCCACAACACCAGAAACACACTCTATTCAACCCACCCCTCAGAGCTTCCCAAAGTTACCCAGAATTGATACATGAGTCCCGTCAAGGACAAGTATACCAACACCAATCGCACTGATTAATTGTCTCACAGAGATCGACTCGAACAAGAGGAGAAGCCAAGATAAATTTCATACCTTGGACGAAATCGAAGGGCATCGCGGGTTGAAAAGGTGGAGGAATCGAAGGGAAAAAGGAGACAAAATGAGACAAGAGGTGAGGGCCCATTACCCGGGCCCTATAGGAAATTATGCACAGGTCGAGTAAATTGATACACGAAAGGAGGTTGGGGAAGGAGGAAATTATTTAGCCTTGACACCCTTGCTGGCAACGGCGGGGCTTTGCGATGGAGGCTCGAGGACGTGAGTGTGGTTAGTGGCACTGATGACCTCACCCGAGTCTTCCTGTCGACAAGTAATGATGTTGCGCACCCAGTCATCCATCATCACCTCGTCGAGAGTTGCTCGCTCATTCGGGTTCACCTTCAGCATGCGGCCAATGATGTACCGACTTTCCCGCGGCAAGATGCGGAGAAGTCGCCAAGGGCCCTTGATGACCTCCTGACGCTGGGCCGGCGGCTGAGCATTCGGTGGGAGAGGTGGCGCCTCTTTGCTGGTGGTGCGCGTGGGCTTGTTATTGACGCTAGTCTGGCTGACCTGCTTCTGCGCAGTTTCGCCGGGCTTGTCGCAGTCCTTGGTAGGAGAGTCGGGAGGCTTGGTCCCATTTTGTTCTGGGGCAGCCGCTGCGGGTGCCAATGCAGCGGACTTATGAGGCATCTCAGGGTGCTTCTCCTCATGAGCTGCAGGAGGCAGATCAGGGCTGGACTTGGCTCTGGGTTGGCGCCGAGGGTCGACATCGGCAACCGGTGTGCCAGGAGTCGGGGGGGCCACAAAGAGACGGTAGGAGTTATCTGTGGTGCGCGGCTGCTTCCATGGGAAGCGGCGCAAGGTCATACAACAGAAGATGATCGCCAGCGACCAAACATCCGTGGGACGGGGGTCATATTTCTTCTCGTCGTATACCTCGGGAGCGAGGTATGGGTCTGAACCAACAATGCCTGAAATTTGATGATTAGTACTCACTCGGATTGTCTACAAGAAAAAGCAAAGATGCACGCATACCTGTTGCAGGCACAATATCGTTCTCGAATGGATAGCGGAAGACCACCGCGCTTCCAAAGTCAATCAGCTTCATGATACCGCGATCGTTGACCACCACATTGTCCAGCTTCAAATCCCGGTGAGCCAGACCCATCCCGTGGAGGTATGCCACACCACTGAGAATCTGCTTGAATGAGCAGGAAATCTCCTCCTTGGTCATCTTGCCCGTCATGACAATGGCGAAGAGGTCGAACGGCGCATATTCCATGACCTCGTACCAATGGCTTCCTTCTTGAATGATATCCAGAGTCTCGATAATGTTGCCGTGGTGCAAGGTAGAGCCGATACAGAACTCAGCCGTGACCTTCTTCGAGTACTCCTTCAAGGTCTCCCAGCTGTGTCGATCCCGGAACTGCTTCACAGCAAAAGTCACACCATCGCTATTCCGCTTGAGCAGTCGAACCGAACCACCAGCACCAGATCCTAGGACACGCCCCATTTTTCCATACTTGGAATGCAACCCGTGATCATCGGCGAATGGTACATTGTCGGGTGCCATCTGGTACGGGGTGCTTTTCTTGGAATTGCGGCTAGACTGCTTGCTAGCCGATGTCGGTGAGTCTGGCCGCTTGTTACGGTGGCCCATCTTGAAGAAACGCTTGAGTTCGGACATGGAGCCATGGTGGTGATGGCTATGCCCATTCTTATCACTCGATTCCTTCTTGTGATTCCGCTTGTCGCTTGATTTACCCAGATCACTGGCACTCGCCGACCGTGGGGGGTTACCAGGACGGAATGAGCGCTTCGAATCTCGACTCCCAAAGATAAATCGTGCGTCGAGCTGGGCGAGGTTCTTGGACTGCGGGGGTCGCTTGCTCCGGGCATATGGGTCATTTGGTTCGCCGACGGGAGTGATAGCGCCCGGTGGCGTATGGGAGTCTCTCGGGGTTGGGGGAGGGCTCTCTTCCTGGGAGCTCGCATCGGCTCCGGTAAAGAATTGGGCACGGTGTCTCGGGACCGCCGTATTGATCTGGGACGGAGGTTCCGAGAAGCCGCTCTGCTTCATGGAGAGGTAGTCGGTGGAGGTGGGCCGGGAAGTTGGGGCGCTTCGTTGGACCGCGTGGTTGTCACCGGATGTGACCGGAGGGGAGGTTTCAGGTGTGATCGCGGGGTGTTGGCCAGTAGCTCGGCCCTCGCGGGAGTTGGTAACAGCCGGGGTCAGGGGAGGTGACTGTACAGCGGAAACGGGGGGGGAAGCATGAGGGGAAGCCATGAACGAACCAGTGCCTATGGCACTACGGTCACTGGACTCTCGAGAGCCAACCTAAATTGAGGGGGGAAGCTGTTAGAATGGAGATGACGAGGGAAGGTACGACGAGCTAGGCAGATCTGCAGGAGACGCCGATGGACGAGCGGTTAGGAGGCGATTCTCGACTCCCATCATCTAGCGTCTCCTCCAGGCTCCTCACCGTAGCAGCTATTATTGGCAAAAGAAAAGCAACCATATAGACATACCCTGGAAGATGGAAGAGACATTGGCTCGAATGAAAAGTTGCGTAGACGAGATTCCTGGAGCTGCGATCTTTGCAAGCTCTGGGCCAGCGACCGCAATTCCTCTTCATCGGGAGCTTGTCTGAGCGATTCAGGCTGCGAAGGTGTCTCCGACACTGGTGACAGCATCGTCTTGGAGGGTTCAATCTCCTGGGTGACGGAGGAGAAGCGCACCTGGCCAGGCTGCGATTTGGACTTGGCATCGGCATCACCGGCCTCCGACGGCTGGGCGGACATCTTGGCTGGGGATTGGACTGTCTGGAAACCTGGGGGGAGCGCAATTCAAGCATGCAGCGTCAGGATTACTGAAATGCCAGAGATGCCAATCGCACAGGGGGTGTCGAGTGGGCCAAGACATACCTGACTCCATAGAGTTGGCGGTTGGGGTCGAGCACTCGGCCGTTTCAGACGTCATACTCATCGACGAACCAACTCGGGGACTCAGGTGGAACACATGCCCCTCACAGACTGGAAAAAGAGGGTCACGGAAAGGTTAGGAAGGAGGTGATTCCTTTTGGGACCTTTGTTCTTCACGATTGAGGGATTGAAGTTGAGAGTCCCGAAGGAGGACGTTGATCCCGGGGCGAAAAGAAGCCGGTTGATCAATTACGTGGGTGAGGCAAATCTTTTCCTTTAACTTTTCGGCGCGCCGAATCCGTGCGATAAGCCCGTGCAACGGGACGCGAAGCGGGGTGCAGATTCCCTCGACTGAGTAGAGACCACGATCGTGAATGAGGTGATGAAGGGGAGGGAGGAGGAAGAGAGAGGAGAGGAAGAGAGTAGGAGAAGGAGGGGAGAGTGATTCAGAGAGGGTTTGGAAGGTTTGGAAAGGCCGGAAGGTTTTCCAAGAGAGACGAGGACCGAGAGAAAGTCTGGGCCTGAGAGCTGAGGCCAACTGGAGAGTGGGGGTGGAAAGTCGTCACGAACGTTGGAGTTGTGCAGTTACTATTGCATCTAGTACCACTCTTCTTGAATTATTCTCTTCTCTAGTCTGAATACTATTAACTATTCTGAATGCTACAACTATACAGTATATTCCCCTCCCAGAATAATGAGTCAAGTCGGAAGTCCGCGGAGCTCAAGTTCGGAGGGCGTGGCCTATGATGTCGATGTCGATGACCCCTCGTGAAGGTCACACTAAGTTGGTTTCCCCCTCCTCCTCCTCGTGCCGACTTCCCGGGCCTCTCCACGAACGATGATTATAATATACTGTAAGTATATGATAGTATGAGTGCATGACTGTATGATTATATGATGATGATGATGATTATTATTATTATTATTATTATTTACATCTTAGCTCCGAACTCTTACACCGAACACCACGCAGGTCACCCAATCCAGAGTTAATCATCGCTTATTGCGGCTGCCACCAGTCACGGTGCTTGTTGGGGCATGTGCTAAACTGTAAACTGCTTCCTGCACTGCACAACTTGGCCAGGGATCAAACTGTGAGATCCAAATACGATCAATTCTTCCGGACGTCTGGAATTTTGCCCAAACGGGCTTAGCTGGGCCGATTCCCTGCTTGCAGCCTGCATCAACCTGCTTGCTCCTCAGCTGCTGTCACTCCTCATAATAGTTCCTGATTGGCCTCCCACTCGGAGGGCAGATTCATTATTGAAGGGGGAGACATACTTCCACCTCCCCCCCATACTTAGCCTTTTTGGTAACCCATATCAAGGGCTTTGGGCGGGCGGAGGAGGCACTGTGGATCGTGGGACAGCATAAGCATGGCCCATGGCCCCCCCTCACGGACCATGGTGGGCGCCTTTTTTGTCTCCACGGGGGATCTCCCGAGTCCCTCCTCCTGCTGTGCCCCAGGGGGCCAAGATGGAACCCGGTCAGTTTATAGGCCAGTTTCACTTTAGTCTGTAACCCCCAATATCCCACATGTTACTGATTTTAGTACGGAGTACAGAAAACACATCCCTGTTGCTCACTCACCTCGGACTTACCCGTCTAGACCCTGGTACATAAGGTCATCTTCATACTTGCCAAGCCTGTTTGATCATCCCTCTCCGTCTTGCCTATCCTCTTGGCCCTCATACTCGCCAAGCCAGCTGAATTCCAAGGGGCAAGGCCTCTTTTTCTGCTCTAGCCATATAACCGGTGTACTGTGTATACAAGAATCCATAAACGTGTTGTTCCAATCAGGCTATGTTAAAAGATACTATCTTAACAGCCTCATGCATAGAAAGCATATAGAGGAACTCCATATCATATCAACTCTAGATTCTTCTCCAACTCCTCTGTTCTCTAATGGGTCTCTTTTTTCCTCTTGAATTCGAGACTACGGTCAATGATGGTACTACGAAAAATGCGGTACGGCCCAGACTGTGTTGTATAGACTTCTTTGCATTCCATTGTCGGATAAGGGATCTACCAATCCAATTTGGCCAAGCCAAGGATTGTCATTATATGTCATTCGTGTCTCAGTGCAACAAGGAGGACTCCAAAGACCTTCCACAACCGAATATGCTCAGATGACCACTTCTGCAGGCTTATCCCAAGTCTCTAGGAAGATCGTATATCCGAAGAGTTACTACTACAGGTCATTCGGCAAGACATTCAGATTATGTTCCATTGGAGTATGAATGGAGACACCGCGCTAGTAGCATGCATTGGGGTAGATGGAAGGACAAATCTGAAGCATGGTATATGGAGTATGAAGTGTGTATAATACAAGCAAGAAGAGGCGCCCCCATCTCGCCCCTCCGCACATAAAAACGCCGAGAAAACAACCCTCAAGATAGAAGATGGGAGGTATATCGCACAAAAGATCATCCAGCTACTGAAGTGGTCTCTGCCACGGTATAACCCAACTGACAAGTGGCCACCAGCGACCCGGTCGCCCGCAACCACCGGCCATCAATGCGATCGTAGTGATACAGGAAAGAGAAGAAAATCAACACTCAGCCATTGCGCAGTCCTCTCAGGGCACAACCTGAATACCAATCGACTTGGCCTGGGCAATGACACTCTTGCACAACCCCTGCAGACTCAAGCCCGATAGCCGCGTCTCGCTGTGCTTGATCTTGGCAATTTCATAGACGTGCTTGAGCGAGATCTTGCCGCAGATCTCGTGGCCGGGGTTCATGGCACCGCGGAGACGATTCTTGCGAGGCTCGACATTGGCAGCATTCAGGAGGAGGTAGGTGGTTGTCGGCGTGCGCAGGTCGAAGAAAAAGGAGCGATCGGGGCGGACGGTGACGCGCGTGGGGATGGGGACACCGACGTTGATGTGTGCAGTGCGGGCATTGAATTCCTTTATTCCGAGATGTCAGTCCAGAGCCAGGGAGACCTGGAGGAGAAGTCGGAGCTCACCTTGCAAAAGTCCATACTCTTGACACCCTTGCTACCCAGCGCCGGACCGACTGGAGGACTGGGACTGGCCTGTCCAGCTCCGACGATGAGCTTGACGAATTGATCCTTCTGGAGAGCGGCTCTGGCCATGATGAGGGATATGGGGCGAGTGTTGTTGGGGAGTATTGAAAGAAGGCACCACAGGAACTGAACGGACCAAAAGTGAAGCCGCTGAAGACGGGCAGATTTTCCTGGCGCGGCTGCTGATTGGTTCGGGCCCCAAGCGAAGCAGCTGAGGACCGCCGAACGTCATCGTCCCTTCTCTCTTTCACTCAAAGCCCAAATCCTCAAAGCTCAAAGTTGAAATTCATCCATCGGTCCTCCTTTTTGAGATCAACGTATTCTACTGTTGACCGAGCTGATCCGGTCGTTGCGTGGTTCGTCTCAGCTCAGCTCTTTGGGCTCTCCATTCACTTCCGAACTAGACTCGCCCCGCGTGTCGATCTCCCTTCTCCCCTTCACCTCCCCTTTCCCTTAATTTTTTTTTCTAATTTGCTTTGATCGCTTCCAGAACTTCTAGTACGTGGTTGCGCATTACGATACTCCAATCATGAACTGGCTCAAGTCAACGTATGTTCCTCGCTCTACGATGGTGTGTGGTGGGGGTGGTGACTGACCCAATCTCATGGAGGGCAGTCTCTCTGCGGCCGTCGGCACGCAAGAGCCCATCTATGGCCCCGAAGCTATTCAGTCGGTCGCCCAGCAGGCCAGCGAGACTCCCTTTACCGTTCTGGAAAAGGATCAGTTGCGCTGGAAGGCTTACCAGTACACCAATGTCGAGACTCAGACCTTCTACATCATGGCTGACGACGGACACCTGTTCATGGTTCAGGTCATCTACAGCAACATTGCGTGAGTATACCAATTCTTTTCTTTCAATGGATGACACCGGATCCATCGGATCTCATGGTCCCATATGCCAAATGACTGACGATATGCGCTGCGGCTCTTGCGGATCTATAGGGGTATCCACACCACCGCGCACTTCAACACGAAGATCTTCAACGTCAAGGGCGATAAGCCCCATGTCTGGCACACCGATGCGCTCTCCAACTGCATGTTCGATGAGCAGATGCACTCCTTCGGTGCTGATAACCTGACCCTCACCCTGAACGAAGAAGGCGACGCCTACCAAATCAAGTCCACCGTCAACGCGGACAGCATTGTCGATATCAAGATCACCCGCAAGGCCCCGGGCTTTGTTGCTGGCAAGAATGGTACCTCATACTTTGGCACTGACCCCAAGAACCCCTGGGGATCCATGTATCACGGTTTCTGGCCCCGCTGCGCCGTCGAGGGCACCCTGACCACTAAGGAGAAGACCTACGACCTGACCGGTCGCGGTGTTTTCATCGGAGCTCTCCAGGGCATGAAGCCACACCACGCTGGTAGGTGTGCTATATATCTATTTAAAAGGCGAACAAACTGACATGTATATCCAGCCGCCCGCTGGAACTTCATCAACTTCCAGACCCCCACCTTCTCTGCCATCATGATGGAGTTCACCACTCCCCCCTCGTATGGCTCCACCAAGGTTAACGTCGGTGGTGTTCTCAAGGACGGAGAGATTGTCTACGCTGGTGCCACTAACACCATCACCCACACCGCCTCTGCGCAAGACCCAGAGAGCGACTGGCCCGAGCCCACCTCCATCAAGTGGGAGTGGGCCGGCAAGACTGCCGACGGTCAGGACTTCACCGCCGTTGTCGACGGCCCTCTTGGCAAGCGACAGGATCGTGTCGACGTCATGGGTGAGGTCCCCGGCTTCATCAAGACCATTGCCGGTAGCGTTGCTGGTACCCGGCCATACATCTTCCAGGTACAAAACCCCACCTTGCCCCGCATTCTTCACTTACCACTGGCATTCACGCTTACCAAAACTCTAGTTCTCTCCCCAGGAGAAGCTGAAGATCAAGGTCAAGGTGGGCGACACCGAGACCGAGGAGGAGGGAACCATGTTCTCCGAGTCGACCTTCATCTCCTAAACGCGGTGATGCGAGTTCTCGCTCCTCCTTCGTACATAGGAACCATCACTCGTTGGCGTTTTGTTTTTGAAGTAACTCTACATTGATGTGTTGAGCAGTCACTATAGACTTGCCTGATGCGTGCCAGATATCTTACAGATTGTATACTGGATACTTAATGCTATTGACCATATTCCTCTTTGAATTTATGAGAAATGCACTCGTTATGTTACATTGACAGGGAGTATTGGTAGAGTGAACTCGAGATTGGATAATTCTTAATAACACAATGGGGAAGTGGTAATTGTAAAACAAAATTAAGAGGAAATTGTGCAGGAAGGACAATATTTAGAGTCCGAGTAAGAAACATAATAAGAAACACTGTACAAAGAAAGACAGTCATAAATCTAAATAGATGTACAACATGAAAGGATAAACACGAAAAAAATGAAATCCGTCAGCGGTCTTGGGGTATAAAACCGGACATTCTCTCACCAACCCCAAGTCTAGACGCACCTAAACGCCAAACCAGGGGCAAAATCTCAACCCAAAAAAGAAAGTGAAAGGAAAGGGAAGACTAGTTGTCAACCATCAGCTGCTCGCCTTCATCCAAAAGCGTAGTGATACGCGACAAGTCCGAGATCATCTTGCGACCATGGCCAACCAGCAGAAGTTTCTCAGCATTAGCCGGAAGACCCAAGTAGGTAGGCGGCTCGCGCTCGGGAAGATTGTTGACCCAGCTGATAAAATCGCGGATACTAGTGCCGCTGGGCAGAGTGAGAAGCTCATCGTTCTCAACACCTGAGACGAGCTTGTGATCGTCCTCGAAGGCGGCGGGCGTGAGGAAGCTCTTGACCAGTTCGTCTAGTTGCTGGAAGTCGCCGGCGTCGTCGATCTTGCCGCCGTACATCTCGGTGATTAGGGTGGTGATCATGTCCCAGGGGAGTTTCTGGGGAGCAACGTTGGAACGGCCCTGGGCTACTGTGTTGACCCAGTGGTCAATGATATGGGCGGAGCATTCGTACTGTATGAGATTTGTTAGCATGGCGTGATGACTGGAGTGGTGAAGGGGGTTTGGGCCGGAGCACTTACGTCGCTGTCGTTGAACTCCCAGAAGCCCTTCCACCCAAGATTGGGTGCGTAGCGGAGTCGTTCTTGGACCACAGCGTGGAGGAAGCAGAGAAGAAGGTAGACGCGGGCCTTCTCGACGGGGGCCTTGCTGGCGCGAGTTGTCAATGAAGAAAGAGAATCCTTCATATTGGCGCGGACACCGGCAGGTTGCTCGAACATCAACACGCGAGAGGCACGGATGAGGTTGACTGGTATCTTGGGGCTGGATTCCATGGACAAGAAGAGTCGGAACTCCTTGTGAGGCTTGAGAGAATCCAATCTCTTCTCCAGACTCTGGAGCCAGGACGGTGCCAGGTGGACGTTCTTGACAAGCACCCAGTTACCAGTTGCCGCAGCGTTGCTGATTGCCTTGTCGGCACTCTCGAGGCCTTCGTTCGAACCCATGGCAATGTTGGCGCAGGTGGCATGCGTGCGCTCAACCAGGGCATCCACCTTGTAACTGGCGTCGAAGCCAGGGCTGGAGCTGAGAGCGATGGGGGTTGTCGCAGTGACCTGGTCAACCACGTCCTTAAGATCGCTACTGCCTTCATAGAGTTCACGACCGAACACAGCCTCGACGAAGCGCTCGGCGGTCGGAACAAATCGATCCATGCGGCAAAGCTTGACAATTAGCAAGGACCGAAGAAGCTGATCTAGCTTGGAGGTATCCTCTTTCCAGACGACCGGAACGGCGTTCTCTGCGATTTCCTCTGTGAAGAAGCGATCCCACTGGTCCTGAGGGACTTCGGGAACAAACTCTTTGAAGATTGAGATATTGAGAAGCTTGCCCATCACTTGCTCGCGAACATCGGATGCTGTTGACAGATCGGTATCCTCAACAGACTCGTCCAGAATACGGTCCAGAATGGCTCTATCCATTGGGAAAGGAGTGGCCTGGGCAAGAAGGATCGCTAATGTAATGCGGTCCTTCTGGACAAGACCCAGCGAGGTTCGCTGATAAGTGGTGATGAACAGATCCTGAATGATGATCTGCACACGAGCGGCATGGTCCTTCTCCTGGGCGAGACGCTTGTTCTGGTAAAGAACGGCATTAAAGATATCCACAAAGTATTGCAGCGAGAACTGGTAGAAGTGATTGATGTGATGAAGCTGCTCCAGGACTGCGAAAACGGCACTGCAAGCCCTGGCAATGCTGCTGTATTGGCGGGTGATGCTCTCCACTTCAGACATGACGCCTTCCGTCTCAGACATCTTCTTCGAGATTTCGGCGGCCTCCTTCTTAAGAGTCTCGAGAGTCTCAATGACATTGTCATCATCAAGAATATTGCCACGAGACTCGTTCAGTGCCTGCAAGAGGCGCTTCTCAAGCTGTCGCAGGTGGACCTTGAACTCGCCTTGCATCTTGACAAGGTTGTTGCGGCGTTCATCCACATCGGGGCGCTCAAACTTGAGAACATCATTGAGGGACTGAGTCTGCAAACTGCTCTGCGTGACCGTGAAGTTGACAAAGGTCGTCCGACTGCAAATGTCAGGCGGGAATTGTGCAGAAGGATCTCTGGTGGAAAGGAACAGTTTGAATGATGGCGAGAAATCGATCTCTTGCTTGCCGAGCTGAATGAGAACACGACCACCAGTCTTTTGGTACTCCTTGTTGAGGACGTGGTTGAGAATCGGGTCCAAGTGCTCTGCATCCTGGATGAGAATGGGGTTTCCGAAACGGAGCGCACTCTCCAGTTGCTTGACGAAGGAGTCGTCCAAGAAGCTTGTGACGGTGAGCTTGCGTTCCTTGCTCTCCTTCTGCAAGAACTCTGTGACACGACCGGACGGGTCGACAATCAGGGGGTATCTGTTGAAACGCTTCAAGATGATGGCATTCTCCGTGCAAAGATCATCGACAGGGAGAGAGTTTGCTTGCCAGGTGAGACGCTCATCGGCATTGGAAAGATATTCTGTAATTGGGTTGTGGGGCTTGAAGTTGATTCCAGACTGAGCAAGTTGGTGAACCCAGTCATCGATCATCGCCTTACGGAACTGCTGATCGTAAAGACCAGCATAGGCAAGGAAAGCAGCAGCGATGAGTACATCGCCAACAAGGGTGCTAATTTGAGTCTCGAAAGACTTGCTGCCTTCTTCCCAACGCTCTCGCTCGGAGGCCAGACTGTCAAGCAGGCGTACACTGCGATCAACCTTGAACTGGACCCGGGACATCTCGGTCTTGATTGCCTGGGTCTCGCTGATCAGGGCGGCATACTCAGCCTTGTAGGTGGCGATACTGCTCTCCAGGCCTTGGATGGTATTCTCAATAGCTTGTGCCTCGGCCTTGGTTTGCAGAGCCTGTTCCTCAAGTTGGTCGACCTCCTCACGCAAAGGTCCGACACGATCCAAGATGGCGGAGTAGTTGACTTGAGCCTCCACCCATTGAACCAAGGGACCACATGCCTTACTGGCACGGTTCACTCGCTCGTATGTGAAGTCTTCCTTAGACAGGAACTCGTTCTGCATCTTGACACGATGGTTGCGAGTCATGTGGCGCTCATTGTCGTAGTTCACGATGCTGGCAATGAAATCCTCTCGGCGAATGATACCTTGGATGGTCTTCCAGCTATCGACCTTGTGACCAAGAAGTGTGCATACAGCTTCAAGGGCAAGTCGAACGCTAGCTGGTGGGTTACCCATGGAACGGACCTCAGTCAGGTGCTGACGCTTGATGTTGCTGACACTCTTCTGAGCTTCCAAGACTGCGGGCTCAGCACGAGCCAAGTCGTTCAAGACGACCTCCTTTCGTGTGGCCACTTCCTTTTCTTGCTTTTCCAAAGCTTGCTGCACCTCCAACGAGACTTGCTTCCGCTGCTCTGCTTCCTGCTGATCGGCAACCATGCGTTGCAACTTTTCATTGGCTTCCGTATCCTTCTTCTCCAGTTGCGTCTTCTTCTGGGCCAAGCTAGCCCGCAAATCGCTGACCTTGTCGACTGTGTCGCGGAGCTTCTCCAGACCGACGTTCAAGTGACGCTGTTGTTCCTCTAGGTCCTCGCGCTTCTCATTGAATAGCTTGACATACTGAGCAACAAAGTCAAGGTAATGGCGAGGAGTGAGGAAAGTAGACCGGCCTTGCTGCTTCTGCAGGCGCTGGTTGAACCGGTGCAACGAGTGGTGGATGAACACCATCGAGTTGACAACAGTGTCTCTGTGGGAGGCAGGAAGAGACAACTCGCGGTAGGCGACAGGTATACTATCGGGAGAGACGAAGTTGGGCTTGTCGAGATCGACGGACTGAGTAAGCTCAGAGCCAACCTGGAACAGGGCTTGATCGGACCAGTCGCCCATCCAGTTGAGCACACAACGATTGAACAGAGCAGGGCTGGTGGCCGCCTTGGAAGACAATCCATCCTCAGGCGGGTTCATGGTGAAGACCACGTGAAGGTTCTTGACGATCTGCTGAGTGAACCACTTGTAGAGCTCCTCTTGAGAGTCGAGAATAAGGCCTTGACGCTGGGCGCCCTCTTTACAGGCGGTCATCAAAGAAGAGAATTCATCACCCTCGAAGAGACCAGGCACCTCGGCGTTGGCAAGCAAGGTGTTCATACGTTCCAAGAAACCGGAGTCGAGCACGTTGGCTTCGTCCATAATGAAGCAAATCTTCTCACCCTTGCAACCTGCTCGGCGAAGAACGCTCCGAAGATCGTCATCAAAGTCTTCCGAGGAATACTTCCCATGCACCTTGATCTGGAAGACCTTCAGACCGTTCATCCAAGCAACAAAGCGGGACAGAGTCGTCTTTCCACTACCGCTAACACCAATCAAAATGAGATGACCCTGGGGCTGACGGAACACTCTGTCAATACGAAGCGCGTGTTCGAGAACATCGTTGAATAGCACCAAAGGAACATCGACTTCTTCCTCGCAGAATGTCTTCAGACGAGCCTTGACGAAATCGCGGAGGCGCTCCTGCTCCACGGGCACGTAGTGCTTGGACAGCCAGTTGGAGAACAAGATGGGGCCTTTCAAAGCCTCCTCTTGGTCAATGGTAGGGAAATTCTCCAGCGCAATACGACGGACAGCATCTGCAGTCCAAGCTCGCTCGTCCTCGGCGACCAAACGATCTTGGAACAGGCGCAGAGCTTCATGGGCCCAGATTCGAACAAGACCCTCAATCGATAGAGTCTCAAGTGGCTTGATCGCCTCGTAGACACCACGAACCCAGCGAGTAAGCTCACGAGGGGAGTAAACGTAGTGAGGCTGAATCTTGGGCGTGAATCTGGTCTGCGATTCAAGGTAGAACTGGACCATGGCCTTCGTAAGGGACTCGGAATATCCGCGGAGCAATGGCAGGATCTTGAGCACCGCGGAGTTGAAGGTACCATAGATTTGGTTGAGCGAGATCTCACCAGGGTAATCGACCATGATGAGAGGAGCATGGCGCAGGAAACGCTCACCCATTGGTGTACGACCCGCATCAGTGGGCGGGTTACAAGCACCAACAAACTGGATGCGATCAAGGCTGACCCAGGTTTTGTCAGAGGTACGCCAGAAGCCATTCTGTTCCACAAGCTGGCGCAGGAAGGAAATGGCTCGCTGAGTGCCGTAGCGATCGGGGGCGGGCAAGTTAATTTCGTCGCAGAAGATGACGAGCCAACGACCAATCTGGTTGGGAGACATCACCACACCATTGAGCGTCTTTTTGTATTCACAGTATTGCTCGAAGGTCTTGATCAAAAGATCAGGAGTGGTAGCACTGGAGAAATTGAGGCCGACGACCTCCATGTTTGGCAGTTTTCTCAACGCAGCAAACAGCGTCATGGTTTTACCAGATCCAGGAGGACCACACAGCAGGAGAGGTTTGTGCTCCGCGAGCCAGGAGTACAGAACATCCTCATGGCGTACGGTATCCACGGTAGGGATGATGACGTCCGTCTGGGTGATCGAATGAGTGTTGATGTCAATTGAAGGCACCTGTGACTGCCAGCTGGCCCATTCAGACTTCGGAAGAGTGACATCGTAGTCAATGAGGGATGATTCACCATCGGGGGGAAGATCAATGGTAGTCATACCAGCAACGTACTGACCAAAGGCCTTGCGGTCAGTAAGAGGGCAGTCACCGGTGAAGGACCAGACGAGGGTGAGCAGAAGCTTCTTGGAGATGTAGGACTCTATTTGCTCCGAATCCAGTGGGAAATCGACATGCTGGATGTTGTATTCCAAGACGTTACGGCAAGCCTTGTTCAGCAAACTGAACATGGTGTTGAGAGCGCGGATATCAGTGAAGTCCATAATATGGTTGTACTTCTTTGCCTCCTCAAGAGCCTTCAGAACTAGGTCGTCTGTCTCCAGGTGCTGCTTGAGGACGACAGAAAGCATTTCCTGGGTATCCTGTGTCTTGGCTGCTGATGTTCCCGCAGGAACACTGTCATCATCCAGGTCCTCGAAAGTCTTGGTCTTCAGGCCTTCCACGTAGTTGTTGATCATCATGGAAGGAGTGACAGTATCCTCATTGAACCAGACCATACCGCAACGACTGACAGTGGCCAAAGTGGCGTACTTCAAAGTCTCAACCTCAAACATGACGCGCACATTGGGAGGAAGGTTGAGACGTTCACCGTTGGGCAGTGTAAGCAGCTTGTTGTCATCCAGAACACTGTTCAAGTTCTCGACCCACTCTGGGTCAACGTCACCGTCAAATACGATCCAGTGACGCTTGCTGTCCTCTCCACGGAGATTGTCGACAATCTTGCGAAGAATACCAGTGAAGAGACCGTCAGTCCATTCGCGGGTGGTGCTGTCAAGGTTACCATAGAGAGCTTCCTTGGACATGACCTTCGAATCAATGATATGCGAGACACCTTCGACGTTTTCGATCCGTTGCATGGCTTGCAGTAGAATCTTCCAAGCGGCTGATTTACCGGATCCTGATTTACCAACCATCATGACACCATGGTGGATGCTCTGAATCTGGTATAATTGCAGGGCCTTTGTGATCCACATGTCACTATCCACCAAATGCTGTTCCTTGGCGATGTCCCGGATCGCTTGAGTGAGCTTTTCATAGTTGGCAGGCACGTATTCAACTCCAGGGAAGTCTTGTAGCTGAATGTTGAGCATACGGTCGACATCTTCTTGCACGAGCTTAGGAGCAATGGTCTCTCGCAGACTCTGGACGATAATCTGGGGTTCGATAAGTTCATCAGGGCCCAGATTACCATCGGAGTTGGCGAGGCGAGCGCGCTTGAGACCACCAGAGCTAACCAGAACACTCTTCAATGCACGAAGACCAAAGTCGTAGTGGGCTTGCTTGGATAGTTGAGAGGCACAGTGGTCGAAGAATGGCACCGTTTGCTTAGAAAGGGGCTTGGCTTGCTTGAAACCCTGGGAAAACAGCATGACTTCTGCGATGAGCTCCTTGTCGGGCTTGGACATCGCAACGCTGCGGAACAACTTCTTCAAGTTATCGGGCAAGTTGGAACGACCGGCGTATCCAGGATTCATTGTGATGAAGATACCGGTGTTGGAGTTGACAACCAGACGACGTCCAACCAGCTCAATCTGAGATTTCTCTTCATCCTCGCCCTTGCGCAGACCGATTTGGATGTTTTGGATCTGCTGGGAAACGGCAGACAGAATTCGTTCCTCCAAACGATTGAACTCGTCAAAGCAACCCCAAGCACCGACTTGACAAATACCGAGGAAAATACGACCCATAGCCTGGAAATCGAATGTGTCGTCACAGCAGAAGACAAGAGTGAAACGACCAAGCTGCAGACCAAGAGCCTTGACAGACTCGGTTTTACCGGTACCTGCGGGACCGTAGGGAGAGCCACCAAGTCGTTGGCAAAGGGCTTGGGTGAGGGTGAGGAAACAACGATCGGTAAGAGGCGTGCGAACAAGACGTTCGGGCACGCCCAGGTACTCGAAACCGTAGTTCAGCTTGGCATTGGCCATGTGGACGTACAGGCGCTGTAGGAAGTCACCATCAGGCTGGTAAACGTAACGCATCTGCAACAGCCACAGATAGTGAGTCGGAGTCGTGGCATTGAACTGGATCAGCTTAGAAATGGCATCACGCTGGTGCACGAATTCAGTGATCATGTGTTCGCACTTCTTACGAGTGATGGCATCCAGTTCACCAAGCACAGTAGCGGCCAGCAGCTCGAGGATTCGGACCTCAGCTTCATACAATGCTTGAAGGTTGACACCGCCATCCTCCAGAGACTTCTGCACCGCGTTGGTCCAGACGACTTGACTGGCGAGGACGACAATCTGGGCCGGGTAGTTGGCCAGGAAATCGTTAAAAGCAGTTCGATCCACCTCGGCACCGTGATAAAGGGTCTCGAATTGCTCAACAGCCTCACCAAGCAGCTCTGCCAGAGTCAACTTCATGTTGTTCTCCAAAGCGGAAAGCCAGTCATTGATTCTAGGGGTCTTAATAAGGTTGACCTCGCGCTTGAGGCGAACCTCCTCGCCCTCCTTGGACGTGAACCCGACAATGTTGTTATCGTCATCCATCAAAAGACCTGACAGACCAGCAAACATCTTCTTGAAGTGCTTGGCAACACGGAAAATATCATTGCTGTTACCAATGATTTCCAAGAGATCTTCGTCACCAACGAAGTAGAAGCGAGGGAATGACACACGCTCTCTTTCCAGGTATTCACCAAGCGCCTTCTGGATCTTGTTAAGCAGCTCAGCCAATCGCTCCAGAGACTTCTGGACGCCGTTGATTGCAAGAACATCCAAAACGAATGGTGATTTGTAGACCTTCTTCATCACAGCAAAGAACTCGGAGTTGATGTTCTGGAAGCGGCTTGACTCGAGGGGAAGGAGGTGCTTGATATCCGCATTGCCGGTGAAGACGCCTTCCAAGTAGACCCATTGTCTTTGGACATCAATCCAAACATCGAACAACACGTGGACACGGTTGAGTTTGTCTTCCCAGGAGGTAGCCTCTTCCTCGAACTCCTTGTAGTACGGGGAGTGCCTCATTGCCTGGAGGGAGTTCAAGTTCTCACTACACTTGGCAAACAGATCGTCGAAGCCTCGAATAAGGCGACACTTGTTCTGGTAGTTGACCAGGTCCAAAGAATAATTTTGCCAGGTCTCGCGAACGGACTTCAAGAATTCTTCCAACGCCATCTCACCCTGGGCCTGGGCGATGATACTGCGAATGACATTTTCACTAGTTGCGAGCTGCAAGTCCCAGACATCGCCAAGAGTGAGAGAGACGAGGGAGAATCTCTTTCCGGGCTTCAGGGATTTGTAGATCTTCTGCCAGTGTCGTTCCTTGACAGCTTCCGACTTCATGTCCGAAAGCAGGGAGTTGACCTTCAACAGCTGCCGCAAGACGTTCTGAATGTGTTCAAATGCAGCATACTGCCTCATTCGGCTCGGCATTTCCTTGGTCATCTTGATCAGGCCATCGAGAGCCTGTCGGAGCTTTCTGGGCTGGACACTGGTCCAGAGGCCCTCACGCAAGTCATTGAGGCTCTTCCAAATTGTAGATAGTGCTGCCCAAACCGACATGAAGTCCTGAACTTCTTCAAGGATTGCCGGAAGCGACGAGTCAGAGCTGGTGGGAAGGTCGAGGGCCTCCTTGGCCTTGGAAACCATTTCGAACTCAGACTGGAGGGATTCGAGGCGAGACTGGAAGGAGCTGAGAGTACGAGACGCCTCATCGGGAGGAATGGTACCGGAGACAGGTTTTTCGTCATTCCATTGGGCAATGACTTCCGCGATCTTGTCACTGATTACGCGATCCTCGGCAGTGATCTTAGCACGCAGGGCATCAGTCTGGTCCTGAACGATCTTGCTCTTGCGGGCAAGCAGCTCATTCAAGGCAGTCCATTCACCATCAACATTTTCAACGTGGAGCCAGTCATTGGGAAACGCGTATCGCTGGCGGGAGAGCGTAGTTTGACCCTGGCGGAACAGGTCGACCTCTGGTTCCCAGACACGAGTCTTACGCTTGCATTGCTGAACAATGGTAATGAAGGAGACTGCATGTGCGGTAGACGAGGCCTCCAAAGTCTGACCTTCGAGATCACGGCGGGCAGAGGCGATCTCAGAGTGAACCTCTCTCACGCGGCCACCAAGCTTGGCTCCGAATTTCTGGAGGATTTCGTGCTGCCACTGGTCGTACTTGGCGTTCACCTTGGTCTGAACTTGCTCGTAGTCGATTCTGATATTGCCGAAAGACCGACTGACTTCAGAGGTATCGAAAGTGGCACGGCTCTTGCGGATCTCTTGAAGAAGTTGCAACCACTGAGACAGATCATCACCCAGAATATCGTACACCTGCTCAGATTGCAAGTCCCAAAGCGACTGGAATTGAAGCCACTTGTCGACATACTCTGACACATCCTTCAGTCGGCTCTCAACAACTCCATAGACCTGGTTAAGCTCTTCAGTACAACGCTGCGGGAGGTCTGCGAAGCAAGCTTCCGACTGGCGAACGGTTTGCACATCAATAGAAATCTGGTATCGGGAAGCCTTGATCTTCTCGAGGTTGCAGATGACGCCCAACCACGAGTCAAATTGTGAGAACCAGCTTGCGCGAGCAAACTGAAGTGGAGGGTCGAGATGGAGAACCTGATTCTTCATGGAAATCTCATGGAACAGCTCAGGGAAGGAGAGGGTGTAAGTCAAGGCTTCAGGTTCAACGGATGGCAGGGTAGTCACCTGCCCATTGCGGGATTCTTGGAAAGTGTTAATCCACTCCCGAATGGCACGATGAAGTCTCTCGCTAAGGATGGTTTCGATCTTTGCGTTCAGCTCTGAAACCCAATACCCGAGATTGACATAGTTCTCGAGGTTGAGCTTATCCACCGCGACCTGGATAACGTCCAGGCGTTGTTTAAACGCCGCAGCATCGTAAGGACAAGTCTTGAGCTCATGGATGGATTTCTGAATGTTTTCGTTGATGGACGACAGAACTGCAGTCTTTGATTGGAGGACGGATGCGGAGCCAGCAAACTCGCGAACAAACTGAACGTGCTTGCTCTCCGTCCGATTGGGCATTGTGGTGTCGATGGCGCCATTTGCAAGGGCCGATTGTTTAACATGGAGCTCGTAGGAGTGAACAAAAGACTCCCATCTCAGTGGAATACCCTTGTTGACCATGGCCTGAGAGTCATTCACGTAACCGTTGAGGAGAATGGCAACATCAGACATCGAAGCAATTGTGCGGTTAGTCTGGAGCAGTGTTCGCACACTTTCCATGAGACTAATGGCATATGGGTAGACCCGCTTCGCCTCCTTCGAGATGTTGCTGACAGCATGGGGAACCTGGAAGTTCAACCAAATGAGGTTGCGGACTTCCTTAAACAAGGCGATAATTTGAGCGTCGAAGTTGACCGTGAGCTCCAACTTGTTTCCAGCAGCGCGGTTACGCACAATGTTGAAAAGTCGGCCGGAGATAGTAATATGCCGTCTTTGCACATCATAGAGCCATGATTCAAAGACAGGGCGGGTGTCAAGCTTCTTGCGGAAGAGATTGCCCTCCGCTTGCAGCTTCTGGCCTTCCGAGTGAAGATGCCAGTCTTCACCAAGGACATTCTCCACCTTGCGCATGTAGCCATCGAGCTGTCGCTCAATCTGTCGGGCCCAGATGATAGCACCTGAGACTGGGGAAGATCGCGCAGTTGGGCCATGGCATGAGCCTCGGAATGGCCATACTGCTGCTTGAAGCGCTCATGGAGAGCGGAGATATCACGCTTGACATTGTCAATCAGCTGTGTCTGGTACTCGCCAATAGCACCGCGAATCTTGGGGCGGACGAGCAAAGCGTTGAACTTGGAGAAGACACGGAACATCTCGTTGGCATTCTTGGCGGTGGCCAGACGATCACGCAGGCGGGCAATAATGGAGTTCTCGACACGCGAGGTACGCTCGCTATAGCCAATCTCGGCCTGCTCCCAGGCACGGGATCCTTCCGGCGACACATCAAGCACATCCACGTTCCTCAAAGCAGCATAGGCGTGCGTAACCTCTTCAACGGCATCAACATCGCCAATTTCCTCCACGATAACCGTCTCCTCAGAGTCAACGCCAGCGCCGGTCTCTGTTGGTGAAGGGTTCTTCGGCCCAAGAACATTGATGATGGTCTTTTGAAGTTGTTCGTGGTTGACGCGGAACGTATCGATGTACTTCAAGCGTTCGCGGGTTTTATCGTGTCGAGCATTGATCTTGATGGGGATGAACTTCTCATTACGGCGTCTTGTCGACTCACGGGCTACATTAGTGAACTCCTTCAAGTTCTCGTCCCAAGAGCGCCAAATTGCCTGAGTGATCTTCATCAGAGACCGGAACTCCCGATAGTCCAAGTGGAGGATCTCGCGACCCTGAATCAGATCATGAATCTTCTTGTCCAGGTCACCAGAGATAGCTTCGACAAGTGAAAGAGCACGCTTGATAGGATACGGGCAGATCTTCAGCTTCTTGTTGAGATGGTTGAAGATCAGACCCAGAGACTCTTGCACTTTCTGCAGAGAAGTGGCTGAGAGGAGCTCATCCAGCGGGAAGTCACGCATCAGTTGATTGTACTTCTGGACCAACTCGGTGGCATCTTTCAGCCCAGTATCCGCCACGAAACTCAAGGTCGGCTGGTATCGCTTCGCGTGGCGAAGAATGTCCATCGTCAGTCGAACTCCTTCGCTAGCCAGCTGGTTCTCAATCCCTTCCAGCGCAGTCTCCATCGACAACCAGAAGTTCACCTCCGGGGAGGCCGACTCGCTGTCCGGGTCTCGGGACATCTTCGTGATCGTTTGGATTGAGCGAATCCATCCATTCACCGTGTTCTGAATGCTGTTGGTGAAGGCACTGCTATCCAGAACAGTCGATGGAATCAGCTCGACAGTCGGTTTGATGCCCCTAGCCTCAGCTTCCTTGAGCGCAGCCTGTACGACCTCATGAAGCGGGAGGCTCAAGGCAGGAATCTCCACATTCTGCTGCAAGTGCATAAGACCCAACTCTAGCTCCGCAAACTTCTTCTTGGTCCCGGGAATACCAGTCTTCGCCTCAGTATCAGTTCTCGATTTCGTGCCGGCGGCTGATTCCTGGTTACGAGTGTAGGCTTCGAAGTAGGGACTCAGTCCGTGATGAAGTAGCAGATGTAAGATCTGATATGGCGACATGGCATTTCCTTGTTGCGTTGGGGCATTGTTCAAAGAGGCGACACCAGGCAGGTTCATCACCTGGATCTGCGAGGCAATTGGGAGAGCAGGATCAATCGGAGCGGGACGTTTAATAAAGGCTACCGACGCGACGGTAGTCGAGGTGGAGGAGATCTCGGAGGAAAGGTCGTAGGAATACTGTACAATAGGCTCTTTATTCACATTGTTAGCTCGAATAGAGAGGTCGAGCAGGACTACAGAGCTCATAGACCTACCTGCACCTTCGGCATCACCATTTGTTTCCTCTGCGGCCACAATATCTTTCTGCACATAGAGCGCGACTTGTGCCTCCGAGGCAAATCGCATGCATCTTTGCGCGGTCTCTTGGTACTTAGCATCCGAGAGCAAGCTCCCGGCGCTCTCCAGCTCGGATTTCAGAGCGCCCAGTGTCACCTGGAGCACTTCCGTTAGGTATTGGATGACCGCACCAGAATCCACCGAAGCCGCCGCATCTGGCGTGGAGACGCCATTCGACACTCCCGGCGTGGCGACCTCCATCGTATTTCCAACTCTATTACAACGAGCTTGTAGGGTTCATCGATGACTGGAACTGGCGGAGCGCGATCGGAGCTGGAGGATTAAATGTTGACAAGGGTTCGCGTCTTGTCGGAACGAGCGCGGCGCAGGTGACGGACTGCGAGAGGGTTCGGAATAGAAAGAGCAAGAGATCTAAATTAAAAAAATACTTCTCGGAGAACGCAGTCGGGGGTCGAGCATGAAGAGAAAAGTGTCGGTCGATGGAGATAACAGATACGCGGTGTTTGTTCGTTGTACTTCAGGGGATGCACTTTTCCCAATCGGGTTAGGCGTCTCACGTCCAACCATGTGACGGCTGCCGGGTTCCTGGGCCGTTCCATTGATCTGGTGCCATGCCAATTTCTATATGGGACTGGGCTACGGAGTACTCTATACACCATCATTACTTGGTCCTTCTAACTTATACTCATACACATTTCATTGCATTCCCTATGGTCTGCAGTTTTTCTAATCATACAAGCAATCTCAAATCGAAGATTGCGTAAATTAAGGCACCCGATTCCTGCCCCCTTTCTGATCAGCCTGCAGATCGAGAAGCTTCTCTTCCTTCGCCTTGGCCTCGTTCTCTGCATTTGTCTCGGTCGATTGGCAGTCGCAAGCAAATTTCAGGCGAAAATCGGTGGGTAGCAGCATCTCCAGAGCTTCGATGGCATTCTCACTTGCCCTGACCTTGGCATACCGACTTGATGTTCCAACCGCTTCCCCTAGGGGTCGCCCATGTACCATCACAGCAGCGAGCATCATCGGCTGATCTGAATCAGACTCAGGGATTTTTCCAACCTTCAGACAAGCATCTTTGCATCCGTAGTCATTGGTCAGCCGGTTGAACAGGAAAGTCTATAGTCTGGTCAATTCTCGTCCAGTGATAATTCTTGAATAGGGGAAAATGTCTTACCGTCGGCTGCCTGTTGGCGAACGTGTCATACAAAGAAATGTCCACAAAGTATGGCAGTATGTGGGTGTTGAAGAACTCCTCAACCACGGTGTAGTCAAAGCCTGAGTCCACGAAGATTGCCGCGATGTATGCTTCGAGCATGTCAGGGAGACACTATATTTCCGTTATCATTAGCCTTATGCCTTTTTCAACTGTGATCATCGCAAGCGGACTTACCTTTGGAGAATCCGTGGTATGTAGCCAGTAGTCCATCACACCTCCACTTTTAGCCTCGGCAGTCTGCATTTCTTCCGCATACCGAGTGATTTGCCCCTGGATAGGACCGTCGGCGTATAGGAGATGTCGATGAAGTCCGAGATGCACCACCAGAGCTCCCAAAAATTTGTTAGACACAATTGCCATCTTTGATCATATATCAGTAATTGTAAATTCCTTCATGGGATCATTGGCTACTTACCTTGTGCTCTGTGAGCCATTGGGGATCCTTGTCGGGGAAGCGAAGAAACAGGTGCTCGACACACACCATGTCAAGAAGTGCATCGCCCAGAAATTCGAGACGCTGGTAGCACGGTACAATGGCCAGCTGGCGTGGAAGAGAGGAGTGTGTGAATGCGGAGCGCAGCAGGGCCGGATACCTGAACTGGTAGCCAAGCTTCCTGAATATCTGCTGAGCAAGATCCAACTCGTATCCGTTCGGCACATTGTCCTGCCACTTTGGCTTCGTGTAGGACAAGTAGTAGTCTGCCCAAGATGTTGCAGTATGGGTCACCGTGAGGTTTTCATTTTTGACGAAGCGGGTCACGGCACGGACAGCCATGTCAAAGCGATGATCCTTGCCTCCTGATAGTAGTGCCGCCGCAATCAGGGCCTCGCAAACATCTGCAATTGTCTTTTTTGCAAGGTCATGACTATCTTCCGCCTTCAGATTCCTGGTGAAGTCACGCCCTTGGAGAAGACGGAGACCTGGAGGGAACCATGTGTGGCTGTGGCTAGTGTCAGTCGACGTCTCGAAGACAAGCACCCTTACAAAACATACCGAGAAAACCCACGACTCCGGATATACTCATAGAGCTGAACTTTGACTGCCGCTTCGAATAGGTTCTTGTTGCAGATGAGACACATCCGGTAGACATGATAGTCGTACTCATTGTTATCCGGTCTCTGGCAGTAGAGAGCAATTGATGTGGCCATCTTGAGGAAGCTGTCACCCAAGAACTCCAGACGCTCGTAGTTCTTGCCCATGCCTCGTTGCACATGAATTTGCTCCTCCCGATGCTCCTCGGTATTGTCGGAGTCCTTTGTAAAGGCTTCCAAGGCGTATTCCAACCTAAGATCAAGGTCCAAGTGCTCGCAGCCCTCCAACACAATCATATAGGACTCTAGCCTGCTAATGATAGCAGGGAAAGCCAAGCATGATGCAACCGTTGGCAAAGGAATCTAAAAAAGAAATGTCAAAATGATCTGTTCATCATCAAGCCATTAATGGAGGTATCACTTACCGCCGAGAGCATCACGGCTTCCGGGCATAGCACACAGACTGCCCTCTCGGATTCCTCGAATTCATTCGCTTTGTCCAGGAAATTTCTGCGAAGACAAACCATCTCAACTTGCAGAACTGGCTGACCCCAGTTGCAACGTTCCAAGAAGACGTTCCGTGACTTCTTGCCCAAGCTCGAAGAATAGTTCATGATATTTTGCATATTCACATCTCGGCGGTGTGTCACGTACGAAGGTGGAGGGTCTGATGGACGCAAATTGGGATCAATCTTGAGTGGGAAGTATCGGTACTTTCCACTCCATGGGTCGTACATGAATCGATTGAGAAGAGACTCAGGGTCCATGTCTTCAGACCATTTCCACTCGCGATGCTCCTGAACGAAGCTCAAGACTTCCCAGTCAATCAATCCATCTGGCAATTCAGCAGGATTTGAGATCTCCGTGTTCAAGCGCACTGGGGCTAGCCAGTACGGATACACCTCGGGCGTCTTGTCAAAGATCTTGTGAAATACGTCGCGGAAGACAGAGACTGTAAAGTCTGTCAAGGAGTCCACCTGCTCAGAGCTGACAGCGAGAGGCCACTCGAGACAAATCGTCTGAACCGTCGTTTCTATGTTATCAACCAAGAAGATAGGGAAACTAGGGAAGCTCGGGAGCTTTTGGCGAGTAAGGAGTACCAGCGGAGCATGCTGTCGGGTCAGCGGCATTGAAGGGCTGAACCGGATCAACATAGCATAGAGCAATTTTGGGATGGTTCCAATCTCATGAGTCCACAGTGAAGGCTTGCAACGCCGGTCATACTTCTCCTGTTTGGTCGACGCAATTGCCAGTTTTGCATTTCGCATGGCAGGTAGGCGTCGATGGAAGATTGGCCTGAAATGGTTATCTAACAGGTTGCTCTTCCGCAGCACCAGGCAAGTGTCAAATGCTGCGGAACCTTTGGCCATGGCTTTACTTGATTCCAAGGTGCCTATCACGCCCCTGACAGGAGATTTGTCAGGAAGCCTGATTTCGGAGACAAATTTGTCTCCAGAGGAGATCGTGGTGAAGTTCACGTAGGCACATGTGTCAGTTTGAGTTTGATCCTGATTCTGATTAACCTCCTCCTCCTGATACTGCAGCGATGCTGCATAACGGGCTAGAACGTCAATTGCATGCCCGTAAGTTAGCTTTGCTCCAGTAGATTGGATGGTGTAAGATCTCTGCCCCTTCTGCTTTCCAAGCACCGTCTTCAAGTCAAGGTCATAGTCATGCCCACACAACAACCGATCCTTGGGGAGCGTTTCACAAAATGATCTCATGAGAACTTCTGCTTCGCGCACTTCCTGTAACTTTCTCTTGTGGCTCTCATTGTCCTCTTCAACCATAGTTACATACGTCGATTGGGCGTGCCGTGCACGTCCGCGACTCTGAATGTACTGGATGAGCGTGTCGTAGAGGTCAAATCTGACGACGAAATTACAGTCGGGAATATCGAGTCCTTCCTCTGCAACCGCCGTCGCAAACAGACAGTTGACCGTCCCGTCTTGAAACTGACCTCTCACCTCAAACTGGCGACGGAACGTAACATTTCCTGTGATATCCGACTTTCGAACGCCGACTAGGATCCCGGGGCGAAGATTTTGGATCTTCAACACTTCGCAAAGGCGCAGCAAGGCCTTGGCCGTATTCCGTCGCTCAGTGAAGACGATGCACTTCTTGCTGTTTGAGGTGCCGAAATGCATTGCCAATCTCTCGACAAGGAGTCGAACTTTGCAGCTCAGCTGGCCTTGGGCCCACGGGTTTTGAAATTCGTGGGTTTTCACCATCTCGCAAGCATCTCTGGCACTCAAGAGGTCCCTTTGAGTCGCCTCAGTTCCGCAAGGGTCGGACTCCGGATTTTTCCCTGTGGCACTTTCGAGATGGGGTATCACGTCCTCCCTGAGCGCTTGAATCCACACTTGATCCGCACACCATTCGCCTAGTTCTGAGCTGGCAGTCCAAGCGAATCTAAAGACAGGTTCAAGTGATTTGACCTTTCCGAAGCTCTCTTGCAGCTGGGTGTACAATTTTGTTGCAAAAGGTAGTTCGAGATTCGAATAGGTCCAAGTTTCCTCGAATGGTCGATTCACGATTTGACGGAGCGCCTCCATGTTTGCAGTAGTGGCAATCCGACTACCAAGAAGAATCTCGAGCTGACTATAGAAATGATTAGAGGTGCTCAGTTTTCCACGAGTAGTATAGACATACGCTGCTGCTTCGGTCATCTTAGTCTTTCCGTCAACCGGAGAAGCCGTCATCCCAAAGATTCTAGGGCGCTCGGACAAGGGGGCTTTGAGGTAAGAGTCGCGGATGATGCTATTGATTGTCAGATTATTGCTTGAGACTAAATGCCATGATCAGAAAGCTCACCGTGCATAAGGATGATCCTTCTTCGCATGGTGGGCTTCATCGAAGATCAAAATGTTGATTTGACTCATTTTGATGAATCCATTGAGCAGGCATTGATTGACGATCTCGCCTGTGCAGACAATTACCATGCTTTTGGTGAAGTAGTCATCCCAGATCTTTTGGTCCCAGAGATCTGGTCCCATCGCACCGAATATGTGTGCCACATTTTGGTCGAGATTGTTCTGCAACACCGCCGACTGTTGGAACACAAGAGTCACGCTGTGAGCCTAGTTCTTGTCAGCGTTTGAATACTCTGGAGAATCTCAATCAACATACCAAGAAAAAGGCAATCCGAGGAGCCTTGCCATCTGCACGGTCTATCAGCTCTTGTTGCAGGATGTGCTTGAGTAAGAGGACTGCAATCAAGGTTTTTCCCGATCCTATTGCTTTAGTTAACATTCTCGTCTTGAGATAAATATTAGATAGTTCAAACCTGTGTCTAGAACCGCGATGGTATTCTCGGCCTTTGCTCGCTCGAATAGCTCGATTTGGTACGTACGAGGGCTCAAATCCCCGAGACCAATCTCTTGTCTTTTGAGCAACTGGTAAATGTTGAGGTGCTCACGCGGAGAGTCTGGGCCTCCAGTCTTTTTAGGCTTCTCGGTCGTTCGCTCACGGTTTGCGTGTTGCACGAGTCTGTAAGTCGGTCAGTTGGGAGTGAAAGAAGAAGCGTTCATTTTGGAACATACAGAGATTGGAATTGGGCCTCTTGAAGCCGCTGACGATGAGAGCGTGTTATTTGGGCAACGTTGTTTTCAGCCTCCCCATCAGATTCATCTGAGGAGCTCGCCGGGGGCTCTTCGTAGGCATCAAGAGGCGACATGGTTGTTTTCTGTAATCTTTGGTGAAGTATGTGATCAGGATGGTTTTTTCATAGAGGTAAAGGTGGTATCAGATGAGATAGATTGTCACAAGGAGTAGATTTCCGTATAGATGTAGTTTTGTAGCCTTGTAGGTAGGTAAAAATTCGGTCGAATGGTTGTGAGAGAGAGTAGAAGAGAAAGAGAGAAGTTTGTGTGTATTTATATATAGTAGGAGAGTGAGATGCTGCTGATTGTTTGTTTGCTAGCTAGGTGGTATATACCTTTTTGAAATGAGCTGATCAGGTGACGAACGGATTCAACAAAATGAGAGGCTAATGAGAAAGTTATTCTCTTAATTGAGTCAGGGATCAATGATTTGAAGTTTTCTCTTCGAGACAGCAATGTACTTCACTTCCAGTTTACCTTTCTTCGTACTGATAAGATGGAGCTCCCCACTTATCGCGCCTTATCGCCTCGCCAAATCTCCCGCCAGAATCGCGGGGACACAAGAACCACTCCGACTTTATTCCCTTCTCCTTCGTTCAGTCTAATCACCCAACATGGAAGAGTCCCAAAGCCTTCGGTCTCTGTTTACGTCCGCGAAGGATGCTAAGACAGCACTAGAGTCAAGGGGAGATACCAACACCGAAAGCTACCGGGACGCAGTCAATGCGACGATCGCCAAATTCCACGAATGCCAACGACAAATCGGCATCTTGTCACTATTCAGTTCAAATGAGTCGCTAGACGATATGTCAACGGGAGATATTCAGTGAGATCCTTGAGCAACTGGTACATGCTTGTCTGTGAGCTAATCCCCGCCTGTTCAGGTACATGACATTGGAGTACCATCTTGCCGAACTCTCGCAGCGAGGTCCGTCTGCTGATCGCGAAGCTACCCTTCGGCGCGCCCTGGAACAATATGAGCGATTTATTACACGACTCGACGAATACGAGTTACTGTCCGCTGGAGACAAGAAGTTCTTTGAACAATACATGGCCAATCCCTCAACCTTCACGCTCGCACCCTTGAACGATGCCGCAGCTCGGCGGGACATCAAAGTGAGACGCTTTCGGGAAGAAAAGGAGCTCAAGGAAAAACTAGAGGTTCGTTTTATATGTGCTTAAACCGCTGCTGGCTTCCAGACTAACAAAATGTGAAGTACCTTGCTCGCAACGAAGCTCGACTTCAAAGTGACGATGACGATACCCGACGACTTTACTTAGCTGAGCTGCAGCTCTATATCCACCAGAGTTTCCAAGCCATGGATCTATTGGTACAAGAACTCTCAATGCTATCTGCCATGCGGAATGCCCCCGCCCCCACGCAACCGACCGCCGATGACTCGAGACAACGAAGTAACCTAGGAGGCGCAAACTACTCAGATCGACTGGACCCGTCTTTGTCACAACTTCTGGGCCGGGGAAGGAACGGACCACTTTTGAACAGCAAAGGCAAGCCAATGCAGCCATTCACATTGCTGGATCGTCGCACGCAGCTGCAGCAAGGAGTGTTCCGTTCTGGTCATAATCTCCCGACTATGACGATCGAGGAGTACCTGGATGAAGAACATCGGAGAGGCAATGTCCTCCAGGGAGGCGAACAGTCTGGTATCAAACCAGAGGTTGATGAGGATGACTTCGATAAGGCAGATGAAGAGACTATGAAAGCCCGTGCCTGGGACGAATACGTGGAGGCGAACCCTAAGGGTTCGGGTAATACACTAAACCGCGGCTAAGAATGTACAGCCGCTACGAATTGGAAGATTCCAGTGTATTTTTCTTATTCCTAGATGCCTTGCAATAGACGGTGTTGTCGAAGTAGAGTGAAATTATTGAATGGATGATTCATGCCCTATGGGCCCGTATTGTATATTGGACCAAGTTTAATCGTATGATAGGATCATTGATTTCATTAATTTCGTTCATTTTCAGCAGGGTATCGACCACATTTTATACATGGCTAGAGTCTTATCAAAATATTTTGTTTATTTGGAGACATTCTCCTTGACCACCTTGTTGCGCTGGATCTCCTCCAGAATCACGCCCGCGCCATCTTCCACCAAGGCCTTGGCCACCGTGACACCGAAAGCCTCTGCGCCCTCGGCTGAATCAACATCGCCATCAACTTCGACGTGTGCGCATTGCTGGCCGTCGACGCTGACAACGACAGAGCGCATTCGCAGTTTCTTGGATCCCTCTGCAGTCTGCACCCACTCGGTCTCGACACCCAATGGCGCACTGCAGCCACCCTCAAGGGTTCGCAGCAGACTGCGCTCAGCGAGACAAGCGTAGGTGGTCTCCTGGTGACCGATCTTGCTCAACATGTCCTTCAAGAAGGTATCCTCCTTCCGGATCTCAATACCCAAGGCACCTTGTCCGACGGCGTAGAGCATTCCACTGCTCTTTGAGTCCAGGTACTGTGTAATGCGGTCTCCGAGGTCCAGGCGCAGCAGACCAGCGGCTGCAAGGATGATGCAGGTGTAAGGGCTGTCTTCCGCATCCAGCTTGGCTAGACGGGTGCCGATGTTGCCGCGAACATCAAGGACCTTGAGATGAGGGTATTTGCGGGCCAATTGGGCGGTTCGGCGGATGGAGGAGGTTCCAACAACCGAGCCGGCAGGGATCTCGGCCAAGCTCTTGTATGACAGTCCTTGCTTCACGACGAGCACGTCTCTGCTATCTTCGCGGGGCATCATTGGGCCGAGGGTGCAAGTGGCGGGGAGGACGGTGGGAACATCTAGTGAATTTTGAATGTTTGAGCGCATTGAGCAAGACTAGGAGGATCAATTTCAATGACCATGAGATTGCGCTAACCTTTGAGAGAGTGGACAATAAAGTCGACCTGTCCATCGATCATCAGTTCCTCCAGCTCTTCGGTCCACAAATTCTTGGTCGTAAAATCGCGCAGGGCAATTTTCGTGTTGAGATCGCCCGCGGTCTCCTTGGAGAAGATTTTGAACTCATAGTCAGGGTGTGTCTTCTTGAGGGCGGCGGCGACCAGCTCTGTCTGTTCCAATGCGAGCTTAGATTTACGCGTGCCGATGGTGAAGGAAGTCTTGGTGGCGGGGGCGGGGGCGGCCATCGTGAAATAGAGGGGTGAGATGGGATGAAGACAAGACGGCAGTCAGATGAATCACGTCAATTGTACCAATCAGGAAAATGACACCTCGTGAGCAAGCCGAGGGGTTTGGCCGAGGAAAGCGCGAATGGAGTCGAGGCGTGCAAAGCGGAGGATCGGAAGAGGGTATAATTCCGTGGAGGGTGTCCGATCACGGGACACGGCCACACCGGCTGAGGATCACACCAGACGGTTACAAGCTACAGCATGCTAGAGGGGGAAGAAAAACTCTTTGATGCGGGGTGAGGGGATAAATGACGCTTGAATATGCGTGGAATACAGCTATCGAGCTACCATACAATACTATGCATATTCACTTAATTATGGCCGAAGTGCTTGTATCTACAGTGTAGTACTGTACCCTTTCTTACTGTACCCTTTCTTACTGTACCCTTTCCCCAGTGGATCAGCAGATCTGACGTACAGTACGGAGACTAACCTCGGCTTCGGGACGTGGAGATTACGAGACATGCGACTCGCCCTTATCGCCTTCTTCCCCCGGACTCCCCCCAAAGCTAAACTCGCTACTTTAGTACTGGTCTGGTTGGTCTACAGTAGGTTCTGGAACCACCACTCTCTTCCTCGGCCATCTCCTCTTCTTCCTCTTCCATTTCCCCATCTATCTCCCTTCCCCGGATTACTACTCTGTGGGCAGCCAACAACACGTCTTACACTCCTAGACACCGCTCTTGTCTCTTCCCGTCCACTCCTGAGGCCCTATCGCTGTATTTCGCCACCATTCGATTCCCGAGGGCTATTCAAGATGGGATCCAACAGCGGTAGAGCCACCAAGCTCCCTCTGGTGCCTCTAGCCAAGGGCTCCGTTCTGCTTCCCGGTGTGACTCTACGCATTCCGGTCTCTAACCGCCCAGATCTCACCAACCTGCTGTCGTCTCTGGTTGACCGACCTTCCAAGCGTGACGGCAATTCGATCACCTTCGGATGTATTCCCTTGAGCTCACCATTCCTCAGTCGTGATGGACAACAGCTACTAGAGGGTGATGAGACGGAGGATGACCGAAAGGAGGATTACGATTCAATCGATGCAGGCCAGGCGCGGAAGGATGACCTCTTCCGTTTCGGTACGGTTGGTAAGGTGATCGGCGTCCAGCGCCGGGCCTATGCCGAACCATTCCTTCTGGTTCAGGGCTCCCAGCGATTCACGGTTAAGAAGATCCTGAAGGACCGTCCATTCTTTGAAGCGGAGGTCTACCTTCATGATGAGAGCAGTAGGTTCTTCCTTGACATGTTAACTCTAATGAGTCAAGAAGCAGATTGCTGACTTATCACCTATTAGCCTCATCTATCCATGGCGATTCCGAGGCCACTGAATTGTTCCAACAATTGCGACAGCTCTCCCGCGAGCTCCTTACCCTTCTTCGTCTATCCTCGTTGCTATCTGCCGCCTCGACTCGCCTGTCGCCACTCGTGGCACGGAAGTTTGAACTGTACATCTCGAAATCAGAACTAGGCCAGGCAGGAAAGCTCGCTGACTTTATGGCCGATGTATCCGATGCAAGCTTTGAAGAGAAGTTGCGGGTATTGGCCTCATTCGATGTTAAGGTGCGATTGGAGCGCGTGGTGGAGATACTGACTCGCCAGGCTCAGCATATCAAGAGCAGCGTGAAGGTGACATCTATCACCACAACCTCCTTCCCCCTAACTCGAATGTTGATATCAGCCAGATCGATCCACGCGAGCGCGAGATTCTGGCAAGACGTGCGATGCAGGGATTGTCAGGTCTTACGCCACCTGGACCGGCTGGTGCCCGTGGCAACGACAATGAAGAGAAGGAGCCGAATGAGATTGACGAGTTGGCTCAGAAGCTAAAGGATGCGCAGCTCAGTCCAGAGGCTCAGAAGGTTGCGGACAAGGAACTTAAGCGCCTGCGCAAGATGAACCCCGCCAATGCCGAGTACGGTGTTTGCCGTACATACTTGGAGAACTTGGCTGAGATTCCATGGGCCAAGGTCACCGAAGACCAGCTTGGTCCTGATACGTTGAAGCGTGCTCGTAAGCAGCTCGATGAGGATCACTACGGCTTGGAACGGATTAAGAAGAGACTGCTGGAGTACCTGGCTGTGCTCCGGTTGAAGCAGAACACCAACGAGGACGTGGAGCGGCAGATTACTAGCCTCACGCAGGACCTGGATGCCGCCTCCCACGGAGACCTCGAGAACGATGTTCCTTTGATCTCGGAGGCTGATCGGGTCGCGATTGAGACCCGTCTAGAGATTCTGAAGTCTAAGCGCACAACTGACAAGTCTCCTATCCTGCTCCTCGTTGGTCCTCCTGGAACTGGTAAGACTAGTTTGGCCAGGTCTGTGGCCGCCTCGCTTGGCCGCAAGTTCCACCGTATCTCTCTTGGTGGTGTCCGCGACGAAGCAGAGATCCGCGGTCACCGGCGCACTTATGTCGCTGCTATGCCCGGTCTCATCGTCAATGGACTGAAGAAGGTTGGTGTCGCCAACCCAGTGTTCTTGCTTGACGAGATCGACAAGATTGGAGGTGCCAACTTCCAGGGTGACCCTTCTGCGGCCATGCTGGAGGTGTTGGACCCCGAACAGAACCACACCTTCACTGATCACTACATCAATATTCCCATCGACTTGAGCAAGGTTCTCTTCCTCGCTACTGCCAACTCACTGGATACTATTCCGGCGCCTCTTCTCGACCGCATGGAGACCATCTCGCTCTCGGGATACACCACCGTTGAGAAGCGACACATTGCCAAGCGCCATCTGATTCCCAAGCAGGTCCGCGCCAATGGCTTGGCCGATAGTCAGATCAATCTGTCCGACGAGGTCATTGACAAGACTATCACATCCTACACTCGTGAATCGGGTGTTCGTAACCTGGAGCGTGAGCTTGGCTCGATCTGCCGTTACAAGGCTGTGCAGTATGCTGATGCCGGTGACACCGCCCGTCTGGATGAGTATAACCCCACTGTGACCCTGGAAGATTTGGAGGAAATTCTGGGCATTGAACGCTTCGAAGAGGAGATTGCCGAGAAGCACGGCCGTCCTGGTGTGGTCACTGGCCTCGTTGCCTACTCTAGCGGCGGCCAGGGCAGCATTCTCTTCATCGAGGTGGCTGACATGCCTGGTAATGGGCGTGTCCAGCTCACCGGTAAGCTGGGTGATGTCCTCAAGGAGTCCGTTGAGGTTGCTCTCACATGGGTGAAGGCCCACTCGTTCGAGCTGGGACTCACTCACGACCCCAGCGAGGACATCATGAAGAGTCGCAGCCTCCACGTCCACTGCCCCTCCGGTGCCATTCCCAAGGACGGGCCTTCAGCCGGTCTCGCTCACACCGTGGCGTTGATCTCCTTGTTCACCAACAAGGCAGTTCCGCCACAGATTGCCATGACCGGCGAGATCTCTCTGCGCGGTCGCGTCATGCCCGTTGGTGGTATCAAGGAGAAGCTCATTGGTGCTCTGCGTGCCGGTGTCAAGACTGTCCTGCTGCCCTACCCTAACCGGAAGGATGTCAAGGATGTCCCGCGGGAGGTCAGCGAGGGCCTGGAGATCATCTACGTCCAGTAAGTTTCATCACTACATTTTCCTCATCTGCTTCAATTCTAACATTTCTTCGCAGGCACATTTGGGAGGCTCTTCGCCACATCTGGCCCGATGCGCACTGGCCTGGTCAGCACCAGGTGAACTTTGTCGAGAGTCGCCTGTAGACCGCTTGACCTTGGACAAAGTTCACTGTGATGTGTTTGTCAGATCTCTTGTAATTTTTGTTGCCGTTCTTCCAGCCTCCTCACCCCCCGTCGTTTTGCATAGCGTGGTTGACCCTCGTGGCCACCGTTGACTGTAATTAATCTTTCTGACTTTGCGATGCTACCATGTCGTCCAGTATTTCTTATGTCTATATCCATCAATTTATTTCGTTATCCAGATCTACAAAAATACAACGTAACTACCGTTCACATATCTAAGGTACAGTAAACCTGTCTTGCAGAAAAAACACGGGCTCGAACATTGAGATCTACCTATCGCGACCTCAAGATGATATAATACAAGATGTGCCCCAAGAGCGTATGAAAATAATACAAAAACACCCATTTTCAAATCGAAAGAGCCAAACACCCAAATCCAAGGCCGCCCAATGCCTACTTCGACATCCACTTAGGCGCCGCCGACTTCCGTCCCGTCCTAGTGAACTCCTTATGCGCAAAGTCCCAACCCAACACCTTCGAAGATGACCGCCACTCTTCGGGGTTCTTCTTAATCTCCTTAGCCTGCTCCTCAAAGGCCCTGCGCAGATCGGTATCGGGCTCCTCGGCCTTGTGGGGTCCATCCTGCATCTTCTTTTGCATCTTGTTCTGCCATTTTTCGCTGGCGTCCCAAGAGCTCTTCTCCCATCTGTTTGAATTAAAGACGATTTGTTAGCAATGTACTCAATACCATCAATCGCATGCCGATCATGCACAAATTCCCTGCATAGAAAGAGATCACAGGGAAATACATACGGGCTGAGATCCTTCGGCTCCTCGGGGTACACGAAAGGCTCGCGAAGTTCAACGGTCATCCGCTTCTGCGCCTGCGGCCGCCGCCATGCACCAATATTGCGTCCATCTCGCGTCATACGAGTAATAGGCTGCTGCTCGATATAGCTGCGAACACTGACAACGCCGACACCATATAAGTTCTGGAGATAATCGCGCAGATCGAGCTTGTTGAAGTTGAGGGGGACGCGGAATTGGGCATAGCGGGGAGAGAGGAAGGGTGTTCGGACGAGGGAAATGACGAATTCAGGCCTGCATTGAACAATATTGTTAGTACTGGAGTTCCGAGCTAGAGGGTGAGGCTGTAGAGCCGTAGATTTGTCGGCGTTGATTCCAGGTCTCACGGATCTGAAATTTGATGCGGTGGTTTGGGAGAGGTTCGGAAGGGATTGACGTACAGAAAGACCTGCTTGCGCTGGGAGGGCGGCACGAAGGCATTCTTCGCCGCCTTGGGGATTGCGACTGCTCGGCGCACCATTGTGAAGATATGTGGTTGTTGGTTGGTGGTGGACGGAGATCGGACTGAGTTGCCTCGAGTATCTTTTGCGGGTTTCCAGATTGCGCTAGTGGCCGCATCGCCCGCCGTACATTTCGTCCACCAACGCCAAGACTTTGAGAGCATCCAGACATCCATCAGGAAACCTACAAAGATCTTGGAGTAGCTAATAGGCTAAGAATAGGTATGTATTGGTACAGAATTTACTATGCTTCTTTTCATGAGATGTTATTCAACAGTCGGTATAGCGACCTATGTTAGGGTAACATTCAATGGGCCCACCTATTGAGCCCTGACCATTTGATCCCGAAATATACTCGAGGCGCCAAACACTCTATTCAAACAAAGGGCCTCACTTTGTAACAAAACCGGCTTCATTTAATTCGGCTAATTCTGATCTATCAATTTGCGAAATCTCAAGAAATTGACCACCTAGATAACGCCTAGTTCCTCAATCCAGGTCGGTCTTCTAGAGAAATGGGATTGCTCTAGGTATGGGACAACATCTACCCATAGGAGGAAACCCATGTTCGAACTATCGAGATTTTGGAGGTGGTACAGTATTTGGACGCCATGGCTGATACTGATGACCACGTGAATCCAATTCCCGGTATGGTGTAGCTGGGCCATTATTGCGTACCCAAGTACTTGGCCTTGCGGATAAAGGGCGAGATGAACGTACCAATGGTAACTCTGGCTGCTGCTCTGCCTTTTGCTTTCCTCGGTATTCCGTCCACTTTCGATGGAAACGTGGGATAGCAATACCAGTAACGAATCCAAAGCAGTAGAAGCCGAAAGAAACAAGGTCCACGGAAGCTGACATGTTTACTAAACAGGTTAACAGATGGCAGTATGCAACAACAAAGAGCTTATATTACAGTCTATAGTCATCATTCGTGGTCATTAAAGCGCAATTTCAGATTTCGCTCATTGCCTGGATGACTCAGAGACTTGCAATGTCTCTAGGCGGTTAGAGCTCTCATCCACGTCGGCGCTGCTTTGTCCAGCTTGTTCCTGCTCTTCATCGTCATCATCTTCCTCCTCCTCTTCAGAGCCCTCCTCGTCATCATCCTCCTCCTCATCATCGAGATCATCCCGAGCAGCACCCGCATCTCCATCTGCACCGACTTCCTTCATATAAGTCTCCAGTTCGCGGGCCATCTTTCTCGAGAATCCAGATGCCTCAACTTCCACATCCAGTCGCTTGCCAGGGTTCTTCATGAAGTTTTTCTTGGCATCAGCAAAGAACGGACCGGGCGCGTCACTGACGAAATGGAACTTCCGTTGGAAGTACCGCTTGATACAATTGACATCCCGATCAAAGTACATCTCGGCATTAACATGATCAATGGAAACCATCTGTGGGAAATCAATAATAACCGGTTCCAGCCGGACATTCTCGTCAGACTCTTCGTCCGCGTTCACGCTAGCCTTTCCCTTGCCACTGGGGTCGGCAATCTCCTTGATCAGAATATTGAACTCGTTGAAATCACCATGAATAAGACCGAATCGTGCAAATTCCAGAATAATATCCATCAACTCTGAGTACAGCGCTTCGGGGTGGGGGACCTTGGAGATCTGACGGAGTGGGAAAGCATCGATCAATTCCATGACAATAGTATGCCTGTTCTGAGCAATGGGCTCGGGGACATTGAATCCGTTCTCTCGGAGCGCCTTCATAAAAGCAAACTCCTTCATGGCTGCCAGCCGCGACATGTACATCCAGGATCCCGAGTTTCGGTGTCGGAGGTAATCGCGATTCGTCTTGACGGTTCGGAAGGAGATACGACCGAGACGGTGAATTTTGAGGATGCGCTGAGATCCGCTGCTGTGTGCGACCACGACGATATCTGATTCCTTGCCCACACCAATTTGGTTGCCGACCGAGTAGACGACTTTTTGTTTCTGGTGCGCATTCAGCGCCAAGTAGTCGAGACCGCCGTAAGTGAGTCGGTATCCATCGTCTATAATTTTTGCAAAAGATTAGTCGTCTAGAAATAGATCCGATGCGATATGAGAAGGAATGGGCGTACACTTCGCGTTCTTGACCTTTGCGATCAGGTTCGTCTTGGCCAGGTTTGAGATAGACCGATGCACACCGCTGCCTCCACGGAGACCCGAGAGCTGAGAAATGAGGGGAGTAGGAACGACTTCATGGTTACGACTTCCAGCTTCCACCTAAACATGAGGGATCATGGTTAGTAAACTGAGCAGAGAGTATCGGAGATCATGGCGGGGTGGAGGGGTTGATAAGTACTCCTTGAAGCACTCTGAAATCCTCAGAGGTGAGGTAACGAAGAGCCTTGGCGTCGAGCTTCATATTGAGATGGTCTCAAATGAATAATAATCTCTGAAATATTTCAATCGTCAAGGGAAGCGCGTTATGCTTGGACTTAGACTTGAAAGGAAGATGCGGAGATAGAAAAAAGTGATAAGCTCATAGCCCTAAGCCCTATTTCCTATCTGGGACAGATATGGGTAAGTCCAGCAGTACCCTGGGTGAACAAATCAAGAGAAGTAGACTCAACTGCCTTTAAATGTTCAACAATGATTTACAGATATTTGGTCAAACTACATGGAGCATCACAATTATCGGGGTTTCATGTAAGATTCATCTTTTAATTTCAAGATAAAAAGCACGAGCCCCCAATGATCGAAAAGACGAAAAGATGTAGTAGTCTACAAGAGTTCCTAGTGGACGCAACCTGTCCCAGCCGGCCGTTATACCGATAAAACCAAATGCAAGGGAGGCAAAATATTCCATGCTATTCCTCAGTCGTTCTGAATACATTAGATCCGACGATAACCCGCCTATACTGGACCCGCTGGTGGCGGGGAATGGAGGTAGATCGGGAAACATCTCATTTAGTTTATTCGGGGGCTTCCCAATCGGGGTTCTGAATGTCTAGTTAGTATAATGATCAAATTTTTCAAGATGGTCAGTGACTTACCTTGCGCAGAATGACCAGACCCTCAAGGGTGCTGCTGAGAGGAAGATATTGTTCGTCCTCCAGCTCAGCTCTCTCACCGTAAGACAGGAGCACTGGTGTGCTCTGGGTTTGCCAGCCAGTGATAGTCTTGGGACGACCAGCCTGTCCGACAACATCCACGGCCTGACCCACCCGAACGTTAACGGTAACAGGTTGCAGGTCCTCGTCCAAGGTGACGAGGAAGCGAGGGAACATGGCGGTGATGAGGAAGTAGAGCAGGTAGTGGTGTTCGGCCAGGATGAATTGCTTAGCGTCAATCAAAGACACTAGAACAGTGAGCAGACCGGCGGCCGATACCCGTGAGAGAACTTGTCGGTCGGTGTGGAAGGGGTTGAGGGTCATGGTACCCTTGCCCATGTGCAGGAGACCTTGGGCGATGCGGACCATGAACAAGGAGTTCTGGTCACGGTGGTAGTAACTAGCCAATTGCCGCAGAAGCTGAGCCAGGCGGGCATTATTGGTACCGGCGCCGCAAAGACCCATGGCGAAAATGGCGTTGATGGCAACCTCATTGTCATTGTCGTGACTGTACCGAGACAAAGTATCGTAAACCTTCATCTGGGGGTTGCTAGGGCTGATGAGACCCATGGCAAGAGGGACGGCCCGACGAATGTTGCTGGAGCCGTAGTGCATGAGATGGCCGAACTGGCGGAGAATCATATCCTGACCGACATCCTCACCCATGGCAATGAGGGAGAGACCCAAAACGGCGTATGACTGAACAAGCTCGTCGCCCTTGTTCTCCTCCTTCTCTTCGATGATGTCATTGCAAATGTGCAAGAGCTCCTGGAGCTTGAGAACGGTGCCTGTACCGGCCCAGGCGCAAACAGAGGCAAGGACAGAAGTGGGCTTGGCCATGGGGTGGTCGACAGCCTTCAGGATGTCGAGGATGACATCGACTTCCTCTTGACGGCCGAAGTAGAGCAGTGCCAGACCCAGAGCCATGAAGCGGGTCCACTTGTCCTTCAGCTGCTTTTGACGCTCCTCATCCATTAACGTCGTGGCAATGGCCTCGCTAACCTGGTGATTTGATGATCCAACGAAAATGAGACCCAGCGAAACTGCGGCCATCGCAGAAAGCTGCATGTCCAGCGAAGCATCTTCCACAATTGGTAGCAGGATCTCCAGGAGCTCTTCCTTGTTGGAACCGGCATATGCTAGACCAAGACCCATAATGGAAGCGACACGCATTGGTACGTTCTTGGCCTCAAGGTTGTCTGGATCACTCAAGAGGGCAAGAGCAGGATCGGAGTCGAGACGAACACCCGAGTTCAAGATACCGATAGCGAGAAGCGCACCGGCTTTAACTTGGTCCTCCTGGGCATATGTGAACTTGTCGATCTTATCGAGTCCATCCTCAACGTCCCGGTGCAGCAACATACCCAAGGACGCAGTCGTCGAGAGCATACCGTCGTCCTTGGTCTTCCACACCCACGGCCCCTTCTCTCCCTCAACAAGCATCATCTTATCATTACCGAAACCGGCGTTGACGAACGAGTTGACGAAGGCACTAGCCAAGTTGTGTCGTGCCGAATCAAGGTTGGTGAGACCAGCACCACGGCTGTTCTCCAAATGTGTCTTGTAAATATCTTCGGGCATCTTGGGGTCCAAGATGTTGAGCTCCTTTCCGAGGGACTTGAAGTGCTTCGGGATAGAGGTGTTGTTCAGGCAGTCGTTGAGAGCCTCGTCTTCCTCATCCTCGGCAGGCAAGTCAAGCCAGATCTGCTGCCGTGAGACCAGGAATGCCATCTGCTTCTTAAGAGCTTTATCCTCAGTAGCATTGATGTCGCTCTTAATGAGGTCGATGTCGTTCAGTCGGATAGCAAGCACGATGGCTTGGGAGAGTTTGTTGTAGCGAACATAAATCTCGTGGGCGGTGCGGAGGAACTGCTGGTCTTCGGGATAGGTCAGGAGATTGACCATGCTGACCATATACAAGCAGACACGAGAGTATGTGTTCTCGTCCACGAATCGTGGAATCTCTTCGATGATTTCCATCTCGCTCAGCAGGTCAACAGCATCGGCCTCGGCGTTGTGAGTCAGGAAGTAGGGGACCAGCGAGAGTACAAGGTCCAACAGATCCTGTGTTTCCTTCTCCGCGTTCAATCGGTTCTGATATTCTTGCCCGATCTCAAGCGCCAAGTGTCGGATATATTCGTGACCCCATGAGCCAAGGTCTTCCGACTTGGCCAACAGGCGGTACTTGAGTGTCTCTAGCTTCTCCTCGTCACCGTAAGTCATACCGAGCACAGAGAGCATATCGGCCAGCGAGTCCTATAACGAGAAGAGGAGATGTTAGCTCTGATAGCTCATAAATCTGACCAAGATTGCCCAAGCCTACCTTGACAGGGCCCGCTGCCCACTTCTCGTACAGCTCTGTAAGCTCGTCATAATGCGGTCGGAGGAATTTGAGAGGCTTGGGAACGGCGGTCATGGAGGATGTTGAGGTTTTGATGAAGTTCTTGATGGCGTCCAAAGCAGGTGCGTAAAGGGAGGTGTCCGGCTCCTATTGCGAACAGTTGTTAGCACTAACGTCCATCGAGAGCATCACGCTGGGGCATACGATTCATCATACCTTTAGCCGCTCAACAAGCATCTCAAGCTCATCTTTCAGTTGTTGATCCTCCTCGCTAAGCTCATCTTGAATACAATCAGCATTTGATCCAAATACCAAGGACGAGCCGCAGATGCCACAGGCTCTGTGCTCCGAATCCCGGTGCAACGTGCTCAACACAACCTACCTTCCTGAGGCTCCTCATCCTTCTTCTTGCCCTCGGCAGGGGCCTTCTCATCCTTCTGCGGCTTCTTGCCGTTCAACTCGCGAACATCATCAACTTTGCCCTTGCCCTTGTCGGCGGAGGTTGGCCGATCGCCCTCGTTCGCCATCTCTGACGGTATCTGGCGAACAGGTCGGTGTGGAATCGGAGGCGTGTAGCAAAGTTTCAAGGGTGAAAAAGCGAGGTTTGCAGCGACTCAATGAGAGAAAGGGATAGAGTCTTGCAGATGGCGGGTGATGCGGTGGATTGTAAGCTGGTTGATGGAAGCGCAGAGAGCTCGGGCTGGTGCAGCTCCCGGATTATGTAATTACGCCAAGCCCTCGTCATTGTTTTGTCTGGATGGGGTGTCCGCTGACCAACGTCGCAGCATGATAATTAACTAGTAATTAACTAGTAAATACCTCGCCCTGGACAAACGAAATTTAAGGATTCTACAGGCATTGGTACTTCAAACTAAGGATAGTCTTGATGGACATCATCAACAGCTGATGTCACAATTCGTATCTCTACATTATGACAACAAATTGCAAGATTGAAAGATACTACGTCCACAGATCATTCTTTTCGACAGAATAGATACGCAGAGGGATCCTCAACCAAGTCATCTTGTGAGCAACCTCCGTATCGAACCCGGAAGTTCTTAGCATATTCCACGGTCCGCTGCTGAAGCATTTCCTCTGTCAACCGCTCTGCATCATAAGATACCAATGGAATCCGCCCAAGGAACGAATGCCCCAGCTCAAATGTGTCAAGTAGAGGCATGATGGTATGCGCACGGGCAACTGGCTTCTCTGCCAACAGCTCCTCAATACTGTCGGACTGTTTGAGGCCTGGCTCATGAGCGAATTCCTCTGGAGGATGATAGAGATCTGTATGTACGGTGGCCAAAGGTGAGGCCGTCCGCCCTGGAAACGATGGATAGATCATATAGTATCCTTTGGCTCTCATCATCTCAAGTAAATATTCCATAAAAGCTGGATATTTAGTAGAAATGAGCTTGTCCTGGGAGGGAATATTGATCACTGCCTCCGAGACGGCCAAACGACTGGAAACGAACGTGTGGAATTCGGCCCATTTGTCTCCAAAGTATAGTGCCGCATTGCTGTTTGGCGCTTGCCAGAGGAAAGACGGAATGTGTTTTTGCTTGGTGTTTTGAGTCTGATCCGAAGACTGCGGTACTGGTGGAGCGAAAGCCTCACTCTGGGAGGTAGGCTTCGCAGATGGCAGGTCTAGAGAAATTCCCAAGAGCTCGGATCCCTCCTGCTGCGCACGAGCAGACTGCTTGTAAAATAGAATACTGTACTTGAGGTAGTGGTAGAATGACGGCGCCAGCTCCGTCTGGGGAGACAACATGAGTAAGTGCGACAGTTTCGGGTTTAACGGGTAGAAGCTTTCCACGGTGCGAAGAGAAGACTCGACCGGGCCCATGTAATGGGGCTGAATGCGTCGCCGCAAGGTGATGCGCCCTTTCAGTTGAGACAAGCCATTCAAACTTTGCAAGCTACCCAGTAAATTTGCGTCGACCCAGGGAGGTAGCTCGATAGTCAAGCTGGGCTTCGTACCCAGATAATCGGCGCCATCCAATGATCGAATTAGTCGAATGAGGGAGCTTGAGTATTCGGATGCATGGACCACCATGTCGACGCGGACATCGTTCCAGACTGGTGGAGAGTCAGTATTTCAAATCATCTTTAACGGTTGCGAGATCGAGAGACTTGCCTTGAAGGGCGGTGCTATCAATGTGCGCCATCCACATAAGATTGATCGAGGGAGCAGGAAGCACAATATGAGGAGTACCCGACGCCCTTTTATGTCCTTCAACCCCATTCCAGAAGAAGGGTTCTTCCCAGTTCAGACCCTGCGTGATTATGACCTCTGGGCCGATGAACGCCTGAAGGACCTCAAAACCACCTGCAACCGACTGCTCCAGGCGGGCAGGAGTAGATTCGGATGCGCGGTCCGGTCGGCTATCTGTTTTAAGGCATCAATATCTATGATATCCAGGGTTTTTGATCAGAAATAGAAATCGTACCATGCCAAGTTATTGGGCATTCGGGGTCGCGGATCCCGTTCACTTGTTTAATGCCCTCAATGGACACGTCCTCTTTCCCCATCAAGACAAAATGCACATGATTGAGCCGCTTCACAGCCATTCCACAGGCCAAGGGCAGCATATCTGAAACACTATGAAGGCTTGCTGCAGCAAACATCACCGCCTCGCTAGCCAGTGTTGCCGGGCGTTGTTTGCGAGGGAGCGACTGGGCCAACTCGTAGAAATGGATCTTCCCATCGTATAGGGGCTGCTCATCGGATTCCTTATGGTTTATCTCTGCCTTTGGTGGAACCTGAACCTTTGGCGCTGTAGGAGACTGCACCGATCCTGGAGGCGGCCTAGGATTTTGGTGTTTAAGCGCCGCGATCTTGGGATTGTATCGTTCTGCGGCGGGAGTCAAGCCCGTGGGCATGTGCTTGAAAAACTCGTACACAAGGAAAAGAGCAATGAGCACTACTATTACCCGCCGGAGACGAGGTATACTTGAGCGTCGAAGGGGGCGAAAGCGCGTTTGATCGGAAACTCGGTGATCATCGTCCTTCTTGCCACGCTCCTCATCGGTCCGCAAGGACATCTTTGTAGGCGCCATAGTGTGTAGACACAGGCGCCGTAGTATCCCGACGCCTTGACTGTAGCATTGAAATAAGAATAATGCTCAGTTCAACTGCTTGAGTTGCGGCCAGCGTGAGCAGGTCGGTAACTTGAGGAGATTCAATTAAGCTAAAGGAGAGTCTCCACCAACAATGATACCCGCAGCGCTTATCGCCTTTATCGCCTCGTCAGAGCTCGCGTTTCTTCTCCACGCCACGAGTCGAACACGCGACGCACCATCTACCTCACCATGGCGGGCGAGATGGATGTTGATGTCCCTGAGCAGCGGGGCGAAAAGCGCCCAGTGGAGGAGACAGACGTGTCTGGGCCCCCGAAACCGAAGCGAATCAAGGTAGGACTCCTGATTGCCAGGCTGCCAACAATACATGCGATCATCCTTAAGCTAACTGAGCTCTGAAGGCTCTAGATCCCGACGTTGTCAATAAAATCGCTGCTGGAGAAATCATTGTTGCGCCCATGCATGCACTGAAGGAGTTGATTGAAAATGCCGTGGATGCGGGATCAACGTCGATCGAGGTTCTTGTCAAGGATGGTGGGCTGAAGCTACTACAAATTACGGACAATGGACACGGCATTGACGTGGGTTGACCAAGCCTCGGTACACCGAATAGACCAAGGAGATTCAGAATGCTGACGTACTTTAGCGCGAGGATCTTCCTATTCTCTGCGAACGATTCACGACGTCCAAACTCAAGGAATTCGAGGACCTCACTTCTATCGGGACATACGGTTTCCGCGGCGAAGCATTGGCAAGCATCAGTCATATTGCCCACTTGACGGTTACAACGAAGACGGCTGGATCGAGCTGTGCCTGGAGAGCACATTACGGTGATGGGAAGCTGGTCCCGGCCAAGCCAGGCCAACCTGCTGCCCCGAAAGCTACAGCTGGACGAGGAGGCACGCAAATAACCGTGAGTGTTGGCTTAGCTAGTCGAGGGGAACCAATGGATCTGACGAAGATACTAGGTTGAGGATCTTTTCTACAACGTCCCTACTCGCCGTCGCGCCTTTCGCTCAGCGAGTGAAGAGTATGCCAAGATCCTCGACGTGGTAGGCAGATATGCGGTACATTGTGCCGGAGTCGCTTTCTCGTGTCGCAAGCATGGCGACTCGGGGGTCAGCGTCTCGACTCCGTCGGCTGCGAATACTATTGATCGGATTCGCCAAATTCACGGTAGTGCGGTTGCCAACGAGTTGGTCGAGTACAAGGTTTCTAATGATAAACTTGGCTTCCGTGCCTCGGGTCTTGCTACGAACGCCAACTACCACGTTAAGAAAACTACTATTCTTCTTTTCATCAACCACAGAGCGGTCGAATCGACGGCCATCAAACGAGCCATGGAACAGACATACTCTGCCTTCTTGCCTAAAGGCGGTCATCCTTTCGTGTATCTCGACCTAGAGATTGAGCCCAACCGTGTCGATGTCAATGTCCACCCGACGAAGAGGGAGGTTAATTTCCTAAATGAGGATGAGATCATCGAGATGGTCTGTGACGAAATTAGATCCAAGCTAGCTCAAGTCGACTCGAGCCGCACCTTCCTCACACAAAGTCTTCTACCTGGCGTGCAGACCATCGAAACACTTCAACAGTTACCCAAAGATGACGCCACGGAAGGAAATGCAGGAGCTACCCCCAAGACCCCTGCACCAACCAAGCGCCCATATGAAAACAATCTGGTCCGAACGGACTCTAAAATCCGCAAAATCACCTCTATGCTCACTCCAGCTCCTATCCCATCACCTTCTGGCCCGGGGGTATCCACCGAACCCGGCATCCCCCAACCACCCATTCAAGACGACGGACTCCAGTACGAGATCACAGATCGTCAACCACTCCGCATCGCCTTAACATCCGTCAAAAATCTCCGCAGCGCCGTGCGCGCCACCATGCACAACACCTTAACCGAAATGTTCGCATCGCACACATACGTCGGCCTCGTGGACGAGCGAAGACGTCTCGTAGCCATCCAATCCGGCGTGAAACTCTACCTAGTAGACTACGGGCTCACATGCAACGAATTCTTCTACCAAGTCGGACTAACAGACTTTGGAAACTTTGGCGAGATCAAGCTAGATCCACCTCCAAAGCTGGTCGATCTACTGCAAATCGCAGTTGACGCCGAGAAAGAGGAACAAGCGGATGGAAATAACCCCGAAGCTGCGAAGATTCTGGCTAATGCCGCCGAACTAATATCCCGTACTCTGGTCGAGCGACGGGAGATGCTTGACGAGTACTTTTCAATGAAGGTCAGTGAAGAAGGGGAGTTGCTTACACTCCCGCTGCTATTGAAAGGCTACGTTCCGTCTCTAGCGAAGCTACCGCGCTTCCTACTCCGTCTAGGTCCGTACGTGGACTGGACCGGTGAGGAGGAGTGCTTCCGCACGTTCCTGCGTGAGCTGGCTGCTTTCTATACACCGGAGCAACTCCCTGTGCTTCCGTCACCGCCATCAAATGATCATCCGGCCCATTTGAACGACGAGACGGGGCAAGAAGTGCCCCAAACCAATGAAGACAGCACAGTGGCAGGGAACGAAGACCCATTGATCCAGGCACGCCGGACACAGATGATGCGAATGTTGGAGTATGCTGTATTCCCTGCCATTCGCTCTCGACTGGTCGCCACATCACGGATGCTCAAGGGAGTTGTCGAGGTTGCCGATCTGAAGGGTCTTTACAGAGTTTTTGAGCGATGTTGAACATCCCAAACAAACCTGTTACGAACCATAGACTTATCAGTTTACAAATACAAGATGAGATACAACTCGAGAAGAAGACCAAGTTAAACTCCAAACCCCTGGATAGAATTCAAAATAAGATAGATCCCGTAGTCACGGTCATCGACCATACCTGTCCTGTCCCGTACTCAATAACACATATGATCCTAATCCAGTACAAGAGATAACAAAATGAGAAGGTGTCAACAAAATGCGGTGTCGCTATGGCACAGAGTTCTAAATGGACCATAAAATTCGCCCACAAACCCCATGTCAATATGGATGATCGCCCGAAATTCTGAGTCTTGACAAGCTGAAGTGAAATGAAGAACAAACAGAATCCACAAGTCAAAGCCGGAAAGGTGTAATGGCGATGAATCGAAAGAATCCCAGAAGAAATGAAGAGGTAAAAAGGGCGGGTGACCCCGACATGTTGGAAATGAAAATTGCCATGGTGGAACATGATGATGATAGTCATGGCGAGAAAGGGTCAAAGTAAAGAATAGCGTGCACTCGTCAATCCATGTTGTTGTTGTAGTTGGGATCCTCCCTGTCATCTCATCCGATAAATATGACCCGTAACGCCCAGCGCCAAAACTCAAGTACGAATCAATCAACAAGTCATCCGTCATTCAGAAAGTCGTGTTTCAAATCATTCAAACATCAAAAAGGAGAAAAATTCCCACATGGCCAGTCAGGAATCGAAAGGTAAAGGTATGATGGAAATCTGCCATGCATAGCGTGAAGGCGAGAATCGCCACGGTAAACGAGAAACGGATAAAGTATACCGAGACCGAGCACATCGAGTAAGAGCTTGTCGTAGTGTATGCAAGACTCCAAGGGAGAAAGGAGAAGGTAGGAGGGTAGTGTTGGTGCCGTCTATTAGGTTCTCGAGTACGGCTTGTTGAGGAGGGCAATCTCACGCGAGACAGTTGCCCATTCCAACTCTCGTTTTGAGGGGATGCCGCGCTTTTGCTTTTGCAGCTGTTCCCACTGCAGAAGCTCGTAGCTGGTTTCTGTCAGCGATGACGAAGTGAAGGGAGGGGTGGGTGGACTTACACAAATCGAAGGTGAGGCTGAATGATTACGTTTAAACGTCTAGCCCGGACAAAGCAACTAAGTGGAAGGTCAGACGGTGGAGACTTTTAACAAAGAGGGGCAGGGGAAAACATACTAAGCACGAGGGAAAGACAGCCCTTGCGAGGCCATCACCTCCGCGATGCAGATACTGGCGGATCTGGATACACCCACGCGACAGTGAACCAAGGTCGCAGTTCCGTCGCTCTTTCCTTTGCCTGACACACTGTCAGTACTAAACCCAAAGCAAACGACCTGGACAGGCCAGGGCCCAGCCTGTCCAGAGAACCATGTCAACTTACCAATAAACTCCAGGCACCGATCTATCTCCTCTGACAACGGGTCGATGCCGTTATCCTGCACATTATGAATGAACATCAAGTTGTCAGTACCCCACTTGGAGCGTTCCTCAAGGCTCCAGTTAACAGCCTCGCCGATACTCAAAACACGTCGGATGCCGAGCTCCCGCAGCAAGTCCGGGTTATTCGCATGGTTGAGATTTCCCAGATACAGGTACGGCAGGATCCGGCTGGGGAGGGATCCGTCCATCTTCAAGAACCAGTCAGGATCCCAAATACACGAGGTGTCGATGGACCGCGAGGCAGGACTTTCCTGCAGCAGGCGCGGCTGAATGTGACTCAGAAATGCGACATCGGTTGGGTATGTAAAGAAGTTGCGCTTTTTGTTACAATGAAGCTGGAGCCAAGCCTCCGGTGCAGGAACTCCCTCGGCAAACATGTAATATGCGACAGCAAGCAGCGAGCTCTCAGTGTATCCATCAGCACAGTGGATCAACACTCGGCGGGGTTTCTTGCCAGCGTGAGTCATGGCGACATCGCCTTCGCGATCAGCCACCTCGGCGGGCTGTTCTGGGTTCGCCAGATAATAGATCCAGCGGATCGTGTTTACGATATCCTCCACTTCGCGGGTATTGCCCGAGGGAAGAACAATCGAACCTGATGAGGGGAACTCCATACGCTGGGTGCCACCTTCCAGCTGCTTGTCCATCATGCCCAAGAAACGAGGGCCTGGAATATTGGCCAGATCGCTGGCCTCAATCAGAAGATCGTAGGTCTTCTCCTTCGGCGGCTGACATGTGCCAGGCCTCAGTATGTACTCTGGAGTGGGTCCGAGGAAGACATTGGCAGATATCTCTGATGCTCGGGACATGCTGCACATTTCAAGACGCTCCCATTGGACTGACAACTAGTAAGCATGGGACTTCCGAGCTCGTATTGTGAAAGTTTAACTTACAAAAGTCCATGACTTGGCCTGTACTATGGCCGTTAGAGTCGATGGCCACCATGCTGGGGCATTTCTTTTCAAAGTCGGCAAAGCTACCTGTACCGGATGTGAGTTGAGTGAACCTTGCCCAATACAGAGACAGAGCGACTTACTCGTTAAGACAAAGGTGTTGTATGCTGGGCGCTCCTGGGCGGGGTCATTCTTCAATCTCCAGGCCTGCTGGGCTGTGACAAAATCCTCCGCCAGCGCAAGCAACTCGGATCTACTCGCTCCATCTTCGGCATAGACAACAATATCTGACATGGCAGCCAATTTGGCTGTCTGGATATGGAAGTTCCGAACCGAGAATCCCTCTGGTGGATCGGACATCAAGAAACGTGCCGATGGAGTGATCACTTCCTGGGCAGTCACAGCACCCTTGATGCGCGCCTTAGTCAGGTCACCGCCAAGCTTGACCACAGTGATGCCGCGCCAGCATTTCGGCGCTCGGCGCGCGGAGCGTTTGCGACTGGAAAAGAAGCCCAACTGCAGGTGGTTATCTGGATGCAGACCATGCAGCCAGGGGAACATTTGCGATGGATCTGGTAGGGGCTGCGCCGCCTGATGATTGAGCGCGGCGGCCAGTGTCTCGCCATCGAGGGCATATACCGTTGGTGACGGCAGGCGTGAGAGACGCACAAAGCCCTCTGGAGGGTACAAAAGAGAGGATGTCTGTTCATTGGTCATTCGGAGTCCCAGTGACTCCTGGGAGGCCGATTCCGATGGTGAGGGCCCAGTTGGGCAGACGGGAAGATGCTTGTTCGGGATTGGGCTAGTTCGGCGGGGGATGGCGAGTGCTGTGGGAATGGGTGAAGGCGGCGGAGTCGAATGCTGCAGCGCATGCTGCTGTTGAACCACGACAGTCGCCATGATGGGAAGGGGCGGGCCGAAGGCGCAGAGTGGGTAATCGCAAGTGGACGGAGGGTCTTATTGTATGAGGGTTCGGCAGCCAGAGATCAGGCGAATCGCCGATCACATCATTTGTGAGTGTTGGGTACTAATGGGTGAACGAGTGGGAGAGATAAGGCTCTCAGTTGAGTCGCAAGAAGCGGGCTTGGTTCTGCGATGGGGTCTTATTAGAGACAACCCAGGAGTATCGCCAGATCGGGATTTCGAAGAAGAGGAGAGCCGAGGGATTGTGTGAGAATGTGAAGGTGTGAAGGGGGCCGGCCAATACAGTGCACAGTCATACGACGTGAGAGATAAGGGCACCAGCAAGGGGCCAGGAATGAGTCGGAGGGACAGAACAACGAGGGTGGGGGAAATGGGAACAATGACTATAGGGAGGAAGAGACCACTGACATAGATTTTGATGGAATTTGTAGCAAGAGAGTAAAGTGAGAGCAGGAAGAAGAGGGGAGGATAGCAAGATGGGTGGTAAAGTGGAAGTGGAAGTGGACGTGTGTTGAGGTACAACGGATACCCCAGCGGGATGTACCTCCAAAGTTCCACAATGAACTCAAGTTAAGAGAGGGTAATTACCCTGGATGGTATTACACACTTTAATACTTTACGTACTAATCTAGTATCTAGAGTCATGTCCAATCACTTCAGGATCTGATAGATAGATTAGTTTCACTATGAGGAGAGCCTCGTATCAATTGATTATCTTCTCCTCTCTGATTATCATCATCATCATCATCACTTATCATCGTCGTCATCGTCTCCCCCGGGTCCCGCCCATGGCTGGCTCCATTCAGAGGTCCCCACTCCTCTCCACACCATAAACTCGACTAACTCGACCGGATGATTACCTACAGTAGCACTCAGTCACTAAGGTTGCAGGAGTAGCTATTGTAGCTAGAATACTTATTGAAGTACTAAGAATATCAATGCTCACGGTCCAGAGGATTGTTGGACAATGGCGCAGTCCCTGACTAGATCGATCGGGACCATCACCAATAGTACCGTATACCAGCTACTAAGTACATACTTCCAAATACTCCAGACTCTCCACTCCATAAGGTTATGCACCCTTCAAATTCTTTGTGGGACTCCTAACCAAAAGTACTTCTTCTTCCCCCCTCCAATTGTCCATGTACCACCCCTTGCTTGGCCAATCATCCCAAGCCAACCATCTCCCCTCCCTTTTCCGATGACGCTGAGATTGCTAACTTCCGGCCTTTCCCCTCCTCCCCCGATCCAGTCCCTATCTTTCCCCCCCCTCCTTCGTTCGAGGCCCAGCTGGTCGCGTCTGTGCGTCCGGGGCCACTACTCCAGCCTGCCTCCACTTTTCCTTCTCTCCTCTTCTTCTTGTCGACTCGTGGCGCCAACAAAGGAAAGAGTCCCCCGCACATAACTAGCCCCGCGCTAGTTCTGCTACTGGCGCTGGTTCCATTACAAGTCCCGGGCACTACATCGTTGACCAAGATCCACCCTCCTTGGAAATCTCACGCCTCGGGCATGCCTACATAACTGTACAGGATGTACGTACCCTCTGACACTACCACCACTCTCGATGGCGGACATGCTTTCCCCCCGAGACCCGTGGATGGACGCTGAAACTCAATTTGCGCGCGTGCTCTCTGATTCACCGGACAACAACGGCGATAACGATATGATATCTGGATAGTGAACAGTTGGTTACTGATATGGTTTGGATTTGGGTGGATACGTATTTCGACCAGCGAGTTATGCTTCCTGCGACCGGGGAAATGGAGTACTACTTCCCGGCGTTACGACATAACATGACCATCGAGGCAAAAAAAAAACTCTCCTCTCAACTCAACTCATTCCAACTCACCACTAGGATCCAGACCGGTTTCAAGATGGCCCAAGGAGCTGGGGCTCTCACCCCGGATCGCCAATGCGATCCACTCTACCCCAAGTGGGGGTCGTGATATGCGTGGAATTATTTCAACGTCTTGTCTGTCTTGCGACCGGGGCGTTTGGAAGACAGTCTCGAAGGCTACGAGAGCGTGCAGTAGAATATGATGCGAAATTCATGTCATGAAGGTATTCACATTAAGATCTCCTATTTCTAACTGAGACAAGGTATGTCTGAAGCTGGTAGCAGCCCAAAGTAGCTCCAACAGCTGTTGTCCCAAGTGGCACTGCAGGAAGGGGGGCTTATCGGGCCAACCTTGAGCCAGAAACACTATTTACCTTGTACCACGCCTGTTCAAGGCTACAAGGCTACCATATCGTAATAATGTCCTATAGTTGAATCCTTCCATCCGTATTTCCCTTCTTTCTGTAGCGCTTACTATCCCAACCACACTTCAGCTGACCCGTCAAGCCCTGCCAAGCCCATCATTCCCACTGTCCTTCCCTCCTTCGTCCCCATCATCCAAACCAATGTTTTCCCAAAACGTGTCAAACATCATACTTATTGGTCAACTCATTACAACCCCTGCGCCATCACAAACAAAAAGCGGGCCCTGCCCGGTTGAGACTTTACAACAACCTGGCAACCCCGCCACCGATCCTCGGTTATAGTGCGGCAAGCATGTCATATACGTAGTCGATCCCGGTGATCCGTATCGCGTTTGCTCACATATAGCGAACAGGATATTGAGCCGTTTGCCGTCTCGGACTGGGCGAAGGATGCTGGTCACATCATCCGGGAATGACCCGTCCAGTCTCAGTCTGCTATTGCATCTTGGACTTGTCAACTGATCAACAGTGTTTTCTTTGTCTCGAGGTAAGTGGCAAGGGTCGGTGAGTACTCAATTCGGAATTGGATAGAATCTATGAGTATCAAACTCAGGCAACGTATAAACTAACAGTACTGTAACCAACACGCGAGTGGCAACTAATGCCCATCCTCCCTTACCGGGATCATGTATCCGGGAAGACTCAGACTGATGATCTCTTTTACTACAGTGAAGTTCTTGCGCATCTTGCGGGCCGCTGGGTGGTTGCTTCGCCGAGATCAATCCAGGAACTGGCAGCGACCTGCATGAACATCGTCAAGGAGAATGCCCAAGACCTTTACTTTGACTCGCAAAGTTCTGGCGTTCCTGCTACGGTTCCGAATCCACTTGTCTGCCCCGAGAAAACATAGAACAGGAGCGCTATATTATCATAGCCAATCAGCCTGAAGCTTCGAAAGATGGCAACACGTCGCCGAAGTCATAGGTTGGCGAAAACGGGCCATACAGCAGCTACCCGGATCACGCGACACACATACCGGGCAAACACCCGGGTATCTAACAACGCTTTGCTGGTCACTGTCGACTGTCTAGGCGATATGGCTGGCGAGTCATGATCTAGGGGCAATAACAACGCTATCAACTCACGTGGTACTTATATTAATTAGCCAATACCCCGGGGGACTTCGATGATTTTCATGGTTCCTTCTTCTTTGGTATCAGGATTTTTGTCACCTGGGACCACGGAGCGAGCCAAAGTCCAGTCCACCCACTTCCAACCTGTCCGTCTTGCCAATCATATTTAACGGCGAGTCCCAAGATTCACCAATCGACATGGAAACATCCCAGCCTTGCTTCTCATTGGCAGTGCAAAGAGACAAGTCATATGAGACGACGTTGGCATTGAATTTGTCCCCGCAAGTCCGCATACCAGGATAGCTACTGAAACAACCTAAGCGAGACGTCAGCGGCGCCGTACCTGAAACATGACTGGGGAAGTTGAGTACAAATATGACAGGTATTATCACTGGTGTAACCAACAGTTGGAGAGGAGGTGTATTGGCGTACCTGCTGTAGTAGTGTGGAAAGAGATGGCCTTCTTCGTGTCCTTTCATGGATGTGATAGTATGGCATATCTGGGTGGAGAAATCACGCAAGAGATACCACGCGATGTTATGAAGTTCTAGAATTTTTTCTTAGGATAGCTTAAAGATATCAAGTCGTAGAAGGTGAATACATCTGTTCTATCATAGGTGCCATGACTTCCGAGTGGGCAATTGCTACCAGCGCCTAGAAGCTAAGAAGCTTGTACATGAAGCATTGACCAGTTTTGCATGAATGCTCCGTCCTAATTTCACTAACTCTAAGCGATGTATGTAGGGGTTCGCGTGGAGATAACCTCGATAGGTAAGGACGGTCCCAATCTCTAGTCTCCTCGGCGGCTTAAGTGATATACTCAGGCACGGGCCTAGCTTTCTTTTGATGGATCCTGAAACTAAACACGCGCCTGATTCCCTTACTCCCATCGATGGGTATGATTCAGTCAGAATTCCCCAGGTCAGCCTACATGGATGATACTGGATCGCTACATGGAGGAATGAATCAGTATCAGTTCGGGGCAAGTTCAACGACATGAACTTATCCCTCGCTTCTTCGTCGAGCTACTCTTTAACAATAACCAAGCATGATCTGATGCACCGCCACAAGATTCCCGTGACTCCTCAATATTTTGGGTGGGATTTGGCGATAGATCGTGCCTCGGCACTTTTGAGTGATACATTGATGGCTAGTAAGGAGTAAGTAAGAACAGTCAACAAACCTACCTTATCACTTACCATACCGTGGAAATCGTTCAGACATTTATCCGTAGCAGCACCACTCTCTCTTTCAACGAGACTGTCATTGAGATCCTAGCCACGATGATGTCGCAGACGCGCAGCTGAGGAGAAAAGGACGATAAGGGAACAGCGATAAGGAAATTGGAGGCGGTGGAGAATCAAGGTGTGGCCCAAGCGCCTCGGCCAACTCGCTTGCGACGACGAAGGTTCTTTCTTCAGACATCTTCTGCTTCTCCTTTTTGGTTTCCTCGCTGCGACAAGTCCCGAAGCTGTGTGAGCGATGATACACAGTCACCAGCGACGGGCGACCGACTCATAGCTGGCACAGCCCCCAACCTCCCGTCGCGCTATCTCCAAGCGGGGTACGATACACCCCCTCTGCGGCGCTTGCATCTAACCTCCGGTGACACCATACCTATCAGCCAAGATGGCGATGAATTTTGTGACCTTCAACCAGGACTACAGCTATTTGGCTGTCGGTGAGCATCCCAGTGGCCTCATCAAATGCGCGGAATGTGCGAGTTCCTGGCCTCTTACTGACGTCAGCCAGCCACCTCCAAAGGTTTCCGCATATTTACGACCGATCCGTTCGCCAAGAGCTATGAAACGAAAGAAGGGAATATCGCCGTGATTGAGATGCTCTTTTCCACCTCTCTAGTCGCTCTCATCCTTTCCCCGAGACGATTACAGATCACGAACACCAAGGTCCGTTCGGAGCCGGCGCATGCAAGGCACCACTCTAAGTACCATGTGGGAGAAAAGCTTGAATCAGCCTGTCTGATTAATTTCGTTTCTTGAGCAGCGTCAAAGCACGATATGTGAATTAACATTTCCGACCACGGTCCTTTCCGTGAAGTTGAATCGGAAACGCCTGGTCATCGTGCTCGAAGATCAAATCTACCTTTATGACATTCAGACAATGGGGCTATTGTCCACGATTGATACCTCGCCAAACCCGCATGGTATGCTGCCGCCGTATCTCTTGTGTCCTGTGAACATTTTTAATAATGCATACCAGCTATCTGTGCTTTGGCGCCATCGTCGGACAATTGTTACATGGCATACCCTCTGCCCCAAAAGGCCCCTGCCACCGTCAAACAACCTGCGCATGCGCCCCCGGGCACATCACACGTTTCACCTACGACTGGCGACGTCCTGATATTCGATGCGGTAAAGCTAGAAGCTATCAACGTTATCGAAGCGCATCGTTCTCCTCTGGCCTGTATCACACTCAACAGTGATGGCACGTTACTCGCAACTGCCTCGGACAAAGGCACCATCATTCGTGTTTTCTCTGTCCCAGATGGTCACAAACTATACCAATTCCGACGTGGATCCATGCCTTCCCGGATCTACAGCATGTCTTTCAACACCACATCCACCCTTCTCTGCGTCTCCTCATCCACTGAGACCATCCATCTGTTCAAGCTGACCCAGCAAGGCCCTTCCTCAGATGCATCGTCTGCCCACTCTCCAGTGGGGCGCGACTCCCACTCCGGGGCCGGCCCTTTTGGACAGCAGGACGATGATGAGTTTGGTGGCGAGAGCAATTCAGAGTTGGCAGCTAGGAAGCACAACGGCACGTTGATGGGCATAATTCGTCGGACATCTCAAAATGTTGGTGGAGCAGTTGCAGCGAGGGTGGGTGGATATCTTCCCAAGGGAGTCAGTGAGATGTGGGAACCCACACGTGACTTTGCGTGGTTCAAGCTGCCTCGGTCAAATCAGAGCGCAGGTGGAAACGGCAACACCGGTCCGCTGAGGAGTGTTGTTGCTATGAGTAGCAATACTCCTCAGGTGATGGTAGTCACCAGTGATGGAAACTTTTACGTTTTCAATATCGATTTGTCTAAAGGTGGAGAGGGGACTCTCACCAAGCAATACTCGTAAGTCTACAAAGCTATGCATCTGATTTCTTTTAGTTGTGTTGACCTTGAGTGCAGAGTCATCGATTCCAATGACAGGCTCGGATACCCTGCGGTGGACTACTGAGTACAGGCTTTTTCTCTTTTGCTTTCCAATGTGAACCTCTTCAGGGTTCCCTCGCGCAAAATATGTTTGCTTCATCTATGATGTGTCCAATACCTCATGAAAGTCTGCTGCACTCAACACTTAGAAAGTCAACCTTGGACCGAAGCAAAAGAGAGCCTTGTACTCAACGATCCATCTAAAGTGCGTTTATCCCCCGATTAGGTGCTACTGATCATCTTTCTACCTCCCGTGGACCATAAACCATCATTCATACTTGGATCGCTTCAACTCTCTGCTCTTACTCTTGTTTACTGCCACTATTCCCCTCGTTACAAGCGCTAGCGTTTCACATTCTCTTTTTTGGCGTTATCAACTATGCTTCGGATCTCGTGATATTTGGCAGTTGGCGGATCGTGTCTTTACCTGGAGGCTGGTAGCGTTACCCTGCGTGATATCTATTACCTGGAAATGAACTTGTGCCTTTTGAGCACATCGACGTGCATAAAGATCAAGGATACGTAAAGACCAAGAAGACTTACTGTCAAGCTATCAATCTCTAGACGGAGAGAGTTGCTTGTAGTCTAATAGCTGCACTGGAACGAACTGACCTCATCACCCTGAGCTCTTGAATTCATAATGAGGGGGTTCACAAGATAGCATCCCAGTAGCACCATCATCTCATCTGAGCCATCGAAACTTTTCGAGGGCTTTGCATTGAGGTCTTTAACGTAGAAAGACAGAAAGGTAGTCGTGTTGTATCATCATTAGTGAAATGAAACCGAATACTGGTATGAAGAAGCGGTAAGAAGTTTCGTAAGACTAATTGCATAGTTTTATTTAAGATGATTAATGCATAACTTTTCTGACGACGCTCAGCTGCAACCTGGTTTGGGGGCTTCCTCTGCCCTACCCCAACCCAGATCACCTGCCGTGATGGTGATGGATTCTAGGCTGAACTTTTGCACTCGTACATCTATAGATGCCCAATTTACGGAGGAGAAGCTGTTTTCATATGCATAAGCTCTCAGGGGGAGTGTCAGCTCCATGAGTGCGTTGCTACTGGTACTTTCCAGCTTAGTCTGAGACGAGATCCAATCGAGATTCCTCTGCAGATCAGGGTCTTCATTCCTCCAGGCAGCAAAACCTGAGTCAATCGAGTCCAGGTCTTTCCACACTGACTGGTCAGTGATCTTGTCGAGGTCCTATCTCACAAGTCAGTGATGGTAAGAACATGTATGTTGAAAGCAGTGTTGGTGACCGACCGATTTGAGATATTTCAAGAGGCTTTGGATCATCGCGTCCATGACTGGCTTCATCTAATCTTCAGTCTGTCCTGTGCTCTTGGCAATGTTGTAGTATATGAGTATCGCGCTGACTGTGGCGGTTTGATCATTTGTCGCCTGGATCTTGTCTTTGGTTCAAGGAACCGTCTACCGTAGAGTTTCACGATAGCTCTGTAAGTGCTATTAAATCCAGGTCAGATAATTGCTGGATAAACTTGAAGGAAGAGAAAGATTCCGTACTCTTGAAGGGCCGTTCTTCGCTTCGCCCCTTGAATGGCGGCGAATATCAGTAGGATTCCATCGAGTACGACAGAAACGACGACGAGCGCTGAACCAGCCGTCTCCACACACTCTGCGACTCACTCCGCTGTTTCGGAAATATCGACACCCGTTGCTAGTGCTCTAAAGGTTGTGATAGCGCCTCGCATCATAGCGAGACCCATTTCATCGCCTAGAAGACCGCCCCCAGTAGAGTACTACTCGTATGCCCGAGTTACGCCGATGGTGCATGAGAATATGATACCTCGCAGGAGCGCAATCCAACCACGAGTAAATAGATCCAATCCTGCAACAAGCGCTCCTGTGTCGAGGATAGTGATTATGGGCATAGCTGTAGACAGTAGTATGAGGTTAATAGCATTCTTTCATCAGCTCCGCTCGGACGAAGGGGAAAAAAAATACTAAAAATGTTCATGACTCCTCCAAGGAATCCCACTGCAATGCTCAACTCGAAAACCTTTTGGTCTCGTCAGTCCACTTCTTGTATTCGTCTATCATGTCCTGGTAATGCTTCTTTTGGTCGGGCGGCAGCATTTTCTCGAGGTCACTGAGCAGATCTTCAATCATGTTGTAATTGTGTTCTTTCAATATCTTCCTCAACTCCTCCTGTGCATGGTCTGTATTGTTGTCATTGGTACGAATGATGTCCTCTGCTCCTCCCTGTATCATGCCAATTTGAGTGGCAAGCTGCAACACTCGATCACCACGTTGTCTATTATCTAAATTCGATGCTCAGGTGTATGCTTTATGTGCAATGATTGAGGTAGCCTGACCGGGATAAAGAATGTCAGACACGGTTACTGGCTTATCCTTAGGATCGTGTTCAAAGCTTGTATTGAGGTCCAAAATTTGTATTCAGTCTGAAATTTATACTAATCTATGGCTACTTAGCTAGAAGTATGCCTGTGACGTACTACGGAATGCCATTCCGTGAGAAATAGTCGATGATTTTTATCCACCTATATTGTGGGTAGTGTTACTGATGCAACATTTGACATCACTCCCCGTCCGTACCTCACTCGTCTATATGGTGTCACCAAGGGAGTATATCCCTTGCTGGAATAGAATATTATACCATCATCGGAAATCTAATCCAATGCATGTATCACAATTTCCCGTCGATCTCACATCTCTCCTTTGCCTAATGATTTCTTCGTTGCGCTACCGAACATGTTTGATCATATTTAAACGAGAAGAGTACCAAGTATCACATCAATCTATCAGGGTCTAGTCGGTGCTATATCAATTCCCTTTGCAACAACAGTGACAGGAGCACGATGGGCAACTCAGGCAGCACAATCAGCGATCTCTTTTATCTGGACAACCCCAAGAGACGGCGACGGGCAGAAGAATTGAAGGGAGATATTCATGTACTGCAAGCAGAGTTTAGTGGTCTCAAGGCTCATAAGTCCGTCACTTGCTCTTATCTATATGGGTACTTTAATCGTCTGTCTGACTGAGGAGTCTATGTAGACAAGAAACTCTCAACAGAATTCGGCCTCAGTTAGACCAGCTCCTCCGCGATCAAGGGTTCGAAACTTCAAGTCAACTGGAAGATCGCGTGAAGCGGATCGTGAAAGGAAAATAGCTAGAAGCGTATAATCGACTGAAAGAAGGGTGTGTGGCATGTTCGCAAAACTATCAAGGTATACTTGCTGGCTAACAACTGTACTTGGTCTTTAGACTTGACCTTGGCGATATGCGTTAAGGATTATATGGGATATTATTGGATTGGTCGGTGTTGTCACTGTTGCCATCATCGGCTTGGGATATGCCTTTAGCATAGTCACAGCTAGTCAGGCTCTCGCAGCAACAAGCGCGTTGGGAGGTATCATTGGCATTGCCGCGGTTATTGTGCTGGTATTCAAAGCGGTTGAGGGTGCACTTGAACGGCAGGTGGGTCTGAGTCGCAATTGATATGTCCAATGGCTTCCTGCTATTTGCATAAACAGAAGCTGCGAGATGCAATCCACGCGCTATGGCCGAAACGCGCAGAGATGAAGCTACAGGTTGAGCTGATGAGGGCCATCACCAACTGGGTTGACGACATCGGTATGTCATAGTAACTATCATCAACATCTATTCCTCTTTTGATCCTACTGACAAAGTGATGGCAGAGACTTGGCTTCGATTCCCTGAGATCAAAGATACGAAAATGATGAATGATCTACTCGCTAAAACACTCAATGCTGACTACAATCGATGGACTTCAAAAGAAGTTGCTCGAGCTCTGAAAGATATGGATAACTCTCGAAACTCTTGGGCCAACGAAGACCCCACGAGCACCGACATCTCCATTGTGGAAGAGGTACCGACGGCGATCTTGGAGTTACTCCAGCCCCAGACATCCGGCAAGGTAGTGAAGAACTTCACCTTTCAGAAAACTTTGTCGACTGGGACTTGCCAGGCTTCAGATGATACTGGACTGTGGCAGCTACGGGCAAGCGTTCCAGATGTGACAAAACTAGATCTTGCAATGGTTCGACTGGATCTGCAAAGCTTGACAGCAAATTTGCCATCTCTAGAGCAATGGACCGTCAGGATATTACAGACTTCTAACTCTTGATGCTTTGCCTTCACATAAGCCACACACCGGCCGGTTGGGAGTACGGTGTGTGACCAGATGCGAGTTCTGGTTGTTTATTTTTTAGTTTTGTTTTTTTGTTGATTAGATTGAACTCGCCGGACTTGATGGTTTTACCGGCTTGATCCTCTAGTCCCTAAGTTTATCTGAACCAGCAATGAATTGAAAAGTTAGATATTTGTCTATATTCCATTTCTATCGTAGCTTTTGATTATATCCATTCCGGCTGGCTGTATTCCGTTATGAATAAAGCTGTTGTTGAAATTCAATAGCCTCACGCAACACCTTGCAGACAGTCCGCAGCTCCTCGTCGGTAATAATAAATGGTGGTGCAAGCATCAAGTGGTCACCCCTTTTTACCGTCCACCGTCCCACTGCAAGGGTAGAGCGCAACCCCTTTATTGAAGGCGGCTTGTTGGACACGTACTCCAAAGTGGACGCTGGGGTCAAACGTCTCCTTCGTCTCCTTATTCTTAACGAATTCGACTGTCCAAAACAGCCCTCTCCCACGGATGTCTCCAACAGACCAGCAATCCTGCAGCTCTGTACGAAGTATCGATTCCAGGATCTTTCCCATGGCTGCGCACCTAGCAATCAGGCCGTCTCTGAGAACAATTCTCTGGACTGCCAACGCAGCTGCACAAGAAGTGGGATGAGCTTGATAGGTATGTCCATGATTAAAAGCCTTTGATCCATGGCGAAGGACATCTATAACACGTTTGTGAACAAGAACACCTGAGATCGGAGCGTATCCACCTCCGAGGCCTTTCGCAATGGTCATGATATCGGGTACAACATCACCCTCTTGTTCGAAGGCGAAGAAGCTTCCAGTGCGACCTACACCACACATGATCTCATCAAAGATGAGCAAGATACCGTACTTATCACACAGGGCGCGAACACCAGCCAGATAACCGGCTGGCGGAGTGACAGAACCAATACCAGATCCCGCCACTGGCTCTGCGATAAATGCCATGACTTTGTAGGGACCCACACGGAGGAACTCATCCTCAAGCTCTTGGAGAAGTCGTGCTGTATACTCAATCTCCGTCTCATCATCTCGCATGTTGCGATATGCAAAGGCGGGAGAAACTTGCGATGTATGCGGATATGAGAATCCTTCAAAGGGAATCTTACGAGCAAGGTTTCCAGAAATTGACATGGTGGTCATTGTATTCCCATGATAACCTTGTCGCCGAGACACAATATGGAGCCTTTCTAGCTGATTCTTCTCAAAATAATATTGGCGTGCAAGTTTCAACGCAGATTCAACAGCCTCACTGCCACTGCCAACGAAGAATGCCTTCTCGAGACCGTGTGGGCTCCCTCGCAGGATGAGATTTGCAAGATCCTCCGCTGGCTGGGTGGTGTATGACTGGGTATGAACATAGCTGACTTTCTGAAGCTGGTTGATGATGGCTTGGTGAACTTCCTTGTTTCCATGTCCAATTAAAGCCACTGCCGCACCTGCACAAGCGTCGATGACTTTTCTTCCATCGGATAGGAATAGGTTCACACCCTCAGCTCGCTCGACTAGGGCAGGTGGGTCGATGAATGAGCGATGAAGTAAGTGATCATCATCTCCAGAATCTTTAATTGGCTTGATATTAAGGCATTGTGTCGACGGAAGATGGGAGCTTTCAATTTTGGAGGGCGCCATTTTCAACGGACGTGAGTAGTGTTGATGAGAAGCAAAAAATGTGAGTATTATGCAATGAACAAATTAAGGGAACACTCGAGATATGTTTTAAATACTTGAACATCTGCATCTTATCTCTAACGGCTGCTTTTCGTGGAAAAGAAATCAGGCCTTTTCCGATAAACAATAGTCGGATTTGAAGATAGAGGGGCTCAGAACCGATACCCGAAAATCGTGAACGCAGTCTAAGAGAGCAGACTGGACCTCGAATATCCACGAGGGTTGACTTGAGCCTCGCTTGGCTAGTCAGGTCAATTTCACTGGGATTCATGCCAGAGCACATTGAGGTACTGTATTTATCTGTCCACCTTTCGTGATTATGAGAGAGCGACATTTGATGGCTACCTTAATATCGACGGGCCCAGGCACTGCTCGTGGATGACTCAGCACGGCAGGCCGGGAGGCGTGGCCCGGCATTGGATTCATCCATATCCGGGCGCTCTCCGCAGCAAGTTCATTCCCGATGAGTTCCGTGCCTTGTTGCGCTGATTGATTGAACGAGATAAGCGCTCAAACAAGGGCCAAGCTCCTGTGAAGATAATCTGTAAGATGCGTTCAAGTCTTTCATGTGAATTTTGCCGGTGAGATCTGCATCCTTCACTCGAACAGTCCACTTGCTTATTTCTCATAGGCGATCAAAAATCAAGTGCGTTAATACGGGAAAGGCACCCTGTCGAAAATGTCAAAGAAGCGGCATTGCAGACTGCAATCTGAGCAGGCCTCAAAGTAAGACTCCTAGGAAGACCATTCGTCGAGTCCAGAGAGCGGATCCTCCTGCATCCAATCCCCAACCTATTACTGGACATGAGTTCGCTAGATCCGCCCAGCCAGTACAACATTCGGAAGTCTCTGGACATTCACCACGTCATGCCACCATACATGGCGAAGATAGGGTCCATGTTGACAGCCACATTGCAAGCCTGTCGCCGAATCTTGTTCTGAAAGTTTTGAATATCTTCACGAACAAGTTTCCCGAACTTGGAATTCTACATCTTCCTAGTTTCATGCAAGAGTTCCAGACATCATGTCATAATGATACCAAAACCCTACTTGCAGCTATCCTATCGGTGACTCAGTGCTATTACTCTCAGTCTGGCTTCACTGGCCTGGATAATTTGCTATCGAGAGAACAATATGCGTCCTATTCCCGGGAAATGCTGTCGCAGAGTTCATTTCAAGCCCCGAAGCTTCAAGTCGCCCAAGCTCTTCTTGTCATGGGACTTTTTGAATGGGGGTCCCGCGAATTCCATCGAGCGTGGATCTACTGTGGTAAGGCTTGTACGTATCAACCGCTCAAAGTTCTTGGACTAACGGTCTGCAGGAATCGCAATTCGAATCATGCAGGCGATCAATAGCCTACAGATTGCTCCTTATCCAGCTGACCCACTATCTTCCGGCAGTCAGGATACAAGCCAAGACGCCATTACCACAGCAGTTCAGAATCGGACTATGTGGGCCTGCTTTATCATGGAACGGTTGATCAGTTCTGGAACCTATAATCCGCCAATGCTTCCTCTATCCGAGATGGAAAAGATCAAGGTGCTACGTCCATTCTCTGCTGTCGAATTTGCATTTGGCACAGATTCGGCTTCACAAAGGAGCAGCATGGAGCAAAGTCTAGCCACTCTGCCCAACAGAAATTCGAATCTCTTGGATATCACTCAGGCTTTCGAGGTCTTGGTGGCAGGATTTGACATTTGGACACATGTTATGACGTTTGTGCTCAATGATGGACGTCGAGCGCCGGAAATGTGTGCACCCAGAAATTGTCCTTGGGTGCCTGGGTCACCTTGGTCAAATACCCGGAGCCGCCTAGAGGCATGGCGCGCAAATCAACATCACAGACTTCACTACCCTGAAAATTCCGTCGTGGCTCACATAGCTCTAGCCTATGGGGAGTCGTTCACATACATTAATTTGATATATTACCTAAGGTAGGTCTACACCCGGGAGGGAAGTGAGTCCTAGCGTTACTAACTCTATACCATGCAGTACCCTTATGCTTCATCGTGAATATTTCCCTTTTCTGCCAACGTCAGAGACCATCCCCAGGGGTCCAGTGGATCACCCTCAACTTCAGGCAGAAGCGCCGCCTGGGTGGTGGGATGCAAGCGCCCTCGAAATGTTTAATGCATCTGAACATATTGCCAGAATCCTGCACGAGTCTTCCGAGTGTGGCGCTGAGATGCTAACGCCATTCGTCGGATTCTGCGCCTTTTCTGCTGCATACATGAACCTATATGTCTCTCATTTCCCTCAGATGAATTTGGGCCGCAGTCCCCGGGCAGAAGAAAATTTGAACTACTGCCTTACATATCTTGAAGGGTTCCGGAAAGAATGGAAGCTTGGTGAAAGCTGGGTAAGTCGAGATTTTTTTTCGCTGCATTCAATTACCTACTCTCCAGCTAACATTTCCAACTGAAGATGACCACCATCAAGCATGCATCTCTCCTTTACCAACGAGCCAGTTCTGACAGAGCACGGTACCAAGGAAAATCCAGAAAGGACTTTGATATCTTGCATCAATCGATCCATGAATTCCGGGTGGTGGACAGATCACATCAATACATTCAAGAAATTGAAGGCGCGGAGCGTGGGACAGGCCTATCGACATCTGAAGATACCCCGGCGACGAATCCCGCGTCGGAATCACTTGATCTTGACGCCCCGCTTAATGATTTGCTGAACGAGGTCAGTACATATGCTCATGAACAAGGCATGTGGTCTCATTGGTGGCCATCCTTGGAAGAGATGAATCTTGCACTGTTTTCTGATAATGTATCATGATTTAATTTTGCTATGTACAATCGAAATTCAGCTTCGCCATGTGGTATCATAATGCGACAAGTAGTTTGTCTATCTGGTGCAATTTTGCGTGTTGAAGCCTGCAATTTTGGCTCGTCAACTTCTCACAATTTCTGTGAACGGTTTCATTCCGATTCTCCAGATTTCGTGCTTCCAAAGACCACTTCAAGCGGAATACGCAAGTTCAGGGTAGATTTGCAGATGGCGGATGGCACATGATATGAGAGAGCGAGATCAATAGCGTAGGTGCGAGACACAAGACACGAGTGAAAAGTAGGCACAAGGGCTTGCTCTTCCGGTAGATTCACCGGGACTGTAACAGAAACAGTGTACGATGGCGGTGAGGATGTCTCAGAAGAGCTGACTGAAGCAGCGTCTGCCAAATCTTTAGCCGTCGAATAGAATGTAGGCAGCTTTTCCCACTGAATAGATGTCAAGTCCAAAGACTGAAGTGGCGTAGTCGTGACGCATGCCTCGCGATCAGTATTAGAACATTCCATATCTTCTGTTGTCGGGTAGTCTTCCCATGGACTTGTGCCATAGTATGTAGCTACCTCGAGTTTAGAGCGAAGCTTGCATAGTTGGGGTGGGGGTGCATTTGCAGTAGAATCGAAGGCAAGATGGAGTTGAACCGCAGAAGTCGAAACGTTGTTTAACCAGGTAGTTGTAGATGAAATCTGAATAGGTCTTGGCTCTTCAGCCGCGACCTGGAGATTTCCCAGCGTTCTTCCCATAGACCGACACTCACTTTGCCTCCCGTGGACCAGATATTGAGCCGAATATTCGGGACACTTTGCTGTCCTGGCAGCCGGCATGATTCTTAGAGAGCGAGAAACATCACAGAGCTTGCTTCTAGGCGTGCTGGTAGCCTGAGACTTCTCTGAGATCGCTACTCGGATTTTGTAGGAAATTCTGCAAGCCTTCGGGGCCCACCCTCCTGATGTAGACTGCCAAAATCTAGATGTTTGGCTTTCAAATGTGGGCGGTAATTGAGTGTGCGCCTGTTCCACCTCGGCGTCTTTGGTTGAATGGTCGCATTGTTGCGGGCTGATGCCCTCTGGAACGAGGAAAGAGAATGGAAATTTGTACAATTGCCCTGGTACCAAATGTGTTTCTTGAAGGTTGTCGATTGGCTTTCTGACGCGAAGGAACTTATGTGAGGCCTTCCTTCGGCCTGGCACAAATGAGACTGCTCGACTGGCAGATGTTGTAGAGGTACCTTGGAGTTGTTAGTGGAAGGTTCAATCGACACTTGCCTGACCAACTTCAGGAATAAAGAGCAGGTGTTTACCTTCAAAGGTGATATCAACATGACCCAAGTCCATCTCACGAGTCACGCTTATGATTGCATTACCCTCTATGAGATCCCCTGTCGTGAACGTTCTCTTTTCTCTATCTTTGTCTCCGTTGACCTCGATTTTGACTTGAGGTACGGGTTGTTTGGCTGATATTTGACACGGAAGGTTGCGAATTGCGCACGGTATCGGTAGATTTGATGACATGGTTGAAAGTTTGAGCTACCTATGGAATGTCAGCATACCTAAACTCAATTTTCATGCAAATATTGATTATCATACCTAAAACGGCAGCAATGAGAGTTTCCGTACACCTATAAGCTCTGGTGGCGACAACAGGCGGTGGTCCTCGACACGTTTTCTATTGTCTTCAGGGAATTGAATTAGAGTTAAAGGGAATCCAGCTTCAATTATTGAAAAGAAAATAGGATCTGGAGCTACGAAAATTTTTACTCAGCGAATGCGCTATTGATCCCGAAACTGATGGGACGTGATTCCCGAATTTTTTGTAACCCGAGACCCGAAGACTGGCCCACCGGCATGCCGGCTAGTAGTGTTGACTCGGCTTTCATTGTGAGAATCGAAATCCGACAATAGGCCAAACATGAGAGTGATGTTAGCAAATTATTGAAAGAGCAATCAAATAGTATTCATGTCTCTTGATTTGAGAGGCTGATGGATGGCTTTTAAATTTTTTCCAGAAGATCCTTCCAGTTTTCCACGAGCCCCATGGACACCGTCTAGGAGCAGTGACTCTCGAAGGGCTGTAACTCGATGTTTGCCATGATTGCAGAGCACATCAGTATTCACAGATGGCAACTGCCATTTCATAAGTGAGCAGTGCATTTCCTTGTTCACGGTAGTAAAGCCGTTGAATCGCGTGTCAAAGTAAAAGCAATCCGTTTAGGGCATATACTCACTTGCTGAGACTCCTCGAGTGCTAGAAGAAAACGGTTGTCTATTTTTAATGGACTACTGGATCCCGGTAGGCAGATATTCTCTTAAATTCATGAGTACTTTCCATGAACATCTTCGAGGGACGTCAATGTTGAATCTGAGGCTAGACCATTCAATCATTCGAAGCATAACAACTTTGGAAGTCTCAAATCAATGGAAATGACCCATTGTGATTGGTATGTGCATTGTTCTTCTATATGAATCTTTATGCAAATCTATGTCTAACGCTAATTCTATCGCTATATGCATGTGTCTATATGTGGTGTCGATGATTCATGTTCAGTGATTGCCCTCTCAACCTTCAGGGGCCGCCTCCGGGCGATAAGGCGGCTGGTCGGCTGGGTTCACGGCGAACTCCGCGTCTCGGTCCAAAGTGGGTCAGCAAAATACACCAGGCCGTGCCCGATGGCAGCCGCGAGTGGTCCAACCTATATCAAATTAGCAAAGGCCTGATAAGCAACGCCTCCATATGTAACTACGAGCGCCAAAGAACCAACTCACCCAGTGGATCCAATGATAAGTGGGAAATGAGGACGCCACATAGGCTCCCAAGCACCGCGCGGGATTAAGGCCTGCAGAAACGATTTGTTATTATTAAAACTCCTCCGGGACCCAACATTATTGATATGCTCTGAGTCCTTTGACTGATATGACTTACTGGCTCCGATATAGCCCTCCCGGGTAAAAGCGGTTCCCCAGCTGACAATTCCCAGAACAATCCCCACTAACCAAGGCGACGTCGCATGGCCAAACACCTTAGCCTGTCGTGGATCTAAAGCCACGCCAAATGCCAGGAAAAAAGAATCAGGCATGCAAAGAATTCAATGACCAGACCGTCCTTGGCCGGCACCATGGAAGAATCAATATGGCATCCACCTACGGTAAACTCTCGATTACCGTAAGCACTGTTCAAGGCAAAGCCAGCCAATGCACCACCTAGTGTTTGTCCGCCTATGTATTGTACCATGCGTGGGAAGGAAATAATCCGGGCGAAGAAGGTGGCCAGAGTAATAGTCGGGCTAATGTGGCCTCCACTGGAGGGGGAGAAGGTAAAGATCAAGAGGGGAGTCAAAAGAAGATTGGTGATGCCGCCGAAGAGAGGGGAGAAGAAGGTGACAGTGGTATAGACTCCAGCTTCGGTTGTCGGGGAAGTGGTCTTGGAAAGGGGATGCGTCGTAACCCAGCATGAAATAAAAACATTCATCAAACTGGCTATATATGGAAAGAAAGGATGTTAGAATTCGTCATCACAAATTGGCAGCCTCTGCTCCCCTCCAAGACCCCACGGGGATGGTCGGATAGTGGGATCAATTCAAGTCATATCTTACCGACACATTCCAGCATTGCGAACTTCCATAAATCTGGACTCGCAAAGCCCCGGAGATCGAAGATCTCGGCCACGGTCATGCAGGGAGCCGCATCGGGCACCTGCTCCAGGACTTTCACATTTTTCGGATCATTCCGGTCAAGGATAAAGTCCTGGTTGCCCCCCAGCCGGCCGGCAAATGGAGGAATTGCCGGTTCTGGATACGGATGATCTTCCTTGGCATCAAGCTCATGCTGTGGTAGATAAGCTATGACCATGGTGGACAATTTTGAGTTTCAGGTACGCGTGTAGGCAAAGAGTGAGACAATCCTTGGCTGGCCGAATGGACGGAAACGTAACAAGCTGCATTCTCACTGGTTGATTCTGCGGCGAAGTGGCTTTGCGCCCTGATGGCCGAGCCAATCAGCACTCATCTGCCTTGGCATTCGGTGGCCGAGTTGGGCTATCTTGGCCTACAGTCTTGGGTACATACGTTGTCTATTCATTTGTGTTACGATATATTATTCAAGTTGTCTGTTCAGGACTGAAATTAAGAGTATCAATCTCATGGCCTGTGGCCTCCAATGTGAATAACAATACTCCGTAGGTATAGAGATTGCGATAACGCGGATAAGCATCCTTACTCAATGCTATTGATCACAGTGTAGGATAACTCCTTGTATTCTGATCCATGATACAAACCTGGTCTGGCCCAAGTAGTTCATTCTGTTATGTAATAGGTGTTGCTATTGATCATAGCTCTATATTCCCCCGCATAACCCCACACGTTATGTGATTAAGCTTCTCCGCTGCCCCAGCTAACTATTAGTCAAGGAAACAGTTCAGTCTCAGAACGGAGTCGTCCAATCAATAGCTCAATATTCAGCGGTCGATAGGTATCAAACAAAGGAAGTAATTGCTTAGCATTGGCTCGTAATCATGATGGACCTTATGCATATGCCTTGCTGGGAAAACAGAAAGCTGTCTTCGTCCATCCGCGATATATATTTCCAAATTCTCACAAAAAGTATCTGTATATCGAACCATCATCAGTTTGACAACTGAGCTTATCCATACCTAGGTATCAATTGACCAACCGATAGTCTGGAATCGATGAGTGCTTTTCACCTCGAAAAAGCAGATAACTACAATAGGTGGCTCATCTACTATACAGAGATTCGCCCAGCGATGAACTAACCAGTCACGTGCATACACGGAATCCTCTGAATGAACTTAACAAGATGCTTATTGCTTTCTGAAAATACCGGTGCGGAGCTTCAGCTTCGTAAGTGAGGTTCGTACATAATTTTTGGGCACATGCCTGAATTACATGCCTGAATTACATGCCTGAATACGTATCCTACTATCCAGGAACAATTCTGTTAAGTTAAAACGCACAGCCCAACCGAGGGAGGTGCTAGTGTTAAGCCCTGGGCCATCCCAAAAGAAAGAACATAGAGAAGGGCGTTCGAGTTGCAAGAGCTCCCGGGTTCAGTTGTTGAACAACGGGAAGTTACGAACAAGCCATTGATCGAGCACTGCCATGTGGAGAGTGTCGATAGGGATGAGCCTGATGGCATGGGGTTTGTTTTTTCAACTACAGCTGCCGGGTTTCAAAGCGCCACTGACCGAGTAGCGCCCTGTCCGGTCAGTAGTATAATTTGGGAGGAACGGAAATCCTTGGCATCAAGGCCCAGTCTGCGCTGCTGAGTAACGCGTTGGGTACATATCATTAGAGAAGGCAGCAGATATCACAGATATCCTGCGCTGCCAGCATTAACTGGGGATATCATCAACAGCTGATAGAACATAACAGAACACGTCACTGAACCCAACCTGGCAGTGTTTATTTACATGGACAAGAAACAGAAATAGTCGAAGTGACCCAAGATCTAAACAGCACGGCGGAATTTGGAAGGAATGTTGGCTTCCACAACCTGCATATCCTCCAGCTTCTCAAGTCGCATCTGAGCAGCCTCCATCTCGTCGTGTAGTCGGAAATGCTCAATGTCCTCGGGGTGGGTCAAGTCCTCCTCCGTAGCATCATCGCCGTGGAATTTCTCAAAGTGGTGAATCTCGTATTCATATTCGAGGTCACCATGGTGGCCAGGTCCGAAGCCGAGGTCGGGCAACCGTGTCCCGGCGGAGATAGCCTTCAACCAAGCATCGCGGGTGATAGTACCCGTATTCGTTGGATCAAAGAGATCAAAGACAGCGCGAATAGCAGACTCCTTGCTTGACTCGCTCGCGCCCCTGTTGGATTCGTCATCGAGCCCGTATGTTTTGCGTACTTCGTCGCGAGTCCATGCGCCGGAGGAGTCGTAATCGTGCAGCGCGAAGAACGAGAGCGCATCGAAGCCTTCAATATGGTGCTCCTCTATATCGTGTGTTAGCAATTGCGCGAGGCAATGCACTCCATTGAGCGCTGTATGTCACCCTTACCCATCATGTGTCTCGTGGCCCAGTCGTTGGAGGGGGGTTGCCCATCATTTGAATGTGAGCCATGGGCGCTGGCGAGGCCGCTACTCAAAGCGAACACACCAGCAACGGCAAAGATTAAACGAGATATCATTGTAGAAAATAGAAAGTGTAGAGAAGAGAAACCAGCCAGCGCATCCTCAACTCTCGATGGGAAACAATAGGAGACGCAACCGGGGGGGGGGATCTAAGCTTGTTTGCAGTGTTTGCACCGGAAGATTTGGGCCGCGCCGGAATTTCACGACGTCCTTTCGGATCATCTGATTTCAACATTGTCAACCGAATCCTGCCCCATCGGACTCCGTGGGGAGTCCAATTGTTCTCTCTTCAATACCCACCTCCCTTGAGCTTCTCGACAGCGATGTCCCGATAATGCAAAGCATGTGGTCCCGTGCCGCCCCGTCGCAGTCAAGCTGCCGGTGCGTCTCGTGTTTGAGTACGGTTGCCAATGGCGTCACTTCACGATCAGCGACGGCTGCCAGCAAGAAGAAATTGAGAATTGGGAACTCTGTCACTGCACTGTACACAAGTATCTTTGCGGCCGCGGCCCTTGCAGATGCAAAGGCCAAGACCAAGCGGCGACATGACCTCGAAGAGAAAATTGCGGCAGTCAAGGCGGAAGTGAACGAGCTAGTTGATGAAGAGCACCGAATTCTGGAGTCCCTACAGTCACGAAGGAAAAGTCGGGGTATAAACCGATTGCTGCAAGAGAGAGGCTTCGGCAGCGTTATAACCTCCCCCCGAATCCGCCAACGAATCGCACCGAACCAGCCAACAAGGTCCTTCCACACGGAGCGCCGGCTCGGTCACCAGAATGCGCAGATTGACGACACCCCATTGACGGAGGAGTTTGGGCATCTTGATCTCCAGGAAGCTGAAGCGAGTGCACTGCGCGCGGCTATGAATGAAGCATTGCCGGACTGGGTTGTTGGAGATACTGCTCGCATCAAGGCCGTCCAAAAGCTCGCATTGAAACAATTTGCGATTCGGATTCTACTACGACCGACCATCGCGCACAAATATTCAGGGGTCCCGATGAACTACGGGGCAGACTTCGATGTTCCCCAAATCGATGTCAATAACTTGCTGAATGAGTTGAACGTCGTGCGACGTCAGATGAACACGCTGTTGCACAAGCGGAATGTCGACCTTGCTGATGTGATTGCTGATTTTGATACAATGCGCTCGGAAGAGGCGAAGGAAGATGACCGGATACTCGACGATGATCTCAGGGAGTACATTCAATCATTCACCAGCCAGCAGATGTCCTTGCAGGAACTCCTCTTGCGGATCTCCAGCAACCTGATTAAATCAGCGGATCCGGATCGCACCGCGGCATTCCGAGAACTACTCATTGTTTTCACCCAAACCCGCCAGAACGACTTGAATGATTTGCTTCTGCAGTCATTGTTGCCGAATCGGTTCTACTTGAGCACCTCTCTCATCGTCACCATTCTCTCCTTTTTCCGAAAGTCCAAAAACCTCAAGGACTTTGATTTATTCTTGCAAATGCTCAGCGGCGAAGGGTACACAGTAAACCTGGGAGCCATCGGTCTTTTCCGCCGTCGAAAGATCAATGGACTTACTACAGTCATTCCGCCCCTGTATGGCAGCAGCACCGTCATTTACACGGAGCTAATTTCTGCGGCCTTGCGGTTTAACCAGCCGGACCGAGCAGATGCCTGGCTTCAAGCTGCACGCAAGTCAGGCTTTTTCGACAACTTCAACACCTTATTTACCTACATCCGATTCTACAGTATTCGCCAGGACTGGGAAAAGGGAATTCATGCCTTGAAAAGAGCTGTGACTTATCTCGTCTCGTCAACTGATCTATCACCAAGACTTGTTGAGCGGTTAATCTTATACATGGTGCATCTTTGCGACTCATGCTGCCAGAAAGATGTATCTCAGAGTTTGATCTCGGCTGCCGTGCATAGCGGATTCAATCCGAACATTCCATCACAGCAGAACGACATTGCACCCATTGTGGATCAAGAGGGCCAGCGATGGAAAAAGGCCGCCGAAACGACACCACAGGAGAACTTGTCTCGTCCCCTATGGCAGAAGTGCTATGACTTTGCAAATGTATTTGGACAGCAACTGAGCAGGCTCGAGGTGCCCGAAGATCAATTCATGTCGCGAAAGCTCGATCGCCTCGCTGCTGTTCATGCAAATGATGCTTTGTCTGCCACGCTTTCTCGACACACGGAGCAGGCAAAATCCTCACCGGCGACTTCGGAACGCGCAGGTGCTACACAGACCCAGAGTACCCAAAGCGAGGATATAGCCGCTTTGAAGGACGAAGTCTCCCAACTTCGTCAGCTCGTCTTTGAGCTACGCAAACATCACATCGAGGCCTCGTTCAAAGAGGAAATACACCATGATCTCGAGTATGAGGATTCACTATCGCAACCATCCAAACCTAATCCACCCTCACATGACCCACCCTTTCAACCTCAAGACTCCGCCATGAGTGTCGAATTTGAACGGATACCGAGTCCGATAGAGTGCGAGGAGCATGACACATCGCGCCCGAATCTTTCTTTCCGACCGGCACACGCCATGATGGGCCCCGTACTGGCACAGGATCATTCTATTGGGACACCCGAGAATCAAGTACAGCAACCAGCTCGGAGCCGGGCGAAGAAATCCCGATCTCGGAAGGCGAAGAAATTTGTCGCTGCGTCTTCTCAGCGCACTGCTGGCCAGGCATGAGACCATGCTCTTTCTCTTTTTGTGACAACAGAACTTTATTTGTACATTATGATATAGTTGCCCTCCTGAATGAGAGGATGAAATGCCAATAGACGGGTCACCCACTGTCTGCTGAACCCTACGCAGTAGATATTGAACGCACACCTTGACGGGTGCTACTGGGTTTTTTTTTCTAACATGCAACCACGACGGGTGCACTGTCTGGAGTGGATTCCAATCAGATTCACTCACCCATTATACTTCATACTTTATACACACATTCCCAATTAGGGATGCTCAAAGAAGGGAGTGCAGAGACAAACATCGTAGAGAAAAAGATCTCAAGTAAAACCACGCATACATGCCATCTCCAATGCAAGGCAGCTTCTATTTTTGAGCATGGTCGTAAGACCCGCAAAAAGGGAATCTAAAACAAAATAATGATCCATGATGATTTTAAACCCAAAAAATCCATCTATCGACGCTTCTCAGCGCGCATCTTCTCCTTGCGGGCGAGACGGTCCCTAGCTCGGAGGAGCGCAGACTGCATGTCGCCCTTGGGGAAAGAAGAGGGCTCGTAGTATGTAGGTGCGATGTCCTATTTACAATTAGCAACTGTGTCAATGGGGATCTCAGAAGCAAGATAAAACGTACCAAAAGCCACTCAGGCTTGACTGCAGTCACAGTGCGGATGTAGTTCTTGGTTGTAAGGACAAACTCATTATACAAGACCCACTCGGCATCGTGGGCGAGTACAGTGGAAGGATGGAGGAGAACGTTCTGGTTGTCCTTGACGGTTGTGTAAACGCTCTTGCCCTGTGATTCCTTCTTGGCAACCTGCATGAAGAATCCAGCGCAGAGAGCGCGACGAATGTTCTCGTAGTACTTCTTGTCCTCGAAAGGAGTTGAGATCATCTCAAGCTCGGAGCGCTCCATGATCCGAAGCAGTTGCATGCGGACGTTATCAGCCGACTGTAGAGATCGGAGAGAGAGGAAGTGGTCATGACACCATTGCTTGGGGTTTGCCTGGGCTTCGGGGCTCTTGAACGCGTGGTAAACGTTCAGCATGGTCAAGTGATCGCCGTCCTGGTGAGCAAACAGGTTCTTCATCTCGTCCGCACGCTTGCGCTGCGAGTTGGGTCGAACGAATAGTTGCGGGACGGACAGCAGAGCTGTGATGGACAGAATTTCGTTGGAGCAGTAGAATTCAGGAGAGCTGATCAACATAACGGCAAGGGCAGGGTCAAGAGGGAAATCTGATGCCAGACGACCGAGTTGTGTAAGATTGCCATCGTCATCGAGACAAGCCAGGTAGTTGAGCTCCTCAAGAGCTCGCATGAGAGTCTCAGGAGCGGGAGGATCCATCAAATCGAAATGGACAAGATCATCAATTCCCAGCTTTTTCAACTCAAGAACGGTCGACGACAGATTTGATCGGAGAATTTCCGGATATGTCTGCTCGATTAACTCCTTCTTGAAGGCCTCCTCGGTGTACAAACGGAAGCACTTTCCAGGGCGTGTACGACCGGCACGACCAGCACGCTGTTGGGCAGAAGCCTTGGAAATTGGAGAGACCAGAAGAGACTCCACACGGATACGAGGATTGTAGATCTTCTGTTTCGAGAATCCGGGATCCACCACGTAGACGATACCATCGATGGTCAAAGAGGTTTCGGCAATGTTGGTGGAAATGATGACTTTCCGACCGGGTCGGCCACCCTTGCGGAGAGGGGGAGGAGCGGGATCGAAGATGCGCTGTTGCATATGAGGTGGCAGACTACCATACAGAGGGTAGACTTTGAGCGGGCCAGCATCGGCCTCCCGGACCATTTCGTCGCCCTCCATCGCGATTTTTCGTGCCGCGTCCTCAATCTCCTCCTCACCGGTCAAGAACACAAGGATATCTCCTTCATCTTCCGTCGCATGGATTTGGAGAACAGTTCGAATAGCAGCCTCAACGTAGTCCTGCTCCGGCTCAGGAGTGTAGAAAACTTCGACAGGGTGGGTACGTCCAGGAACAGCGAGAAGAGGTGCATCCATGAAGTACCGCTGGAACTTTTGCGCATCCAGAGTGGCAGACATGATGATAATCTTCAGGTCCGGCCGGCGCTGCACAACCTCCTTCAGCAGACCCATCAGGACATCAGTGGCCATGGTTCTTTCGTGAGCCTCGTCGAGCATGATCGTGCTGTAGCGGGACAAGTTGTGATCGTGCATCGCCTCTCGCAAAAGCATACCATCGGTCATGTACTTCAAGATGGTCTTCGAACTCGTCTTGTCCTCGAAACGAATGCTGTAACCGACTTCTTCTCCGAGTTTGACATCCATTTCCTCTGCGACACGTTGGGCGACGGACATGGCGGCCACACGACGGGGCTGTGTACAAGCAACCATCTTGCGCTGAGTCTGGGGCAGGTCATCGAACAGGACGAATTGCGGAATCTGAGTGGTTTTTCCGGAACCGGTCTCACCGACGAAGACCAGAATCTGGGATTGCTGATAGAGCTGCAGGAACTCATCACTGAAGTAGGCCGAGGGATTAGCATGTTGTTGTCGGGCGCGAAAAGAATTGATTCAACTTACCGTTGGGCGTGCACAGGAAGGTCCCGACGAGACTTTAGGATAGAAAAATATTTAGTGGAAAGGGGCTGGCCACTGAAGGGGTTGACATCGCCATCTTCAGCCTTCTTGGCCATAGCTGCTGTCGTCTGATGGCGCTTGAACTTGGCCAGGGCCGAGCTCTTGTCCGCGCCGTTGGTATCCTCGTACATGTGAGCCAAGTACGGGTTATTCTTGGGGTCACCAGCGTCCATCTTTTGGCGCTTGGCGCGCGCACCGTCTTCTGAGTCTGAGCGGCGGTCAACCATGCTGAATGAGGTGGTCGAGAGGGTTGAGAGAGTTGGAGAGTGCAAAACTCGGCGGTCGATAAAAAAACTCGGATAGGCAAATCGAGCGGCGATCCCCCGATGCCTATCTGGCTCACCGCCAGAGCTATTCTGCCGGCACCCCCACAAAGGGATCGAGGGGAAACGCGGTCAAACATGTAGGGGTGATTCTTTGGCGTGTCCTTCTTGGTTTTGAGTGTCGGGTTTTACCATTCGTGGTCACTTGCTACCCCAATAGTGGTGTGTGCTTCTTCAGTGGTGCCAGCACCACGTTCAGACCTTGGAACTGCCTTCAACTTCCTCTGGACCCCGCTACTCTGACAAAAAAGTGCTCCGTGTCAACATGGATAACTACGGTGCTGCCGATGATCCTGGGGTCACCTTCTGTATCGGCCATCATGAGCCGAACCGAACACTCTCGGTGACCCCCCAGGTGGTCAACTGGGCGCACGAGAGTAACGTTAGTTCTCTTGCGTTTCTTTTGTTGTCAATTGCTTTTTCAGTGGCTGACTTAATGTCCAACTACAGTATGATATGTTGACTGTGCCAATTACAACCACTCATTTTCACTCCAGGGTGTTAGGGCTTCTGTCTTCTTATCTCTCCAATCTGCAGCCGCCATCATTCGATCGCATTGGTACCATGGCCACCTCGCAAAACACCCGGCCACTGGTTATTCCGCCATTGACCAAGCTGGATTCGAATCTGACCCCCAATGAAGCCACGAGCCAGCTGGTTGGTGTGACTAGCAGCTGGATTGACCTTTGCTCGCCTGATCCGTTGATTGCAGATCTCTCGCGACAGGTTCTGATGTTAGAAGTAGCCTATGCTGCTTTCTGTGGCATTGGATATCTCTTGATTCCTAGCCCTAAATTGCATCATGGTGGCATTCATTCGGAAGGTGTAGTCTACTACGCCAGGGCTATTCAGGATGCTTTGAATCTAGGCCCATACATCCAATTCCATATTTGGCTGCGGATGGTGGACAACCCCGAGCTAGAGGTTGATAGCATGGGTGATTTGGCTCCACTGGCCCGGCAAGAGTACGTACAGCTAGAAGCAGGCAACCTGCCAAAAATCGACTCATTCGGAACTTGGGATGCGTGGGATTTGATAAGGAAGACCTGCAAATATCATAGCCGGTTGTTTGTTGGTAAGTTGGCACCCCGTCTCATGGCCTTTTATTTGTCTTCCTATCGCGAACATTCGCTTACTTGAATGGTAGCTTTGGCGATGCCCAAACAACTACCTGCTCTGTCCGTTCAATCGCGCTGGCACTCAGAGCCAGTGCATCTCCTGACGATTGATGGTTCATCTTTTTTGAAGAATCCGAAAGGATACCCTGTACTGTCAAAGGCTCACCAAGCCTTAATTGCGAAGCTGATGCGCCTTCGGACCCCTCCCTGGATTTTGCTTTGCAACGTTGGGCCTATCCCCGGGCTTGAGAACACAGAAGAAGCGGAGGCCAGCCAGTCTCAACTGTCTAGCTCTGATTATCCGAGCCTGAGTGCCTCCAAAAAGCATCATGATCATACCCCGCATCTCTCCTACATCCGGAATCTGCAGCAACGGCAGCCTCCACGCACGCCCATCGAGCGATTTGGCACAGGCTATCAAGACTACCTTCAGGCCCCTCTCCAACCACTGACTGTCAACTTGGAGAGCATCACCTACGAGGTCTTTGAGAAAGACCCCATTAAATATGAGTGGTATGAGCGCGCCATTACCAAGGCTCTGAGAGACTGGGCCGACCAGAAGAAGCCAACCTCTCATCCCGATGGGAAGGTGATTCTCGCAGTTGTTGGGGCTGGCCGTGGTCCTCTCGTGACCCGGGCATTGAAGGCTAGCGCTGAAGCCGGAGTGGAAATCGACCTGTGGGCCGTAGAAAAGAATCAGAATGCATTTGTGTTGTTACAGCGTCATAACGAGACCATCTGGGATGGCAAAGTCACTCTCGTTCAGTCCGACATGCGGAGCTGGAAAGGCCCACGAGTGCCGCGACAAGCAACCGAGAGCGGTGCTCAGGACCCAGTCGGCGAATCGCTGGGTATTGAGGACACCTTGCTCTACACACCAACAAAAAGCGCCAATGACCCCGGTCGATCTTCTGACTTTTCTGCGCCCATCGCTTCCGGCAGCACTCATACTTACGTTGACATTGTGGTGTCAGAGCTGCTCGGCTCATTTGCTGACAATGAACTGTCCCCGGAGTGCCTTGATGGCATCAATGATCTGATAAATCCTGTGCATGGAATTTCCATTCCAGCATCATACTCGGCCCACCTTTCGCCCATCTCTGCTCCTAAGCTACACGCCGATGTAGTCAACCAGACAGTCACCAACCCTGCAGCTCCGGAGACCCCCTACGTCGTGATGCTCCATGCTATTGATTTCTTGTCTACTGCAGACTCTACCGGAAATACGGAAGCCCTTAATCAAAACTCCATAAACCGTGCCTCTGGTACCTCGGCGCCGACTCTCGCCACCGAGTTCCCAACTCCCTTTGTTCAGACTGCATGGTCTTTCTCCCACCCGAATCGAAACATTCCACCTCCATCACCGATGACGTCCACTATTTCCAATGCGCACAATGTGCGCCAAACACGTCTTTCCTTCCCCTCCCAGAACCGGGGTGTATGCCACGGCTTAGCTGGGTACTTTGAAACTGTCCTCTACGGGGATGTTGAGCTCTCGACTAATCCAGTAACAATGGATGCAAAGAGCGCCACTATGATCAGCTGGTTCCCTATCTACTTCCCTCTCAAGGTATGACACGACCAAAAAGCTAACGCCACAAATCTGCGATACTTTTTATACCCGGATGCTAATGTGAACTCTGGCTTTAGACTCCTCTCAATGTTCCCGATAATGGTGAAGTAGTCGTCACCATGTACCGCCAAACCGATGATCGTAAAGTCTGGTATGAATGGATGGTGGAGGTGTACACCCTTGAACGCATCTCTGCGCCGACGGCGAAGCTCACCACCCCTGCCATGACTGGTATCCGGTCTGGATCTCCGAGTGTGGATAGCTTGAAGGGCAAGGAGAACGTCCAGAAACAGCCAGCTGGTAACTCAAACCAAGCAAGCTATCGTCGTGTGCGCGTGGGCATGAGCGAAATGCATTCAAGTATCAAGGAAGGCTGCTTAATGTGATCGAAGAGGTTGGATTAAAAAGTAATTTTCAGGGTCAATGTTGATTATTTCAAAAATTTCTGGGGCCTGGGAATTGATTTTAGATGCTTAGAATTCAGGCCGAGCTAAGTTGGTGCTTCCAGAGTGCACAAAGATATGCTCGTCCATATATAGACATGGAGACGACGTATCGTTTCAATTGGCTAATGCGAGGGTGACGCGATCATGGGAGCAAATTTCAAGTGCATCCACTCAGGTACCATTGTTCTAAGTACACAGTTGACAGCATATTGCGGGGCTGGCAGGTCATATGTCGACAATGTAAGGTAGCTTGACGCCATGGATTGCTTATCGGTGATGTTTCGAATATGCTCGAGTTCCTATATATTGGCTTACTTACCTTGTCATTCGGGTGTGTTGTCAATCCTGAAGTCCTTTGCCACTGCCCCCGGCGAGGTTCAATCTAGTCCACGACATAGAAACATTTTTGAGCACAATGGCCCCTCGCTACCGCAATATAGCAGTCATAGGTGCTGGGCCCTCGGGCATCTCGGCAGTCAAAGCCCTGCATGAAGAGAAAGTCTTTGAGAAAATTCGGATATTTGAGCGACGTGATAAGCCTGGGGGTATCTGGCATTATGATCCTACTCCAGACGTTTTCCCAATCCCACAGAATTCACCGCAGTTGCGAAATGCGATCCCCAAGAAGCTACCTCAATTCGCATCTCCAAGCCCCGAAGACACGACTGCACGAACTGGAATTTACGATGCCCTTGACAGCAATGTGGGCTCCAAAGCCATGGCATTCACCCACAGACCGTTTCCAAGCGTGAATTCGGCATTATCTGTTAAGCAATTTGGACATTCAAATCCAACCCACCCTTTTCGCACCATTGCGGGGTATTTGGAGGATCTCTTCAAGGATTACTACCACCTCGCTAGTTTCAACACGACTGTTGAGAAGGTCGAGAAACAAGAAGGAAAATGGATTTTGACTCTTCGACAGTCAGGCCATGTCCGAAATGACGAACCAAAGGACTATTGGTGGCAGGAGGAATTTGATGCTGTCATCGTGGCATCTGGGCATTACAGTGCGCCATTGGTTCCAGAAATCCCTGGGTTAGAGAACGCTGTCTCAACTCACCCGGCGAAATTTGAGCATTCCAAGGCTTATCGCAGCCAAAATGATTATGTGGACCAAAGAGTCGTGATAGTCGGAGGAAACGTTTCATCTGCTGACCTTGTGGTTGATCTGCATGCTATCGTCAACGCCCCGTTGTATCTCTCGCAGAGAGGATATAACGAGGTCCTGCAATCGGCGTGGGACTTGCCCAATGTGCAAACAAAGCCTGTGATCTCAAGCATTCAAAGTAATTCTGAGGGTGTTAGCGTGAAGTTCTCGGATGGCAGCGAAGTCGCCGACCTGGACAAGATTATCTTCGCCACGGGATATAAGCTCTCCTACCCATTTTTGACTCCCGACCCTGTGACGCCCAACAACCGAGTCGCGGGCTTTTATCAACATGTGTTCAAGATCGGTGATCCATCCCTAGCACTCGTGGGACAGATTCGGGCTGCGATCAGCTTCCGTTCCTATGAGTACCAGGCTGTCGCTGTTGCGAGGTACTTTGCAGGGAGAAATGCGAAGCCATTGCCCAGCCCTCAGCAGCAGGATTTGTGGGAGGTGGAAAGGCTGAAGTATAAGGGACCCACGACCCTGTTCCACGAGATCAAACCCGATTTCAAGGAATATTTTGATTTCTTGCATGACTTCGCGGGGCCACCTGCGAAGGAGAGTGATGCGAATGAGTTACCGGCCTGGGAAGATAGATGGGCTGAGCAAGCTTTTGAGGTTTTGCAGTTGAAAGATAAATATTGGAAGTCTTTGAAAAAGGCTACAGATAGCTCAAGTCAGGTTAAGGCTAAGCTATAGACTGTTCTGCCTTTCTCTGTGCGCTTGATGTGCAAGTTTTGTGTTATTGTATGCCTGTTTGTACGGAGAAAATTTGCTTGCTCAATATCCACAATTTTTGCTTATTATGTATTCGCATTCCACTGCAGAGAACTGCTGTCGGCTCTGAGGCAAGTCTTTGAGCCGTAAGCCCCACTGGAGCTACGGATGACGTACCGAGCGTAGAGCCTATATATCGTCACAAAGCCAATTAGACAAGTGTAAATGGCTGCCACATGTGAATTTGCGATGATCACTTCTTATCATCTGGACTATTGTTCTTTCGCTTGGCAAGGTTGTGACGATCTCTCATATTTCATCAGCGGGCCGGGTCAGGCCCCGATCGGCAGAAATCAAACCAAGGCCGAGAGTGCTCCACCTTGAGGAAGGCGAAGACATGTGAATGACGCAGAACAGAACAATGACTTTCCTGTGTATAGTTGTCATTGACCACGAGACTGGAGCCCAGACTATGGAATGAACATGTCAGGTTGACCGGGGTCTGGGGTATGACCGGGGTTGTGACCAGGGGCTTCCCGTAAGATTTATGCTTAACTTTGAGTGGCGCTGGCGCGAAAATGCCACAAACGTAACGCTCGGACATGTTCAACTCTCGAGATACTTGTCGTTCAATTTCGGGATAAGATTGACCGACGATCACAGAAGACTGGACTTGTGAAACTCCGAATGTTGGCTTTTCCTGGACAGAGTTCTGCTGTGAGTTAAATATGGAGAAAACAAGGTGACAGTAGTTATTGTTTCTCCCTTTTTGTGTGCTCAGAGTGTGTGATATAAGAGGCCTTCCTGGGATGGATCTGGACAATTTCCATTACCCGAAGCACAGAGAAGACTGCATCTCCGGCCACCATGAGATTCTCGCTTTTAACTCTTCTCTCAGTCGCGATAGGCCTGACCAGTGCTGCTCCAAGTGGCCTGTATACTCGCGGTAGGCATGACTTTATCTAATAGGATTATGAATTTGCCTATCTGGAAGCTAACATTAATAACTGGCCCAGATGTGCCACCTAGCGAGTTAGCGCAGTTTAAATTCTGGGTTCAGTATGCAGCTGCCGCATATTGCCATGACAACTATGCTTCTAAAGTAGGCCACAAGTTGACCTGCTGGGCCGGGAACTGTCCACAGGTGGAGGCTGCTGACACCTATATTGTCTATGACTACTCCAAGTAAGGATTTATACTATGAAGCCCTATGACTAGAGTGATCTGACATTGGCTCAGCACAACCGCTACCGACACATCGGGCTTCATCGCTGTAGACAACACAAACAAAGCCATTATTTTGGCTTTTCGTGGGTCTTACTCTGCTCGCAACTGGATTGCCGACGGCGAATTTCCATACGCTGATCCCAAGTTGTGTGATGGATGTGAAGCAGAGCTAGGCTTCTGGAGCTCGTGGATGATGGTTCGCAACGAAGTCATCAAATACCTAAACGCTACGGTTAATGCCAATCCTGATTATGAGGTTGTCGTAGTTGGTCACAGCTTAGGTGCTGCTGTCGCAACTCTCGCTGCCGCTGACCTGCGTGGAAAGGTCCTCCCTTCTGCCAACTTATACGCCTTTGCGTCTCCCCGTGTCGCCAACCCTGCTTTGGCAAGTTACATTACTGCCCAGTCTAACAACTATCGTTTCACCCATACCAATGACCCTGTGCCCAAGCTACCCTTGTTGACTATGGGATACGTCCATATCAGCCCCGAATACTACATCACTGCTCCTAACAACGTTACCGTTTCTGCAAGCCAGGTGCAAGTGTTGGAGGGTGAGGTCAACTGGAATGGCAACACTGGAACTGGCATGCCTTCACCCACTGATTTTCCGGCTCATCATTGGTACTTCGAGGAAGCGGATGCGTGCAAAGGACCTGGTCTTCCATTGAAGATCTAGGCCATGGATATTGACATCACTTGGCTGCCTTTGTCGTCTACATTCCACCAGATACATTTATGTAGGGTACCAAATATTTGAAATTATACAAGCGGGGTATCATTGAGTGTGTAGATAGAGTGACGATTATTATGCTTAGCAACATGTCAAATATGCCGTTCTTGTCCAATCTAGTCCGCTCCGAATGGGAACGTAGAATCGCTTATCACCATCAACAAAACCCCCACGCAAAATACGGGCCTCGTCAACACCTCGCTTCAGGTCTTCAGACTCTTCATCGACATTCGGATCCCACACTCTCCATCCATCTTCGTGCGGTATCTTCCATCGAATGACTATAGGTGACGACGTAACTGAGGGTGCCTGTTTCCCATAATTTGTAGAGTTGGAGACCGACTTCTTCTGGGTGAGAGCCAAAAATAGCTCGTGATCTTTTGATGAAGACCTATGCCGGTACAGTAGTAACGGGCTCGACACTATAGCCGAGGAGGGGAAGTAGATCGGAGTCTGTAGAGTTTCAACATGGAGAGAAGGATCAGGTCCAACGTCGGGTATTTGAGGAAGACCGAATTTGACTATTTTGGGCTCGCAGGTTAGTGGTGGAAGTGCGATGACGACTTCGCTGTCACTCCAATGCGCGATAACAAGCTCTGATGGGAGGCTATCGAGGGATTCTTTTATCTTATACGTAATCGGTCGGTGAATGCGCAGTTCATCTAGCGAGTTTTTGTTCCCTTCGTTTGCAGTGAAGCGACCCGTGGACAGCGATACCTTGCATTCGGCATGGTTCTCCTCTTCCTGGAAACATGCCTGCAAAGAAAAGAGGAACTGTCCACACGGTGAGAAACGGAGGTCTAATAATATGAGGATTAGTTGATTGTACATAATACAAAGGATGGGTTGCCGCTTGCACTAACCTTGCCATATGGTCAAAGACTTGTCGTCTTCCATCCGCCGAGGGTCATCCTCAATATGCCAAGTACCACTATGCATATTGGCGGTAATCATGTGGCCGTTGAGATCGCCCAACACAACGATTGGCAGAGATGGGTGCACAGCAAATGGGATCCCCTGACGTAGTCCCTTATTCGGAGTGATGGGAATCCACAAAGGTGGTGATGTTTCCCATACAATAATGACACATTGCTCGGGTGCGTTGTCCAGCGCCCTCGATCGCGTTCTGGAGGTGGATCCCTCTTCGTATCCAGAATCATAGTGCGAATCAGTAATAGAGTCAGAATCAGACTCAGACTCTGAGCTGGAGTCGGAATCCGAGTCCGAGGACTCCGTGTCGTCGTGCGTTTCTTTAGCCGACCGGCTTGCATCTCGGACCACATGGAAGATGTCAAGTTTCCCGTGAAGCACAAGGCAATCGGACTTCCACTTGATGCCCCAAGTTTGATTTGGTACAGTCGCCTTCCAGGTGCTTGGGGGTGAGAAAGTCTGGGACAGACCGTCTATCGACCGCACCAGTTGAAGATGAGACCCGTCAAACTTCATCACTCGGGCTTGAGAGTCGTTATGTACAAGTTGAAAGTCCGTGTCAAGGCTTTCCAGATCTGTTGACTGGATCCTTGTATCATAACTGCCGTGAACCTTTGTTCCCTTGGAAAAAACGGAAATACGGTGGTAGTGAAGTCGTCCAGGAGGGTCGGACCGAGACTTGCAGACTAACTCAGCGAACAACTTACCACGGGAAAGGGAGATTGACATGACCCGCAACTGCGAAAAATTTTCAAGATCCATCTTCTCATTCAATTTCCAGACCTTGATCCGATCCGATTGATGGAGATGTTCTCCAATTTTGGATTGCATGGTGCTCAGAGGCACACATTGGTCCAAAGTACCAGGTCGTGATGCAAGAACCTCGTGCCAGTCGCTCACAAATGAACAAAAATCGTGATCCAATTGTTTCCCATACGCGTACTGGCCAAGCCAATTAGGCAGAGGAACAGCAAAGCAGTCACCCTCGCTCCAATCTGCCCGGCGGACGCCCATTTGGTATTTCTTCGGCCCTGTTCGCGCATAGCGGCCAAAGTTATAAGGCACGACGTAGCTCTGCAGAGCAACGCAAGTCCAAAAATTTGGACTTCCCATGAATTTGCGCACTTCTTCAAAAGACTCTTCGGAATGATGTTCAGTGTCCATGAAGTGTAGAAACCAGAACGCCGCGGCATATTTCAAGAATGCGTTTTCGGTGCTGTTGTCGTCCAAGATCACTTTTGCTGCCGAAAATGATCGGTAGCGACGATATTGCAAAAGCGTCATACAATCTAGCCCAACCTTCACGGAGCCTTCCGAAGTGTCAATGAAGAACTTCTTCATCTCTTTGAGTGTAAACTCCTCAACGTGGCTAAATGACTTGTCGATTTGTAATTCCTGGGGATCTTGAAGCAAAAAGTCCTGAATCGTTTTATGAAATAATTTCACCCGAGGATTATCCTTGTCCTGTTCCGAGGAACGATCGAATAACAACAGTGAGCCGCATAGATCGTGTATTGCGTCTTCCTTTGGCAATGAGTCGGTCGAATACTCCCGAGCGCCTGGTCTAATCGCAAGGGCGTTGCGGAGCTCATTCCATGCAACGGATTGAACAGCGGTGATGAGAAACGTGAAAAGATTCAGAATCTCATTCAAATATGGTCAGTGGCAAGGGATCTTACCTCACAAGATCACGCTCAGATGGACTACGGTACGCCAATCTTAGCAGACTGCGCATATAGTATCCTGTCAAGCCTTGTGGAAACTCATGTAGAGCTTTCTTGATGTCTGCATCACACGTAACACCCTTTCCACGAAGGGTGTCAAGCAAAAACTTCGAATACAGAAAGCTCCCTTCGCTGTACTCGACATAGTCGTCGACGTCCTCCAAAGATTCTGCAATTGGGCGCAACCCCTCTGCCAAAAAGAGCTTGATCTCTGACGCAAGTATGGGCTGTGTCGGAGACAGAAATGTTGCGTTCAGGTTTTCCATCATACCATGGATCTGCCCTTCCTTCCGACTGGTGAAGAACCATCTCACTGTTCCATATACAGGGGCAGACACAATGGAGCTGAAAACATTCCGCATATTCTCGTCATCGAGGCTCTCATCCAGACCATCAACAATCATGTAGACGAGAGGGCATTGTTTCAACAACTCATGTAAAACTTCCATCGCATGGCCTCGCAGTCGTAGATGCCTCACATTGTTCTCCATCTCTTGTCTGTATATTTCGACAACTCGGTCAGGGATACCGGCTTTCAGGATATTTAATAGCTGAAGTGCCAGTGCTCTTAAACCGGATAGGGGTTTACGCTTGGTGAAGTCGCTGAACGAGTAGAAAAAGTATGCAGCTGGCAGACCTCTCTCGACAAGGTGCTTGACCACGGAAGAAGACAGAATGGTCTTTCCCGACCCAGGAGGTGCATTATACCAGAGGACTGGATCCGCCGTGCTGTCGCGCCAGTGTTGAAATTTGTCGTTGTCGAATATCCACGAGCATGTCGTGCCATGCCTACGCTCAGAGTGAAACTGAAGGTCGCCGCGAACGTCAAGGTCATCACCCGCACTTATCCAGTCACGAATTCCATTTTTCAGTTTCTCTATAGATCAAAGTCATAGATTAGTCTAAGCTTGCAGACATGACTCTTGAGTATCGGGAGACAAAGTTACCTGCATGCTTTGCTTTCGCTTTCTTCCTGTCTTCGTTGGCTCGCACAGCTTCTTCGGCCTGGGCTATTGATTCCACCCTACTAGAATCTCGACGCAACGAGTCCAGTGTACCCTGAACTTCGTCTGCTAGAGGGTTCAGGATGCTTTTCATTGTTCCAATAATGACTGTGTAGGGTTAGCGACCGGCGGGAAGAGGGACCACCTGTAATAGGGAAAAAGAACGCACAGTTCTGGTCAAGTAGTCTCGTCGCCGTGGCCCAAAACTTGACAATATTCTTGTAAGAAGAGACTAGCCGCTCACGAACCTCTTCAGAGGTCTCATATGCTACTGCAAACTTAGCATAGCACTTGAGAGAATGACCGATTTCGACTACAGCTTCGGTAATGATGTCGAACGCCTTGCTCATGTTCCGTGCCAGCTGTAAGAAAAACGTTAGATCGATCTCCTCACACCTATACAAGTTGTATTCTCATGACTGACCCCTAAGACCACCTGGGCACCAGCAAACACCACACCGACCGCGAATGGACTTGCTTGTATGATAGTCTGGCAGGCTGACATCAAGTTTTGCAAGCCATCGATAAAAGGAGCGACTGTCTGCAAAGCTTTGACCGTCTTCGATGAATTTCTTTGTTGCTCAATCTGCTTAACAAATTCCTCCAATCTGCCTGCGCATTCTCTCACTCCTTGTTGTCCCTGGGAGACAGCAATGGCAGCCCGCGAGTTCAGTACTTCCTCATAGAATCGACTTTTTCGGTCGCGAGCCTTCATTTCTTCTAAGAACTTATCAATAGCCTCGGCTAGAGGGCTACTGGGCTCTGATGAGGGCGGCATAATGAAAATGTCCGCCTGAAAATTTCGGATATTTTACTAGCTAATGAGGGGGTGAGGGTGCTTATCCATTTTATGTAGCCGCGAGTTTCTTTGGCACGCCGTCAGCGGATTACTCAACAGCCTAATCACCCATGATGGACGATCATGTATTGTTTCCTTCTCCAAGCCGTGTCCCCCGTTCGTGGCTGTAGTTGCTTGTGATAGGCGCGTAAGGCTTTCTACAAGAGCACAGCCCGGCTATGTGCCCCAAATTTAACATCACCACGGGTTTAAAGTCCACTTCGAACCTGTTCAGAACTTCAAGATAGGGTAATGGAGAAGCCAACTTTGCATTTGGAGGGGCCCAGGCACCCTAACTCATGCAGCATGGGGTGGGGGCTGAAATGATGCATTATGACAGGTGAACTCGTAAAAAGGGCTGACGATCAGACTGCCAGCTTAGTGGGGTCCAAGTACGGAGTAGTGAGGCAAGTGAGGCAACTAAGGCTGTGCAGCCTGCACATTCTTTGCTAGTTGAGCCCCAAATCGCCGATGCGGCTCTCACAACACGTATAAATGTCCAAGCACCCCAGGAATCCTCAGAATTCTTTCAACACAATTCGTTTGCTGGAAGCCGTGAACTGTGTTGCCATTCTACATGATGACTTTGACGATGGAGACCACCATGAACAGCGACCTTGTCGGCGAAAAGTGCGAGTTCAAGGTATATCGCCATAATACAAAGAAAGACGGTAAAAGAGCTGTCGAGGTCCTTTCAAAGCCGTTTGAGAGTCAGACTCTCGACGAACAGGACAGCCCGTATGCTCTTGTCATTAATCGCTACTTTAGCGAGAAGAGCGAGATTGAGAAGACCACGCTGAATATCAATTCAAGCTGGCTTGTCAGGGTGTTTCGCGAAGTAATTGGGTCCTACCCGACGGTCCCTGCGGACTTTCAGTCGCCCTTCCAGCTTGAAAGTCCATTTCAAATACTACTCCACCATTGGGAAGATCTGGATCGGCGCCGCCAGACTACCCAGAATGCCGAGGAACGTATGCATCTGAATCTGTTTTTCGATTTCTTGAACAATGAGCTTGGATCCGAGAGAGAGCGACTTCTCGGCATGATGCGGAAGAATCAAATCACATTCAAAACAGCATGGTCTATCTTCCGTCCAGGCGACCTGGTCTATACCTCATTCATGGGCCATCCCTGGCTATTGAGATGCCAGAAAACAGCCTATGAGGAGAATGTGAAAAGGGGCCCCTATCTGGAGGTCCATTGCATTTTCTGCGATCAGAATGGTACCATAGAAGGACAAGCTAAAAAGGTCTTTAAAATATACCAGAAAGAGAGCTTTGGAGCCGAAAATCCCGCGACCATTACCGAGCTTCCAGTCTACGGGCGGAAGTTTGTTCAGGGACATGAAGGATTAGAAGAACGACTTATTAAACGCGGTCGGAAATTCTTGTCACTGAAGGGAATGTCGGTCAAAGCATACGATGGGCCGTCCAAATACCTCAAAGAGCCATATCACCGTCTCTATGACCCAGGCATGGCTGACTGGCCCGGAGTTTGGCTGCCGTACACTGAGCTAGGAAGAGTTGTTGTGGACCGCAAGACTTTTCAACAGGAGCAGATCTCGAATGCGGTCAGTGTGCAGGCACAAGAAGTAGACCCAATGCTCTGTCCACCTTATGAATATGGCTTTTCTTTGGCTCGAAAGGAATGGGCGAAGCTCTTGGTTGATTGCCTTGACGAGATCAACTGGACCGAGAATATCTGGGATTCCTTGATTGTTGGTGATCGCCAGAAATTGGTGCTTCAGTCATTAGTGTCTTCCCATTCCTACCCTGATGATGCCCGCGATCAAATGCGTCAGAAGGGCAAGGGTCTAGTTGTTCTACTCTACGGTACTCCAGGATCTGGCAAGACATTGACGGCAGAGACCGCAGCCGAAGGTACCAGAAAGGCCCTCGTAATGACTTCTCTTGGAGAGCTTAACAAGGAAGACAGGTATGCTCAGTTCTCCCTTCACGGTTTAATGGAACCTTGTTGACGTCTATTTTCTAGTGCCTGGGCCTTTGAAACCCGTTTGAGGCTCCTTTTGAGATATGCCACCTTATGGAAAGCTGTTGTACTGATGGATGAGGCCGACGTATTCCTTGAAGCCAGAGATGATCACGGTGATAGCAACACGCGAAACGCACTTGTAGCTGGTAGGTCATTATCTTACGGTGAAAAGGCTTGCCTAGACTAACACAAGTTTATCGCAGTTTTCTTGAAAGAGCTTGAGTATTTCAGTGGAATCGTATTCCTTACAACTAACAGGATCAAATCATTTGACCGAGCTATGAAATCTCGGATTCACCTTGCTCTCGAGTATACGCCACCCGGTATTGAGATCCGCCAGCAACTTTGGGAGCAGATTCTGAGATCAATCCCCCGTGAGGAAATTGATATTGAGCCCGAGGACGCCATTGATAACTTTGTGGCAGCCAAAATCAATGGCAGAGAAATTTCTAATGCAGTGAACACTGCGCGAACAATTGCTCGATTTGAGCATAAGCCTCTCCAGCTGAAGCATATTGAGCTGGTACTTGGTGTCTGGAAAGAATTCGATGACAGCTTAAAGGCGGCTGCCAAGAAGTCTGGTCCGTCGGAGCAGGGTGGCCGTCTTATTGATCGAACAAATTCCATTGTTGAAGAGGACATGAATGGCTTCAGCTCTTAGGTGATAGGGCATGATTAGGCCTTCGATAGATAGATGACCGTGACACAAATAAACATGGATATTTGAAACTACTCTCTCTGCTCACCCTTCTTTAACCCACCTGTGGGCCTTTACTGGGTGACTGGCCACCTCGAAATGCTCTGTCCTCTAGGTTCCAGACACCCTTCCATAGCTGGGAGCAGATACTAATCTTGAGATATCTCAACAACTATCTTTTGTGCTGAGACACCCTTTGCAAGAAGATCAATGCCATCCTGGACTTTTTCCAACCCCCCGCGGAGGATGAATGGCTCTGGTTTGACCTGAAATGTTCCAGTTACCAACGCTGCGGGAATATATCCTCCCCAGATTGCTCTTCCAACTTCCACATGAACCAAGCCGGGGTCCAGGCCATTGACTAGGGATACTTTAGCAAAGATGCGCCAATTCTTGTTCATATCTTGAACTTACCAAAAGCTACATTGACATTGTCTGGAAATTTACCCTTTGGATATCGCATCACAGGAAGCTTGCCTCCTCCAATTCTACTCAGAATTTCACCACACAAAGCTTGTGTCTCTGGGCTGCTAATGCAGTCGACGACAAAATCACCTTCATCCAAGACACTCACAAGATCCTCAATAATAGTGGGAGTCTTGTAGTCAAGGATTTGGGCAGCGCCGAGGCTCTTCAACAGCGCATGATTGGCCTGACTAGCGGTGGTCACAACATTAAGACCCGATGCGACCGCGAATTGAATGGCTGAACATCCGACAGATGAGCTTCCACCCCAAAGTAGGACTTTTTTGCCAAGTGAGCGAGGTGCGAAAGATGGTAGTGGGAGCTGGAGCTGGACATAAAGTGCACTGGCTGCAGTGGAAACTGAAAGAGGCAGGACAACGGCTTCAGAGAAAGGTAGGGAGTCCGGGATGGGCGCAACCAGGATTTCCAAGCAGGTGCTGTAAAGCTGAAACCCACTATTGGCCGCGTTTCCGTTAAGGATGCTGTGGCAGTGTCTATTAAATTTGATCAGACCGTGCTCCAGTTTTTCATACCAGGTGTGCGACATACCCAATCACCCTTTGGCCAGCCTCGAGGGACTTCACGTTAGAACCCACTTCAACAATGGTTCCTGCGACATCTTGTCCGAGAATAAAAGGATATGGTAGCTCAAAATTAGGGCTTGCTTGCATCTAGATAATTCTTTTTAGTCAATGAAATCCCTGAGTTTGCTTGTTTTTGTCATACTCCGCAATCTATCGGGTTAATTGCAACGTATGCAACCTTGATGACAATCTCCGTGGGCGAAGGGCTAGGCCTTGGCGCTGGTCCAACTTGGAGAGGCATTGCCTCGGCATATGGAAGCCAGGCGGCTTGGTTCTGAATAGATGCCATGATGGTGGTAATAGTTCTGAGCTACGTTGGACAACCCGATGGACACGGGCCATCATATATGACCACAAATGAGAGGGCGAAATAATAATTTGAAATCCACTACTAATCACTTTGAACTGATCGCAGTGATATGTAATTGGGAGTGACTGATTTCTAAGCCAGGCTCTCAGCCTCGTCCCCTGTTCGTGCATTTCGGTTGGTTGCCTTGCAGCTAAGAGAAGATCATGGAAGCTCCGAACTTCTGCGTTAAAGCAAAAACTGAGAGATGATGCTGATACAAGGTCCTTAAAAATTAGTTTTTGGAACTTTCGCTTCATAATCACCTTCCATGACATGGCTCATAGCATTTAGGTTGTACGTACTCAAAGACAGGGAGCTTCTTGATGAGCCAATCACAGGGCTAGCTAAGCAGGTCGATTGGGCTCCACCCAATGTTCGACTTCACAGTCAATAGGTTAGAATTCCTGTGTGCAATATAAGTCTGCGACAAAAGAACAATAGGGAGCGAATAAGAGGAAGGAAGGTTCTGAACTTTATGGTGCACCTAAATTACGGCATGTCAGCATCTTATTTGCCCAGTATTGAGACTGTATCGGGGCCCTTTATCCTGAATTCATGCAGGAGGTGCCCTTTTAGAGATTGCATGACTATCGCTCTGAATTTTGCAGTTTTTGATGATCCTTGGCTTTGAGCTAGCTTTCTATAGGTATACGCTTCATAGTCTCTTTATGGAGGAATTCAACAATTGAGCTACTTTAAGTGTAAATATTCTTTGCATCACGTTGGGCTAAAGATCTGACATAGCTTCTAAGTCGTATTCCGGATGAGCGTCAGTCAGGCTCTGTCTACGAGGAATAGAGTTTACGACGATGTTTACATCATGCGGAGGGACGCTTGGCAGATGGGGACTTGAATGAGGCCTACAATGAGATAAGAAATAGCGTAATGTGGCGGCACTTCTACAATAGCTCTAAGAAAGAAAATTAGCGGAAAGTGGGATCCATAGATCTATGTAGGTTGTAGATATGGTGTGTCTTACTCTTGAGTGAATCTTGACAATAGAGGTCCATGAGTCCATGACTCATGCTAAGAATAGAATGAGCCGAGACCTATTTGTATACTGAGTATTGCATCCCAAATCCAAATTTGAGATCTGTTCGTAGAAGTAGCAACGTATCGTGGAATGATATGTTCGGTACCGGGGCTTCGGTGAATAAGTTGCGTCGTGGCAAGTGGGTCCTCCTCGAACTTGCGGATTGTCGTGAACTGGTGGATTGAAATGGATCACACCGAACACTTGATTATGATATCCTATAGATTTTTTGAATCTTCCAGCACCGCAACTCTTGTGCACTAGATGATCATATCTCCCAATCTGATATTTTGGCCCCGTATTGTCTCTAGCTCGGCTTTATACGGCTCGGTGAAGTATGCCATAACCGGGGAAAAGTTTCACACGGGTGTACGTAGTCGGCCGGCTAGATCCGTCATAGTCAAGGGCCAACCACGCAAGCGCTGCCGTCATCAATCAACCCAAGCTTTTTCAGTGGAGTCGCCTTTCGTTGAGCTAAGAATCGTTTCTATGCATTTGTGTATCTTCGCCTGGCTGACCCTATCCACAATGGCTGCCATCAAGCCAATCAATACCACGCACTCTCTTAAAGACCTGATGGATCGTCCTTGTTAGTGGGGATAATGCCCTCAAGACGGGGCATCATGGCGTACTTGAATCGTAATATAAATAGATGAACTCCAGTGTTGTCCTCGTGGCCCCAGCCCCATACATTCGCTTAAGACTATAACACTGGTGGCTGTTCCTTTTGGCTCCTCAAGTCGTTTCATCCATCTGGAAGTCAATCGTTGCATCTGCCTTTTCTTTCGGGGTTCATCCCATCGTGTTTTATTCATAAATCAAAATGGCTATTTCCTCCTACCTCAAATGGGCTGCACTCATTTTGGCCACCGCTCAACTCGGTGCTGCTCAGACTTATACTAGTTGTAACCCGCTGAACAGTTAGTCAATGTCATCAATTGCGATGCGCTAAATTACCATAGCTGACTTGAAATATCACAGAGACCTGTCCCGCAGATACTGGTCTTGCCAAGTGGGAATTCAACACCGACTTCACTTCTGGCTCCTCGGCATTCAGCAAGTGGAACACCACTGCTGGAACTGTTGAGAGTACTTCTCTTGGTGCAAAGTTCACCATCTCCGAGCAGGGCGATGCCCCTACTATCGAGAGCGACTTCTATATCTTCTTCGGTCGGGTCGAGGTTAAGATGAGAGCTGCAAATGGCACTGGTATTATCAGTACTACTGTGTTGGAGTCTGACGACCTTGACGAGATTGACTGGGTGAGAATTGTCTTGGATATATTTGTATGCTAACTTCATCATTGCTAACTTTTAACAGGAGCAAATTAGCACTTACGACTACTCCATCGAGACTGACTACTTCGGCAAGGGCAACACAACTTCCTATGACCGCGCCACTACTGTGAACGTGACAACTCCTGAAGAAACTTTCCACACCTATACCGTTGACTGGACTTCCAGCCGCATTGAGTGGCTGCTGGACGGCGAGGTCGTTCGCACGCTGAATTATGCCGATGCTCTGAACGGCAAGAACTACCCCCAGACCCCCATGCGCATCAAGATCGGTATCTGGGCTGGTGGTGACCCCGACAACGGCGAGGGTACTATCGAGTGGGCTGGTGGCGAGACTGACTACACTGCTGGCCCATTCACCATGTATGTCGAGTCTGTCAAGGTCATCAACTACAACCCTGCCTCCGCGTACAAGTACACCGACAAGACTGGTGACTACACCAGCATCAAGGCCACTAACGGCACCACTTCGACAAACCTGGCTTCCACTTCCAGCTCCGTTAAGGCTTCCTCGGCTTCCAGTTCTTCATCTTCCAAGTCCTCGGCCTCCAGCTCTGCCAGCTCTGCCAGCTCTTCTGCGTCTGCCACTGTTTCTGCTGCCGGTTCGATCTCGCCATACTCTGTCTTTGCGACCCTCATGGTCGCTTTCATTGTGTGTGTTTCTCGCTCTAATTGAATGTATATTATATGAATGCGGGAGGTTGAATACCTCACATCAATGGAGGAGCTCAGAATATAGATAAATACACCGACCAGGTTCGTTCCTTTCTCACGATTTATAATGGGTATAGTGATTTGCTAGCTAGAAGAACACATTGAACTGAAATAATTATTGAATGTCCACCCACTCAGGCATTGATGAAAACCTCAGTCATTCCCGAAATCGTTCGTAAAACCAATTAAACGACGAAGGCTCTCGGGAACTTGTAGCCTTGACCGTCAACACCGTAGCCACCCTGAAGGCACGTAATAGTCGAAGGATTGGGGAGTTTTGCATCTTGTCGTATAATCTTGGCAAACAGCCGATATCGACAAAAGGCAGCTCGCCAAGTTCGTTTGCTAGAGAACTTTCTTCAACCTAAAAAATCTAGAGACCGCTTTTGAACCCCACGCTTTTACCTAGGTGGCATACTCCGTGGCCACCTCAAGTTCGACTTGCGGCCACAAAATCGGTCGAGAAGTTTTATAAACTGATCTTCAGGTTCACCCTACTTCTTGTGTGATGCGACTATCTTTATGAAGGAATTCTCAAAGTTATAGTTTTAATATTCTGTATCAAAAGGATCATCTTGCCAGCTTTCAAGTTTGAAATGCCGAGTAGCAATGCATCCGTCCTCTTAGTACCGGGCTTCTCCAAGGCAAACCTCCCAGAACACTTACGATCAACTTTGAGACACAGATAGGAATAGAGAGAGATATACATGCAGATAGAGACCTATTAAAAGCGAGATTAATATATGGAGAGGGATACTTTCTGTATGATAATATTGCTTCTAGGGACTTGGAAAGAATAATCGTTCCTGCCCTTGCACATAGCCGCATAGCTTAGTGTGTTACGCTCGTGTGGCTTGTTGAGATTGTGATTTTGTTGCTCCCTTAGGTTCAAACCCTCGTAAGAGCATTTTTCTATCGTGTACAAGGGTATTTCATCCTACTCAGCAAAGAGTACAGTGAATTGGTTGAGAATTACCATATTCCTAATCTTCGTAGGGTCAAATTAACGGAACAGGATCCCGAACAACATGAAATTACAAAAGGCTGTTTTTGGCAGCGAAAATGTTATGTGACTGGCAGTTGTCGAATTTTGCCTTCGGATTCGGATCATTAGCAATGGCATACTCAAGCCTTACGATTCATTGTTTTGCCGTCTTAATGCCCCTTTCCCTGTCAGTGTCCTAACCGGGCCCGTCAGACCCGATTGAACGAAATTTAGCTCTAGACAAACAGCGCAATCGCGTAGACCCGTTTAAAACCGATGCAAGGTATTATTATCTTGGCTAGGATACCACGTGGTGATTGCAAGCCAGCACATGGAATCCCTGGATGTTGGCAATGTTCAAAATTATTCCAGCCCTACATAGACAAGAAACGGCATTAAATGACACGGGCAGCCGATATTGTTGTTCGAATGAAGAAGAAAGACAGGGATTTTAATTTCTAGTGATCCTCATAGCAGAATAGAGGGAAGTTCTGCATGCACAGGGATTAAGTGATTGATCAGATTCGTCAGGAGCGGCGCTGGACTTAAGAGAGTCATCACCCGATGCTCTGAGCGTTTCCTTTCACCAACAGTCGAGGCAGTCAGTGACGATTCCTAGTCTCCCAGTCTACTACAAGCATGGCAACGTGCATCATTGGCCTAGGAAACGAAAGCATCGGTCGTGAAAAAAAGCAAAGAAAAAAACAAAAGAAAAGAAGGAGGGGTGATGACTGATCAAAATCTTTCAAGAGACAGAGTTTGGCCCCCACGAACCATAATGAAACGGCAACACCGAGAGTGAACTTATGAAGTAGCATTAGGTTGATCTAGAGTCGACACAGACTCTATGATCAGGATTTGGATTTAAGTTTCTCTATTTGGAACCAGAACCAGAAACCGCTAATGGCTGGAGGTCGCAGTCTAATTGGCTTTGTTCCAATCGAGATTTTGATTGCAGCGCTAGAGATCACGTTGCATGGGCCTGTCTTGGCAGGTTCCTGCGGCCTGAGCTGTTCGAGAATAGTAAAATGTCTGTGAATTTTATTCGTCGGGGCTCGCTGTATATCAAAAGTCCGAGTATCCGGGTTCCACTTCGATACGTAGTACTGTCGCTAACGTTAGCGTCTGAACTGGCTTTCAGTAGCCACGAGATTGGATCGACTAAGACTTATTTTCGATCTGTCGTTACAGATAAGTAGAGGCGATTTATTGAGAGTTGAAGAGAAAATGACCAGGATCAATGCAGGGATCAGAAAATACCGCATTGTCTGCTTCGTGCAGTTGGGATCAATGGGGGGATGGGAACAGGGATCGCCCGGCTTCGGCCCGGTGGGGCAGTGGGCCATCAACGCCAATCATTGGGATCAAGCAGGGATCAATATGTACGCCAAGGTCAAACTTGCAGGGTTCTCGCACATCTAATTGGCCTACGAAGCCTGCATTGTGCTTTTTGTGCCTATCTGGAACCAACCATTAAAGGCCAGGCTTGGACTGTGATGAGCTGAAGCTGCGAGCCACCTACTGGGGTTAGTGACTCCGTGGAGCTCGGTTACAGTGCAAATTACCATTAAATGGCCACTGGTCGCGATCTTGCAAACCACGGCACGCCAGATCCATGGTTCAACCGGAGGAACGCCTAGCGCGATGGAAAACAGCCACATACTAATCGCTTCAAGCGTCTGATTTTCTATAGCCTTGGAACTCATGTCATATATGTCGCCGACGACATCTTCTCATCCTTTTCATTCTGACGCCTGGGCACGATGAAGCCAGAGTTGCGAGAGACGTGGACGCCCGCAATCAACGTTCTAACATGGTTTATGCTGGTCACTTCCATACTGAGTGTCTTTACCCGGCTAGGCACAAAGTACTGGATCTTTCGCAAGTTGACAGTCGACGATTTTCTTAGCATCGCTGCTCTATTGGCATGTGTCGGTCAGTCTATTGCAGTATCTGTGGCCACCGAGGGTGGGCTTGGACAGCATTTTCTTCCCTTGGCGGCATCTGATGTGGAAAAGATGATGAAGGTGAGAGATTGCATTGCTTAATGAGATATTCGACTTGAATGGAATGAATACTAAGAACTTGTTCTGGTACCTAGTCTCAATACGCTGCAAACATCCTCTTCGTTATCGGCATGTGCTGCTCAAAACTCGCCCTAATGATGTTCATTCGCAATCTATCACCTGCGTCCCTCGATCGGCAGTTCGCTCTCAGCTTGGGGATGTTCATCATTCTATGGGCAATTACTGGCGTCTTTACGGCAGCGTTTCAGTGTCATGTTCCCGCTACTTGGGATTACATCAATGGCGAATGCTTTGATTTGGTACGTAATGATATGGGATAATCTCGGGGAAACACTGTTAACAAAATCTCAGGTCGCATGGTGGAACTACCTCGGTGTCACTAACATTATATCGGAAGCGGGAATCATTGCGCAGGCACTGTTGGTCATTATCCGAGTCCAGGCAGATATGCACAAGAAGATTGTTCTTTCCAGCGTCTTTCTATTTCGAGTTGTGTATGTGATCCACACCAAGTCTTGGCTCCTATGCAAATTAAACTAACAAAATATGTCCAGCGTGGTGATTGCCATTATCTGTCAGCTAGCCTACGCGAAAGACACGAAAGGATCGGGAGACCCATCATGGGATACATGGACTGTGGTAGTTTCAACTCAAATGACTCAGGCATTGAGTATCGTCACTGCCTGTTCTCCTCAATTCAAACCTTTTCTCGACAGCCTTCGGTCATCGGGAATGAGTTTGGGAGGAACCAGCTATGGGAGCAGACAAAGGACTTATGCCGGAACCACCTACAAAGTATCCCGTGGCCATCGCACGGGAGAGACTCCGAGCGAAACACATGAGCTTGTTACTATGCCGGGAGATACTGTCAACCAGACTATCGTGACTTCCTCGCCAGACTGTGACGCCGAGAGTCAGACGAGCCAGTCGCAAATTATTCGGGAGGTCCGAACATGGACTGTGACTGAGACCCGACGGGAATATGGCTAGAATAGGTCAATGTTTAATTTAGATCCAATTTGATTCAATTTGTATGTACGTAATAAATCAGCACGGAAAGGGGATTTGGAAGGATGCGACTAAGAGGACGTAGTACGTGTGCGATATGAACTACTAAACAGTGCAACGAAACTAAGCAAGCCGAGGAGAAGGACGAGATGAAACCAAGAATACTACCTCCTCAAACCGGTCAAGTGGGTCTGGTTTAGTCTGCTCAGAGGCATTATTATAATTATCTAATTATTTGATTGTACAAGGCTTTATGACCTGGCGAGGTGAACCGAGGGTGGAGCTGATCCTTAGCGTTGAAACACAAGACACTAGATATCCACCAAAGAAAAGCGATCAAAGTTTAGACTCGGGGGTGGAGACGCCACTAACCATGGAGTGGCAATGCCCCTCAGCTAGGGATGTTCCAGATTTCAGATGGAATGGACGAACAGGCGACCACAATGGACTTGACCCCCTTGCTAGATTAATATCTCGCTTGTTAGCGGGCAACCAATGCCGAAATCTGGCGCCATGCTTGAGAAAGGCACCAATTCGATCGGTCACTTCCGCCTCTGCGTCCATTTTGGGGAATATTAAGAAGCTGTTAATAATTTTTTTTTCCATTAACTTAGCGCATTAGCGTGAGTGGGTAAATACAAGGAATCGTCCAGACGTGCAATTGTCCCGGAATTCGCTGATTAGCTCTTCGCGTACCCTCTGTCCCCGTTGAATCAAAACAGAGAAGCTCCCCTGGTTATTCCGGTGTTCAATTTTCCCCTCTCGTTTCTCTTCCAGGTGCGCTCAATATGTCTTCTCATCGGATGAAGCAGACAAGCACGATGGGTATGCATGAGATCGACAGCCCCACGAGCGCTGAGCTCGATGATGCCAACCTAGCACGCATGGGAAAGCGGCCAGTTCTGAAGGTAGATCCTCTGGCTAAGCATTCTTGGTGAATCACTTCAAGAAGAAATATTTACTGATTTGACTTAGCGGAATTTTGGATTGATGTCGATATTGGGTTTTAGCTGCACCATCCTGATTACTTGGGAGGGAATCGTTGTGTGAGCAGTCTCCTGCGCCCGAAGCTCGTATTGAGCCCATGTACTGACTATTTGTTATTCTGCAGTCTATTTCTACAGGCATACTCGAAGTAAGTGATCTCTTGAAGCCTAATTTCCCCCTTCTTAAAAGTGAGACTAACGAACACTACAAGTGGCGGCCCTGCTGGTGCAGTCTATGGCTTCATTTTCGTTTGGATCGGGGTTGCGTCGACTTTCGTCGTTCTTTCAGAGTTGGCCTCAATGTATGAATCATTCCTGATCCCTTCAAAGAAGTTTTATGGACTAACCAACCGAAAGGGCTCCAACCTCTGGCGGTCAATACCACTGGTGCTCGATGCTCGCCCCACGATCTGTAATGAAAATCTTCAGCTACATAACGGGTACGAACTGGTCACCGGGGAACAAAGTATTTTGATTCAATGGAGCTAATTATTTCTCTGCAGGTTGGCTTACCGTTATCGGATGGCAAGCAACATACGCAACCTCGTGCTTTCTATGTGGAACCCTTATTCAGGGATTGATCGTTCTCACTCAGAGCAGCTACGTGCCAAAGCCCTGGCATACGACACTGCTGTTCTGGGCTGTTGCATTGTTTTCAGTTGGCATCAACTCGGCCGGTGGCAAACTACTACCACGATTTGAGGGATTCATTCTCATCCTTCACATTCTGGGATTCTTTGTCATCCTGATTCCTCTGACTTACATGGCGGACCATGGATCAGCGCATGAGGTTTTCACACAGTTCTTGAACATGGGCGGGTTTCCCTCTCAAGGTCTTTCGTTCTTCGTCGGTATGGTCGGCTGTATATTCGCTTTTGCTGGTGGTGATGCCGCAGTGCACGTAAGTTAAATAACCATCTTGACCTATAGTTTTCGAGGGCCACTAACCCTTATTGCCCAACCAGATGTCCGAGGAAATCACCAATGCGGCAACGGCTGTTCCGACATCAATCATGCTCAGCGTCTTGATCAACGGATCTCTAGGTTTTGGCATGCTTCTGGCTATGCTTTTCTGCCTCGGGGACGTTGAATCCGCACTCCAGTCGCCCACAGGGTATCCTTTCATGGCAATCTTCTTGCAGGCCACAGGGTCTGTCCCTGGGACCGCAGTGATGAGCTCTATTGTCACTACCATGGGTATTACTACGTCTGTCGGTATGCTAGCTTCTGCATCACGCCAGTTTTGGTCTTTCTCTCGCGACCGAGGTATTCCGGGTTGGCGAATTTGGAGCCAGGTATGTGCTGTCTTTAAACCTTGACATAGCATACATTGATTCTAATTCCAATAGGTTCACGGAGGTACCGGTGTGCCGATCTACTCGGTCCTTCTAACAACTTGCGTTGTCTGCCTCCTCGCTCTCATCCCCATCGGGTCGTCGGTCGCCTTCAATGATCTTGTCGCCATGTCAATTTCTGGTCTCTATCTTTCATACATGGTTGTCGCCGGTCTACTTCTCTGGCGACGCTCCACCGGTGGTATCAGCAATGCCCGAAGCAGCGACTCGGCTGTCGTTAACACTGTCGGCGCAAAGCTTGTGTGGGGTCCATTCCACCTGCAAGGTATCTGGGGAATTTTGGTCAATGCCTTTGCGCTTGTCTACATGACTATTGCTGTTTTCTTCAGTTTCTGGCCTCCATCATGGGTTGTCACTGTTCAGACTATGAACTTCAGCGTCGTTGGAACTGTTGGTGTGATCTTCCTCAGTCTCGTTTACTACGTAATTCGAGCTAGAAAGGTATATGACGGTCCCATCGTGGAAATTGAGTAGATAGTGCGGAAGAGACCGACGAGGTTTTTATATTGGTCGTGTGTATATTACCATTCTGATTCATAATATCTTGGAGAACTTGGGGAATTAGATAAAAAGAGCTAGTTTTTGTCACTTAGATGTCTTTTTTCCAAAGATGATGCAAACATATAATCATTTCCATATTCTAAGAAGTGTAGTCGCGAGGAAATTGATCTTTGATTTGCTCCTTTAAGGTTACCAGCGATCTTTAATTTTCATGGGCGTAGCGAGCTCTCTTTATAGAGCAAGACATAGTGCCAAATGTATATCTTGATCTGCTCTCCTCCCAGCGCCCTGTACCTCTGGGCCCTGCGTGTCCTGTCCTCAAGCAATAGATACTGAGACCAAATATAACAATAATGCGGCAGAAGAAGACCAGGGGCCTGAGGCTGAATGTGACGGCTGTCGTTTAAGTCCCTTGCAAGCGCTATGGAGATCGGTATAGAGTGGCTAGCTTCCGATGCTAGGGCCAATTCTGGGTCCAAAAAAACAGGATCAGATCCAAAATGTGAAACGTTGATCAGCCTCATCGCAGCCTTGGCAACTCGAAAGCTTGGGAAGCTTAGATGTCACTTTGGGATATGTCAATGCTAAATTGATTATACCTCTTCCGTGAAACACTGATCGAGATTTCTACCGAGTCTGAAGTCAAGGTCACTCAGCTACACTTATCTTTCACAATTAAACACTTTGAAAGTTGACTTTACTTCAAATCATACAATGACTGTTAAAGGCTCTGTATTTCCCGTGAATTCCATAAATACTGCAAAGATAAGATAGAAAACACAAGTTGGACAGAAAGCACTGTTATATACTGTTTAACGTTCACAAGATTTACAATTACAAACGCTAAGCTCAAGTTGAAAATATTGGACACGATTTCGGGGTTATGAATCAGCATCTTGAGCTGGCTAGCCCTCGTGTCGATGCGTTGTAATGCTAGGCGTGGTATCAACATTGCTTGATGGCCAGGTAGAATAAGTAGTATCGTTCTCGAAAACCTGAATACAAGTTAAAAACGTGTCCAATCCGCGTACCCATCATGAATTCGACGTCACTTACAGCAGGGTTCAGCGGAGGAAGATTGGGGTCAATATTAGGATCCCAGAAAGTGGCATTCACCGGCTCTTGAAGTTGCGCAGGTGGAGATAGGGATTGTTGAGGAGTGATGAATGCCTCAGGACGCAGCATGTTTCTCATATAGGTTTCAATGACCGAGTCAAATCCTGCTTGGGGGAATGGCGTATTCGGGGCATTATTTGCAATAAGCCCTGAGGAACTAGGGACAGGGGAGACGCGGCTTTGGTCCATCGCAGTTGTGTAATCGCTGAAGTAGGCACCCTGGCCTTCACATTGCTGATTACTCTGACAATTAAAGCACTGCAAGCAAGGACCTATGGACAGTCCCATTGGCTCATTGACACCACTCTTTAAAGACTGGAAATCATTTCCGATCGGCGATGCGGAATGAGACCGTGAGATAGAAGGATTGGTTAGGGAATATGCTGCGGGCTCAGTCTTGATCAAAGAGGTATGCCTTTTCCTCGGTGAGATGAAGTCACCACCACTATTGAGTACTCTTGTTAGATTACGAGCTCTTGTTGTTTGTAGAAATCAATGATGACTTACTGTCGTGCCATGTGCTGAGCTAGATAATCCGCACGGTGGAATGACTTGTGGCAGCCAATATATGAGCAGGTGTGGGATTTCATGCTTTTGTGACTCAATTCATGTCTTCTTCTATGCTCAGCACGCGTAAAAATCTGTTTGCCGTTAGAGAAACTGGGGGGATGAGACTCGTGATGTGGTCTTGACAAACCTTTGTACATCCCGGGTATTCACATGCATGGACTCGCTTCCCTTTCTTAGCCTTGCTAACTCGATTTTCGGTGCTTGCCGAGGAGGGTGAAGAAGAGGTTTCAGTTTTGCGGCTCCTGCGCTTCGAAGTGGAGGTTTGACGGCTATCCCTCGTGCTCACCGTCGAAGTGTGGGGGATGTACTGTGTTGATGATGGCGGCGAATCCAAACAGACTGGCAAAGGGGCCATAAAATGGCTTGGAAACCGGGGTAAACTGCAACTGGCAGACATTTTCGAGTAATAAGACAGAGAGTCTTATATCAAAAGAAGGGCAATGTTGGAATATGCGGGTGGAAGAGGCAGTCAGTGCTTGCTGCTGTACGTGGTGAATATGTGACGGTGGGACGGCTGTCAATATCTTGCAGCAATATAGATGTAGAACAATGGAATGGTCTGCAGAGTCATCTGAAGAAAAAGGACCAGACTTTTCGACGCAGTTTAGCTGGGTCAGGGTCAGTGGCTTCTATAAATCTTCCGAGGAGCTGAGCGGATCAATAAGGATGGGCTGATTTGCGGAAGGGTAATTTAAAATGGGCCAGACCGTGATGGGTTTGGCCACAATGGACCAGGAGGGATAATGAATCAGAAGGGAAATAAAGAAATTCCGAATTTGGAATAAATAATAAAAGTAGAGGTGAAACGCGCAAGGCACATCGACTAAAGATTAGCGTCAGACCGGGGGGAGATGCTAGTTGATCATCTGAATCCACAACCCCCGTAATGCCCGTTCTGTCTCTGCTCGAACACGGCTCATCGAAGTGAATTTGGATCTCAACAGCTTCTCCGTTCAGTCTGCAATTATCCTATATGGTGTGGTGTATAGCTGACTGCCACAATACTGCTTATGGATAATACCGCAATAGGCTGTTGTTGGTATCGTCCTAGATTGCTGGATGATCCCTGCAAGCAAGCGCCGTTGGATTCTCCTCGCCCCAGTCAAAACAAGCGATTCCCAGGCAAAAAGCTTATCGGATCAGTCGGCGGCTGGCCCTCGAAGTGTGCACTAGAGTGACGGCCTATAAATCGGCAAGTGGCTTGGTTGAGCGGTTGTTTTACCAGCCCATACGCAGCCTCAGAAGGGAATTCCCTGGCGTTCTCAACCAACGCAAGAACCTTTCTTTTGGGAAATCGAGACGACAAGCATATCCCTCCGGCTCAAACCCGGGGAGGGACGGGCCACCCCTTTCTCAGATGGGGCATAGTGGGGCGATTGATCCTCACGAGGATGTGAGCGGGCGGGCGGGCGGGCAAACGACCCTAGGCCTTGAGGGTAATAGGGCATGGCAAGCAGCTCAGGCAATTGAAGAATGCCTCCGATGATAACATGTTTGTTTGCCCCATGGTCGCAAGCAAACATAGTACAGTATGCAGGGCAATTAAGATACATAGCAGGATATCATGCTCTGAAGCAAGCATGAATTCCAAAACATCCACATGGCAAGCCGTTGGGGTTGTAGAATAATGAGCCGTGTTTGATAACCACGACCAAGTTTGCAGATGAGTTCTCGAACGTAGCCAACCACAGTCTTCATAGAGGAGAACCGTTCAAGCCAGGGACAATTTTTGACTGTGCTCCGGTTAGCGTGAGCTGCAGGCGCAGATGAAGGGTGGGGGCTCTGAGGTACTACTCTATAATTGGCCGATTGAGTGGACTCTTCCTCCATCTCGAGGATGATCTGCGACAGCTCGGGTGCTGGCAGCACAGGCCATCGAGTCATCGACGGCATCAACCATCCGAATCGCGACACTACAATAAGCGAGTGGACTGATGGGGCTAGGAAAGGGCAATCTGGTTTGCGATGTTCAGTGGTGTTCCTGTGCCGCGAGTGCGCAGCTTTCTCGATCCCTGTCTGTGCCCCCTGAACTTGATGGCCAATGAGAAATCACAAGAATGTTAGAACCTGGGAGGCTCTCCGTCGCCACTTCTGCCTGGCATTGAGTAGTGAGTCTCCGACGCGGCTCAATAATATGTCGGCCCTCCCATGATGCCGTGGTTTGCATCGTCGATGGCAATCTGCTTCATTGGCAATCCTAAAGTTCTTTATTAGCCCCCACGATGGCACGACCACATCCGCTCGGAGCGAGGCCTGCCAACACTGTTCCATCTTCTTGAAAATACGATACCTTGTGAATGGTGATCATTCCTGCCTTTGGTATGCCGGACTCAGGTCACTCTTCCAACTCATGCATCTATCCACGCTTGGAAGCCTAGCCCATCATCGCACGATCCTTTACGATCGGCCGTCGAACGGTCGAACCAGATGTGGAGGTTTACTGCTTTGTGTCAGAACCATAAATCACAGACCAGCAGCCGATCGCGAAAGTGAGCCTTGCGACCCTGGCAGAGATTTGCATCCCGCCCCCAATGGATAAGCCGCCGGTGGGTGGGCGGAGTTGTGTCTTCGGAGTTAACACTCTATCCCAGCATACTCTTGACCCCATTATTGTGAGGCTGTATAGCTAGACTTTCTGCACTTACCTTAAGTAGACCGAGGGTTGAACCGGATGTGGATAATGCGAGGGGCTCACGCCTTTCTTCTTCACATAGGGATGGGGATGGGGTCGGGTAACTGAACAACCATAGCATCGAGCAAATGGGGGCAATTTTTTACCAGTGAAAGATGCATAATGAGAAGGACAGGCAAGGATCCGCATCCTTCCGCTGTTGGGCTTCTGTGAGGGGTTGAAGTTTGAACACAGCCGACCTATGCCCCATGGAGATATCTGCCCTTGAAACAAAATTACTTATTAGTGCCCTTTGATACTTTTTCTATACCTCAACTATGCCATCGCAGACTTCCGATCTTGATGTTTCAGCTCTTAGGATTTTAGGTGGGATGAGATAGGATCGCTGTTGCATTTACCACCAGGAGCCGTCCTTTTCGATCCTTCCGGTAAGTGGGCTATGCTCCGCGTTGCTCTA